TTTGCATGATCGCTATTATTGGGACGAATCCACTGATCGCTTGTACCTCAAGGCATCCCCCAATAACCGGTTGTGAATACCACAGTGCGGTGTCCGGTTAAAGCTCATTCAAGAACACCATGAGTGTGCAACGGCTGGCCACCCGGGTCGTGATCGAACGTACTTCCGCCTAGCACGTTTTTTCTACTGGCCCCGAATGGGTCTCGATATCAAGAGATTTGTCAAAACCTGTGATCTCTGCCAGCGAACGAAGGGAGGTCAGCCACGAACAGGGCTTCTCCAGTCACTTCCAATACCTAATAGTCCTTGGCAGGATATCTCAATGGATTTTATTGTTGGATTGCCCCTTACTTCTCGTGGCTTCGACGCAATTTACACCTTTGTGGACCGACTTACGAAGTGCGTACATCTTGTTCCAACAAACTCGAAGATTGATGCTTAGGGCAGCGCTCAACTGTACATTCAAAACGTGTTTCGTCTGCACGGGCTGAGCTCAACCATTGTTTCCGATCGCGATCCACGATTCACTGCAGCTTTTTTCAAAGAAGTATTCTCTCAGCTAGGAACTAAATTGGCATTCAGCACTGCTAACCACCCTCAAACGGATGGTTTGACAGAGAGAGTTAACCGGCAAGTGGGAGATGTTCTAAGAGCATTTGTGAACTTGAGACAGGACAATTGGGATTCGCTTCTACCACTCTGCGAGTTTGTAATTAATAGTTCACAACAGTCATCTGTAGCTAATACACCGTTCTATCTGAACTATGGGTTTGACCCTAAGTCCCCGCCCGAATTCATTCTTACGGGAGGGGACAGGAGTGATTCGGTCGATTGGCTTCATGAGCAGGAAGCCGCACTAAGGATAGCTCGAGATGCAATGCTCGACGCCCAGGCAAGGCAAGCTCTATACGCAGACCAGACGAGTACGCCCAGTGATTTGAAGGTTGGTGATAGCGTTCTTGTCTACAGAGACTTTCTACTGACCCCGGAAGCTCGTGGCCAGCCCTCTCGGAAGTTGCAACCCAAGTGGTTTGGTCCGTATCGTATCCAGGCTAAGATTGGAGCGAATGCTTTTCACTTGGAACTACCCCGTGAACTTCGCTGCCATCCCGTGTTTAATGTCACTGCTCTTAAACGCTACGAAGAGAACACGATTCCTGGAAGACACCAACCCCCGCCTCCGCCCTTCACAGATCTAGATGGACACACACGCTATGTTGTCGAAGCCGTTTTGAATCACCGACACCGCAGTGGTGAGCAACACTTCCTGGTGCATTGGAAGGGTTACCCCAGCAGCGAAGCTACGTGGGAGCGCGCTGGCAACCTATGTGATGAGTCTGGTCGGAATATTAAACCGCTGCAGAACTATCTAGCCTCACAACGACAGCAGCCTTGATCTAACTGGGCTGAGCCATATGCATCTCTTACTGAGATAGTTAATAATATGTTATAGACTGATATAGTTTTGCGTCATCTCCTTGTGAGAGTGATGGAGTTGAGTTGGATTACACTTCAATGTGGTTATGCATGTGCATAAGTGATTATTAAATATTCCCCTTTCCACAATTGCATCTCCTCACTGGATTGTGTTATCTAATAGAACCTTGGGCTTCCTATGGGGCCGGGAGAGTGTAATAGTTTTACCTTGACACTTCTTGCTTGTCTTATGGTAACACCTTGTGTTCCTACTATTCTCACTCCTGCGGTTCTCGCATTTCTTTTGCTTTATAACCTCTGGTTTGAACATCATTCGGGGAATTCTCCAATCAATCAAGTCTATACTGTTACAGGGAGAGAGAGCGAGACAGAGCGAGAGAGAGAGAGAGAGAGAGAGAGAGAGAGAGAGAGAGAGAGAGAGAGAGAGAGAGAGAGAGAGAGAGAGGAGAGAGAGAGAGAGAGAGAGAGAGAGAGAGAGAGAGAGAAGAGAGAGAGAGAGAGAGAGAGAGAGAGAGAGAGAGAGAGAGAGAGAGAGAGAGAGAGAGAGAGAGAGAGAGAGAGAGAGAGAGAGAGAGAGAGAGAGAGAGAGAGAGAGAGAGAGAGGAGAGAGGAGAGGGAGAGGGAGAGGGAGAGGGAGAGGGAGAGGAGAGGGAGAGAGGGAGAGGGAGAGGGAGAGGGGAGGGAGAGGGAGAGGGAGAGGGAGAGACAGAGGGAGAGACAGAGGGAGAGACAGAGGAGAGACAGAGGGAGAGAGAGAAGGGGGGGAGGTAAGGAGGGATGGAGGGAGAGAGAGACAGAGGGAGATAGATAGAGAGAGAGAGAGAGAGAGAGAGAGAGAGAGAGAGAGAGAGAGAGAGAGAGAGAGAGAGAGAGAGAGAGAGAGAGAAGAGAGAGAGAGAGAGAGAGAGAGAGAGAGAGAGAGAGAGAGAGAGAGAGAGAGAGAGAGATTAAGAGAGTGGGTGTGTGACCGGGGAAGCTTTGCAGTACTAATTGCTGACCCATGTCAGGCAGTCAGCCTCTCGGAGGAATGTTTCACACAACCTTTTAGCAAATTACATAAACGCATAGCGGTTGGTGCGAGTGATGTCCAGCGTGCTGGCGAGACATCAGTAATATTCTACACACAGACAAGACTTCTGACCATGCTGCTGTGTCAAGATGTTTGCCAGAACACCAGTCAAGTCCCATGGTTACGTATTTGCCGACCGAGCCAACTTTGAGGAGCACACCGACATGAAACACACATTTTGTTGTCGTTCTGTTGTTTATTTTCCCACTTTGGTTGAAGGAGCTTTTTTCTGAGAATGCTGAGCTGCGGGAGATGTTGACAGCAATGCAACAGGAGAGTGCGTCCGTCTTGCGGCTCCGACACATAGATATTATGCCTGAGGTGAGTAATCTGTGTGTGTGTGTGTGTGTGTAAGTGTAAGTGTAAGTGTGTGTGTGTGTGTGTATGTGTGTGTGTGTTTGTGTGTGTATGTGTGTGTGTGTGTGTGTGTGTGTGTGTGTGTATGTGTGTGTGTGTGTGTGTGTGTGTGTGTGTGTGTGTGTGTGTGTGTGTGTGTGTGTGTGTGTGTGTGTGTGTGTGTGTGTGTGTGTGTGTGTGTGTGTGTGTGTGTGTGTGTGTGTGTGTGTGTGTGTGTGTGTGTGTGTGTGTGTGTGGATGGGGGTGGGGCACATTGCTTGTAGCAGTTCAGTTGTGCCTGGCTTATGAATTGTCTTTCTAGTTCGTTTTATATCAATTCAAATACTACCGGCACAAATTGCACAATCCTGTTATTATCTTGACTACGGATTTCTATGATAGTTTAGTCATGGCCAAAGAAATCCGACGTGCTAGTCAAAAGTAGCGCCGTGTTTCCATTCAATTCCACCATGGATGTTCCCAAAACTGATCCGAGAGCCGCAGGGGCGGCATGAGCCTTGATGCTGCTTTCGGCACGTGGGTTGAATTTCTTTTGCCACAATTGTAGGCTGTGTTTGCATCCTGCACCGTGTCTGTGAAGCAACAACACGAGTCAGGGCTGGGGTAACACTGCTTGCTGTCATAGAGTGTGGCTAGTGAACTGTTTGTGCTGTCTGCTAGCTTTGTCTGGTCTCGTCGGGTCAAATCAAAAACCTTTGACTACAGTACGGACGGATACTTACTACTTACAAATTGACGGACCGAATGAAGAGGGCATCAACAAATTATGACTTTTCCTGGACCAGGAAATGTGCCATTGATTTGAAGAAGGGTGCGATCTGTTGCATACAATATACTTAGCACTGTCCAGCAGGTTATACTGATTCAAAGTTTTTTATAACATTACTACTTCAGTATAAAGTACTCGTATTCGTATAAGTTTTTTTGAATGAAAAACCAAAAATATTTGGCACCTATGAAATCAGGGGATTAGGCCTTGACAGAATATTTTCGTGAAATTAAGGACGTTTAGCAACGCGAAAGTTCGAAAGAAAATTCGAGTCTGGGAATGAGTACAGAAACAAAGGTCGAAACTTCGAAAACTTGGACGCGAAGTTGCAGTGATTTGCGAAAGTAACTTTCTCTTTTCTCGGTACGCATTTCACTACAGGGAGTAGTAATTTTACAGCCCCCTGCTGGAGACTGAGCTGCATATACGGTACGGTACTATAAGATTCAAATAGCTTCGAGAAAAAGTCGTTTCGCATTGCTAAACCTCACAAGTTTTCTTTTTCGAAATAGATTTTCGCGAAATATCGCCAACACCAAAAGTTCGAATTTTCGCATTGCTAAACGTCCCTATTATGCTTTTCGCATTGCTGAAAAAATTGCAGAATTATGCTATTTTCATGCTAAAAGTTATCATTATTAATTTATTATGCCGCATTATGCTCACATATGCTGCTAATGTATTTGTTTGTTTGTTTGTTTCCTTTATTTGAATTAGTTTAGAGCACAGGCAATTCTGCCTTCTCACCAGAGGAAAAACCTCCGGTTCCTGCTAAGAACGAATATAATATTATGAGAGAAGGAAATATTAAAAAGAATCATAACATGATAATTCCAAAGCACAAAGTTTGTATATAATTCAAATGGGTGTGTGTATGTGTAAGCATGCAGTGAAGAAAACACCGAGAAAACATGCAGTAATGTTTAGGGATGCCGAGCAAGGTGGTTACAAATTACAATTAATTCTGTTCAGAGCCAGTTTAAAGGCAACCGCCGCACTGTGGAGGCGAATATCGCTGGGAAGGGCATTCCAAAGAGTGCTTCCCACAAATGTCAATGACTGACGACCGGAAGGTCCAGGAAGGAAAGGCACTTGCAGTAGCCGCTGCTCCTGTCCTCGAGTAATTCGGCGATCATCCCGGGATGCTTGGCCTGTGTTAGCCATCAACTGAAAGTAGGTGCAGAAAAGAGGACTTGCAAGATCATGTAGGCAACGGAAAACAAAAAACAAAACCTTGTAGTTAAAAATGTGAGTTAGGGATCGAATAGATAAGCGCACGAGGAGGGGGGCTGTGGATGCACGGCTGGAGAGTCGGAAAATTGCACGAATTCCGGATTTGCTGGATTTGATTAAACGACTCTGCAGCTGCTGTGTCAGCGACGGGAAGAATGCATTGGATGCGTACGTTAGTCGTGCTTGCACAATGCCAATGTACCAAAGTCTGCGGGCTCTTATGGGCAGAGATCGCCCATGGCGCCATAGCTGGCTGATGGCGACTGACGCCTTCTGCACAACACTGGAGACATGTGGCTGCCAGGATAGCTGGTCATCAATGGTTACACCAAGGTATTTGGCAGTGGAGGTAACAGTTAAGGCTTGATCCTTACATTTCACGACTGGTATGTCGCCAGTGAGTCCCCGAGGTTGAATTACCATGACTTGGGTTTTGCCGGTATTCAGCAGAAGTCCAATTTCGGAGAGCCAGTCAGACAGACGTGTCACAGCCGTAGTCAACGTCTTGCAAACAGTGTCCAGATCTGAATCAGAATAATCTAGGATGATGTCGTCTGCGAACTCCTAATGAACAACAATGCAAGGTATGACGTCGGAAATGTCACTCGTGTAAAGGACAAAGAGAAGCGGCCCAAGAACACTGCCTTGGGGCACACCTCTTGAGCATGGGACTGCATCAGAGAGAGCCTCACACACCTTGACACGCTGAGTACGACCAGACAGATAGCTAGCCAACCATAACAATACTCTGCCATTGACTCCCAGGGTGAATAGTTTATCAATCAGACGTTGATGTTGGACACGGTCAAACGCTTTTGACATGTCAACCATCACAATACCTGTGTATTTTCGCTCTTGTTTGGCCGGTTGGCGGCTAGAACTAATGCATCTTCGGTAGAGTGTATTTTCCTGTAAGCAAACTGACTGCTAGGTAATATGCTATGTTGCGTGAGGTATGCTGTGAGTTGCTTCTTTACAAAGAACTCCAAAATCCGGGACAGAATAGGGAGCAATGGCACTGGTCTATAGTTAGTAGGGGATGTTGCATCGCCACTCTTGAACAGTGGACTAATGTGTGATGTTTTAAAACACACTGGCACAGTACCTGATGTCAAGGATGCATTGACTAGGGTGGTAAATGGAGGTGCCAGAACATCTGAACACTGCTGCAGTAAAATTCCAGGAATGTTGTCACTCCCAGATGCTTTGTGAGGACTCACAGTTTGCAAGCATTGTGCAACATCAGACACGCTTACCGGCTGAAATGTTGAGAAGCTAGATGCAGAGGCTGGACCATGTGGTATATGCAGCTCAGGTGGCCGCATAGGGTCATGCACAATGTCTCCAAACAATTTACTGAGTGACTCAAGCGGCGCTTCAGGTTCTTTCCGTGTCTTCTGTCGGCCTGTGACATCGTTCATGACAGCCCAAAGTTGCCGTTGATCTGATGTATCACATCTCTTAGTGAAGTACAAGTTGCGCAGACTCCTGTCCAACTTCCGTGCTTTGGAGCGAGCTGATCGGTGTGCTTCTTGAAGGTTCTGATCGGTTTTGTCTCGGAGCCAGAGACGATGCGCCCGGTTCCGTTCACGAACACTTGCCACTAACTCATCTGTAATCCAGGGGCAAGGACGTCGAGATTTGCGGCACCGTTCCCGAAGTGGAGCATGTTTGTCTAGAGTGGTCTGGATTCCCGCAGTGAGTGACGACGCAAGCATCCACACAGACAGAGTCACAGGTAGTTTGCGTCTTCTCGTATAATGGTTCTTTTGCAAAATAAAAGGGAATTTTTTTTGTAGAGGGCGTTGCACTGTAGTAGCAAAAGTTCAACGGGGTCAACACACCGTCCGACCTAGCTACGACCATCACTGATTGTAGTGGACTGGACATGTTCTCAAGGGAGTCGTAAACCTACGACTTCCTGGTGCATCTACTTGTACTTGTACTTGTAGAACATGTACAACTGTATGGAATTTGATGCGAACAGGCAGATTATTCCAATTTTATGCGATTTGTATGCAATTTGCCTCGAATTATGCGATTATTTGATTTTGGTAGAAATTATGCGAAATATTATGGTAGCATAATCTATCAAGGCCTACAGGGGATGGCCCACGCCTAGTAAAAAAAAAACAATGAGGAGCTACGGTTATACTGATTGGTGAAATTTGGTTTTCGGGTTTCTCCAGAACTTCAGTTGCTACGAGTATGAACTTGCAATCCTTACACGTTGACAGGTAGGCATATGCGGATAATGCCGGCAGAAAAATTGTCAGAATTCGGTACTTTTTCTGGTAAGTGTCATGCATGTTTGGTATGTGGATAAAGAAATGGAGCAGAATTCGAGGAATTGCCCGCCAAAGGTTTGTATGGTTCTGCCAATTTCACTGCTTTTCAAGCAAGAATCTGACACCTTTTCGAGCATCATCCGCCCACCTTTTCGAGCATTATCCGCCAATGCCTATTGTTCTATTGACTGGTGAAAAGTGCCGGTAAATTATTCACAGTGGGTGTTATCATTGTGCTATACATGTAGTGTGCTCAGCTAGGTGGGACAGGAAGATGCACTCATACGGACTAATACTGACTAACACGGATTAATACAGACTAACACTGACTAATACTGACTGACCTAACCGAAATGACTGAACTGACTGAACTGACACAGCAAGCCAGGTACATCAGCAAGCCAAACTCTCATACAGACTGAAACACAGAAACGACGTACCAGTGCATTAGCAAGGTGCTTTGATGCAGACGTGAACTGACACGGCAATCACGGTGCATCACCAGGGTTCGAGGAACAGCCCGTAGCATGGATTCTTGCCCAGACGCTCGTTACGTGCCATCTTCATCAGCGTCGTCATGGGAACGTTGCCCACGACCAGCAATGGTGTGCTCCTGCTACACTTGCCATGCATCAGCTTCCAGTGGAGAAACCCCGGAGCACGGGTCAGACTTGCACCCGCCTTGTGCAGCAAAAACCCAAGCATGGCGTCCTCGACGTTACCGGGAAGCGCAGAAGATGCCTGAGTCAGCGCCTGACGCACAGCATGGATGGCAATGTCCCGCGACACGATGTAAGAGAAACCGGACGCAAACGGAGGGTACGTCTTGTCTTTGATCACGGCCATGTGATTGTCGTTGATGCAGTTTTTGCTTCGACTGTACAATGCACAGCGGACTACATCACGGTTCTGCTCCGGATGAGGGCTGCCTGTGTACAGCCTTTTTCTGGGCTGCTGCATCAGCCATACTAGCAAGTTCTCAAACACTACGTACGCATCATCATCCACTAGCATTAGATAGTCGGATGTGGGTTGCTGGAGCTGATACCAATGCAGTGCCCATAACGTCTTTGACGTCATTGTGTCATAGCCGTCCATGATGGGAGCCACAAATACATCCTCCTTGCTCTCCACCTCCGCTCGAAGCCTGGTCATGACGTCTGCACTCTCAGATTGTCCAGTGTAAAATTGGCACAGTGTCCGAACGTTCTTCAGTACATCCATGTGCTCATCCGCTTTGGGTCCATCGGGAACGAAATGTCTGCTTCGGCAGCGATTGAACCATAGCTTGCGTGTCAGCTCTCGCCTCTCGAAGTATGTAGGACCCGTCTTGACCAAGATAGTCACGGACATGAGACTTTCAGTCGAGCGGCGGGGTGCTGGAATGGCGTACTGTTTCGGCTGACCAGTGGCGCATCTAGCCGGCCTCAGCCCGCCCTCAGTGTTGAGGTCCTGGAAGTCTGGCCGAAGCTTGACTGCCCTGTAGAAGCCATCCACTTGCCATTCGTATGCCCGTAGATTTTGTTCATCGAGGGATCGCTCCACTGCGTACCACAGGATGAGAGCTACCGTCAATATCTGAGTCACGCACAGGATTCGCAGCAGCAGCGGGCGAGGACGCGAGTGAACGACTCGTGACTCATTCGCTTTCCAGAACATACTACAGTCGTCCCTCTCTAATCCGGCACTTTATAATCCAGCACCCTCGATAAACCAGCACAATTTTCAGTAGCCAAAATGTCCTCTTCATGCACATTGCAGCAGTAAATCAGAAATCAGCACCCTCCCTAATCCAGCAGATTTTCGTGGCACAAATGGTGCCGGATTATAGAGGGACCACTGTAGTAGCAGTGACCATCGCAGCAGATTCGCTTTCCCCAGACAAGAGCAGGACTACAAGTAGAGTGGGAGTTCTCACTACGGAACTACGAAAATTAAATATATCTCAGGGAGTGGATGTTGATTCCTTGTACTTCAGTACACTAGTACTAGGTTCTTCATGTTAGGCCACACTGAAGAAGGTCTGTGGTTCGACTCACCCGACCGACCGTACATTTTTCAGCCCGACCGTAACTTTTTTTCGGCGGGCTGTCGTGTGACTGACGTACGTGGACTGAACACGTACGTCTACGTGCTGTGCAGCGTGAGTCTGCGGCCCGGACGCAGGCTAGGCGGCTCCTTTTGGACTTGACTTGTAGTTGTACTTTTTTTTATTTATTTTTTTTACAATACCATTCACACTGCATTTATTCGCACAGCAGAAAAGCAACCAACAGAAAATCATAGCAAACAAAACAAAATCATCGGATAATAAAAGTGTGGCTAGACACGGCTACTCCGCAAGAGTCTCAGTCACGCAACTGACAGTCGTTGACTGCCAGCACAACAGGAGTGGCAGCATCCAAACGACTGCGGTAGGGAGAAGCACGGTGACCACGGAGGCTCATGTTGCAGGATCGAACCAAAGCAAAGGAGACAAGAGACTTGTAGTTGTACTGCAGTGCAGTGCAGTGAGTGGTACGACTGCTGCCTTGTGCTGGTGGTAGAGTCTACTCGATACGACCACCGACAGACTGGCGAGACTTATTTTGAAGTGACCGTCCGGTTGAGAGTGATTGCCTCGTTCCAGATTAAGCCTTAAGGACGGCCTTCTGTTTTGGGATGAAGGACAGACGAGATTGCACTTTCCTCGTGTATTGGGAACGATATTTCACCTGTACCGGTAAGTTGCTGCTCCATGTGTGCAAGCACAGGAAGCGTCGATGGAAAAAGCCCATGTATTCGTGCACGCCGACACCAAACTAGCAATACATGTACCGGTACATTGTACAATTTGTACTTCGAAGTAGTTCCCGAACTTACTTTCAACTCGCATCGTTCTTCATTTGCTTGATGATTTGGACAGTCAGAGTCACCGCTTGAAGTTATTCTCTTCTCGTTCCAGAGCTACACAATGTTTCAAAGTATTAGCCAGTGATCCCTTTATACAACATGTATGGCATAACACTGCGTAATAATGCCGATGTACTGGGTGTCTACAGGCAGTACAGTGTATTTACATCAGGGAGTCGTACTCAAACTAGGGAGGTGACACGGATTTCTGTGCCGTGTCACCTCCCTAGTTTGAGTACGACTCCCTGATTTACATGTACTAAAAATATATGAGGAGTGAAAAGAAGGTCATCGACGTGCTGAAATTCAACAATTTCCCCCAATCAGTAATTGACAAGGCCCGGGAACGAGCTGGACGACCGACAGGACCCAAACAGAAAAAGGACTTTCGCACAACACTCAAGCTGCCATTCAAAACCGATCACATCCACAAGAAGGTGCAGTATCTCATTCGCAAATATCAGCTGAACACCCACATCATATACAAGAATGCTCGGCTCAGCTCGCGGGTTTGCAGGTCTGCTTTGGACAAGCCCCTATGCCGCAAATTCGTTGATCCACAGCAGCCAAGGAGAAGGGGAAGACCGAAATCAGCTTGCGTGGCATGTACAGCAGGGGCAGTGGACTGCACCCGCCGAAACGTGGTATACCACCTCGAGTGCCGTTGCGGTGATGACTATGTGGGTGAAACTGGCCGAAGCGTTGCGACAAGGTCAAGGGAGCACAACGATAATGCACGCAACGAGGTCCGAGGGAAGGCGCTGGGTGAGCATTACCGGATCTTCCATGCCGATGAGCCATTGTCGCTGGGGCAGACCGGATTCGCCAACGTCTGTGTGCTTGCGACAGAGCCAGACAGGGCAAGGAGAAGGATTCGGGAAGCGGTCAAGATCCGGGACATGGAGCCTAATATCAACACCAGCAGTGGTTGGGATCTCCTGTGAACTCTGGTTGCCTGGCTTTTTCATTGGAGTGATAGCTATTCATGTGAAACCTTAGCACCCACAAATTGTACGTATCACCACCCTAGACTTTAGCATTATGTTAGCACTGTCCACACTACTGTAGTCATGTGGCACAGGTTGTACATAATTATCACCGCCCTAGTCTTTCACACGGAGGACTAGCACCCCTATTGCGATCATGTGGCATGTGTCATTTTTTCGCTTGGGAGTTGTTGTTTTTTTGTTTTGTTCTCCCCGCTGTATTCCGCACGCACCTAGCCAGCTTGTTGTTTTAAAGTCTGCCTTGCTTCCGTGTCTGCTTCATCCTGAAGATGGTCAGAGTGACCGAAACGTTGAGAAGAAAGAAGAATTGTTCAGCTGTGTGAAGAAGCAGTGCATCTGAGTGTTGGCCAGTGTTGCCACAATACAAGTTGCTATAATGAAGCTGCGTGAAGCGTCGTTCCGAATTTAAAAATATATATTTTTAAAAAAAAATCCGCCCGCCCGCCCGTAAAAAAAATGTCCATGTTAGTCGAACCACACACCTTCTTTAGTTTGGCCTTACCCTCTTTATTACTACAACGTGTAGGGCGTGCCATGGCGCATGGCAGCCAAGGATTGCGGCAAACACTTGGAGCGCGGTCTTGGGTTATCAGTGATCATGATTATGCGCCTCTAGTACTAGTAGGCTCTACATGTATGCGCCTCGTTAGAATAATGGCTTTTACAGTATGTACATGACTACATCATTGTACTGTCCCTCCAGGAAATCGCGATTCCACGGATGCAACAAATTTCGCGATTTTGGCCCAAACCCGCGATTTTCAGCAAAATCTGTGATTTTCCGCGTCTTTTGTTGTTTTCTGCACTCTACATCTCACATTTTATGCACTTTTCACGCAGTTCTTTCCATGATCCTGTAGGTTATTTGCACAGTACGACTCCCGAGTAGATATACGATGCAACAAATTTCGTGATTTGGCCCAAATCCGCAATTTTCTGCAAAATAATTCCGCGAATTCCTGGAAAGTTCTGCATCATTCCGCACTTTTCGTCGCATTTTTGTTACTTTCTGCCGCAATTTCTTGCGCAAGTTTTCGAGAGTTTTTTCCGCAAATTCCCGCAGGGACAGATTGTACATCATTGTACTGACATTGACAAGACTTAGTGACCATGGTGACAGTGACACTGCACTCTGCACTGTAGTTAGTAGTTATAGGAACGACGTGTTGCTTGGCGACTACACAGTAGCATGGACAAGCACTAGTTGAACTGAAGCAGCCTCCATCCTTGAGCCGAGGTGAGTCTCTTACTTACTCATGTCAGTTGTCTCCGACTCTGAGCTGAGTAGAGCTGAGGAGGGAGTCGGTTTGACCATGCATGGTGACCGGTGACGGCAGGACAGTCGTACAGACTCAGTATGCCGCTTGTGATTGCCCGATTCGCATGATCGATGTGATCGGGATTTACTTGTTGTTTCTTCCAACTCAGAAGATATAAATTTTCATCTCGTACATGTACCGGTATGCGTTTCTTGCGCAGCAATCCATCGTGTTGTAGACGTGTTGCAGATTCAGGAGGTGTTCACCTTCCGTGCCTTCGGCTTCAGCGAGATAGTCCTTACTGCTTTGGAGCGGATTGATCAGCCACGCGCGTGCCTTTGGCTGTCCGTCAACTCGCTGCACTGAACTAAATCGACAATAATTATAGTGTCTCTCCGATGTTACCTATCTCCTGTAGACACTGAGCGAGGTGCTGACACGGAGTAGCTTGTGAGTGTGCCTACATGATGGCGATGCAGCAGTCTAAAACGTTGCACTTCAATCTCAAATCATTGTCGAACTTGAAGACCAGCCGCACACCGACATGGCTCATAGTGCGCATCGAGCATGCGGACGTTCCACTCAAGTCGACGCAGAAGGTCGAGTACGCCGGCGGGCTATTGGAGCTGGGCCATGCGGTGGAGCTGGAGTGTCCGGCAGGCTGTACGGTCGAGTCGTGGATTGACCGGCTCATTTCATATCCGCTCATGTTCACCTTGCTGGAAGTTGCCTCCTCTGGCAAGGACAAACGGGGCGGTGGTGTTGGTGGCGCTGCGTCCAAAGACGAGAAGACGGTGACGATCGGTCAAGGTAATGTGGACCTTCTCCATTACCTCAAGGCCGTACGGGCTGCACAGACGAATCGAATGTCAACAAGTGTTGACCTGATCGCGCAGGCAGCAGCCGATGCACCGACCGGCGGCAAGAGCACAGCTAGCAGTGCTGCCGCTGCTGCTGCGCCGGGCAGCGTGATTGGACAGCTGGCTGTCGACGTGAGCAACGACGTGGCGTTCGTAGCAGAGCTACCGGACACGACCAGGGTTCTGCACGTTTGCGTCGATGCGCTATACGCACCTCCCATGCAATGGACCACCTCAACGAGTGCTCTACAGTCGTATGCGGCCGGGGTGCCATTGCCAAACTGTCTCAACGGCACTTTTCAAACAACGATATTTCCGTCGGGTCATCTGAGCAAAGGGCAGCAGGATCCGGAGCCAAGCCAGCGTACCTGGAACAGCATGTGTACATCAACTGATCAGAGTGTGTTGATGGACAGCAGTGCTGTTGTGGCCCTCAAAGTGGATGAAGACGACGGAGCACTTAACGGTGCTGCGCCCGGAGACGCCGCCTTCCGTAATCGCGCCAAGCGGAGAGAGAAAGTCGCTTGGTTCTCCGAAACGCGGCGTTTCCTCCCCGACAGGTCGGTGGAGGCCTTCTACACCGCTCTGCGCACCTCACCAGTTTGGCCAGTGGAGGTGATGCGGGTCCAGCAAGCGCCTGCGGTGACAGCGCCCGTGAAGGGCAAGCGCCTCTCAGCAGCGCAGGAGGACAGCGCTTCCAGCTCCGGTGAGAGTCAGCTGTCCTATCACGGCGTTGCATTTGTCGACCTCTCGCCGCTGCTGTATCCGGGCTGCACGCAGGTGCGTGGTTGTTACCGCGTGTTTCCGCACAACGAGGCCGACGTTCTGGACAGGGCCGGCCGTACGGCTGGTCTCGTGAAGATGCTACAACAGGCGCAGGCACAGAGCGCAACCAACAGCTCCCTGACTACTGGCACGACGGACAGATCACTGAAGTCGGCAGCTCAGAAGAGGAGGACCTCCTCGTCAACTAAGCTATCCGCCGTGCCCAGCGAGAGCGCAGACAGTGCTGAAGGCGGTGCTTACGACGAGCAGCAAACATTCATCAAGCTACAGTTCAGCATCAACAGGGCAATAGTTGAGCAGCGGTCGAACATAGCCATGGAGGAGGACATACTCCGCATCTTGCCCATGAGTTTCTCATCGACTCAGCAAGAAATTGCTGCCACTCTGAGCGGAAATCAGTCTGTTAACAATCTGCATAAGAACTTGGATCAGATCGCGGCGGTTGTGAAAATCAAGCTGTGCGACGTAGTTCGCAATCGCCTAGAGAGACTGCAGCTGGAAGACAAGGTCAGTGCCGATGGGGAGCCGGAGGAAGTGCGAAGCTTCACCGGTGTTCTCGGCGATCCAAAGCTATTCCGTATGCATCAGCAAGACCTGGCACGGATGCTAGCCGCCAGTGGCTCGTACGACTCACTGCAGGACGAGCTGCGGTCCGCTGTGCTTCAGATCGTCAAAGAGAAATTTGTGCACATGACGGCAGCGCAGAGCCGGGAGGAGCTACAGGAGCTGCTGCCGCAGGTGCACATGTTTGTTGCTCGTGAGATCAAGAAGTACTTAGCTCAGTGGAAGCAGCAGTCACGTCCAGTCGACGAGCCTATCGACCCGCCTCCCGGCTCCGCTTACCTGCTCTTTGCTAGAGAAGCAGAGAGCGAGAGGCACTACAAGTTGGCCTCGCACTACTACCGCAAGTGCATCACCGCCAATCGCACAGCGGGCAACCTGTTTCAGTACGCTAAGTTCTGCCTGGCGTGCGGGGATCAGCAAGCAGCACGTCGCAACCTGATGGCAGCCATCTCCCAGGAGATTGACCACGTGCCTAGTTTGCTGCTCTTTGCCATTCTGTCCGCAATGCATGGCGACGTTGAGCAGGCCGGTCTCTTCTTGGAGGCCGCCAATGAATACAATAAGGGTGCCAGCACATTGCCGCGCACCATACTCGGTCTAGTTCATGACATGTCTGGCGATATCATGTCACGAGAGATGAGCTTCAGAGAGGCGCGCCGCCACCTCAGAGAAACACTGCGGCAGAATGCTGAGGAGATGACGCGCACGGATAGCGAAGTGACCGTTCGTGACAGCGAAACTCCAGGGGAGACTGATTCAGAGAAGGCCAACCCCACGATCGGTGTGACTGCGGCAAGTAGCGCCTCTACGAGTGCACATGTACCACCGCCCGCCGGTGCTGCCGCTGCTAGTGCTACTGGTGGCCAGCCGATCGCACGTGCCACTGCTGGTGAAGCAAGTCAGCTCCAGGCTACGGGCAGTCACACCAGTATTCACTCTGTCAGCAAGACGTCGCAAACCTCCCTTGCTGGTGAGGGTGGACATGCATCTCAATCCAGTCTCGCTGGCCCAGCCGCAACTACGTCAAAGACAACGCTGCAGGCTTCAGGGGGCAAAGGGCATACGAAGTCGACTACAGAACCGGAGACCACCGCACTTGACAAAAACGAACTCACCGAGAAACTGCCCAGCATCTTCATGGACGTTGCAGTGTTTGCTATTGCCTGCCATGTTCCTCATTTTGGTGCACTAGCCTTGCAGCACCATCTTGCTGCGCATGGCTTCTCGTTGGAATACTACATTGTCATGGCGAGTCTCTGCCTGGAGCGTGGACACTACCAAGCCGGGGCTGAGTGCCTGGAGATAGCCTTGAAGCAGACGTATGCCAACGCCACTGTCTGGGCAATTCTCGGCCACATCCAATACTTCACTGGCGACACAGAGAAGGCCAAAGCATCATACGATCGCTGCATCAATCTGGCCGAGCAAACTAAAGACGAGCACATAATCAAGCTGCGCCTCGGTCATCTTTACCTGGAGGCCGGCGAGTACCGCAAGGCCAAGACCGTGTTTCTGCTTGCAGCCAAGAGCAAGAAACTCTCCGCCAAAGCCTGGCTAGGTGCTGGCAAGGCTTGCTACTACCTGGAGTCCTATGGCGAGGCCGAGAATGCACTGCGCGAGGCACGCTCCCTAAATCACGAAGAAGCAGAAGTCTGGGCGTACCTATCTCTCATCTCCCTGCAGTGTGGCCACCGACTGCCTGCAGAGCGTACTTTCCAGTATGCTATGAAAATGGGCCTGCGTGACAGCTCCTTGGCACGCGTGCTTGCCGGACTCCAGGCCGAGAAGGGATTCGGAGATCCAGCTAAAGTTCTGGAGTTTTGAACCTGCCTCAGTACACAGCGCTGGTCGACCATGATACCGAGCAGATTCTAACTGGGGTGGCTTGTGTTTCCTGCAGCTACATTGTGCCACGTTCTTCCCATGTCAGTCCCGCGCAGGTCAATGTGTTGGAGCATGGTGTCTCCCGGCAGTTTAATTCTCTTCTTTCCAATCGTGGCCTGCTCGTCACGGCATGACTTCTGTGTACGGCCGCCGTCCATGCAGTTGATGGATGTGATAGCCTGAACAAAGCATAACAAACGGACTGAACTACAGTACTAGTATGTATGGAATAACTTGAGCCTTCAAAGTGATACTTGCTATACAGGATTGTTGTTGACGCTTGGCTTGCACCCATGGGTGAATGTTTTGTAGCTTTTGCCTTTATTTTCTGCCGTTCACCTCCAAGATTGAGACTTGAAGTAACAGTTACATGTGGCTTCTGTGGAAGTATGGCGGGTGCACCCTACGTATGGCGGGTGCATGACACACAGTCTGCTTGGAAGCGTGATGATACAGCACTATTTTTTATTATTATCACCGTATGTCCGCACCTTTAAAGCCATGGAGGTATACTAGTATTCGATTATAAAGCCAGTCTCAGTTATAAAGCCATGTGCTTCATAAGAGAAATGACATTTGAAATGATTATGTTTTGTAAATGTGAAGGAATGCGTATACATGATTGTGATTGCGCTAACAAACTTACAACCCAGCAGGTGAGTCATTTTGCCTCTACCGATTCACAATACAACTTCTTGCGACACACAGTTCACAATCTTTTTCATGTTTGCGACATCCTTATCATGCACTAGTACTAGTAGTACTATGTACGTGCGCCTATAATTTGTAGGGTTGAAACTGTACTCCATTTGTGTATATCGCGTGTCGCATGTCGCAGAAAGTTGAACTTTCTTCAACTTCTGCGACAGGCAGTTTCTTGTCGCAAATCGCGTCGCAGAAAGTTGAAATGTGAATTGGCCTTTTTACACTAGGAAAGCAAATACTGATTCACAGAATAAATGCAATGAAGAACATAAACATGCCTCATCAGGGTTCCATCGGTCAGGGCCGAGGAAACAAACTGAAAATAGACCATAACGAGTTTTGACTTTGGGTAGAGTATTCTGAATGAGTGCAAGAATTGGTGTGTGTTGAAGCAGAGTAGACACAAAAGTATTCTGCAAGAAAAACAGGAGCCTGTCCCTCCAGGAATCCGCGGAATTCATGTTTTTTTAATATTCCGCGGAATTCAAAAAAATCACGGTTTGGGGGCAATGCGAGCACGCGCTTCATATTCATGCACAGTGCCGTGTCCTGTCGCTATTTTGTTGCATTCAAAGTCGAGCGAGTTTTCTTCGTGACTGTATTGAGCCTATCGTGTACACGTGTGTTTTCGACCACTGGATTTTTTATTGATATCCATGTCTTTTCGCCGCAGAATTCACGCTATCCGCGCAATAATGTAGCGATTTGTGCCGCAGAATTTCAACTGTCTGTCCGCGGATTCCTGGAGGGACAGCCAATTGATGCAGCACTGGTATACAGTAAAGGACGATACACAATACCAAACCCAGAACAGGGCTGGTTTTCTTGATTGGTTACATGAGAATATAAGTCTTGGGGGTACAAATCACTGGACGGTAGACCATGTAGACTTATTAACTACTTGCTCATCCATAGGCATATGCAGGTTTGAAACAAAGTGTAACACCAATGCTGAACCTCAAAGGAAAGGAAGGCCAAAGCAAACACCACAAGACACCCTTGCCGCCACCAGAACCACCTGTAGTGTGGAGCAGTCTGTAACACTATCAACATGCACTGAACTATAACACCAAGACGCCCAGAAATAGGCCTGCACAGCAACCACTGTGAAATTGCACACTCTGGGAGTGGGGTATGCAGGTTATAGGGCTTGAAAGTGATGACGTCAAAACGGCCAGGGAGTAGTAAGTTGACATCAGATTTCTATTTTTGGATCCACTAAGGTGTGACTTTGCTATTGCCTAAGTATGTGGGTGCATAGCAACCCACTCATGTCGCATGCAGGTGTGACTTTTATTTCGCCACCAGTTGTAACCCCGCCCCCAGTAGCCAAATCAGTCAGTTTCACTGGTTACATCACCTTGCTGAGAGTAAGACGGCTTGAAATGTGCTTGGATCCATACAAAAACTGGATCCAAGTGGATCCAATTTTTGAATTTTTGAAATTGTTGCTATGCTGTGACGTAGCACTTTCAAGCCCTATTGCATGCACTTTTGCATCTCAGTTCAAGATAAGAGATTCAGACTCTTAGCACACACGATGAACAACCCAAGCAAAAACATGCAGTCTCCCAAATTTTAAAGAAAGAATCGTGCCCATGCAGCAACACCACAAGACAACCAATCAGGAGAGATCTTTTCCACTTTGTATTAAATCAAGACAAGAATAAAAACAGATTACTTGTCTGAAGCCAAGCGTCGGTCACGCTCCTCAGCGATGCTCAGACGAACACCCTTGCCCTTGGGCAGTGAAACAAGAGCCTTCTGGCGGCCAAGGACGAACACATTGGAGAGACGAGTGGCAAAGGTGTTGCCAACAGCATCCTTAATGTGGACGATGTCGAAGGATCCATGGTGACGCTCACGGTGAGTGACAACACCAACACGTCCCAAGTTACGACCACCAATAACCATGACAAGGCATCCAGTGTCGAACGGCACAATCTCGGTGATCTTGCCGTTAGTGATGTCCAACTTGATGGTATCGTGGGACTTGATGGTTGGGTCGGGGTAACGGATGGTGCGACCGTCATGGGTGACGATGTAGGGAACACTCCTGTTACCAACAGCAACGCGGCGGACACGGCAAAGCTTGAACTGCAAAAAAAAACAAAAAAAAACAGTTCAATTTTCAGCCATTATTATTCTACCCAACTGGTATGTACGTGTCATGCCCATTCACAGAGGGAAGGTTCCATTATGGTTCAGACTGGGATAAGAACACAGTATCATTCTAAGCTACTTTAAACTGCACACAAAGCAATAGAAATATTGGCATTGAAGAATACTGTACGTTTACAAGTACATAAGTATAATCGTCAACCACACATTGGGTGTGGTCAGGAACTATGACAGCGGTGATCAGACATGCTGCATGGTTAAATGATTCCTCACCGGCCACAACTAACAGGGAGTGTGCAGTGGGACACCACTAGTGTGTTAACATCTATCAATAAGGGGAGTGCCTGTGAACGAGGATCACATGTTGAGGTCCCATGAGTGGTTACCTTACACAATAATTGATGCACACTGTCTACTGACTACTGTAGTGGTGGTATAGGACAAGTAGCTTGGCTATAATGCACCAAAGCCATGATCTACCTCGAAGAGGCACCAACCATAGGAATACTCATCCGCCAACAATAACGGGCAATGCAATTAATTACACGTAAAAGTCAAGAGTAAGAAGCATTGGAAAAAAGGAAAGATTCGAAAAGCAAACTTGTTGACAGGATCAGACACTTACGCAAGCCTCCTCCTTGGTGATACGGTGGACAGTAAAGCGGCCCTTGACGTCAAAGATCAGACGGAAGTGCTCACCGGTCTTCTCGATGGTCACAACATCTAATCCATCAATGGATTATGGACAATAATGCATAACAGAAAGTACAGGTATGAGCAAGACAGTTTCATGTAGCATATAGATACCTGCAATCTGTACTGTGCATACTAGGGCTCGTGTGTAATCTGAATATAAAGCGAACATTTGGGAACGTGCATGCTGAAGCATGAATTCACCTATTGCCTGCAGGTTAGACAAAGGCTCGGACGATCAAGCATCCATGCCCATGTTGTACACTTTGATTTGCAGTAAATGTACTGTAAAAAAACACGTGTATTCACAAAAAAGTCACAATTATTATTATTGTTTACTTTCCACACTATTTTAGACATTTGTCCACATAATTTTGTGAATCGATGACTGCAACAAGAATACATTCACACCTATCAGGATAGGAAAACAAACAGTCTTAGAAGTTAGAACCTACCCATGAATCCTGCTGGGAAAGTCACATCGGTACGGACTTTTCCATCGACCTTGATGAGTCTCTGTTTCACGATCTTCTTCACCTCATCACCGGTCAACGCGTACTTCAGGCGGTTCCTCAAGAAGATGATGAGGGGAAGACATTCCCTCATCTTATGGGGGCCAGCTGAAGGCTTGGGTGCCTATTATGATAAACATTTGAAACAAATAAATATTTCACACTCAAGTCATTCAACTATTGTTACTTGAATTGTATGATGCTTTCTACGATCAGGCGTAATGGTATTGCTTCTGATCTATAGTCAGACGGGCTACATGTTTCCAAATATCGCTGTGTTCCCAGCTACGTTACCAACACTGACAGCGGATACAAAATGTACGTCTTGGAGATAAACTTACGAACGAGCCCGAAAGCTTGTCCAACATCCAATGTTTGGGAGCATTGGCCCGCTTGAGGTGCTTCTTTGGTCCTCGCCCCTAAACAGCAAAGAGACCATAAATAACTCCATTGTGAGCATCACCGTCATCCGCAACTGCCTGAACGATCCATACTATAGCGTGAAACACTCATAATTTTTGGGAGGAAGAAGAACTAACCATTTTGGCTGGATAGTAAAGCAGAAAGGAAAGAGAAAGATGGCGAATCACGCATGCGTACTAGTGCCCTTGGGAAGGTTGGGCTGTAGCGTCCATATGGGTGGGGTAAAAATGTACATTTCGGGGGAGTAAAATGAGGGAAAACAACTCATTTTTTCATGTCCTGTGGAAAAATCCTGAACGAAAAAAATCGATGTGGGAAGCTCCATCCAAACGGACCAAAGCAACAATCCTTGACAAAGTTTATCAGTGACAGTGGTAGTGAGCAGTGAGTCCAATTTTTTCTCAAGTCAGGTTACTGGTCCTGTTCTCTGCCAGCGCTGCAGGGACGAAACTTACAATTTGTAGCTTTGTACCTTGTCTGTTTAGTGGATTTGTACTTTACTTTACTGAAGTACACGTATACTTGTAGTGAGATTGTGGACACGAAGGAAAAAGAAGAAAGAAAGCTGGAAGATTTGGCTCATGTTTTAGTCAGTCATTTTCGTGCAGAGCAGGTCCATTATTGATTGGTCCACGAATCGTTTCAGTCTACATGTACTTCAAGTTAGTGACTTTAATACTATGTACGTGTAGCTCATTATTATGATAAGCATAGAACCAACAAGTGTGTGTTTATGGACTCTTGATAGAACTAACTTCCAACCGAACTAACTTGTATCTTTCCAATGCAATGTCGAAGGACTACTTGTTATATAGAGCCGTGAACAGTATAAAATGCGCACTCATGACTATATGCACACATGTAAGCGAGGTCGGTTTAGTGTTTCCAAGAACGTTTTCTTGTGATATTGTTCAGTTGGAATAAATCACAATCAGAAAATCAGGGAAGAACAGAATACATGCAGGGAAAGTGAACAATTGCCAAATACAAACAGTGAGAAGTAGCACAAGATGTGTGCAAAAAAAAGAGGAAGAAAAAACTTCGCGGAAAGGAAATGAAACACTGACAACTAACTGTCCCCTGTGAATTCCGCGGCAGAATATCAGAAATTCCGTGCAGAATTCTGTGGCTGAAAACAGTAAATTCTGCGCTAAGTCTGCAAATCCTTCCCCATTCGGCAGCAATTCTATAAGGGAAATAAGCGTAGAAACAGATTTCCGCAAGCCCACCGAAGTTTGCTGTCCCTATAAATTCTGAACCAAAGTTATGCGTAATCCTGGTCCAAAACTTGAAAGCTCCAAAATGTACCGTGCATGTTGATGAAATCACAAGCAGGTTGGTTTGGCTGTGAAATACATCAAGTCTCCAGAAAAAAACAGTTGTCCGCGGGATTTTCTGAATTCTGCAATCCGCGGAATTCACGGGAGACAGAACTAACTAACCAGTTGGGGGTGAGAATTGGGGGAAGAGTGTGAGTGTGGTGACAGATTCTGTCTGTTTGCATTAGTTGGGTTTTTGTATCTGGCTGCTCAAATTCTCTGCATAATAATATTATTCTGTTCTTCCCTGATTTTCTGATTGTGATAATTCCAACTGAACGATATCACAAGAAAACGTTCCATTTTATACTGTTCATATTATTATTGGGGAAGAGTGTGTTGCTCCCTACATGGGAGCTCGCGGTTTTCCTGCCGACTTGAATTCTCACTTGACTGACTCACGACTGCCATCAAGAGTACATACCCCCCCCCCCCCCCCCCAGAGTGTGCAACTCCACTATGGGTGCTGTCCCGACAGAATTTCAAGTTGACGTCATTTTGATGATGCAATGCGCACTGTACACGGACGAATCAGACGAATCCGGAACCTGTGGTTGACTGAAGCCGATCGATCCGGTACAAATATTGCAAATAAAAACGTGTGATGCGTTGACACCCGTACACATGTTGTAAATCACTGGTGCAAGGAGCATTGCGTCATAAATAATGACGTCAACTTGAAATTCTGTCGGGACAGCAGGGTATGTGGGAGTTGCACACTCTGGGGGGTTATGTACTCTTGCTGCCATCCAGAGCACATGAGAAGTCCATCGAACCGTCCACTCGGCAAACCTGCAAGAAAGCACCACTCCCTGCTCAATACATAGTGTTTCGGGGAATTCACCCCTCATCAGTTGAGCTTGAGTAGGCTGAGGAAGATTGTGCCTGAAGAGCACCACTTATATAGTGCTGTCCAGGCACAAACATCACCAGGGATACAAACTTACAGAGACGCTCCGTTTCCAGCGCGACAAACACCTCGTGAACACAAGATAGCAGCGTGAGTCAGTGTCGCTCATGCACGGGGCGGAGGTACATTGAAAAAATAAAGGGCCGTGCTTGTATTAGAGATAATACGGTATCCATTTACTTTGGAGAACCCTACAAGTTATTATGGACGAAAGAATGTCTACACAGTTTTGCGATCAGTCGCTTGTAAAACGATATTGTGCACACGGCGGCTATGCCAGCTTTCAAGTTTGTCATAATTATACCCTGAGACGATCCACTTTCTTGTGAAGTCAGTCCAGAGTGAGGTTACAGCTTGGCTAGCTATGCTCCTGGCTGAGGCTGATTCCAGGGCCATAGGTGGCTTAGCTGGTGTGGTTGTCAAGTACTCTTTGCGGCTGCCGTGCCTGGAGTGGAGAGTGCAGTACGCATTGTCACCGTGGCCGCTTCAGGGTTGCATACCCTGTCTGCAGTGGCTCTGCAGAACAGGACAAGTGTGTCCTGCGCATACCGGTATGTACTTGTAAATGCTTGATGTGTGCACCAGAGAGTACTTTTTACTCGTGTTTTTAGTACTCCCTAGTAGGCACCATTGCCTTTGGGTTATCCGTATTGTCATAATGTTAAAGGGGAAGTATACCCTAAAATCAAATTTTCACCAGTTGTAGTCTTCGGGGTGCTGAGTCGAATGGTCTTGGTCCGAGGAAGCTGCGACGCTCCCTTCCTACTTGAATCCCAATCGAACTCGCGCACTTCCACCGAAACTGGGTGACTGCGCCCTACTAGATGGGGATTTGTATGCAAAATGTCACTAAAAGCGCCATTTCGTTCTTATAAAAGCACGGATGACCGCGATTGGCCCATATGTTGTAGTCTTTTGGACGCTGAGTCGACTGGTTTTGGTCCGAAAAGGCTGCGATGCAGCGTTCCTCCTTTATTCCCAATCGAACATGGTTGAAGAAGCGGTCACGTGGTCCTTGTTGCCCAAATCACCTGGTCACCGCGCCAGCAGGCGACAACTTTCACACCAAGGTTCAACTCGAGCGACAGGACTGCACCCAAAAAAGGTCAAACAGGCTAGTAAGTTGTACCCTGCAGGCACGGTGACCAGGCGACTGGTGTACGCAGGAGCACGTGACCGTTTGTTCAACTATGTTCGATTGGGAATAAAGGAGGAACGCTGCATCGCAGCCTTTTCGGACCAAAACCAGTCGACTCAGCGTCCAAACGACTACAACATATGGGCCAATCGCGGTCATCCGTGCTTTTATAAGAACGAAATGGCGCTTTTAGTGACATTTTGCATACAAATCCCCATCTAGTAGGGCGCAGTCACCCAGTTTCGGTGGAAGTGCGCGAGTTCGATTGGGATTCAAGTAGGAAGGGAGCGTCTCAGCTTCCTCGGACCAAGACCATTCGACTCAGCACCCCGAAAGACTACAACTGGTGAAAATTTGATTTTAGGGTATACTTCCCCTTTAATAGTGAGGTTCTGATCTATGTAACTGACACGTAGAGAAATCATGCCGAGAACAGGTATCCGGGCTAGAATCTACGGCTTCGCGTGTTTTGGGTTCAAATTTCTATGCGGAGGTGCGGTTCTCTACGTTGTGGCACGCGCAAAGTGCATACAGATCTGCTGCGTATTATTCGAATTAGTGACAAAGCTGCCAACTTAGGAACGGAAAATTCCCAACACACATTCCAAGTGTTTTCTTTGCGTTAACGTAGAGCAGAACAATATTCCCCTTACGGGAGTACCCGGGATTCGTCACGTTCCCGTAACGTAGCAGAGCGCCACGATGATACAATAGGGAGGTTTCGCTCTACGTAACTACGTATGAAAATAACGTAGGTACTGCACATAATTTTCATACGTGAAAATCAGAGCTGTTGGGTTTCGCTCTACGTGATTTCTCCACGACTGTTAAACATGCCTTGTTGCTTAGGAGACGCGTTGGCTGCATGCGCCCACCGCATGCACCATGAACCGAAACCGCGTTTAACATTTAATTTTGCATGTGGTGTGCGGTGTGTGTACCTTGTGTTTCGCGCGGCTTGAACGTTGCCATGGATAAATCCGGAAAATGCGAAAAATATTTCAAAAAGTCCTACGGAGAACCCAACGTAGGAAAGAGCTTTCCTGCGAAAATCCACAGAGAGATTTACGTATGAAAGTTGCCCTCGCTCCCCGGCGCGTGCGACATACGGATTTTCATACGTAATTACGTAGAGCGAAACCTCCCTAATAACTAGTATGGTATTGTGAGTATGCTTGTGTTCTAGGACAAACCCGGTTTTGTCTGAGCTGCTTGAGCCTGATTCGGATCATGGCATTGAAGCACCCGTGCAAAGTGCTCTGCCTGTGCACACCGTAAGCTGTGATTCAGACTACTTGTAAGTAGCTCGTTGTTGCATGCATTATGGCCGTACTTGATTTCAACAGAACGTGGGAGTTGATCCTGCGAGTATAATGCTGCTGTACATTTCTGGTGTGCATTTCCCAATGCGGCCGTTGGAAAGGTTGTGACATGAGTGCGGTCTATATCATACAACCTTGCCTTTTGCCACATTACCTTTCCAGCTTCACCTCAAGCACACTGGAAATATTTGTTTAAAACACGTCAGTGCGGTTACTGGGATCCTGGAGATTCGTCTGCACCTCACCTCACGTCCGCGTATGTCGTCTTTGTACGTGTATGTACGTAACAGCTGCTCGAGGCAACATGCTGCAGATGGCCTGTGTGGTCAGAAATTGCATATGCTGATGTGCAGGCAACTGCATAGTCCATGCTTGCAAAAGCAGCAAAACATACATGTCCAATTGCATATCCATTCCACAATCTTTGCTAGGTTGCAGAGACAAAAGCAAACTCCTAGCCATAGGTACGTGTTGATTTTCTACCGAGCCATTCTACTTATGCCTGCTGTTGTTTCCAAGTCTGTCTGTCGCTGTCCTTCGTTCGGGACTTCTTTGTGGATTCTGACTTGTCTTGACAATCCATTTCTGGCCATTCACTTCTGTTTGTTGTTAGGAGCGGAGTCTCAGCGGACGTAAGATTTCAGCTTGGTTTGGGGTTTGGTGTGTTTGCATACTTAAAGGGGAAGTTAAGGCAAAAATTAAAATTTCACCAGTTGTAGTCTTCGGGGTGCTGAGTCGAATGGTCTTGGTCCGAGAAAGCTGAGACGCTCCCTTCCTACTTGAATCCCAATCGAACTCGCGCACTTCCACCGAAACTGGGTGACTGCGCCCTACTAGATGGGGATTTGTATGCAAAATGTCACTAAAAGCGCCATTTCGTTCTTATAAAAGCACGGATGACCGCGATTGGCCCATATGTTGTAGTCTTTTGGACGCTGAGTCGACTGGTTTTGGTCCGAAAAGGCTGCGATGCAGCGTTCCTCCTTTATTCCCAATCGAACATGGTTGAACAAGCGGTCACGTGCTCCTGGGTGCCCAAATCACCTGGTCACCACGCCAGCAGGCGACAACTTTCACACCAAGGTTCAACTCGAGTGACAGGACTGCACCCAAAAAAGGTCAAACAGGCTAGTAAGTTGTACCCTGCAGGCACGGTGACCAGGTGACTGGTGTACGCAGGAGCACGTGACCGCTTGTTCAACCATGTTCGATTGGGAATAAAGGAGGAACGCTGCATCGCAGCCTTTTCGGACCAAAACCAGTCGACTCAGCGTCCAAAAGACTACAACATATGGGCCAATCGCGGTCATCCGTGCTTTTATAAGAACGAAATGGCGCTTTTAGTGACATTTTGCATACAAATCCCCATCTAGTAGGGCGCAGTCACCCAGTTTCGGTGGAAGTGCGCGAGTTCGATTGGGATTCAAGTAGGAAGGGAGCATCTCAGCTTCCTCGGACCAAGACCATTCGACTCAGCACCCTGAAGACTACAACTGGTGAAATTTGGATTTTTGCCTTAACTTCCCCTTTAAGCTTGAGGTGCGGAGTTCCTTGTAAAATCCACACAGAAGCCCCGGACTGAGTTTTGTTTTTGAAAATATTTTGAAAGTGAAAGTTGACGAGTTGAGCAAAAAAAGTTTTAAAAAACTCACATGTAGCCCGTATAGAAATGAACTCCAGCCCAAGCATAATTATGAGCAAGCAATGTAACAGCGGTTTGTCAAGCAAAATCTATGCCACGTCTGGCTCAAAGTAGGTTTAGGGTATTGTTATGGCTGTACAGTGGGTATGTGTGTAAGGCTAGATCATTGTTGACTCTCTTCAGTGTAGTATAGTGGGTGCAGACCAAGAAATAGTACGGTGAGCTGGAGCTGGTTCACCATCTGTGTGTACCAAACTACAGTACTGTTAAAATATAGCTTGCTTTTATTCATTTCTAGAGTGGGGTGATGGCGAAGGTTTGGGGCAAGATGATGATGACGTCGGCGGCCGCTCTGACGATAATAATCAGCTCACTGTGAACGATTTACCTGTGCAGCCGGCTGCGGGGTCACTGCATTACTTACACAAAGTATTGTAATGTGGTATTAAATTTACAGTGTTGGCTACTGGGTTTAGCAACGTTTGACAAGAAAGAAGTCAGTACGAGACGATGGAATAGTCTAACGCTGTACAGTGTACGCACGCACCGTAAAGAGCGACAGCATGTATCTTGGAAAGGCAAAATGCAGACAGTGCATTGTGTTTGGACTTGCACAGACTCTGTGCTAATCCACATTCTGGCTACCAAGTCTTACTATTACTATTTACAGATTATAACTTCACTGCATCTACTGGAGTAGTGTGATCAGGGGAATCCGAGCATGCCCTTTCTGAACACCACGGTGCGCTCAGGCCCCCTGGCACGACAGAGTGCCTTGAAAAACTCCTTGTGAATTTTGGTCTTCCCGGGCATGGCCAGATACTTGCAGCTGGACTGGGCGACGGCGGCGATGAAGTCGGCTTCCGCATGCGGGCTGCTGGTCTCGAAGGAATTCTGCTCATCCAGACGAATCTCACGCAGACCTGGGTTGCTCCGAATGACATGGGTAAGTGCAGGTAGAGCACCGCTAGTCAGCTGCATGGAAGCAAAGTTGATGACTTGAAGACTGCCAGCCCGTGCCAAGACGCGCTGCAACTTGACCACAGACTCGTCCGCCAGATCATTGTTCTTCAGCCACAGGGTCTGCAGGTTGGGAAAGTGCTTCAGGATACTGGAGAGCAGGTCGACACATGAGCTCCTCAGGCCGGTTTCGTTGAGCCATAGGCCCGTCAGCTGCGTGCATGTTCTGAGGCCGGCTTTCAGGCATGCCAGGCCATCGTTGCGCAGGCAGTTACGAGCGATGGAGAAGCACTGAAGCGTGGCAGCATTGTTGCGTAGCATTTGAGAAAGCGAGTACAGATGCTCGGCAGTCAGTGTGTTGTCACTCAGGTGCACCTCGGTCAGTTCGGTGCACTGCAGCAAGCCGGGGAGCAGCTGCTTCAGGCCTCGATCCTCAATGCCGCACAGGCTCAGATCAATGATACGCAGTGCGTCCGGGTGATGCTGCAGGGCTGAGCTCATCGCTCGCAGATCCGGCAGCTTGAGAGTTTTCAGTGCCAGGTCAAAGCCCACGTAGCGTAGCAGGTAGAACATGGCTGTGAAGTGGCAATTGCCACCTGGGTTGCACAAGACATGCTCGTGGAAGCAGCGACACATCAGCACAACCAGATCTCTGCTTATCGTCCTTCGATCTTCCACTGTGCTTGTGACCCAGTTTTGTGCAATCTCATCCGTTGGCTCTTGAGCTTTGGCAGCAGAAGCAGCTGATCCCGAAAGGTCGCACTTTACTGCGATTGATGGCTTCACGGTGGACAAAAGGCTATTGATCTTAGCCACGGTGTGATCTGGTTCTCGGCGTGTCCACTGCTCCAGGGATTGCTTGAGACTCAGGCGAATGTCGGTGTCGGCCTCGTTGCTAGAACGCTGCTGAACGTCTTCAGTCGCAGCATGTTCAGCAGGGTCAGACCCGAAGAGTGCCACCAGGCTCCGAAGCTCTTCTTCGTCAAGCTTCTTGTAAAATTCAGCACAGGTGTCATTCAGTACTTCATCATCACACAGGAACTCCCAGTTCGGACGACCACCAGCTTCTTTGTTCGTGGAGCTCATGAGTATCGACATCAGGGCTTCGTTTGCCTCCCCGCTGGGCAACAGCGCAGTCACGAATTTCCAAAACGTCAGCAAATGACCATGCTTCGTGCCGAGGTTGGCCACCAGTTCGGTAGCAGTTATTTGTTTGCGCATGACCATCTCCGCTGCATACTGTGCTGCCATGAACTCCTGGACCATGAGATGGCTGAATCGGCGCTGGTACTGTTGACCGCCTGACACAAGTGAGCACCTCACCAGCAGCCCGATGTCCAGGGCGTCCGCCGACAGCTGATGTCGCTCCAGGTCTTCTTTGGTGAAGACGGGCTTTTTCTTTGATAGCATGTGCAGGGCAAATTGGCGCAGCTTCCTCGTGGCTTGCTCCGTTCGCTTATCGGCACCAGCATCGCCGCCATCGAGCAAACGCTCTTTGAAGCGTGCTGTCAGGCTGCTGACAAAACCCTGGAACAGGCTTGTGGCACTCTCCGGTGGCGAGTTCTGAGTCTTGGCAAGTTCACAAACAAGAGCGGTGACAACGGGCGATGTCATCAGGCTGTCCATCACCGGATTTTCCGCAATCTGATCGAGCAGCTTACTGGCCTCTTCTTTGCTGCCGAGCGCCCGCTGTACGTAGGCTTTCACATCGCTCTTGGAGAGGCCGACAACCTCAACAAAACGATCATACTGCTTAGAGAGCTTCAACTTCACAGCGTCGTCGCAAGGCCGCGATGTCACCACCAGGTACAGACCGTCCGGTGGCGATTGTAGCAGGTTTCTCATGAACGGACTGCACTCGCCCAGGCAGCACTCGTCCAACCCATCAAGTATCACACCAACCCTAGAGTAATTGCCTTCGATGAACTGTACCGTTCTCTCAATGATCTCATCACTGATGTCCGAAGGCTTGAGGTGGAGGGAAACGAGGGATTTCCAGTCTCCCGCGCACTGGACTTCAGGATTGCGCAGCTCGAACGGAAAGAGGAAATCCAGCTGAGGCCAAAGAGTTCCTTCAGAGTGCTCAAAAGGAGACTTGTGCATGAAGATTGCGGTCTTTCCACTGCCAGCATTGGATATAGTCAGTACTTTGCGCGTGCGTTTACGTTCACTTGTGCCAATCTGTGCACGGAAGATTGTGTCCAGCTTGATAGCGCGTGGCTGGTGATCTTGAGACATGATGACTTTGGCATCCTCTCGCAGTGTTGCAAACGTGTTGTGCTCGATTTTCAGCACGGCTTCGCTGCTGTTCAGCTCGACAAGATTGGCGCGGATGTCGCACACTTCTATTTGGATGCCTTCGTCCGTGTCAACAAAGCTTCGGAATTTGGTGACGGCGTCTGACATGAACCTGTCCCGCAGGTGCTGCTTCACCTGCTCAAGTGCTGGTGGTAAACTCTCAGCATCATCCATTCCGTCACCGTCGCTGTCATCACTACCAACGGTGTCACTTGAAATAGGATCTTCAAGCCAGAAAACACACACATGCACACACACACACACACACACACACACACACACACACACACACACACACACACACACACACACACACACACTTAAATTTTCTGTTCACCTAACCTGGGCTCTTGGCCTCATACCGAAAATATTGAGCACCTAAAATTTCTGAAATTAGAGTACATGTATTCGGTTTGTGAAAAATGAGAAAACTGTCCCTTATAAAGTACGTGTTCGGTTCCGCCACCTTTAGGGAAGCAGAAAGGCTTGATGATCTTCACTGATTCTTCAGGTTCAGGTTTGACCAAATTGAAATGTGCTGCTGTACATTGTATAGACTGTGCAATTCTTGACGGACTTGAATCACCCATGTGGGCAGAAAACACAACGTTTTAATCTCAACATCTGCAACTACATGTACATGGACAGCATGAAGAACACGTGCCACTCACAAGCGGAACAGAAACAGTGCCTTTCGTGGCCGTGCATGCTCGTCCAGAGTGTATGCAAATCTTGATGTCACTTATACCATGTATACTAAGTTTATGCTACATCTGAGGTTGAATTACTCTCCGGTACATACTTCACTTGCGTTCACTCACCGCCATCGCTGGAACACTGTCGTTGCATCGTGTAGCGGTGACGATTCGATGTGTTGTTTGGTGGGCTATGCGGTCGCTGTCCATGACGTACTTTTGATCCATTGCGTCGGTCCTTCTCCACCGCCCCATCATCGTCGTCGTCGTCATCGGTGTCAGATTCATAACCGGGATAACGAGGGGACACCACTGCTGCACCCTTCTGCTGAGACAATGCCACTGCTGCTGTTGCACCTTGACCGGAAATTGTTGACTTTCCAGTGCATTCGGAGGTGGGAGATGTTACGAGCAGCACTGCTGGATCAACACCGTCCGCTTGACTCGCAGAGTAACCACCACTTTCACCTTGTGTTGTGCCAGATAGGTCAAGTGCTGATGGCGTTCTACCACGCACTTGAATAGGCAGTGCTGGTGTACTACAGTCGGGAGCATCCTCGCCCGCCCCATCATCCGTCCAGCATTCGCCGTGCTGTGCACCATGGAGACCAGCAACAGAACTAGATCCGTCAGCAGCAGCTGCAGCAGCAGCACCTACGGGAAACGGCAGCTGGGAATGGCCAGCAGCAGCCACACAGTTGCACGCACCGTAATGATTGGCAAGGAGCAAACATGGCGACTGATGCTCGGCACATTTGCCGCCTGCCTCGTCCGCTTGCAGAGAGGCGATCTCACTGCAGAGGCTCCATGCACGCGGAGACAGCTTGAGCTGCGCCAGAGTCCTACAAGCCATCAGCAGGGCTGGGCTGTCACACATGTCAACCAACAGCTCTTGTAGGAACCCACCGGTTGCATTCAAGCTTCTGTCTAGCTCATCCATGACAAGCTGTGGCAATAGACTCTCTGCTGTTGTTGTCGGTGTGTGCGGCTTTTGATTATCCAGAGCGAGAAACTTGAGCACACATCGAATCACTGTAATATGCTGGCGCAGAGTGTTGTGATGGCATGTTGCTTCAGCAATCAACTTCATCAACGTCCAGTTGCCATCAGCCGCAAGTGGTGTACTGCAACCAGCAACGTCAAGTTCACTGCCGGCATCTTCGGGTTCGCTTTCCGCTCGGTATGTGCTGCTTTCGCCTGCGCAGCTCAAGTCGCCATGCGCTGTCCTGCAGAGACTAGCCGCCACCGCCACCTCTGCCACCACTTCATTAGCAGGGTGGAGGTCATTCTCATCGCCAGAGTTGAGCTCACGCTCGTCAGCAGTAGTGTCGTCACCAGTGGTACTGCCAGCCATGTCACACCAGCCAGTGGCATCCTCAAGTCTACTGGAAACATCGCTGAACACTGCCAGGACATCCACATAGTCTGGCAAGGCTTGTCCCGGTGAGAATACTGAGGGCATGGCGACGTGCAACATGCTTGCACTGACCATGACTGTGGCCAGATGGTGGTGGAAATCACGGCCGTCTTCAAACGTACCATACGACGTCAGTGGGGCTAGCTGCTGCACGTCGCTGTGAATGTCAGCACGGCAGAACCAGTGCTGCAGCTCTGGATGAAGCCACTCATCTCCACAGCCTTGCTGAACTGCTGCTGCTACTCCAGCAGGCACAGAGCCCGTGTCCTTGTCGTGTGGACTAGCTGATGCTGTTGTTCCGTCCAGAATAACCAGATGTCCGGCCTCGCATGGGCACAGCCGGTCAAAGCCATGTCCATCCTCGGAGGATGCGCCGAGCATGTCGGCCAGCCACGCTTGAGCATGCGCTGGTGTTCTGCCATTTGCAGTTGTCATCACTGTAATATTGCTAGTGAGCACTGCGGCTAGCAGTAGCCGCCCAGCCTCAGCGCTAGTGCCGCTGCCTGGCTTGTCGGTGGCAACGCCGGAGAAGGTCAGCTGCACCACAAGGAAAGACGGCAGCACTTCGAACGACGCGCACAGAGCCGTCTTCTCGCTGGCAATGGTGTCGGCCGTGAGGTGGTGCACAAGGCCAGAAGCACTGGCATCCGTTGATCGGCCACCGCTACACGCATCAGCTGGTGTCTTCTGGGAGCGCTGCAGCTTGGTAATGCTATCATGCAGCTGAAGACTAGATAGCTGGCAGTCACCAATCACAGTCACCACCACTACTGGATCCGTCCAGCGTGACAGCAGCTCAAAGATGGGACTTGCCTTGCAAATGGACAGATACGCCTCCAGTGCGGTCGGCGGATCGGACAGCTCCGCCATGGGACAGGCGCGTACACTCGGCCATAGCGTGCACTCTAGTGCCATGCCTGAGGACTGCGTTGGCGACTTGCTAGCCGAGTGTGGATCCACGCTCGGCCGTGGGCTATCTCTATGGGCTGTACTATGCACCTCTAGCAGTGGCAGTGGACTGGAGTGTGTCACGGACTGTAGGCACAGGAATAGCGATAGCTCACCATCGTCACAGTCACACAAGCAGCAACCCTGCTTATTGGCGCTGTGGAACAGGGTCAGGGCTTTGCTCAGGTCATCGTCACCACTTTCCGAGGACAGATCGCCAGCGTAGGCAACGGAATTCGCCTCATCTGCTATCGATGCTGTCACCTGTTGACCGCCCTGCATACACACACACACGCACGCACGCACGCACACACACACACACACACACACACACACACACACACACACACACTTATTCCCGGACACAACAACCATTATCCTACTATGCGCATGCTGGGCGTGTTTCTTGCAACTCTTTCGAAAGTATACTTTTACCCTCCACAACCCTAGACTTAAAAAAATAAAAATTTAAATTTCATGGTTCGCGTGAGACTCGGCTGGAAGCCCAGTTTTCCGCATCCGTCGTGGGAACGCCACCACCCTCTAGGATCAAAGGCACAGATGCAGCGCCTAAACGGTGGGAGGTGAGTAGATCAGACCCACCACCAAGTGGTCAAAGACCGAAATCCCATTAGCTGCATCCATGTTACCCTCGTGCCAGGCCACAAGTTCCCAAATAACTGTGGGTCGCAGCACGGCTGGAAAAATTCCTTCCGCTTCCAAGCAGGACTTGAACCTGGTACCCTCTGTTTCTCAACCATGGTCTTAGACCATCCCACTATGCCTGCACACACACACTTATTCCCGGACACAACAACCATTATCCTACTATGCGCATGCTGGGCGTGTTTCTTGCAACTCTTTCGAAAGTATACTTTTACCCTCCACAACCCTAGACTTAAAAAAATAAAAATTTAAATTTCATGGTTCGCGTGAGACTCGGCTGGAAGCCCAGTTTTCCGCATCCGTCGTGGGAACGCCACCACCCTCTAGGATCAAAGGCGCAGATGCAGCGCCTAAACGGTGGGAGGTGAGTAGATCAGACCCACCACCAAGTGGTCAAAGACCGAAATCCCATTAGCTGCATCCATGTTACCCTCGTGCCAGGCCACAAGTTCCCAAATAATTGTGGGTCGCAGCACGGCTGGAAAAATTCCTTCCGCTTCCAAGCAGGACTTGAACCTGGTACCCTCTGTTTCTCAACCATGGTCTTAGACCATCCCACTATGCCTGCACACACACACTTATTCCCGGACACAACAACCATTATCCTACTATGCGCATGCTGGGCGTGTTTCTTGCAACTCTTTCGAAAGTATACTTTTACCCTCCACAACCCTAGACTTAAAAAAATAAAAATTTAAATTTCATGGTTCGCGTGAGACTCGGCTGGAAGCCCAGTTTTCCGCATCCGTCGTGGGAACGCCACCACCCTCTAGGATCAAAGGCACAGATGCAGCGCCTAAACGGTGGGAGGTGAGTAGATCAGACCCACCACCAAGTGGTCAAAGACCGAAATCCCATTAGCTGCATCCATGTTACCCTCGTGCCAGGCCACAAGTTCCCAAATAACTGTGGGTCGCAGCACGGCTGGAAAAATTCCTTCCGCTTCCAAGCAGGACTTGAACCTGGTACCCTCTGTTTCTCAACCATGGTCTTAGACCATCCCACTATGCCTGCCTGCCCCCCCCCCCCCCCCCACCTGCTAGACTAGACTTACATGCAATTAATTGGTTCTAGACATAGTATGCAAGCATTTCCCGTAAAAAAAGATGTTAAGGATCATACAAACATGACTAGCCGCTGATTGGGATAATTCACTTACTAGTAGTCCAACTGTGATGTGGACATGCTTGCATCCACGTGGCCATGTCACCCCTCCACCAGGTGTGCACACGCCAGACAGTTTCTTGGGATCGGGAGAGCTTGATTTGACTGAATTTGACTGACACTGCACAAGAGGTAAAATTATTGTTCTTGCTGTGAACTGAAAGAAGACGACGACTAAAGCGCAAGGCGCTTGCGCAGAGCAAAAAAGCAGGAAAAAACATGGAGGAAGTCGCCAAGAGGCGAGTGAGTCAGTAGAAATAATAAACACGCGGCCCCGCTTCGGTGTGGGAACGCGGAAACAAACCGGGGTAGAGAACACAAACTATGACGTGTACTGCAAATAATCTCATGACGTTGAACATCATGTCAACGTCGTGACACTCCCCCGCAAGAGATGCAGAGAAAAGGAGATAATTCGTAACAAAGTAACGTGGAAACAAAACACAATAAGTGCATATATTACGCAAGGGTGAAAGAGAGTAGACCGTCACACACAGAGAGAGAGAGAGAGAGAGAGAGAGAGAGAGAGAGAGAGAGAGAGAGAGAGAGAAAGAGAGAGTTCAGATGTGAACTACCAACTGTCTAGCTGATTCAACTAAACAAGTTCGCTGCCAATTAATTGGCGAAGCGTCTGACGTTGCTTCTTAGCGGCAGCACGTTGTGGACGACTGGGTGGAGCAACAGCTGCTGGAACTGGCAGATCGGCTTGGCCAGTGGTGTGTGTGTCCGGAGCGGTGCTGTTGTTGTTAGCCTCGGAGTTAGCAGCAGGACAGATAGGGTACAGGAGAGACAGGGGTCGTTTGAGCTCTGTCTTCTCTGCAGTGATGACGGTTGCGGAACGTATCTCCATGTCCTTGCTTGTATGGAGAGCGACAATGCGACCAAGTCGCCATGAGCCACGGGGCATGTCATCCCTTATTAGTACAACATCGTCAACGGCTGGCTGTTCTGAAGCGGTAACGCGTGCCTGTCGGAGCTTCCGAGTGTGACTGTTGCGGAGATCAGCCAAGTAGTCGTCTCGCCAGACACGCCAGAACTGGTCCAATGTTCGTTGACCCTTCTTCCAGACAGAGAGAAGATTCTGAGCTGCAGTCGGAACTTCGATGTGGTCCGGATCGCCGTCATCAGCAGTGGGTTGCACGCCACCAGTAGTTGCGGACAGGCACAGAAAATGACTTGGGGTGAGTATCTCCTGCAAGTCATTGTCCACGTACACCAGTGGACGCGAGTTGACGACTGCTGACACTTCCATGAGAATGGTAGTCAGTTGCGACACAGTGAGGAGCGCGCGGCCAACGACCTTCTTCAGGCTTCGTTTGACTGTTCCAACGAGACGCTCGTAGAAACCACCCATCCAAGGTGAGATCGGTGGGTTATAGTGCCACTTCACACCAGTCCTCGACATGTACGACAGGACATCATCACTCGTTGCCATTTCTTCAAAGGCCACATCCAGAACAGACTTAGCTAGGATGAATTGTGGCGCGTTGTCAGACACTACCTCTTCAGGGCAACCACGCAACGACACGAACCTGCGGAACGCTAGCAGGAATTCCTCTGTGGTCATGTCTGCCACCAGTTCTAGATGGACAGCTCTAGTTGCCATACATGTCACTAGGAGGACCCATACCTTCTTGGTACTTGGCTGGTGCTTGACGAGCAGAGGACCGAAGTAATCTAGTCCCACATGGGTGAACGGGATAGATCTTGTTGCGCGGGCAGATGGAAGCGGGGCCATATCTGGGGTGCGGTATGGACCACCGTGGTGCTTCCGGCAAGTCAGGCACTTAGTGATGAATGACTTCACTGTTGCACGCCCTCGTGGTAACCAGTACTCGTAACGCAGTCTTGATAGCGTGTGTGCAACGCCGCCATGCATCGTCATCAGGTGACAATCGTTGATGATGAGCTGGGTGATGGGATGCGTTTGGGGAATCAGTACTGGATACTTTGCTTGATAGCAAAGTTCGGCGTTCTCCAAGCGTCCTCTGCATCTGATGAGGCGGTTCTCATCGAGGAAGAGCCGCAGCTTGTCCTTCGGGCTGTGCTTCTTACAATTTTCGACAGCACTGACGTCTGACAGATTCTGTTGTGCATGGTGTAGCCACATGATTTTGGCTACCTTGACCTCTGAGTTACAACTAGAATCCACCCCGAAGGACTTGCCGCCTTGTGGTCTCAACCTGGAGAGAAACCGCAAACACAGAGCAGAAACACGCACTAAGGCACTGAAAGACGAAAACCTGGCACAATCAATACCAAATGGTGGTTCATCACATGTTTTTTTTTGTTCGTGATGCGCATCAGGCTTTTTTTTCATTTCGTGTGCAAGCTCAGTGTCTGGACCGGTGGACTCTGTTGGGTGTGATACAGGTGCAGGTATCTCCGAAGTGCTTGAAGGACCCTCCCCAGCGGCAACGTTGACATGGTGATCAAGTGCTGGCTCGGCGTGATGGTCAGCAGTGGCAAGGAAGTGTGGACCGTGCCACCATAGCGAGCTGGCTTGAAGGGAAGGAACAGAGACACCGCGTGAAGGCAAGTCGGCGGGATTGTCGGCAGAGCGGACATAGCGATAGGCAACATCGGGAACCGCACGAATGGCATCAATACGGTTGTTGACGAAGACAGGTAGTTTGTCAGAAGAGGCCAGCCAATGGAGAACTGTGGTGGAGTCTGACCATAGAAAGGTAGAGGAGAAAGTGAGCGGAAGTTCCCGACGGACGAATTGGATCAGACGAACACCGAGAAGCGCGGCCATTAATTCCAGACGTGGAATGGTAGGTGAAGCAACAGGTGCAACACGGGACTTGCTGATTAGAAGGTTCGACGTGTGTTGATCGTCAAACGTAGTAGTAAGGTAAGCAACGGCACCGTAAGCCAGCCCAGATGCGTCGCTGAAGACGTGGAGAGAAAACCGAGCGTCGCTGGCACGTGGTGCACTGATGAATCGTGGACATTTCGTTGATGCAGCAAGTTCAAGTTGAGCCGCAATATCACACCATCTACAAATGATGTCTTGTGGAAGGTCGTCGTCCCAGCCGACGTTCAGCTTCCAAAGATCCTGAAGCAGAATCTTCGCACCAACAAGAACAGGAGACTGGAGACCAAGGGGGTCAAAGAATTGGGCAGTATGTCGAAGGATACTCCGCTTCGTTGTGGCCGACTTGGATACGGCACTGACAGGTGCAATATGTAGAGTATCATGTTCTGTATCCCACAGCATACCGAGGCACTTGTGGATAGTACCCTTGGCTCGGTCTGGTTCTGGAATGCTGCTAAGAAACTCTGCAGAATTACTAGACCACTCGCGAACATTCATAGACGCAACACTGAAGAGGCGCTTCGTGGCATCATAGATAGCAATCGCCTCCGTCCCAGAGTTGGCACCAAGGAACAGGTTGTCAACGTAAATATTGCGAGACACTAGGTCGGAATCTGTTGTATCAGCAGCGCTAAGATGATGCTGAATAGTGGCAGCCAAGAGATATGGACTGCTGACAACGCCAAACGGAACACGACAGAAACGAAGTTGTCGTATGTTGTCTGGAGTAGCTGAGCTGGATGCATCGTGCAGCCATAGGAAGCGGGTCACGTCACGATCATGTGAGTGCAGACCAATCTGCAGAAAGGCCTTTTCTACGTCTCCACTTATGGCTACCGGAGAAAGACGAAAACGAAGAAGAATACCGCAAAGGTCTGGAACAAGATTGGGGCCAGCGTGCAAGCAGTCGTTGAGACTGGCGAGTTTTTCGGAACATTTTGCGGACGCATCATACACTACCCTCAGCTTCGTGGTAGTAGCAGTAGGTTTGAGTACTGAATGGTGTGGAAGGTAGTGAATCTGGTTGGTTGTAAAACCACGAGGAACATCTTCTATCATGCCCCTGTCAAGCTGGTCTTGAATCACGGTATCGTACTGGTCAAGAAGTTCCGGATGGGCTTCGAGGCGACGCACTTGTGCCTTCAGGCGACCGAAAGCCAGACCGTAGTTTGTCGGAAGAGGAGGATGTGAGTCCCTCCAGGGCCAACTCACCGCGTACCGACCCTCGGCAAAGGAGATGGAGTTGGCGAAGCGCTCGCCCACAAGATCTTGCGACGACGTATCGTCAAAAGTACCCAAGCTCTCTGTCGACCAGAACTTACGGAGGTCGAATTCAGGGTCCGTGTCTGTTTGATGAGCAAGACATGACTGCGCCTCTGTGGTGGCAGGCACAGGCAGACTGCCGGTACAGATAAAACCAAGAACGGAGTCGAGCAAGACCAGACCACCGCTTAGTTCGGTGCGGTCCTTGCCGATAATATCATAATAGTGATTGAGACCAATCAAGACGTCTACGACCATGGGCTCTGCGCTGCTGGAGAGCGGTTCTGCAAGTGGCAGAGACTGTAGAAGAGGAAAAGAAGAAGCAAGTGGACATCGCGCAATTGGAGCGGTTATGTTCGGAAGTACACTGGCCTGAATCGCACGAGTGGACCCATCCTTACACTGCATGGTCAAACTCACCTTGGCGTACACGGTACTTTTTCTTTTGTTGTTCCCAAATGTAGCCAAGGAGAGTGTTTCATTTCCGATTGTGGGCAAATCGAGCTGATCTCGATAAGCTTGCGTGATGTATGTCTTGGTGGAGCCGGTATCAAAGAGAATACGGCCATTGATCGGCTTCAACTTGGAGGAGAGAAACGGTGCCACAGCAGTTTGCATCATGATCTGGTGATCGGCGTTTGCGACCGTGCTCGTGGCAGGCTTGGGTTTGAAGGACTGAGCATTCGGGCTCATAGTGGAAGCTTGCCTCTGAGTGGATGCGGCAGTGAATTTATCTGGACACAAGCTGCTGTGGTGTGCAGGATTGTGGCAATAGAAACACCGCCGTTTGCTAGAGCAATCGTGCACGGAGTGGCCTGATCGCAAACACTTGAAACACCTTTGTTTAGCTACGCTCTTCCTCGCTTCTACTGTAGTGTACTTATTGCATTCGTCAGAGAAATGTGCCTCCGAACTGCAAAAAACACACACTCTCTTGGGCTTCGCTTTTGAAGTAGCTGAAGCTGAGGCAACAAGAGATTGACCGGACGCACTGGCAGATGGTGATTCGTGCGATTTTTTCGGTGGCTGGCTGAGGCGATCTGCTGCTTCATTCGCTATTATGAAGTTGGCTACTGCAGCGCGCAAGTCCGAAACGGTCCAGGATTGTGGCCCCTTTTTTAATTCCAAAGCCGCTAGCGTGGTGCGTGGCAATTTGTTCGTAATCATTGACACAAACACCGCCTGATTAACATTCTCACCAAGCGCTGTGAGGCTTCGCAAGTGCACCTCCAACGCATCGTGCAACCTACGCAAAGATGGAGTAGCGTTGGACGCAGGCGGTAAGTCCATGATTGCCGTGTAGTGTGCATTGACGCGAAGCTGATCATTCCCGAAACGTTTGCGGAGAATGTCAAGCGCGGTTGTGTAGTTGGTATCTGATATGGGCAAGCCAGCTATGGCATCCCGAGCCAAACCCGTTACGTGATCTCTTAGGTACGACAGTTTCTGGACACCCGACAACCCTTGATTCGCATCAATAGACGCAACAAACATATCGTGAAACTCAGCCCATTTCAGGAAATCACCAGAAAATGTTGGTATTTCAAATTTGGGCAAATTGACTGAACTTGTGGGAGCTGGTTGTGGTTGAGGTGATGATGCTTGCATGTGTTGTACGACTAGTTGGTGTTGTTTGATTAGATCCTCTTGCGACTGTAATACTTGCTGGTGTTGACTATGTGTAATAGACTGCGTACGAACAAGATCTCCTATTGACTGTTGGATGCTGGACAAATCAACCATACTAGTTTCTTGTTTGATACCCGCACTGCCCGTACTCTTGGTGCTACTTGGTGAGCTAGTACTAGTAGTAGCAGCTTCTGGACGGTTCGTCTGGGCTCTGTACTGCGGAGATCGCTTGCATTCAACAATTGACCCTCTGATGCGTACCGAATACGCAACCACATCGCAGATCTCCGTTTGCAGAGCCTCATCTGAACCCTCCAGAGTCTCCGAGTCCAAAACACTGGCCAATGCATCACACGCCTCATCATATGCGTACAATTCTTCAACAATACAATCCACAAGTGTACTTAGCTTTTTTGGATCCGAGTCCACGTGTTCTGGCGACAACTCGTCGGCCCTTTGACCTCCTTCCTTCGATAAAAGGAGTTCGGCCTCTTTGACGAGTTCGTCGATGGATCCTTGCAGCTGCGCGATCTTGGCCCGGCGCATGATCTGCGTGCCGGTCGTCACTGCTCTCTTCGGCATGTTAGCTCGACGACCCAAATCGGGCAAGCTGCTTACAAATTATTTGAGTCGAGTCTATCTTTCTCAAGATTGGAATGGTACGCACGGCTCGTTTCGAGCTCCGGTGCGGTTCATGTCCCGGGTTTCGGCACCACTTTGTGCACACGCCAGACAGTTTCTTGGGATCGGGAGAGCTTGATTTGACTGAATTTGACTGACACTGCACAAGAGGTAAAATTATTGTTCTTGCTGTGAACTGAAAGAAGACGACGACTAAAGCGCAAGGCGCTTGCGCAGAGCAAAAAAGCAGGAAAAAACATGGAGGAAGTCGCCAAGAGGCGAGTGAGTCAGTAGAAATAATAAACACGCGGCCCCGCTTCGGTGTGGGAACGCGGAAACAAACCGGGGTAGAGAACACAAACTATGACGTGTACTGCAAATAATCTCATGACGTTGAACATCATGTCAACGTCGTGACACCAGGCATATTGCCATGGCTATGCTGCTGGGAAGACACCAGCGACGGCGGTGGAGAGCACGCGGACGGCGTGTACCCAATGGCCACCTTGTATCCCATGCTGTACGGACACGCGGCACTGTTGCTAGCAGCACTACCGCCTCCGGACTTTCTCTTGCCCAGGACCAGGCGATGCTGGTGCCGACTGGGCACGTACTCGGCCCCGTGGCGGCGCTGGCGTGGAGGCGGCCGCCTTCCGTCCGAGTTATCATCCGGCTTGCGGCGGTTGCGCTGCCGCGGGCGTCGCTTCCAAATGAAGACGCCGGGAAGGCGCACCAGGAAGCAGTTGCAGTCGCACTGCAGAATGATGATGTACTTCAATGGCTGAGTGATCTTGTTCGTCTGGTCTACACGGGCACGGCAGAAGAACACACAAAGCAGCAGCAGCAGCAGCAGAGGAAGCTAGCAGAGGATACCTGGCGATTGGTGTATGGTAATGTGAACATGTACAATAGTGCGTGAATCAAATAAAAAAACTTGATTTCTATGCACCCAATATCATTTTTAAAAAAAATTGAATTTAGCAAACGGAAACATTCATTTGACGGAAACGTGCACCCAAAACACAAAACGATTCCTCGCAACACCCTACCCGCATAAGGGCATTGGATAGAGGTTGACGCATTGGATAGAGGTTGACACATTGGATAGAGGTTGACACATTGGATAGAGGTTGACACACTAAAGAAATCATGCGACGTGAAGAACTACAGTTTCGCTGAACACGTGGTGAACATCGGATTCCACAGCAGCAGCAGCACAGTGATCAGTGAACACTGTACTGCGGCCATGGCATTCCCATAATCATGTTTGTGTTTCATCCTTACCTATGGTTATGGAGCGGAATGTCAGCACGTGAGGCCCGGCATCACCACTGCTACAGACCGTACCCACTCTTTCTTCGATGCGTGTCGTCTCTCCCACCTCACGCCACACCGCTCGCAGCTGGCAGCCGTCTTTCATGTGCTCGGCCCACGGGATAACGACACAGCGAGCTCTGACTTCCATGTCAAAGAAGGTCTGCATGCATACGCAACCATCAACGGAGAACTAAATGAAAGACTAGCAACAGTTTAGTAGATATGAGTACGATCGATATGATGATTGTGATGAGTCACCGCGAAAATAGCCTCATTATTAATTTAAATTATTTAATACTTGTAAACTTTAAGCTGCTGTGTTTGCTGTGGCACTTACCCCAAGCAGACCCTCATTCGGTATGAACTCCACATCCAAACATTTTCGAACATCTGAGTTTGCAAACACATGTGCACACACACGCATACGCACACACACACGCACACACACACACACACACACACACACACACACACACACACACACACACATGTGTGCACGCATACGCATGCATTAATTCTAGCGTTTTCTCCGTAGCTTGGTCACACGATGGGCGAAGGGAACGTCCTTCAAAGCAAGTAATATTAATCCTAAATTCTGCCACATCCCACTGTTGTGTAGCCACCACCACCACCACCATCGCCGCTGCCGCCACCACCACCACCACCACCACCAACACACACACAACACCTGTCTTGAGCTGTTTTGAGCAAATATGACCCTGTCTTGAATGACAGCAGCAACGGGGAAAGTGAAGTCACCTTCGGCTTTGGCATTCCTGTCCTGGGAGATTCGCCGTAAGTTCACTTGCACCTCATTCTCCGGTTCCTACAGTACACACACGCACATGCACACATACACACATACACACATGCACACATGCACACATACACACATACACACATGCACACATGCACACATACACACATACACACATGCACACATGCACACATACACACATACACACATGCACACATACACACATACACACATGCACACATACACACATGCACACATGCACACATACACACATGCACACATACACACATGCACACATACACACATACACACATACACACATACACACATGCATGCAAATACACATACACATACTGGCACACACATAAAGGGGGGGGGGGGTCAGCCTCCTAGCCTAGACCGTTCATATAATTCTAGGTTGGCCGTTCTTCAGCGCCTGACAGTACTGTACTGCGATCCCGGCATCAGTGCACTAGTGCGAAGCTTCTACATGTTGTCAGTTGCAAGTGAAGGACAAACTAGGAAACTCTTGCAAGAACTCCAGTGGTGCCTCTCAAATGAATTTCAATTCTGAACCACTGGCAAGTGGTAACATGATGACTGTATCTGCCGCCAGTATCTAATGATTTGATCTGATCTTTTTTATTGTTGTCGAATGCTATGTCCGGATGGCCAAACATTTCAGTCTGGCGTACGGCTTGGGTGCCGAATATCAACAAATGTAAGAATTTTAGGCCCCAAAATGTGGGGGAGGGGGGGGGGTGAAGCTTAGACCTCGGTGCGGCTAACACTCCGGAAAATAGTTAAAACAAGCACGGTAAACGTTCACCTCAAAAATGTTCACACGGGCTGCGAGCAATGAAAAATGGCCAAGCACCATCATACATTGGGAAAGGCAGCCTAATTAAAAGCTTTGCAATGCCAATGGTCTATGGTGACAGGCAGAGAGTAGTAAAATACCTACTTCGAAGTATTCCCTAGTGACAGGTACCCACCATGTTCTGAGGAAACGCTGCAGGAGCATCCAATGAGCTGCCGGATGCATAGCCCGGGTCAGCAGCAGCAGCGGCGATGGCAGCAGCAGCAGCGGCGGTGGCGGCATTCAATGGCAGGCGGCGATCAAGATCACTGAGTTCATTGTCAGCCTCGCCACCGGCCACGGCTCCTGCAATCGCCATCAGCTGGCCAACTGTGTCTGAGGTACACACACACGCATGCACACGCACGCGCACACAAACACACAACACACACACATAAGTCATGTTCCAACAGAATTGTGAGTTTCCTCGACTAGGGGTTTGTGATTGAAAGATCAAATGCGTGAACTATATAATCTGTTTGATAGACCGACGTGGAGACAACACGCATAACAAAGCAATGAATAAAACCACTGGTATCCCAAACATGTCAACTCTACTGGAACACGACTTTGCTTGCTATGTATGTGATCTAAACACGCACGCACACACACATACACACACACACATACACACACACACACACACACACACACACACACACACACACACACACACACACACACACACACACACACAAACACGCACGCACGCACGCACGCACGCACGCACGCACGGACACGCGCCCGCGCCCGCGCGCGCGCGCGCGCACGCGCACGCCCACGCCAACGCCCACGCACACGCACACGCACACGCACACGCACACACACACACACCTACACGCACGCACGCACGCACGCACGCACGCACGCACGCACGCACGCACGCACACACACACACACACACATTGTTTTCTTCCTTGCTTCATCATACGTATTTTCAAGCAATGATGCCTAGAGGAATTGTCTTCTCCGCTACCACAGTCAACGCAACGGGGCAGGTACAAGTACCCAACCAGGTGGCAAGTATATGAAGTTTTGTTCGCAAACCAGGCTACACACGCACATTAGCGGGGTATATCTATTTTCTGGATTTTCTGAAATAGCTTGTTTCTGGGTCTGTTATTTCTCTATTGCTGACCCAATTTCAACAGCGCATTTCTGCAGGTTACGCAGAGTCCTGGGAAGAACAAATAATATTATTGCAATAGTGTACCATTCGATTCTCTGTGACTCAAGCCATCAGAGGATATAGAAAACAAAACCTAAGGATTCCCAAACTTCGTCTATGCCACATCTCATATGTTCCCTGCATGATTTCATTCCCAGCTTGCTTGGTTCAGTAGACGGTGAAATGTTTTCAGTCAACTTTTCACCAAGTTCGACACAGGATGGCATGTAATTGGGTGGCACACGGTACATAGTACATACAGTTTGTTTCGTCTTCCGTAGCAGATGTGCTGCTGCTGATGGCCGATGCTTGGCTGCGTAGGTCGAACGGTATTGAAGGTTCCAGTGTGCCAGTGAAAGGGTGCTGCTCGTTCCCGTGTCCTGGGAGCAGATGGGCGAAGTCCGGAAAGCCTTGAAGTGGGTCGGATGTCGCTAGCTGCTGGCCTGGGAATAGACTCTGCAGTGGTGCGTTGCCCAGTCCGGGACTAAGTGCTGACAAGCCAGGAATCATGTTGCCCGTAGGCCGACTACTGGCACTGGGCAGTGTGTACGCAAGTGTGCTGCTGCCTGCTTGGTCAGCCATGCTCTGGCTGCTGCTGCTGCCCGCCATCGATTGGTTCAACAGCTCTGTCAACGAGGCATGGCCCAGTGGTGAGCTCTGATGAGAACTTAGTGCTGCTGCTGCTGCTCCCTGACCACCGGCTATGGCCACACCTGCTGGGTGGACGGGAGCAGGGTGTTGTAACGCGGTGTGCATTGGCGTGGCCTGCTGCAGTGCAAGGCTGAACTCCGAATCACTGTTTAAGCTGCTCAAGCTGGTCTTCTGGAGTGCATGCTGCAGTGGTAGCTCTGCCGACTCGCTCAGCCTGGGACCATGGTTCAGTGTTTGTTGCGTTGAGGTTGGCTCCTTGTGGAGTTCTCTTTGAAGAAACTAGCAAATAGAAGAAAACATAGAGAAAATGGTGCAATGAGAAACCGTCGTCTGTATACAAAACATGATACAGACGAACAGCACACCCGGAATACATGTGGGCACTCCAATGCAGATTGTACAAACTAGTGCCTGTGCAGTGAGACCCATTGTCATTTTATCGGGTCTGTGTGACTCATTCCAAAAAGATCTTCACACAAATGACTTTTTCAGCACTTGCATTCTGTATGTATTCATTTCATTTTACATAGCAAATCAAACGGGAAATTATGCTCAATGTTTTGACGACGCCGCGGCTCCATATGCCAAAACTTGGCACATTTCCTGTACAGCATCACTGACAATGAGTCAACTAACGTGGCAGAGGAATCTTAGAACATACCTCGGACACGAAAGTGCATTGGCCGGATTGTGTGGGCACTGCAGACTGGGCGGCGTGCTCTCGTTGGTCGGCAACGCTCGCACTCAAGTCACTGACGTCGAGTGGATGAAAAGCGTTCGGATGTGCGGTGGACGGCAAGCTGTTTCCGTGATTCGTCACATTGGACTGAACCCTAGCATTGCCGCCGAAGAGCAGTGACTGCGTGCCCGTCGCAGGTTGAGCTAGGTGATTCGGGAACGACGACGCTATGCCCGCGCTGGCTACATGCTGTAGGCCAGTATTCTGGAACAGAGGGGCCGAGTGCGCGGCTGCACACGGAGCCGAGTGCGCGGTCACGACCTGTGATGCTCGCTGGATACTGCCACCATCCACTGAGGGCGAAGGCGCATTCCATTCAGATACAGTGCTGGCTAAATCCATGGGCTGTGTCAGTGATGGCTGGAAGGGAAACAGGTCTGAAGGCGGCAGCACACTGCCAGGTACTGCGGCAGCCATGGAAGCTGCCGTAAAAACATCGCCATCAATGTGACTTGTGCCAAATCCTGGCTGCTGAGCTGTGATATACCCGAACCCGGCAGCTGCCTGCTGTGCTGCAGTCATGCTGACATTAGCTGATGGCTGCTGCGTGCCACTGGGTTCGGTTGCTGCTGCTAGCGATGCTGGTGTTGCTCCCAATTCCAGTAAGTGATTTTGGATAGTACTGTTGCCCGCTGTCCAGGCACTGTTGATACCTAGGTCTGGTTGTACATTGGGCATCGTGAAAGGCGAATCATAGCCTCCACTGTCTCTGAATAATGATGGTGGAGGGGACCAGGCCGGCAGGCGAGCCGCTGGGTGACTGTCATCTACACAATGGCATAGCACGCACAGTACAGCACTGCAGCATCAGTATAACAGGACAGCACTGCAGCATCAGTATCCAACAGGACAGTGGAGGGTGAAGTGCGGCATCTGGCACGGTATTCATACCAAATTGGGGGGGGGGGGGACATTTGCATGTGCGGCCCAGTTCTGGAACGTTTTCGGAACGTGTTTTTCTCCGGCAGACTGAGCTAGGCTACTGGGATCTTGATTGTAGTTTGCAGAAAGGGACGGGGGGGGGGGGGGAGCATCACCATGCTTGATGGAGGGCAAGGACATTATCGTGATACACACAACACTAAAAGCGCGAGAGGCTCGGGAAACTCTCCTGCAAGTTGCAATGGAAGTTTGCCTCTCAGACTCTGCACCTCGTACATAACACTCATGGGTATTCACTTTCCGAATGGCTAGCTCTCTCGACCTTGCATGCTAGGTTTCATCAGCGGAGCTAGCTCAGAATGTGGACTGGTCAAACCGATTATTGGTGTCGGGGTCCCAACGCATCCCAACACTCAACAGTATACTATCAGTTATAGTTACATTACATTATATTACTGAAATGGAAAGCCATCTTTGTCTCCAACCAAAGCAACAACTCGCGGAGCAACCAAAGAACAACTAAACTGAAAAGAAGAACCACATGGTTCAAAACCAATACACAAACCCGGCCCGTATCGCGTATGCCAGCGACACGTGCATGAAAGCAAGTACAGAATGCAGAAAAGTAGCTTGCATGAAAAGTGCGTAGCGTTCACACCTGTATGCTAACCCGCACTACAACTCGCGTACTATACAAGGGACTAGTACTGCGCAGTAGGCACGCATTCAATAAGCTGTAGACATGCACTGCATAATCTCCAAGTCCTCGTACAAACTGTGCAGTGCTGCAAAGGTACAAATAAATAAATATCAAACAAAAATCAATGTCCAGGTCAGCGACACCGATCACAATGAGGTCTAGTAAATAACAAAGCATTGTTTTTCAAACCGGCTCAAGCGGCATCACAGTCAGAGTGTTCTACCTATGAGAGAAACACAGCGAGCTTTGCATGACGGTATCTACTATATCTGTATCTTTGACGCCGCACCCGGGGAAGAGTGCCCATTATTCATTAGTATAGAGGTTAGGGCCCTAGGGAGTACAGTACTGTAAATGTACATGTACATGTACGTCAAGAGCTGCCCCATATTCATGGTGCACTTGAACTGCGAGATGCGGCATGCGTCGTGGAGTACAGCAATTGTAGATACGGATGCACCGTCCATGCTTTGAGGTTGGCATAGTTACGTGCCTGTGTGTTGGTGCAGTGCGAACGCACCACCCCTGGGGTGGGACTTGATTTGCCACCACTGCGTATTTTTCACTACTAAAAGAGGTCCTATCCGGCTCTGCAGCTATGCTGCACTCCTCAGATGCATTTGCCTTTGGTCTTGAGCAGTCTGTGGTGAGGTTTACAAATACAGTCAGACCTCGCTTATCCGGTCCTCGTTTATCCGGATCCCTCGCCATCCGGAAGAAAAAAGCTGGTTACATATTTACAGCATACGTGATGCATCCAACATAAACGGTGTTCGGTTATCCGGTTCCCTCGCCTATCCGGATATTTTTTGGGAAAACGGATGTGTGCGATTAAGCGAGGTCTGACTGTACAAGACCACCATCATGCGTGCTACAGTTACTCACTAGTCTGTAGTCAGGCTGGCAGTAGTGCTTACAATGAGAATAGGGCAGTTTCTAATAATACACAATCATGCGAATGCTGTAATGGTATAATGCACTACACTAGCTGCAGTAGCCATGTAAGCAGTGCTTGTACTTGAAGGCTGCCACCACCCTGCCTGGCCAGTCACCCCTGCTACTGTCACACGGCTAGCTGTCCAGGCACTCCCATGCCAGTGTCAATGGTGGGATTTCCCCTTCCTGTGTTGTGGCACTTCGCGGGACTTCCCCTTCGTGAGTAAACCTGTGATATCACTGTTGTGGTGACACTCAGGCATGTGTTAGTTCAGCTTCATGCAGTAGACATGCCATGCCCATGCCATGCTCATAAACCTACAGCTACAACAAGGCTACATTCCTGGCCTTAGCTCAGCAACTGCTCTGTCCCAGTCTGACTCCCAGCGCCACGGCCTCAAATGACTGTGTGCTAGTCACATGATCTGAGACCTGACCCTTACCCATTAACTAACTAACTTACTTACTTACTTACTTACCATACTCGGCTTCACTTAGTACTACTGTCAAGTACCAGTCACAGTACCAGACGCCCCCAGGTAGAAGTGCCAGGGCCGCTCTCCACGCCTACCCAAATCTCCAAAATACAATTATGAAGAACTAACTTGAACATCTCTGTCTGTGTGAACGAAAATGTGCACAGTGCGCTGAAAATGAAAGGTAGCAGCTGCTTACACGGAATAGTGGGTTCTCAGATCATTACTACAGTGACTCAGAGATCATGACTCTGGATTCCACCTGGTTGCCACTCAAGCACCAACTTGTGACCAAGTGCTAGTATCCATGTGCGTGTACTGTAAAAGCCATATATATATATATATATAACGAAGTGCTAACTCTAACGGAGAAATCTGTCGTTAAAATAGAAATCGTTATACGGAAATCGATACATATACTGTCCTATTTAGCGTTGAGAATGAGTGAGAATCGTTACCTTTGGTACACGTAAACCAGTCAATTTTAGGAAATCGTTATATATGCGCCAGAGTTAGAATAATGGCTTTTACAGTATCTAGGAGAATGCCGCCATGATCAATCAGCATGCTTGCCACCCAACTGCTTCTTCCTTTTTGCAATGTTGTGCCAGCTCACACATTACGACAAGTCATATACAAACATGAATTCACACACACACACACCACGCACACACACGTGCACACACACACACACACACGCACACACCCACACGCACACACATCTACACCTGATCTGTACACATGCGTGCACGTGACCGATATGCGCATACTCTCTCAGCCCTTGGGTAGAACTACTACCTAGTACCAGTATTAGAAGCAGGGGCGTCGCACGCGGTACGGTCACTACGGTATTGACCGTACCACTATTTTCTCCAAGTACCCCGTGAATCAATAAAATGCACTGATTTGGGCTCTAAATTTCCAAAATTTTCTGCTCAGCCACCCCTCCCCCACGAGTAAATTGTACTTCAGATGGCTGACCGTACCACACTAAATTACCTTCCAACGCCCCTGAGGAGCTACTAGTAATGTCTACTAGTAATGTCCACTAGTACCCCCCCTCCCCCCTCCATCCACACACCACACACACAAACACATACTCTCTCTCTTTCACAACAATGACCTTCACAGGAAGATCAAGGTCCCAGCAAGTGACGTGGATTAAAAACTACAGTAAAACCTGTAACTAAAGACCACTGTGACTAGCGACCAGCCTGGTACTACAGACCACTTCGCCAGGTACAGACGGTCTCACACTCATATTATGGTTGTGCGGTGCAAACCTCTAACTAATGACCACCTGCGACTAAAGACCGCTTTCTCTGGCCCCAAGGGGTGGTCGTTAGTCACAGGTTTTACTGTACATTCATGAAACTCTTGACACTGGACCATGACATCCTGCTGGGTCTGCTGGTCTGCTGGTCTGCTGGTCTTCAATCATACAATATCACTCCACTACTAGTACTAGATCTGGCCCCTGAAGTACCCTACAGTCTACAGATGGTAGTGCTCGTGCTTTCACCCTTCCAATGTGCGAGAGATGGCCAAAGGCTCTTACCCAACTCTGCTGTTTACAGCATGTACAATCATGCGCGTATGTGAACGGAGGAAACGCGGCTAACTAACACGAAAAGCACGGACGACAGTCATGCAGCTAAGTAAAAGCACGCAAAACATGCGACCAAGTAACAAACACAACAATGAACTTACCGACACGCCGAGGTAGTGACGGCGAGTCTGGCTCGGCTTCGCTGGATGTCACGCTGGGCGTTGTGGCTGGGCCACCGAGACTTGCGAACACTCCTTGGTGATGTTGTCCCGCCATTGGTTGTCTTTGGGGCTGTGGACTAGTACTTCGCTCCTCGCTCGTATATCCACCAAGCTGTTGCTTCAGTACCCGGAGAACCACGTCCTCCGCGTCAGTTGTTCCTGACGATGGTGAGAGCAAACATTAGGCTGTGTATGCACATACCAAGGACACACAGTAACACGCACACGTGCAACCAACTAAAACATGCACTGCAGCTGCAGGATGGGAGAATGGAAATATTCGCATGCTAGTCGCATTGTGCTGCTAGCTGCCTTGTCTTATTATAGCACGCCGTAGCGCCAAAAGCAAATCTGGCCTTGAAGGAAGGAATTATTCAAAATCAAAGGGAGGACGCTGGACCTTACCGGACATCGCCAGCGCGCGACGCAAGACGCAAGCATGGAAATGGCCAGTGTCACTCAACGCAGAGATATACAACAAATGTAGGAAGCGTCCAATGACGATTTGACGCAAACAACAGCTGGTCTCCTGCTTACTAGTATAACTATAAGGTTTCAAGGATTCGGAAGAACTGTGATCGATGCCAGGAATACTTGAAGAAGAGAAACAACAATGCCTCTGCGCTGCAACATACCTTATAGTTATACTCCGACTACTCGCCTTCTGTCTCTCGTTAGACTTTACAGGACTCCAACTGTGACTCCCGATCTCCCTAACCAAGCCTCGAACCGCGTACCATCGATCATAATCAGCAAATAATTTCACGTGACTCCCGAGTCCCGATGCAGTATACTTTAGGTTCAAAGTACTACATGAATGCGATCCAACCAGGCAATCATAAACTGTTTCAAGACTCTGTGGATCCAACTAACGTTTTATTTACGGAGCAGGCGAGCACTTGACTCTTCACAGAGGAGTCTGTAGTGTCGAAGTCGTCTCATGTCCTGGACGGTTGATGTGGGGCATCTGTCCACCCATTGCGAGAGCAGGCGCTAGGCTCCGATGGCATATGCTGCTAAATTTTAGTGAATTTTAGTACAGTCCACGTACAGTCAGTGTAGATCTACCTGACATTGCATTCTTGCTCGTCTACTGCTGCCAGTGCTGGAGCTGGAGGCATAGTCTGTGTAGATAGAGACTACTGGCACTGCATACCAGTAGATCTACAATCATGTAGGTATAGTACTGGCGAACTGTTGGCAGTGGTACGTCGTTGCGCCGGTCCGTTGGTCTTCTTTGACTTTTGTTTTATCAGAGATGTTGTGGTGCAGTATCACCACCGCGGATGAATGCCATGCTGATGAAGTGGTGCCAGTGACGACTTTGCGCTGGCAAGTGGCATGCCAAGATCGCGCTGAAGGCGCACATGTTCCTTTGCCTGCTGGCTGCTGTCTCTGACCTTTTTCTCGCGCTCGACCAAGTCTGGTGAAGACGCTAGCTACTAGTACAGTAGTACTCATGAGTACTAGTACTAGGTAGTTCCAGAGAAACCGTTCTCAAGTAGTTCCAGAGCGGCGAAGCCAGAGAAACGTTACTTGAGTACGGGTTGGCAGGGCGCACGGCGTGTGGAGGCCATTACTGGGGATTACCCGATGGAATCCCACCGTCTGTCACTTGCCCGTGACTGTCATGCATGATTGTTGACTGGCGTAAGTACGATCAGGCACGTACATCGTCATTGCACTGGCAAGCCAATGCATGAACTGATGAAGCTTGTCGGCCGGGTACCGCACGACGCACCAGTACTCTACGATTGGCAGCATGTTACAATGCGCTGAGTCTGTGTCGAAAATACTGCTCCCGACTACAACAATATTAGAGCCGGTTGGCAGAGGCCCAGTCTTGCAACCATCTGAACTGTATGGAGTCTAGCCCCAGTTCCCCTAGCTAGCCTCGGCAGATGATGCTCGAAAAGCAGTGAAACTGGCAGAACCATACCAACCTTATTATGGCAGGCACTTCCTTGACTTCTGCTCTGATTTCTTTATGCACATACCAAACATGCATGAAACATACCAGAAAAAGCACCAAATTCTGCCCATTTCAAAAGTTTCTGCCGACATTATCTACCAAGGGCTAGTTCTGACCTCTGTACTGGAGGTCTGGTACTGTAAAAGCAGAAATTTTCGGTGGTGTAATATTTTCGGTATTCGCCAAAATCGGCGGTTCGGTAGCGGGAAATTTTCGGTAAAACCGGTTCTCCAGGTAGGTGTACTAGTACTACATACATGTATACAGTATCGGTTGTACCGAAAATTTCGGTGCGTTTTATTTTCAGTAAAAATTGTCGGCACCGAAGTTACCGAAAATAAAACACCACCGAAAATTTCTGCTTTTACAGTATCTGTGTATTTTTTTGCCAACTGCTTTATGGTTGCAGTCAGGAGCACGGTTTTCGACGCAGTGCGTCCTCCGCCTTGTAACATGCCGCCAATAGGGCTTGAAAGTGATGACGTCAAAAACGGCCTGGGAGTAGTAAATTGACATCAGATTTCTATTTTGGATCCACTAAGGTGTGACTTTGCTATTGCCTCAGTATGTGGGTGCATAGCAACCCACTCATGTCGTATGCAGGTGCAACTTTTACTTCGCCACCAGTTGTCACCCCGCCCCCACTAGCCAAATCAGTCAGTTTCACTGGCAACATCACCTTGCTGTGAGTGAGACCGCTTGACTGAATGTGCTTGGATCCATACAAAAACTGGATCCAGGTGGATCCAGTTTTCGAATTTTTCAAATTGTTGCTATGCCATTGCTATGGAGTGACGTAGCACTTTCAAGCCCTATTGTCCAACATGTCATTAATCTACGTACATGTAGGACGTAACGGGTTACAGCGCTGCACCACGGCGCTGTATGTGTAGTACAACATAGTACCGGTAGTAGTAGCAGAATAAGGCTGTGTTTACATGAGGCGTTTCAACCCGGGTTGAGTTCGACCCGGGTCAGATTTCAACCCGCCATGTGCACAAAGTGAATGGCGCGTTTACATGACGCATTGCGCTTGACCCGGGTTGAAATTTCGCCCCGGGTTGATTTCAACCCTCCCCCCAAGGGGAGGGTTGAAACCAACCCGGGTCAAGAAAATCGTACAAACGTACTTCTGTGCGTATCTCGCGCCAGGTTTGAACAGCACTGCAGATGCAAATTTCGCGCGAACGGATTCACGTGACCATGCAGGACTGTAGAAGTGGACTTTTGGCGGCATATCAGTATTTGACCCGGGTCAACTGTCTTCATGTAAACGCTCACCTCTTTGGTCTATCGTACAGACTTTCAACCCGGGCTGAACTCGACCCGGGTTGAAATTTCTCATGTAAACACAGCCTAATACATGGCCTTATACAGCAACACAGGTACAGGTGCAAGTATTGCTGTGTTTTCATACCAGCTGTGGAAAGCACAGATTATTATGGTCTAATTCCAGAAGCGACGCATGCCGAAGAACGTGGATGAAAAGGTCAAGGCCGGTATGCTAAAAAGTCAGTATATATATCGCCACGTCCTGAACGCAGCCAGACTGCAGGAAACTATAAAAGGATGCCCCGGCCTCCCACATACATGAACATGAACAGACCATTAAAAAGCTAAGAGCAAAAAAAAGATATGCATAATTATTATTGCGCCAGCGAGAAAATAACAGACATGCCTAAATCCTAGCTAGCTACTACATGTACCTAGGCGCACAGATAACTGGTGACGTTCAAATGCCTCTATGAATAAAAGATAACAGCTGACACTATATGGTGGGATATTCTGGTAGTTGATGACATGTGCTGCGAGTAGAAGCTATACAGGTGCGATGGAGGAAAGAGTTAACGATACAGGGGCAACAAGGTGGTCTACATACAGTTCATCTATACAGTCTGGAGCACTGGCAAGCCCCGATCATTTGTGCCAGAGTGCCAATTTTTTCGAAAGTAAGTTCAAAAGTAAGCTAAGGAAACCAGCTGTGCAAGTCACACGGTTATGGTTAGATTGCAGGCGGAGCAAGGTGATGGTTAGATAGCATGTGGAGCAAGGTGATGGTTAGATTGCAGGTGGAGCAAGGTGATGGTTAGATAGCATGTGGAGTAGCTGTGTAGTCCACCTGTAGCTGTACACAGGCGGGTTAGCTGTGTTGCTGCACATATGTTGAACAACGCTGAACACGTGATAACGTTGCACATGCCAGGACTAGCTCGTAGAAACTACCTGAGTCAGGGTCATGAATGTCACCTTCTCCGACATGTTCTTGAATGAATAGGAGTTATCTGTTGACAGAGAGACAGACATGAGAGAGATAGAGAGGGAGAGAGAGAGATAGATAGAGAGAGAGAGAGAGAGAGAGAGAGAGAGAGAGAGAGAGAGAGAGAGAGAGATGCATATACAAAATGGATCTCAAACGAGAGAGCTTGAAAGCTCAGGGCCCTACGCTCTGCTTTTTTGCCTAGCTCATCATGCATGTTATTAGAACTGATCGGCTACATCATTGTACTGCAAAAACGTTTCCATCAGTTCGAATAACATGCATGATGAGCTAGGCAAAAAAACTTGAAAAAAGCATAGCGTAGGGCCCTGAGCTTTCAACCCTGTCAGTTCCAAGGATGCAATACGATGCCTGGCATGATTCGTGGGGTGTGCCTTCGCCAAGTGCTGCGGATGAATGCATCAAAACAATGTATAGCTCTACTGTGTCATTGACAAGTTGAGGAAACAGACAGCTACCACAAAACAAGTGTACATTGCAGTGTCAAGCAACTGTAGATAGATAGTTGGGCTGTCCAAGAGACTGAGAGAGAGAGAGAGAGAGTGAGTGTGTGTGTGTGTCTGATACCACTCAATTATGGTATCTATAACTCACAAGGCGGAACAATAACGATTGAGCCTCGGTAGAGATGCGACTCTGTCCCGGAAACGGTAAACCCCACCTGTCCAGAGAGGACATGGAAAACCTGAATGGCCACACAATGCACGCACATACACAATGCACACACACACACACACACACACACACACACACACACACACACACACACACACACACACACACACACATACGTTTAGGGCACATGACAATTTCGACAATGCACACATAGATTCAAAGACTACACCACTTCGAATTACACGGTGTATGTGGCAAGACGGGAGTACAAGTACATGTGCACATTGCAACGGATACTTTCTCACAACCCACAAAGGAAAGAAAAAAAGGTGACCGTCTTGCTTTCGAACAGGTGGTGAGGAGAACACCGTTTTAAAATTGCAATCCAGAGGACAGGACTGGTCTTCCAGGACAGGACTGGTCTTCCAGAGGACAGGACTGGTCTTCCAGGACAGGACTGGTCTTCCAGGTAGAAAAGCCGTTGGTCTGCACGTTGGAGAGGTGTTCAATCTACATTGTAGGTGTCAAGTCATAGTGTATACATGTAGAGTATACAAGCATACTCACCAGCGCAGACCCACTGACGAAGCCTGTTGTCTTTCTACCATGCGGCTTGATTTCAATGACACCGGCCTCTATGTTATCAAGACTCAGACACTTTGCCAGTCGCACGCCGTTCTTCTCCTGCGAACTGTCCAGCGACGAGCGTACGCTTGTCGTAGAAGCAATGATGCCTGCGAGCCCGGATGGTGCGGCATTCATGAATGCGCGCACGCACACACGTACACACATACACACATTCACATGCACACACACACACACGTACACACATACACACACAATATTAGGTTGCTTACACCTGATTAGATCATCACGTCGACGGCACAACCACAGCCACACAGGTATTGCTATACAAACTAAAATCTGATGTAGCGTTATCACAATAGCCGTAGACGGTTTCTCCTTCTAGCCCAGTTTAAAGCCAAGATTGGAAGTAACATTACACGTATAAGTTGCACAATGATTCTGCCAATAACATTCTATGATCATCAGCTGAATATGATCATCAGCTGAAGCAATTGACCACAGAGATTGTATACTTACACATATCTCCAAAATCCCCTTTCTCATTGACGACCACGGCGACAGGATCATCATCACCAGGAGCAAGCTACCAGTGCACAGAAATAAGCGACGCAGACATGCGCACACACACACACCCACACAAACACACACACACAGAAAAAGAGAGTCAATTCGGCGATGGTATGTTGCATGGAACAAGCCAGAAGAAAGAAAGAAATGGGCAGTTGACTCAACCTGCAGCAAATGTGCGTACAGCGAATTTCACGTGACAGCAAAACTTGTTCCATGCCCGCATTCGAGCACGTTCAAAACTGATCCGATGTAGCAGTTGATCGTGTAATTGCCACCATGTGTTTTATAACTTTTTTTATTTATGACCCTCATGTAGAAGCGGAGAATTCCGTTAGAGCGCTACATAATGCTGTGCTCTCAGGGCACAAATTTCATTAGCCTACTCAAGCTAAACTGATGAGGGGTGAATTGAAATGCATAGGTGAATTTAATACCAATAATAGCCTGGATTTGTGATATAGCGAACCATTGCCCATGTCCCTGTTCGAACCCATACCAAATTGACCCTTTATAGCGAACAGCTTTCCCTTATAATGAACCAAATCTTGTAGGACCGCGTGCAAACAAAGTGCACTCAAACTGCCATAGGCATAGGCCACTTGCCACTGCCAGTCATGACTTGCTGCTTGATTAGTGCGGGTGCATTTCTGTTGAAACAAGCTTAGGCTAAAAAGAACTAATTCTCCTGCACAATGGTGTTGGTTATATCAGGAGTCGACTGTATGAAGCAATGAGGTGCATGGTTTAGACATGCGATGACCCTGTGCATACAGCGCCTGTACGCAGTATGCACAGCGCCTGTACGCTGTGCATACTGCGCAGTACGCCACGCATACAGTGCCTGTGCGGTATCCATACAGTGCCTGCACGGTGTGCATACACTAGCATACAGTGCCTGCACGCTGTGCATACAGCGCCTGTGCGGTGTGGCTGCATGCCTGCTACAGTACACATACTTATTTGTCCTGCACTGCACATCGGTGCTTGCTATATGTACACTAGGACCCAGGAGTCGGTCACACACGTATTCCAGTTTCGTGCCCGTGTGTGCGTGTGCGCGTGTGTGTGTGTGTGTGTGTGTGTGTGTGTGTGTGTGTCCTAAGCCACTTGCGCACAGTGCCATGTGCAGCCCAGTGGGTGCATGTGCACATACAGGAGGAGCATGGCTCTCTTCTCTGCATACGGGTGTTCTGAAGTCCTACCTGGGTGGTGCTGAAGTCAAAATCACCGCGTTTCGTTTCTGTAGAAAGCAAGTGGAACAAGCAGAAACAGAAAAGGAAGTGGAAACAGAGTACAGCATCGCCTAACACAGCGTGCAGAGCTGCTTAAAAAAGGAAGAGCAGAATACTAAGTGTTAGCAGCAATGAAGGAGTAAGGTTGAGCCAACGTCTACGATGACAACTCACTTGGCTTGGCTGTACGAGACATTTGCTTGATGACAGCAGGTGTCATGGTGGGGTTTGGCGGCGGCATAAGGGGCTGTGTCACACCCACGATAGATTCGCCACCTATGAATAGCAAAGTTCAAATTACGAAAGAGAGAGAGAGAGAGAGAGAGAGAGAGAGAGAGAGCAGAAGTCGAACATGAAAGCAACACACCAAGGACCAACAGTCGTGTGATTCTAGTTGAGCGCTACTATGGCGAAACGAATTCACCACCGGTCAAACAGCCAGGCTGTACGTGCGGCTCCGGGATGGGACAAGAACGTTTCTGTCATCCATTCCAGCGGATAGAAGGACTGTGAAGGAACACCTGACGGCTGACCTAACAGCAAGATTTGTGCCCGCGGCCACTACATGTACCGGCCTTCACAAATATACACTGCCTACTGCCATTGGGCAGAGAATAGATAAATGAATAAATAAAGAATAAAGCGTACTACTGTAGTAAACAGCTACTGTAGTAGTTGAAGAAACGGCGTATCCTGAATAGCGTGTACATTTCGCCATATATACGACAGGCCATGATGTAGTAGCAGCGGAAGGGAGAGGAGCTGACAACCACTTCTTCCATTTACAGTGGTTGGGTTATCCCCTTCCCCCAATGCCGAATGATGATCATCCTATGATGTGTAGTCTCAACAAATCAATACAAAAAGTAAAAAATAAGAAAACTGGACAATGGCAGAAGAAAAAGCGGAGAACTGACCGTTATTGTCCCCTTCGTACGCCAGTACCTCGTTTGCCCAGTACTTCAACGGCCGCACACGCGTACGCCCACTGCGGCGAACACCTGCAAACAGGCCACACATTGATGATATCGCGCATTACACATAATGATATCACAGTATCACACACACACACCATGACATCATCGCTACTCTCTCCCCTAAGCCCCGGAGAACAAACGAATATTCTATACATGTAATCTCTTGAAGCAGATGCACTTGAATTAGCACACATAACAGTACGCAATACCCATTCATGAATGAACCTCAGCATCACAGTGTTCAGTCCATGAATTCTGCATCATCCTGACTGCTGCCCAAGATAGCGAGACTTGGGCAGCCGGGTAGTGCAATCAAACAGCACGAATGTTACCGCTTGCGTCCGAATATTCCTTCTGTTGCCAGCACTGTCAGTTACTTGCATATTCGGATACTGGTATTCGAATACTCATTTGTCATATCACCAATCTTTGCCCTCTGATGAGAGAATCAGAAAGATGGCCTGGGAATATGATGATATTGGTGGGCGAAAACTATTTTTCATGTTAGTCTTGACTTTATCGATGTGAGAAGGCTCCTTTGAAGCCGACCATTGCATTCATGCCCCCACCCACCCCCACCCAACACACACACACCATTGGACCATTGGACGCCCATCGCCAAAGGCGATGATAGCGATGCTACAGCAGAAGCCATAGCAGCTTGTGCTGGGATTGCACCATTCAACAACTTGCAAGGCTGAAGAATTGACCGCCACTATTCAGCCTGGTCTACACCACACAGCTATGAAGTGGCTTTTTTTCTGGCCAGTGAATCCCTACTTTTTGGTCTTTTTTCATTTTTTTCCGCACACACATCACACCACATACTCCGGCATGCACTGGCTGTTGGTAACCACCCAGGAGAATGAAAGAAAAGTCAGGAGAAGTCTGAGAAAGAGAAGAAAGACGTGTGTGACCATAATCGTCGGGAATCGAACCCGCAACCTCTCGATTGGAAATCGCTGCACATACCACTGCACCATATGGGACACACACACCCACACACACACCACCACCACCACACTCTAGACTGTCTCCGAACTGAACTACACCTATCACTATCACAGTTTACCGTTGCTGACTTGTTCATAGTTCTGTGCCTGCACATACCTTCAGCAGCCGGTTGACTTGAGAGAGTGTACGCATCTAGATTCTTATCCACAGGCAACACAGATGCGCCTACTGGAACATGGTCAGCACCATCATTGTCAGAGTGCCACGTCTTTCCGCTCTTCTTGCTGCTTGTCTTTCCTACATAAGTGAGAGCAGAGAGAGCGCACAACAATAATTATAGCAGTGAGGGTAGAGCAGTACACAACTAACACACACACAGAGAGAGAGAAAGAGAGAGAGAGAGAGAGAGAGAGAGAGAGAGAGAGAGAGAGAGAGAGAGAGAGAGAGAGAGAGAGATACACAGAAACGGTGGTATCCAGCCAGGCTAAGAAGCTAGATTTATACCGACAACACACTACACTGTGCTCCATGGTGGTGACTGTCAATCTGCTCCTACCGATGATCCATGGGGTTGGCAAGGGAACTGGATAAGCGAGGTCTGACTGCATGGCGGCAGACTCACTACGAGATAACATGGAATAAGCTGCTTGATAGTATACCAGATTAGACGAGGAGCCTATCCAACATACAAACTGACGGTTCTGCCAAGCGTGTGGTAAATCACAATATCTTACTCTCCGGATATAATCCTTATTCAGAGCTACTCTCCGGATATAATCCTTATTCAGAGAGACATAGAGACAGACAGACAGACACAAACACGTAGAAGCTATCTCCACCAATTTCACTGCCAGATTCGGTATTCAAGCCACACCAGTGCGTACCTCCTTGCTTTGCTTTGGCACTCTCGCCTTTCTTCAGTTTTCCTAAGCCTGGAAAAGAGGCAAAATCAGTTAGAGCTAGTTAGAACGGTGCTGTAAGTATCTCAATCTACAGTAAAACTCCTCTAATCTGGGCAGGTTGGGACCGAGAGCTTATGCATGCAAGTAAACATTTTTTGCCAATCAATACTTTTCGCAGAAGTTTTCATTGCAAAGCCATTTTTGCGACTAGATGGGTCAGGAAGGTGCCCGATAGACGGATATGGATGTGACCAGATTAGGGGCGTTTTACCGTATCATACTGCAAATTCATAAGGAGTATCTCTGAGGGGGTAAATGCAAAATGAACAGAACAGCGCAATACTTAACAAAGCACCACATCCGCTCACCCGCACTGACTTTCACAAAGAACTTTTAAACATACATTGTCCTACACACGCAGAAATCAGGGAGAAACCTAATGGAATTCAGAAATTGCCATCACAGTGAAAAGACGGACAAGCTCAAACCTATTAACAAAAAGGTGACCTCCAGCCCATCGAATCATGGGATTGTTACACCTGCTGCCGCTACTCCGTGAGACTGCACTCACCTCGCCTTTCTGACCGCACATCGATGATACGAGGGACTTGAGGAGATTCGCCCACCATCCGCGAGCGTTTCATTGCAGTGTCTAAGACGAGCAAAGTGTACAGATAATAATGAATAAAACACCACACAACTGACGGTGTACATCATTTTTTGCTGAACCATTCCTCTCGGGTCATAACGTACCCAACACCATAAGTACTTCAGTACTTTAATCAGCAGCAGGGTATGGATTACAATGTGTACAAAATGATTAATTAACAAAAGCAGGAGCTTGCAAAGGATAAAGCCAATAGCGTCAATCAAATGAAAACAAAACAAAAAAGGTTTCAGCGGTCGCAGTGTCGGCAGTTAGGCCACATTTAATATTTCACCCGTACATATACGTTTTGCGTCCCAGCGCTCGCACCCTGATCTCTGCACCCGAAAAAATCGATGCAAACAACTATGTGCGTGCATGGGCATGTACTTCGAAGTACTGTAATTCCAGGTATGGTCGGTGTGCACGCCATCCATTGCACGAGTCTACGCATGCGCAGATCTAGGGGCCAGGACTGCACATGTATATGCATACAGTCAACACGCAACGCTGAGCTGCAGAGCCAGCGAGGTATTTAACATGCTGCTACACAAAGCGTGTCCTTGCACTCTGAAAGTCCCCGAAGCAGCCAGTGTTGGGCATATGAAATCAGTTCAAATCACTGAACAATGACTACGAAGTAAATAAGGGGCTGTCCATACATTGCCGTCATTTGTCGCAACCATACAAAATGCAGACTTTCTGAGACCCCCCCCCCCCCTTTCCATCAAACCGTTTACACCGTGTGCAGTCATTATGATGTTCATGTACAGTAAATGGTGGGTTGGCCCTGTGAGCATAACCCCCCCCCCCCCACATTTTCCAGCCATGGTAAAAGCTCCTAAGACAAAAGAAAAAAAGCCACTTGACTATACACTCAAAAGCTGCTTCCACCACATCAGGTCAATCAGTTCATAACGTTACAGACAACCTTCGCCATCATCAGAAAAAAATTGATGTTGACAGGAGCAACTCAAAGGAATAGAAGCAGGGCCAACTGAAAGAGTGAAAATTCATGGAAACATTCACACAAGTTTAGTTCACACATTGCACACTACCACCACAGAAGGTAAAGTATCACACAAACTCTACTGTGAAATAACCCGCCAACGTTGGCTGAAACGTTACGAACTGATTGACCTCGAGTAACGGAAGCAGCTCTTAAGCGGATAGCCAAGTGGCTCGCTCCTTTTTTTGTTTGTTTGTCCCAGACATGTAGCTGTGTGGACACCGCTCCATTTCCCATAATAGGTAGCTAGTACTGTGCAGTCATGCATAGACTCTATGTGCAGTCATGCATAGACTCTATGTGCAGTCATGCATAGACTCTATAGAGAGTATGAAGGAGCCACACAGTAATGCCAGCATGACATTGTACTGACAACCACTGCGGCAATGCATAGCTTACAGGTGAGTGATTGATCTCGCCGAAGTGCAGGAGCACCACCAGCACTCCTGTGTGATGTTCTCTGAGCGGCTATAGCCAAGGCAAGGGTGGAAGTCAATAGTGAGGAGAACAACAACAACAACAACAACAACAACAACGACGACGACGACCACAACAACAACAACAACAACAACAACAACAACAACAACAACAACAACAACAACAACACAGGCCATCGTAAGAATAAAGATTTGAAACAACAACAACTTCAAACACAAATAACAAGAACGTGAGTATACAGATGACTGTATTGCACAATCAGCGTACCAACTTGTGTCTGTCCCATGTGAAAGAGCCAAGGGAGGCGGCGTAGTAAGGTGGGTGTGCATATGTGGAGTTGCTCGACACACAGCCATAAAGCAGACAGACTACAGTTGCGCTGTTCACACAACAATCATGTGTAGTTACAAAAGCGAACAAACTATACACACACTCCATGCAACACAAAAAATAGCAATCGAAGCCCAACACAGCCTACCGTCGTCCTCGGCATCAGAGTCTTCGCGAGCTGCAGTTCTGCTTTTCGTTGGCTGCTTTTTGGATGCCGACTGTTTTTTCGGTGTCGGCGCTGGCTTCTTCTTGGATGCTGGGGGGAGAAAGAAGAATGGAGGAAGAAATGGATTGTGCATGTACACTTCCATTCTCTTTAGATAGGAACAAACCTTTTTTTACAGGAACGCACCCAAACAGGCTGCAAGTCGAACCTGGTTTAAAAGTTACAGTAAAAGTGAGGAAAGCAAAAACCTGGTAGATATGAACAAACATTGAATGCACAGCTATTCACCCACCCACACCCAGTCAGTGTCTTGGTACTATTGTACAGTTGTGGCAAGTGAAATCCAACACTTGGCATAAGGGACTGCACCATGCAGTCTGCAGCCCCTGCAGCCCTGCATATGTACAGTACATGTGTTACATACAACTTTATCTGTCTGATGACAAAACTCGTACTCATCACAGTCAAGGTTCAAAAGGTGCTGGGAAAAATGAATGGGGATTGGATACCAATACTCCTTATGTGTACCATATTTGTGAACTGTGTGTATCTACGCTGTGACCTTTCGATCTGTTTGGGATGCATACAGCTCTATAGTACAAATTAGGTGCAGTGCATTACATCATTGGTGTCCATTTGTGGCACTGTCCCCTATGGCAAGTGTCGGATTTCACTTGCCACAACTGTAGTACTGAAGCATGTACAGTGCTGACATCTCAGTACAAACAAACATGTACATCCGGGCTAGGGACTCTAGTGCCATGGAAAATATCTAATCTTATTATACAAGGCCATACTGATTTCATGAGAATGAACATGGTCCTCAAATTGTACACTAATGTCCTTAGTCCAGTATAAAGAGAACAGTACAGTCATGGTACTGTCATAGCCGAGGTACTAAATTTATACCCAAGAGGTACTAAGTTTATACCCAAGGTTCACTGTACATCCAGTGATAGAGCAAGAGCAGCAGTACACTGGCCAAGACACTGATGATACAGACAGTACTCCCTGTGCATTCACTTTGCACGTGACAGCAGAAGATGACATCATGCGATATCAAACAAACGCATGCAGAAATAGATACACAAGCAGAGCAAGCTGAACAGAAAACACACAGGCACGCACACACAAACGCACGCGCACGTACGCAAGCACACACACACACACACACACACACACACACACGCGCACACATTGCAGGCAAGATAGGAGACCTTACGGGTGAGTGCGTTGTGACTTTGATCGTGTGCTGAATGCTTGCGTTTACGAGACTGTTCTCTGGCTGGGGTAGCTGTGGGAGGCACAAAATACCAAGACAGCAACATACGGTAATCACATTCAATGTACAAGCATGTACAAGCATGTACAAGTGACAAGGGATTTGATGAAAACATGCACTTTCAGGACTAGCTGTTATACACATTTAGGAAAGGTTTGGATGAGAAGATGTCCAATCTTATCTTGCCATTCCATCCCCAAGCCGGTAGAATAGGCAAAGAAGCCTAGAAAGTCTCTGTTGCTCCCCAGTGTTTGGTGGAAACCACCGACAACACAACACACTTTAATAATACTAAACCCACACTGAGAAGAACTTACGGGTGACATCATCGTCGTCTTCGCTGTTGTTGTCGTCGTCAACGTAGTCCATGCCTGGATGATCATCGTCTGAGTAATCCTCCGCCCCTCCGCCATCCGCAATATACTCATCTGCTTCTAGATAGCAACAGCGAAACAGCAGAAAATACATTGCCATTCTAATTCTTACGATACTTGAACGACCACTCAACAGGGCATCTCCAGCCAATACCTAGTGATGTTCAGCATACTTTAGTCCTTACCGGCAGAGCTTTCAACGAATGTGCCCTTCTTTCGACCAGTCTGCTTTTTCGCAGTGGATTGCTGTTTGGGAGTTGGCTGCTTTTTGGTGGTGGTTTGCTGTTTGGGAGTTGGCTGCTTTTTGGTGGTGGTTTGCTGTTTGGGAGTTGGCTGCTTTTTGGCCGAGGCTTGAGGTTTTGGCGTTTGCTGTTTCTTTGAAGCTGGGCCTGCGGTGTGGCAAAAAGTCACATGGGAAGAGCAGGAAAATGCAGGTTGGAGAGAACAAAGGACACATTTTCTTCTTCTTCTTAAAATCAGCTTTTTGCTATACAGTACACGTCCCGGGATTCTGTTTACTGTATGTAGCACATATCATTAGGCTTCCTGTATGAGCATGCAGGCACGGTGGCTTGGTTGAAGACCATAATACAGCAAGGAGTAGAAGGTACCAGGATCTAGTCCTGCTTGAAAGTAAGTGGGTTTTTTCCAACCGTGCTGCGACCAACAGTGAACTGGGAATATGTGGCCTGGTACAAGGAAACAACGGTTCTCGGCCTTTGGAATCTGGTTGGTGGATCTGATCTATCCTTGCCCCCTATTGACGAGCTGCATCTGACGCCTTGTCCTGTGGTGGTGGTAATTCACGCAAGCGGAAAAAGTATTGATCTACCCGGTACATGGATCCGTAATATACTAATATTTGTATTTATTCCCATAGTGATCCACGTACATCAGTCAGACATATGCACACTGCATGCATCATCATCATCACACGCATGCACGCACAAACACACGCCGCACCTCCTAGTAAAATAATAAAATCTACTACACTGTACTACCGCCATCCTCCTCTACCTCCTCCTCCCAACTCTAAGGAGAAACTTACGAGTAAGTGCATTGCGACTTTGATTGTGTCCTGAATGCTTGTGTCTACGGATGGGCTCTGGAGACGGAGGAGCTGTGGACAAAAAGAGGAAGAAAGATTCTGAAGAGAAGACACAGTGACAGAGCAACCAGCAACCAACAGTTTGACAAACCAAGAGAGCTAACTGGTCGTGTCAAAAGAGCCAGAGGCATTACCTCATTTGCCAGTATTGGCTATAATGAAAAGGAAATATCAACAAAGAAAACCTGGAGTAACACACACGTTGCTTACGCGAATTGCCGCCAGCTTCATACTCCCCACCACTGTTGCTATCCTCAGACTGATGTGTGGACGTGTCTGAACAAAATGAGAAAAACGGGCTTTCAGCATCACTCTCAAGAAGGACAATGTGGTAAACACCCAACCTTCAAAGAAAAATGCTAATAAAAATCAAAGACTGCTACACCATTGTGATTTTGCATAGCAGAAACTGTTATGCGAAAATATGACAATAAATTCATCCCCGTAGTGTCACACTGTACACTGTAAGACATGTGAATATAACGAGCAAGGTCATCTTCTAATAAGCTCTGTTTAGGCTGTAATGCCTCATACCGTATATTCTCTATTATAAGCACAGGTCTCCATTACTAGCACAGTCTCTAATACTAGCACACTGTGAGCACCTTTCGAAACATTATAAGCACAGTCTCTATTATTAGCACGGTCTTGGTGGAAATCAATGCGGCATGCATAATATCTAGCATGTATTTCTTCTTGCTTTGTATGGATGTATTGGTTGTAAAAATATAAGCGCAGTCTCCAATATAAGCGCGGTCTCCAATATAAGCGCGGGGTAGAGGGGTGTTGAAAAAAATATAATCACGGCGCTTATAATAGAGAATATACGGTATGTGTTATGTGCGTGTCCTACAGTGCATGCATCAGTATGGGAGGAATGCTCACTCGCTGCCCCACTGTAGTTACAGGATTCGTACGACGTCAACAGAACACCTTGTTGTTTTAATCTGAGTACAGGTACATGTCCATTCATCCACACGCTGCTCCAACTAGAGGTTCTTCTCATGCAGCATTCGTCGCAGAATATAGGATTCTATAGACGATTGTGCGAAGTGGTCAAGTGACTAATCAATAGTCAATAGCATTGTGGCAGTAAGACACATGAACTCACCACTTCGAATTACTGGTCTACTTCTGTCAGATTGAGCTGACCGCTGAAGAACTGGCATAGCTTTAGAACACGAAGGTGATAGCAGAAAACAGACATAAGCAGGTACAAAATGAACACTCCAGCACTGCCCAAACACCCCCCCCCCCCCACACACACACGCGTGCGCACACACACACGCACACACACACATACACACACATGCACACACACACACGCACACACACACATGCACACACAACTACAGTATAAATAACTTTCTTGGAGACAAGAGGCTTATCAGGGACAGAAAACTACAAATCTCAAGCTATTCATCGCCATCATCATCATCATCAATAAGGACCCCGCAGTTCATGAACCAGTACAGTATCTGAATCTTTTCCACGTTCTGGAGAATGGCGTGAAAACCAATCCGGCCGGTCCGCCACGGCCATGGCCGGACCAACTGTTTAGCCACCAACGTGTGTTTACTGCTGAAGAGGTCATGATTGTGTATACCCTCCATGTCATGCACAAACTGTATGAAAGGCTAAGGTATGGTCAGACTAATCAAAAACTGCTTCCGCCGGTCCTGGGACAGGAAGCTTACTTTCACTCGAATCATCCGACTCCACCATCGCCGCTTTCTTCTTTGCTGCCGGCTTGTCGCTTGCAGCAGAACGCCTCTGTGGTGTCGGGACCTCTAAAGTTGCTTTGCTTCTTGATGTTGATCGTTGCTCTGAAGCCGGCTCCCTGGGTAATGGATCACATTGTGTGGCCATTGATCGACGTTGTGACGTAGCTAGAGGCTTTTTCGCAGAAGCTAGCACCTTTTTGGCATACGAATCCTCACCTACAAAAAATACGAACACATGCACTGCCTTTTAGCTGTATTCTTAGTTCTGACCAACACACAAACCAAAGCCAGGTCTCCAGGTCTCAACTACACAGATGCTAGACAGTCAAATACAGGAGTACTCCCCCCCCCCCCCCCCCCCTCCACAACATACACACACTGCATGCACACACATGTAACCCCTCCTCCGCAAACACACACACACACACACACACACACACACACACATACACACACACACACATGTAGATGCACACACAGATGCACCAATGCACACACATACAGTCAAATCCATGGACAAACATAACACTATGAGGACCTAAATGATGAATTGACCACGTTGACCAACGACTGCACAATGTTCTGCCACTGGCACTTACGGCCTGAAGCAGGCGTGCGACTTTGATCTGTCCTATGGCGGCCACTCTTGCGTACTGGCGGCGATGGGGGAGGAGTAGCTGCTGACACAGAGCCATAGGAAAAGACACGCGTAAATCAATGAAGGTGAGAATAATTTGGGGGTTACAGCCACAGGAGATGGTGTGCATGGTTGTGTTGCGATCAGACAGCAACCACCGAAATGCTCTAGGGTTGGTAAGTCGGCATGGTCCACAACTTGCTAACTCATACCTAAGAACTCCTCAGTGATTTAACCGGGCATGACATGTATATCGCATTTGCTCGAATATAAGTCACACTTTTTTACATTAAACTTCAGGGCCAACAAAGAGACTTACAGCCAAACAGGACTTACTACTCAGTCATGTTCAACCAAGGTTCAACTCGAGTGACAGGAACGCACACAAACAGGCTGGAAGTTGTACCCTGCAGGCACGGTGACCAGGTGACTGGTATGCATATGATCACGTGACCGCTTATTCAACCATGTTCGATTGGGAATAAGGGCCGAATGCTGCATTGCAGCCTTCTCGGACCAAAACCAGTCGACTCGGCTTCCAAAAGACTACAACATATGGGCCAATCGTGGTCATCCGTGCTTATATAAAAACGAAATGGCGCTTTTAGTGACATTTTGCATACAAATCCCCATCTAGTAGGGCGCAGTCACCCAGTTTCGGTGGGAGTGGCGAGTTCGATTGGGAATAAGGGAGGACGGGAGCGTCTCAGCTTTCTCGGACCAAGACCATTCAACTCAGCATCCCGAAGACTACAACTGGTGAAAGTTTGATTTTAGGCTTTACTTCCCCTTTAACTCCACTTACACGCGCTGCTGGCATCATCACGACTGTGTCTTCCGCCGCCTTGCTCACTGTCCTCTGCATCATCCTGAGCAGCGTGATCGCCGTGAGCCGCATCATCGGCAATGTCATGTCGTCCTCCGCCAGCCGCCCGGCCAGGGCTTAGTCGATCAGTGGCAGCAGCCGTGCTGGCGGTATCCATCTCAGCCTCACTCGCATTCAATGCACTAAACGATTGCTGGAGAATGGACCCTGGTGAAACAAAATCAACAGAAGACAAGCAAATGCTGTGGTGCTCAGCGCTATGTCCAGCACTGCTTGGATCCCATGAAGAGAGAAAGTGTTGAGAAAAGTTCAGGACCAGCCTTACAGGGTGCAGCTACGACTCTGTGAAAAATGTCCTTGCAAAGTTCCATAAAAATGTCCTTGCAAAGTTCCATAAAAAGTGCAGGCAGAGCCATCTCCTATACGTTTGTCCTTCCACATACTTGTACTAGCATTGGTACCACTAGCAAATCTAGAACAGCTCAGGGCAAACAAACATACTGACGCTTGTCGCAGATGATGCCTTTCCTCTGGACGGAGGCAGTGAGGTTGGCCAGGCAGCAGACCGCCTAGATCGATTAGCAGATGAAGGCATAAGCAATTTGTTAGTGCTGCCGAGACCAGTCACATCGATAAGCTCCTCCGCTTCAGAATCCGCAACAATGGAGTCGTCTGGAGTCTTTGATGACGATGGCGTTGGCACAGTTGCTTGCGCTGCTGTGGTTGACGAAGATCTAGCTATTGCCGGTGTGGATGTCCGCCGCTTGGACAAGCGGAACTCATCACAGCTACTGCTGTCTGCGCTGCTGGCTGTACCATAAGTATGAACGCCTTGTGGAGGGGTGCTAACGGCAAAAAAAGGGTTGTGCACACACACACACACACACACACACACACACACACCACAATCATACACACATGTCCACCAGGGAGTCGCAGCATAAGTCCACTACTTACTACTTGTAGCGTGCTTGTAGTGTACAGATATGCTTGACTATATTGTGTTCACATCAAAATGAGCAAAACAGAAAGAGAAAGCGTGATGTGCCATTCGGGAGCCATTGTTCAGTTGGGCATCCAGAACAAGCTAGCATCTTGCTCCACGGCACAGAACACTTTCTGCTGCGCTAGGGCTGCATGGTGCCCCGCGCAAGTGATCAGATTCCATTGCATGCAACAACATGTACACGGTCAACCGGCAATCCTACTCCTATAGCAACGAAGCACAGCGCACGCATGGTACTCACATGGGTGGCCCCGCTGCTTTCAACGTACTGAACGACAGCCTGCAGCGAAGGACACCAGCAATCCAGACATGGTGAACAGAGAATGCAGCACATAGGCATGGTGCATGGCGGGGCGTGCATTGACCAAGACAAGCAAGTTGCACATGTGCTGCATTGCTATCAGTCACACTCGCCATACACAGCAGTGTGTTGTTTGTTTGTTTGTTCATTTTACTTCAACAGATACACAGCGGCATTTCTGCCTTCTCGTCTAACCGCACGGCAAGACTCTCACTAAAAGATGAAGAATGCACTAAGTATAAGAAGGCATGGTACAGAGGGAAATAATGTGAGCATCCACTGATGAGTGTCATGATCATGTGCAATCCTTTTCTGCAAATACATGTAGGACAAAATGAACACATGCACTAGATTCGAATCCAGCACTGCCTTCAATGCAGCAACGGTCGCCTGACAACTGAGCTGATAAGAGTAAGGACTAGCAGCTTACCTGCGTGGATGTACATCAGCCATTGGGGGCAAGAGGTCAGCGTTGGATGCATCAGCGATCTCCGCCAGTTGGCCACCGGCGTCGTTGACGGGCGTTGCATCGTCGTTGTCCGACCCTAGATAGGACAGAGTAGCATCGGCAGGTGTACCAAGCGTGGCGGACGCATGGCTGCCTTCGCTCCTAGCTGACAGCGTTACTGTAGCATCTCGCCTGCTGCTGCTGCTACTGTTCAAACTGGGTGTAGTAGGTGCTGGAGAGAAGGCTACGCTTTCCATGATCTCGTCCGCCTCCTCTGCCTGTCGTGCAGGTGGCACGTCAGGAGGGGCTTCATCCTCTGAACTCGGTGGGACACTATCAGATTCAACTGCGCAAGAGAACACGAAAATACCAGCATGAACCAGCAGGGTGTCGGCAACAGCCCGGACAACAGCAACAGCAGCAACAGCAACAACAACAGCAGCAACAGCAGCAACAACAGAAACAACAGCAACAGAAACAACAACAGCAACAGAAACAACAACAGCAGCAACAGCAGCAACAACAGAAACAACAGCAACAGAAACAACAACAGCAACAGAAACAACAACAGCAACAGAAACAACAGCAACAGCAGCAACAGCAACAGCAGCAACAGCAACAGCAGCAACAGCAACAGCAGCAACAGCAACAGCAACGGCAGCAACAGCAACAGCAACAGCAACAGCAGAAACAGCAACAGCAACAGAAACAACAACAGCAACAGCAACAGCAACTGCAACAGCAACAGCAGCAACAAATTCGATGAAAAGATATGTGCACCTGCACGTACCCTGCAATTCACCACACCAGTGCTAGAGACCCTAAACCCTGCAATTCGCCACACCAGTGCTAGAGACCCTAAATGCATGTATGGCAAAGCATTGCAACAACGCCATACTACCATTCACACCAGTTCAGGGTGCAGCTCATGTTTTGAAAATGAGGCATATTGACAACAAGTCCTGGCTACAGGTCTCACTGTACTTGTCAAGTATAAGAAATATGCACATTATTATTACCCTGCCTCACACCGCAGTTGGCTTTCGCCATCAAGCAAGGAGTTACAGATAAAGCTTTCTTCCCGAAGCTACGCAAAAAAAGACGATACGTAGTGGTGGTGGTGATGTGCGTGCATGTAGGTATGTGCGTGCATGCGAGCGTGTTGGTGGTGGTGGTGTGTGTGTGTGCGTGTTGGTGGTGGTGGTGTGTGTGTGTGTGCGTGTTGTTGGTGGTGGTGTGTGTGTGTGTTGGTGGTGTGTGTATGTGTGTGTGTGTGTGTGTGTGTGTGTGTGTGTGTGTGTGTGTGTGTGTGTGTGTGTGTGTGTGCATGTGTGTGTGTGTGTGTGTGTGTGTGTGTGTAGGTATACGTGTCACGAGGCGGCAAATGTAAGCAGGCAAGAAGGTAGCTATCCAGCATATTTGTTGTACAGTGTACAGTACTGTCGGTCGCCGAAGAACTGGGGGGGGGGGGGGGGGGTCAGCCTCCTAGCCAAGACCATTCTTATTTTCATGTATTACAGTTTATGGGCAGCTGAGTCACCGTGTATACATTGGTATGCTGTGCTTGATGAAATTCTAGCCTAGCCGTTCTTCGGCGCTCCGTTCTTCGGCGCCCGGCAGTACTTAACATGTACATCACATTGACCGTCTCTCTTGTCCAACTACTAGCACTAGTACACCGTAGCCTGTCTTCATCACGCTGAACCAACAGCATGGATTGAATTGTAAACAAAGGCAGCAACTTGTTTTCGATCACTGCTTCCAGGACACAGTCAATCTCCAAGAATGTACACATGTACATGTACCTGGAGTAAGCAGGATATTGACCCGCGTACTCGGGTGAAACTGCACCCTCCTATCAACCCCTCCTGCTCCTCAGTCAGGATTGATATTCGGAAAGTATCACCCTCGTACAGTGTGCTTGGGTAATTTCCTCTACCTCAATTACACTTGCAGGTCAGACGGTCTTCCTTTCCCTGGTTGTGGAATGAAGCTAGGGTGCCATTGTGGTTACACGTCCTCTACAGTACCAAGATATAGTTGCCGATGGCACAGTCGCATAGCATTATCATCGTTGAACAAGGCACCGTGCAGAGCTGGCCTGGTGACTGATCAATCACATGATCCGCCGGCGCTGCAACTACGTCATCTACAACTACAGATTGTCCGGGCCGGCCCGTGACACCTACCCGCACCCGCACACACAGATACGAAATAACGCGCCGTGGACCCTGGCCACACCAGACCCTACTACGTAACGCCGTCGCATAGCTTCGAGAATAAGCGACAATGAATCTATCACTGGGCGTGACGCTACTCGGGGGGGGGGGGGGGGGCCTCAAACAAAAGATCGTTTGACTGACCAGACACGTCGCCCAGCATCCTGGCATAGTTAGGGAATCCATGCTCGTCCTTTCCAACGGACGATGATGCAAATCGCTTCCTGAGCAGGCACAGAAATCGAACATCATAAAAATATTGAATTTATATTCTTTCCATTTCGGGACCGTCCCTAACTACGGGTACCGTATTTGGCGGAGTTTAACGCGCACCTGAGCATAATGCACACCCCATTTTTGAGCAACGTTTTGGCAATTCAAGGTATATCCGGAGTATAATGCGCAGCCTGGGCTTGAGAGCCTTATCGAACATAAAGAGACAGTACTAGTGTATAGTGCGAGCATTGTCAGAATTTATCATAAAGATAGTAATGTGTTCATTGTATAATGCACGTGAGACTGACGGAGTCTTGTACCCACCATGCATAAGTAGTGTAGCTGCAGACACTAGACATGCACACCTAAATATGGCTTGCACAGGGTGAGTGATGGCAAACTTCGCAACAATTTGATGCATTGCAGTACTTTTCAAAGTGTGTGCATTTTCATATTCGGAGCATAGTGCGCATCTGCAATTTGGGGCCTGAAATAGAACATCTAAACTAAAGCGCGCACTATACTCCGGCAAATACGGTAATATTTTGGAAACCAAATTTCGTAAGTTCTGCTCATACCCCTCCCCTCACGAACACACATGCGTATAAAACGAAAACAGGGAGATGCCATGTGGTGAATGTTCAGAAAACGAGCGTGTGGATGTAAGTTAGGTGAAAAGTGAGAGTGCGGTAATGTGCTCCTTCTGAATGCATTACGCAGGAGAATGAATATAGCCTCTAAAACATGGAGCTGACAAACATTACTTGCGTAACGCAAAACACTAAAGCAGGAGTCATCATACACATCACGGGACCTTGGATTGAACATCAAATGCTTAGAAATGGCAGACTTACGGGCATCAACAATCACGTCAGGATTTGTACAATGCTCACAATCTCCCTCACCCTCTACCCCACTCTCACCACCACTATCCTACAATGCTCACAATCTCCCTCGCCCTCACTCTCTACCCCACTCTCACCACCATTATCCTACAAGCCAGTTCCATTTCATCCCTCCGCCTGTTTTCGCTTCTGCAATGTGCGTCATTCAGTCTGCAGGGCCCTATCTCATCCGTTGTTTGGTTGCCGACTCCCTAGTCCGTGATGATATCGCATCTCGATTCTCTTTCTCAGGAACGATTGTAAGTTTTTTTATCCGGTTTATGCATTCAGTGTAATGCATTCAGAAGGAGCACATTACCGCACTCACACTTTCCACCTAGCTCACATCCACACGCTCATTTTCCGAACATTCACCACAATTATGGCATGTCCCTGTTTTCATTCTGGTATATAAGCCAGTATCCAGAGTTACTCATTACTGTTTTCTGATGATCGCTTAGTGCGTGAAACTCGGAGTTAAAACACACGTTTTCATCCTCTTTAATTATTGTTTTCATTCTATATCGTCGTTTTAATTTCCTCCGCTATTTTTCTAATTTGAACACACATGTGTCCGAAAACTTGAGCCGATATTTTCCCAGAGTACATTGATATTTCTTCAACTCATTGCTGGAGCGAGGCCTTGAACCATGTGAACCCCATTGCAAAATTTCGTTCCAAAATATCATTATTAATTCACAGACAATCCCTTTAAAAGTTTATTCTCCTCCTTCCATTCTCTTCTTAATTCAATCTCTCCATTCCCTCTCGTGGTATTGGGATCATGTGCATGTTAGACCCACAGATACAGGTAACGTTTTGACAAAATCAGTATCTTCTGCAGCTTTGGTCACACCTGTCTAAAGTCAATCAAACATACATACCGGCGTCGAGGTCGCTTGAGTTTCGGCCTTGCCATTTTACCAAATGATCAGTGAAACATGAAACCGTTCACGAAAGAACACTCTAGCCAGTTCAGAAAGAACAAATCAGGAACAACTAACGATACGTTGAACAAAGCCAAACGAAGATCAAGCAAGAAGCTGGATCAACTGTCAAGTATCCTATCCCATCCATCGGCCTCGATCACGATAAAATGCATCTGATTTTTGAATTAGACGCCGGTTCTCCGATCCGTATCGTGCTCGTCATGGTGACGCAATTTTTACGACTCGAGTGTTTCTGATAAAAAATTAATAATGATAAAAAGCCGCGAAATTTGAAAGTCTTTGAACGATGTGCACGCTGCTATATACATGATGTGTGTGTGGCATGCAGTTTTTCTTCTTGACTCGACTTGTACGTAATTGTGTCGACATGCATGTCGGAGCCATGATCTGACAAGTGTCAGGCCGACTCAGGTGCCGTCAAATACTAGTACATTTTATCATTCAAGAGTCCGTAACGACTCCCTGGCCTGCTACTTATTTTGCTCCATGTGTTTTCTTGTGCAACCAAAGCTGGCAAAGGGAAAGAAGGGCTTGCCGTGGCACGTGCACTAACCACCACGAAACGTTGTGCTCTGGCATGGGCAAGTAAGTGATTTGCCACTGTAGCTTGCACATTTTACTTCTACATAATATAAGTAACTAGTTATTTTTACTATTTTAGTTGTAGGCCACTAAACTTCTCAAAGAAGCACCCCCCGGCTGCGAAACAACAATTAGTTTAATTACTTTGAATAGCTTTTCACACGCTCTAGCTAGGAGCCTACTTTAGTCGTACTGTAAGAAGCGCAGTATCTGTGCAGGATGCCTGCCAAACGGAAAACAACACGTCTTGAAGAGGACCCCGCTGCTAAAAAGCAGAAGGCAGCGGACCCAGCTGCTGCGTGTGCCAGTGCAGTGGCTACTCCTAGTGCTACCTCAGTAGATGATTTCTGCTTGCTTGATCATCTGACTGACTCTACCTGGAAAGAGTGGCTGGCACCAGAGTTCGGCAAGCCCTATTTCAAAGAAGTGGAGACATTCTTGCGCCAAGGGTACAGCAGCAAACAGGAGATCTTTCCACCGCAGTCCTTGATCTTCAATGCTCTCAACACGACACCGCCGGACCAGGTGAAAGTCGTTCTACTTGGCCAGGACCCGTATCACGACAACGGCCAGGCCCATGGCCTGTCGTTTTCAGTGCAGCGTGGCGTGGCCATACCGCCATCACTGCGCAATATCTACCAGGAGCTGAGTGAAGACATCGACAGCTTCACCAAGCCGCAGCATGGCAATCTACAGCACTGGGCCGAGCAAGGTGTATTGCTGCTGAATGCCACCTTGACCGTGCAGGCACACAAAGCAAATTCGCACAGTAAGATTGGCTGGCAGAAATTCACCGATGCTGTCATCAAGACTGTTAACGAGAAAGCCGAGCATTCGGTGGTGTTCCTGCTCTGGGGTGGTTTTGCCCAGAAGAAAGCGTCATTGGTGTCTGCAAGACATTGTGTTATTAAGACTGCACATCCATCGCCACTGTCTGTGACAAAGTGGCGTGGCTGTCGGTGCTTTTCTGCGGTCAATGATGCACTGTCCTTAGCGGGACGAGATCCTATTGATTGGAAAATCCCGGAATAAAAGTTCAATATGGCTGAATAAAGGTCCAAGGACTTACAGGTGTTTGATGATGACAGGTCCTTCTGCGCTGAAAAGAAACTCACAATTTAACACATTATAAACTCCAATCTCTACGGAAGCTTTTTAATTACAAACTTAGTTCCAACTATGTTTCGATTACTAGTATTCTTTTTCTTTTTGTTGAGAGATTAGAATGAATATTAGGATTTATCCCACCATGTATCAATTGAACACAATTCGAACTGCTCTAGATGTGGCTTACAGTATACTTTGCCGTACTAATCCTCAACCTGCCATAGCCTCTTGTATGAGTGTGTAGGGCTGGATGGATACTTGGATGAACTATTGTTGGTCGGTAGCTTGGCCGGATTGTCACTGCGTGATGAATGTACATGTAGATGTTTTGGTGCTGTGTGTTTGGCATTGCAGCTGGGCATTGATTATCCAAACACATTAGTCAACTGAATCACTGTTCTGGCCTCTAGCTGAACTGCACGATATCAGTTGGAGATGAAGTACTAGTACTAGCTGCTACATGTGTAGCAATTATCGGACGATATACCATTGGCCCTTGGAAATGCACATTGGGCGGTGCAAGACTGTGACACAAGCCTGTATCGTGTAGGGTATGACACACATATTAATACACACACACACACACACACACACACACACATGTGTACTGTGTACTGTGTAGTAGAGTGTCAATTCTCTGCACCCCTCGCATCATTTCTCAGTTTGGCAGTACCACAAGCCATTAGCCAAAACTTCAGCGCCTCAAACGCGATGGCATGCAGATACATGTTGACACATTGTGCACCATCTGAAAGGTGCTCCGGGTGGAGAAAATCAGCAACTCGTCCCTTCAGTGGCTAGTGCTTGCCACTGCTAACAGGCGTATGGGATAAGCAATCTTTTGGATAGTTGACAATCGGATGGTTGGCATTCTACTTGTACTCTACTTCGAAGTACTACAGTGCCTGTATTTATACCAGGAAAACAAAAATTAATGTTCTCCCCATCATCATGATCATCATTTTACTGGAACAGTACAATGTTGTATCATACATGTTAACGACTGTCTGTTCACTGCGTGCATGATGCAGCGCTACAATCATGTAGTCATGGTTTATGGTCGGTGCTGGCAACTGTCCTTCATTACTTAGGCTTCAAGCATGGCATGCTAGTATCCCGCCCTGTATATGCTGTAATTAGCTAGTGCCACTGTCCATTTTGTGTGGACTTTGGCTTTCATGCTACGGCGTAGTAGGTGAGTCATTTTGCATCTAAAACATGGAGGAAAGCAACGGTGTTTCGAATATATAGCCATGGCTTTAAATAAAGGCGCAGACATACAGTTTGAATTTACAGTGCTGGCAACTGAAATCCGACCCCCTACCGTCTCGTACGGATCGCTAACGCGGCTAGCGCACCGCTAGGGAGGGGGGTCGCATTTCAGTTGCCAGCACTGCAGATGTTTCCAGTGATGCAGAATGTCAGACTGAACAAACGACGGTGTTATCGCGATATCAAGGATGAGTGTGTGTGCGTGTTGTGTGGTGTATGTATCGGTCTGAGCTGAGACCACTACACCCAACAATAAAAGTATAACGTTTGCGAACAAGTCACCGAACCAGAACTACAGCACTGCCGGGCACCAAAGCAAGAAGAGGCTAGACATTTACCAGATGCAGGATGCCCTTATGTACGTGGTGGCTCGACTACACAGTCTACATGAAAAAAGGAAAGAAGAAAAAGAACTGTCTAGGCTACGACCGTCGACCCTGAACCCCAGTTCTTCGGCACCAGACAGTACTGCATACACAGACTGTGTGACAGTGCTGAAGGACAGAAACGAGCAAATACGCTGTACGATAACTATGTGCAATGGCGTACTGCAACGCAATCTGATGAAAGTTATGTTCGACCAGCATGTCTAGCATGGCACTAAAGCAATAAGGGATGGAGATACGAGGTCATCTTCTCAAGGTTCGGGGGCAATTTAAAAGAAGAAGAAGAAGAAGCCACAGCAGGAATAGTAAGTGCATGGAAGAGTGCATGGAAGGCGCTTAAAAAAAGAAGAAGAGAGAGTGTGTGCTCTATAATCAAAAACCATTGATAAAACAGATGCACATTGTGACACATGTTGTGAAGCACACACGTCAAGGGTAAAGCCATCTGAAAAAAATGTCCAGTGAGGTCAGCCTACGACAAGCAGAGACACAACTGTGACTGCCAGCCATGCTGAGTAGCCGAGAAAAGCAGAAAGACAACGAACGGGAAATGCTGTACAATGGTGAGGGGAACCAGCCAGCACCAATTACCAAAAAAAAGGACGAGTACTACAAGTACAAATACCTACACGAAATAGTTGACACAAAGATAGACTAGCAAGTTACACAAGCAACTTTCCTCGGTGAAGCTAAAACTATTTGGAGCATTCAATGTTTCGTGGAGACATGGAAGTCAGAGAGGAAGCTAGCAGCAGCAAGATACCAGATCTGCAAACAAACAAGGGGGGATATCATAGTTGCGTGGCAAGTCTTTGTAACTAATATAAAAGTCCTGGTCAAACACAACCGATTTGTGTAAGGTTCTCATTTCAACTGAAAACGAAGGCTGTTGGGGTCATTCAGTAGCGCAGGACCAGTGATCTGTCACACACGCTCCATTCTGCGCACAATACGCTCATACACCTCAATGATTGATTCGTACTGTTGCTGCAAGTGCTTGTGCTGCTCAGGAAGGCTGATATCTGCCATCATGCAGCCAACTTCCTCAGTGCTCAAGTGCTTCCTGACTTTCTCCATGTCCTCCTTTTGTTTCTGCGTGCCAAGCAGAACACACAACAAAAAGAAATTCCATCAACCCAACATTATCTATAAATTTATCATATGAGGAGAGATTTGAACAAAGGATGCTCCTGTTCTCAGGCGCCTGGCGCCTAGTCAATGCATGGTTGGCGGTATCCGACATAGCAGGCTGGTACATCAGGTAGCGCATGGCACATAGAAGATGACACATCAACGACAAAGCTCGTTTGCGACGTAAATTTCGTCCCAGCTGGACTCATCAGCATCGCTTACTAGACAGCAATAAAAGGTGTAGAAATAGTTTCATGATCTCCAGTAAAAGGTAGCACCGAGTTGCCATCACCGAAAGACATTGAACTACTGGAGAAACAAAGAATTCAAGCTTCAATTGGCAAACCTGTCGTAGCATTTGGGCACATTCTGTACTACTTTGTAGTAGATTAGTTACTCGAACCGCATGCGGGACGGATCGGGAGCTGGCTCACCGCCGGTGCTTCCCGGCGCCGATTTGGCTTTATAAACCAGCCCTTAGCAGGCCACGCCGTTTTTTTCTATGTTTCGCGTCACCTTATCCGATGAAATCAATGAGGGAGGGCGAAAAAAATAAAAAGCCATCCAAAAAAAACAGTGTACGTGCATTGCATTTGTGTACAGTGAAGCGACGCGGCACTGTTCATGTACATGAATACATGAGTGTATCCCCTCTGCCATGCTTGTTGTCCAAACACAGGCGGCATGATGATTGTGTGACTTGCAGCCTAGCTTATTACACACACATGTGAGCTGAGTACAATCATGCGAGTAACTACTCATGCGATAAATAGAACAAAATATTTAATTGATGCCAACATAATAGTTACGTGTAACAATCATTTAAACAATCGACGAGGAGACAATAGTCGTAAAATGGCAATAAATAAGATAAATTGTGCACTCATAACAACAGCAAAAATGAAGAAAGTCAAGTTCCATAACGTTTTCTTGTGACTGTCATCAGTGGAACGCCGTCACATAAAAATGTAATAACTAAAACACACACTTATATACATGTAGCTAATATGGTTTCAGGTAGAAATACAGCAGCTAACAAGTACAAAAAGCGAAGTTTGCACCTTTGCAATGTGTGAATATAGTGTATGTGAGAAAGGTAGTGGCAGATGAATGTGACGTTGTATCACTCACACTCTTCAAGTAATATACACGCACCATTACATTCATTCACACAGTATCACATTCATCTGCCACTACCTTTCTCACATACACTATATTCACACATTGCAAAGGTGCAAACTTCGCTTTTTGTACTTGTTAGCTGCTGTATTTCTACCTGAAACCATATTAGCTACATGTATATAAGTGTGTGTTTTAGTTATTACATTTTTATGTGACGGCGTTCCACTGATGACAGTCACAAGAAAACGTTATGGAACTTGACTTTCTTCATTTTTGCTGTTGTTATGAGTGCACAATTTATCTTATTTATTGCCATTTTGTAACAATCATGTTCGGGTTTGTTCCTTTTGGGTTACATTTTCCGGTTTTCTGGGTTTGCATTAAATTTGTATTGCATTTTCAAAAAAAAAAAAATTGTTCCGTTTTTTTAAATTATTTTTTTAACTCCGGCTGTGAAATACATGCGCGCGGGGGACGCGAAAAACAGATAAAAAACGGTGTGGCCTTAGCAAAACGTCTCTTCGCTTTGTTCCATTACGCCAGGTACAGGACCGTTGAACCACGCAAGCAACTGAACAGTCAGACGTTCACTGACCTGGAAAGGCCGATTCAGGCGGTCCTTGATCATGAGGCGATAGTTCTTGCTCTCGACGGGATGTTTCATGTTGGTATGCTGCAGGCGGAGGATCTCGTACACACGCCGTGCCTGCATCTACACAACACACGCAAAACAAAACAAGAACAGCTGGGACCTCTTGGGGAGGGAGAAGTTGTTAAAAGGCTTCCTTTCAAATGGCCCTGCATACTGTCTTGTTATAAGGAAGATCAAACAATCAACGATCAACTGGCTGCAAAGATATTTGTATGCTATCAGCTGAACACTAGTAAGCCACACCATTCGTATTTCCCCAATTGCCTGTATGAATGTCATGCACTGGTGTACTTATCAAATTACACTGCAACGTGTGTGTGTGTGTGGGGGGGGGGGGGAGGGGGAGGTCGCATTGATATTCCATCGAAAATCTTCAAGATCGGGTAGTTCAAGACTGGGATACAGACTTTTCAGTTTCATTTATCCGAGCTATTATTCTCCTGCCCAAACAGGTCTGATCTCGGCGTATAAGGATGACCCAATGCTTGGCCGTAATGTAGATCAGCTAGTGCCGTAACCATGGCAATAATGAATATGCATCACATCTGTCAGAAGTCTAGTTACTAGTAGTGACAAGACACCCTATCCCATAGCAATATACTGTAGTAGCACATGGTGGTAGCGCATATGCTCGCGAACAGGCACACAACTGGACTAGTAGTCCTCATCATACTACACCTGCATCAACAGTAACAGTTCCTATACTATTATAGCGTAGCATGAAGTGATTGATGTTGAAGCAATGACACAGGGTGGCGTACCTTGTTGAGACGGAACTTTTCCCTCGCCTCCGCCGCCATGTCACTTGAGAAAGCACCGTGGATGTGAGGCTCCTGGAAAGATGCCAGGGTTGCACAGTTCCGACAGTCGACGAAGTCCCGCAGCTTTGTGAAGTCATCAGACGGATCTTCGACTGTTGTCAACGAGAACACAGCACAACAACGCACAAGCCATGTCTAGACTAGGAGGAATGAATGGAAGATGGCCGTCACCTTTTTCGTGGGGCAAGTTATCCCATATTTCGCATGTACAGTACAACCAGCTCTAGTACACTTCTGAGTATGACCGTACACAGGTCATGAGCTAGCGTGCAGAGCTTGTAGGACTGTGTGTACGGTTGTAACGTTAGCGGACGTGCCACGGAAAACCTAATATATAATGGCAGGGAGTTGATGCACACGTCCCAAATGGGGGGCATGCGTTCCCAGGGCTCTACATCTACATTCTAGATGAGAAACCTTTCCGCTCTAATTTCAGTTTTCTAGCCACATGTACCGGTATACGCTGCAATGACAATGTTCATTCAAATAAAAATTGAAATAAATGGGCTACTCCCGACAAATCTAAGAATCCCAACACACCACACACATACTGCTGTACAGTCATGTACTTCGAAGTACATGCACGTGTTATGGGAAACTTTCCTGTACACTACGTATTGATCAGTAAATAGCCGGTAGAAGAACACCACACAAACCGGAAGCACTTACCAGCAATATCTACGACGTCCCTTCTCAAGCAAATGTCGGCGCAGACAGCGGTATAGAACTCAGCTAAAAAGGATAGGAAGATACGTACACGAGACTATACAATTATACAAGTACATGACGGCTACACCTTAGCTCAGTGGTTAGAGCATCGCTGGCCTCAAACGAAGGTCCCTGGTTCGAATCCTGGTGGTGACAGTCAATTTTTCTTCAGACTTCTCCTGTTTGTGTCTTTCCATCAAACCAGTCAACAATTACAATTATGAATTATCTTTACTTATAAAGAAAAGGCACCTGTGACATGTGTTTGTCTGTGTGTCACGCAGAAGCGCTGCGGAGCAGCGCTGCCCTGAGCACGCGAAGCGTGCGAACAGTGTAGCTAGCGGCCGCAGAAGCACTGAGCACGCGAAGCGTGCGAATCGTGTAGCTAGCGGAAGCAGCCACAGAAGCACTGAGCACGCGAAGCGTGCGAATCGTGTAGCCACCACCACGTGCTGAGCACGTGTGCTGTTCATGTACTTGCTTCACCCGCATGCCACGTTCGGCCAGGCAACGCTGGCCGGGTGCTGCTAGTACAATTATACAATCGTCGTCACTCAACAGTGGCAACGCATTCTTGACAACATGGACAGTATTGCCACATCATATCAACCCCTGCAATCAATGTATTGCCGCAAACTCCTCCTGCTAACTTTTCGTGTACTGTAATTTCACAATTTTTCGGTGTACTTTTATTTTCGGTACTTTCGGTGCGTCTGTTTCATACCTAAAATTTCAATACACCGAACAAACACTAACACACATAACCCAATAGGGAACTGCTTCTCTGTACCGAAAATTTCTGTTCACCTAACTTAGCTTTTTGCTCTCATACCGAAAATATTGAGCACCAAAAATTTCTGAAATTAGAGTAATTCATAATAACTGTAGTGTGCTTCTTCATGACCTCGTTACACCTCTGTCACACACCCGTCGAACGAGGAGCACAGATGTTCCCCTGCTTCTTTTCCCGAGGATCATATCTGCCGCTGCCACACGCAGCCCTTCATATCAATGTCCCGCTCTCTGGAATAAGTTGCCTGCATCTATACGATCACTGAAGAAACCAGGTCAATTCCGGACCGCTCTCTTACCCCACCTGAAAAATTCACTGACTTACGTTGCTCACTGATCAAATAATTATGCAATCTTTCCTCTGCTGTCTTAAATCCTACTCTTTTTTCTTTTTTCTTTTAATCTTTTCCTTACATTTGTGTGCCTGTAACTTTAGTCGATCTCATGTAATAAGGCAACACTGCCTGTTTGTTATTCGACGTTAAATAAACCAATCCAATATTAGCCAAATATCAGCAGGGTAAAAAAAACTGAACGCATCATCCGGGGGCAAAGTCCCCGGACCCCCATTCTGAGTATTGAGCTGAGTGCGGTTTTGTTTCTTTCTGACTTGGAAGTAGCACTGAAGGAGACTTGAAGCAAACTGCCACGCAACCCCAGCAGTGATGCAGGCCACACCGAAGGAAATCGGATATGCTGGCATGTCCTTCTACTCAATTGAGCAATACCTGGACCACGGCGTACTAGAGCCAGCCATGCTCAGCATTGGACTGCAATACAGAGCGAATGAAATCCTACAACAAAGAATGCCTACCATGACCCTTGGAAAGTGCTAGATACAGTATGCTTTGGCTTGCGGCAAACTTACCTCCGAGACCCTTTCCTTGGTATGGCGGCAAAACTAACATTTGGCTGCAGATGTGGAACCAGACAAGAAGACACGTGCATTCTTGTGGAAGAATGTCGAAGTAAATGTTGAGAGCCCAGTGATCTAGCCAAAGCCGGCTCAGCCAATGTTGTGAACCATTGGTGTTAGTACTGGTCAAGCATTGTTAATACGGGCAGAATGCAGAATGCTGGCTGGGAGGGCGACCTGCCGGCTGAGACAGCTGCAGTCACCCCCATGTAGACTGTAGTGCCCCATATCCTAGGCGTAGGTATGTACAGTACAGTACATAGCACTGGCTACTCAGGCTCAGTGCTAGCTGTCACCCAAGCTCAAATGCACTTGAGTATGCACTTGAGTACGTCAGTAAAATGTAACAGGTTGGGTCATGGTTCGCTGCTTCTGGTGGTGTACATGGCTGTGGCTAGGCTGGGTCTTGTCAGATGACCAATGACTATGTACACTGCATGCAGACATGACCTTGGTGAACAGATGATCCATGCTCATGTAGGTGTTTGCTTCCTTTTTCATATTTTGTTAATTTACCTATAATCACATTCACGTTCACAACTGCCTCATGAATGACCATAATTGGACGAAGCGAAAGGAGATGCAAGCTGCAATGAAAGATTTGTAGTGGTGTGTGTGTGTGTGTGTGGATACGTGACTGATGGCGGGGTCTGGGGGCGCAGCCCCCAGAACGATGCATTTTAACTGGAACGTGTTGGCCGGCTGGCATAAAATCCTGGCTAGACCTCTGAGAGGGCTAAAAAAAAAAGGAGGGCTTGAAGCCTTGAATCAGGCATTTCTTGCAATTCACTGCGTGTGCATGCTCAGCACATAATTATCAAGATGATGCCAAAATAACACCTATAGCAACTCTGGCTGCCAACTTGCGTCCACCATCCTATTGGCTATCGAACACCACACATGGTTTAGCCGAGCAGGAATGGAGGACAGCCATGAGCTACGGCCCAATACAATGCTGATGATAAAGGAGTAAATTTTGGCATATTGCCGGCAAAGTGCTCAACGCACAAAGTGCAGAACGCTTCAAACGAAAAAGAGAAATAGGGTCAGTTTAGATTCGTCGTAACTTAAAAAGTTTCATGCTACTGCAATCATCAGACGACTACAGATGAAGTAGCCGAACAGTACACATGCATGGAGCTTAGTGTCACCTCTCACCTAACCCGCGGCCGCACCTTGTCGGGATACGCATAGTAATTGTATACGGTGATGAAGCCGACAAATCTCTGTATGGCATCACCTCGCGCGTTGTTCTGCACTTCAAACCTGCACCAGAAGCATACCATCAAATCAGCAGACGGAATACCTCAGAGTTATAGCCCGAAAAAAAGTAGGGAAAAAATAGTTCCTTAATTTTTTGCCAATATAATTGCTCATTTCACTTTATTCCCTGTAAGCGTCCATAATGAGAAGGGAACGAAAACGTTTGGTTAGGTTTTCGCTATGTTCTCCTTCCTAGACTTGCGCGGACGACGCAGATGCATGTACTCCATTGAAGAGTAGATGACTTGCATAAAGATCTGAGCCGCGAGTGAGACGGGGCAAACTCTCAGTGCACATGCGCACACTTGTAGGCCTACGCCTGGCACCCTGCTATGTTGGTCAGCATGATGATGAGCAATACATGCGCGGACAATGCATGTACAATAAAACACCCCTAACCCGGGCAGGTTGGGACCGAGCACTGCCCGTAACTAGGAACTGCCCGTAACTCAGAACTTACACACTTTAGGGGCCGTCCGTAAATATCGAACTTTTTTCACCAAACGAATTATTTTAGTTTAGACCCAACCCCTCCCTCCCTCCCCCTCAGAACGTAAAAATTGTTGACATATACATACATATACAACAAAAGTCGCAAGTGTGCCACTGCTCCTGTGGCCATGTACATATATCGAAGTTTTCTGAAACGAAATTGGTCAACCCCCTCCCACCCCATAACGAAATTATTATTTTCGTTTCGTGAAAAAGGTTCGATAATTATGGACGACCCCTTACTGCATGCAAGTAAACAGTTGTTGATGCCAATCAATAGTTTCTGGGGTCGTTTCTCGTTGAAAAGCCATTTTTTGTGACTCTAGAGTCTAGATGGGTCAGAAAGGTGCCTGGTAGATGGACATGCCCGGATTAGGGACGTCCGGAGGGGGGGTCTGCCAGGGAGTTTACTGTACCTCATCGGCTCATGTACAATCAATGCACTCAATGCACTCAATGCACTTTTTCAGTGGTTAGCTCGACGACGAGTATGGCGGAATCGAAAGAGAAGAGCTCTTCCTGTGGTGAAGAACATGATGATTCCAGCTTGCTCCATGAAAGGTTGCCGACCAAAAGCGTTTCCTAACCAAGCATGGGTCTATACGTACAGGATGGAAAGCGGCTCTTCTCATGCGAAGTTAACTATAGTAGACACATGAACTGCTCGAGCAAAATTCGGTATTTGGTTTCTTTCTCTTCCTGGTATTTTCCTTCTTAGTGCTCTTTTCTACAAGGACAACAGAGATGCCGCTCCCAGTAAGTCTTCGACAACGGAACAACCGGGGAAGAACGTCAAGGCGGTAAGCTTTCCTTCGGAATATGCGGCATAGTCATACGAACCACCATCTTTCCCTGTTGTCACGTCTCCAATAGTATTCGGCCACCTCATAGAGTCCAGAAAGGCAGCCCATAATCCGACCAGCGAAAAGCCGGAACAGCCTGACGTTGTGCTAGTTTGCAGACCCCTGGATAGGACAGAAGCACCGCTCCTTGGAGGATACGTGCATAATGTTGCTGTGTGCTGCTGCACTCAGTCAGACACCGAGTGCTCTGTTACCAGTAAATGTTGGGCTAGCCAGAAAAAGTCAACTCGTTATAGCCAGAAGCTTGTAGTGAAGAAACATGACAAGCAAATCACATCGATGTGAGTGCATGGCAGGAGGCTGTCTGTGGAGGACTGTGTTCTCATGCGCTGGCCTTACTCCTAGTCCTTCAGACATCCCTAGCAGTACACCAGAGATGGTGACAGAGTCTGTAAGCAGGACATCCCTGCCACCGAGCTGGGGTCCTCGGAAACGGAGTCCAGATTCTTGTCTGGTCATGGATATTATAGTGGAGAAGCCTCGCGCAGCCGAATCACGCAAAGGGTGCCCTGCTGGCTGCAGTCTATATGATGCGCGTGGGCCCAAGATGCAGCATCTGTCTACTGGTGAGCTGACAGAGAGAGAGAGAGGGGCATAGTAATCGCACTTTCCATTTTATTTGTATGACGAGTGAGCTGTCGATAGGCGCAGCCGAATCACGCAAAGGGTGCCCTGCTGGCTGCAGTTTATATGATGCTCGTGGGCCCAAGGTGCATAGTAATCGTACTTTCCATGTTATTAGTATGACGAGTGAGCTGTCGATAGGTCTGGTACCATGTTAACAACAAAAATAGTGCTGTTTTGATAGTGAGAGGGTAAACACTAGGTGCGTTCAGATCAGGCTGCAGCAGCAGTATCAAGCATGAAGCAGGTTGTGAGGGGCAAAACTGGCCATCAGTCCTTTCTCCACACCGTGCTTGATGGACATTCCTTGGAGCAAGTTCCTTCAATACAGCATGGGAGAAGAAAAATGAAGATAATGCTGTCCAGTGCTACGTGGCGATATAGCAGAAGCAGGGACGCCCAGTGGATGTCCGGCATTGTGGTCTCGGTCTGCACGAGGAATATCACTACACCGGGGCATCGCCAGATGGCATGGTCCAAGATCCATCTGCTCATCCTATCTACGGCCTGCTGGCAGTTAAGCGTCTGCATTCCAAGCATGGCAAATCAGTGGAGGACACAGCAGGCGAGGCAGGACTTCGTCTCAGCATGTCAGAGGGCATGTCCTTCCCTGGACACAAGTCATGCTTATTATTTCCAGATTCAAGCCCAGCTTGGTGTGTGTAATCTCCAATGGTGTGATTTTGTAGTGTGGCTGGCCCAGTGGGTGAAAGTGTCCACTTGGAGCACGTGCTATTTGAGCTCTCTTTTTGGCACGGTTCTATCCTGCATCCAGAAGTAGCGTTTTATGTTACACGTGCAGTTCCGTACTTCATTTGCGCCAGCGATCTCTGCTCCCAAATGCTATCCCAGAGCAATCTTCTAAGCCCAAAGACAATGTTCTCAACCTCAGACGTGGCCCAGTGCTCTTTCTGTGCCAGAGGATAAACATCCTATTCGTGATTGCGAGCTGTGCTTAGTCAGTGAACTTTCTCAGTTTACCATTGACGGTTGAAATGAAAGCAATGCATGCACCATTTATAGCTTGTCTTTTTTCGTGAAACAGACCTTGCTCACGGACGGAGTCAACGTTGGCAAAGATGCGATGTGCACAGCCATGCACCAGCTCCAGAGCAAACCTCTCACGAGGAGAGACCACGGATAGGCCAGAAACATGCTGAGGAGTTGAAGTTCAAGTCACTGAAAAGGAAGAGATGGGAGACCGAGCGCGAGAGGCAGCTGGCCATAGAGGTATCAGGAGAAGCGCTATAAAATCCTCAGACCTGATGTCGTACTGCTGAAGTCTCAGTTGTTCTGATATGACATCAACAACCCTGAGCAGCTGAAATACCTAATAGGACTTTCCCCAGAGACTTGGCACTGATTGTGGAAATTTCTGAGGTCCTCTGACTTCAATATATTGAGTGATAAAGCGTCAAAAACCTTGGCAAAGGGTCGCAAAGTTGCACCAAGGAGTGGTCGGAAGTCACAGATATATCTTGATGACCAGCTGCTATTAAATGACGATGATGCGGCTCCGACTGGGTCGCACGTAAAATGAACTTGCATACCTGTTTGTTTCTTAGGCTGTGATCGTTTGATCGGATCCAGATCCAGATCCAGATCCATAGGATCCACTTGATCTACAATGATCGATTGCTCGAATCCAGATCCAGATGCATCAGATTTGGATCCGAGCAACCCTGCCCTTGGGAGCTGGGTTGACTGGATTCAACGGATTCAATTTTGCCAAACAAGACGTTTCTACGTGCTTGGCGGGTACAAAAATTGTTATACGGATATAATACGCATCCACGTGCACATGGACAAACATTGCACCACGCAGATGAGTGCGGCGAGAACAAGCTCTGGAGTAACTTTTCGATTGTCGTTTTTCTACCTCAACATGGTCACGGGAGCAGTGTGTTCCAAATGTGATCGGTTGATTCTCAGGGATCCAGTGGATCTGGATCTGACGAAACAATCACAGCCCAAGACGGAACCGAGTCCTTTTTCCGGCATTGACAGACTCACTTTGTACTGGATTCCACTTCCATTGCGGGAAAGTAGCCATACTCTAGAAAGGGAAAGTAGCCATGCTCTAGAAAGCGTTGACCGCAGACTACAGTATTTCCAGTGATACTAAAATCTTCCTCCTTTTCATCTCGATGTATGGCATGAATCCATGTCTTTCTCCGCTCGGGTTCGGAGGGGGTATACAACTTTTTGGACGAACGTGCGTATCTCCCCCAGTCTTTTTCCAAGCGGCCTTGTAACATTATGTTTGAATTTTTAAATTCAAACAAAAAACGTGACCGCGTGTACAGGTCAAGAACTGTGCCTGTGTGCTGACACGATCACCCGTTTCGGAATTTCACCGCAGACGTAAACGGGAGTCAGTAACATAGTGTGATGACGGCCTAAGCAATCACTTTCTTCATTCTTTTTCCTTCTCTTGCCATGGCTGGCTAACGCCCCCTCCTTTTCATTGGCTTCTGCCATCATTGGCCGGTGAAATAAAATGAAAATAAAATTAAAAAAAAATTAAATATTGCCTCGTCACACAAAGCAATTACGGGAAACTTACAACGTGTAGAACATCCAACGGTCATCGTCATCATCTACACAACGCACACACAATACAAGAAAAATACAAACTCCAGGCTTTTATAACAGATTTACAGGTCAGACCTCGCTATAACGTAATCTCTGGGGGATGGGAGAAATTATGTTATAGCGAGGTTTATGTTATAGTGAGTTGGGCACACCAATATGCAATATGTATGTCAAAATGACGCTCTTCACTTACTGACTACAACTGTACTGTTTTACATACAGGTATGGTGATGACTAGCAAAGATGTGTACATGTGTACAGGCTTGTCAGCAAAGAGGTGACAAGAGTCATGTAGTGCGTGTACTTGTACATGTGACAAGACACTAGAGCCTATAAAAAGTAATGGGAGTAGTAAAATACCGGTATTTTACTACTCCCTGCTTCCGAGGTGGACGGCTCCACGATCCAGTCTCGAATTCGTCGCGAGATCGAGAAGGCATGCATGCCGTGGTAGTCATTTTTATACGAGTTTTTACGTTATGCTGAGGTCTCCGTGCGCCCGGGACCCAGCAAACCGTGCGTTATAGCAAACATTACGCTATAGCGAGGACATTTTGTACAGAAGTGATGCGGTTTCAGCAGGGACATTCACATTTGTACGTTATAGTTAGGTTTATGTTATAGCGGGGGTCGTTATAGCGAGGTCTGACCTGTATACCGGACTCACTATTATACGGCAAATAAAATGTTAGCCAAAACTGTCCCCGGGATTCACAGAAGCATGTTTGCAATGCGATCCGCAATGCGACGTGATCTGTGATGTTGAAGTGCAATGTGAACTCGCAAAATAGTAAAAATACCGCCTGCAGAAGAAGGCATTCATACAGCAAAAAAAAACACAAACAAATCTTGAACCTAGCGGACAACTTTCGCTGCAAAAAAGGTTCAAACTGCATCGCATTTCAAAATTTCAAGCTCACCCTCTGCGATCGGCCAGTTGCAATGCTTGTGCATGCTGCGCAGTGGGTGCAATCCGGGGTTTTCCCGGTTTTACGGCTGTCGCATCGCACATCGCATCTTTAATTTAAAAAATCCTTCAACCGCTGTCAATTCAGGTCACACGCCGTGCACACCGAGTACAGGGAAGGACCTGCATGCGTGTGAAAGTCACTATGAAGCGTAAAATTAACAACCGGATGCTTGAGAGTATCTGGCACACATGCAAGCATGTAGAGCCCAACCCGGCCACTCACCTATGAAGGACGAACCATCGATGAACCACAGCAAGAATGTGCGGATACGCCGATGGAAGCGAATAAAACCGGGCGTGTCGACAAGATTCTGCAGCCAGTCACAACATAGGATATTCTTCAGAGAATGACTATGGAGTGTCTACAGTTAGTCCTTGGCCACTAAGGAAGATCCTTCATGACTGTGCAGTGTAAACTGGAGACATTGAAGATTCTGCTGATCAACAAGCTCCGTCGAGTAACAGACACAGACTATGGCAATTTTCTATTTGATGCACTGCTGTTATTCTTGGTGTAGAAGCAGGATCACACAGAATACAGTACGTGACCCAGTGATAGACAACTCACCTTGTAAACCCGATAGCTGCTGGCTGCATCCTGGGGCAAGCGAAACTCAGACAACATCTGGCCAGTAGGTGCAAACTGGTCGGCAGTAGACAGCGATGCTATCAGCTGGTCTTTACTGGTCAGAAAGTCTGCGGGGCATAGCAGGGCGAGAATAAGTAGTGAAGGACACCCACCCACAGGCGCACATACACCCACAGGCACACACTGTCAGGACTCACGGCTTCTGTCAATACATGATCCAGGCCCGTACCCAGGGGGGGGGGGGGGGGGGGGGCAATTTCCGCAGATCAAATGCAGCTACCAATTTTTCAAGTTTTTGTGAAGGCGCGGTGATCAATGCTACTACGAGTCTCGTACTCAGACGCTGCATCCTAGGGTTCCCTGTAAAAAGGCGCTGACGCCTGTTGGGAATTCCCTAGTAAAAGAAGAATAAATAATAATATAATCCAGACCACAGGCGGAAAGGTTCAGGATCCGTACTCCAGCACAGTGACCATGAGTCATGACTCACGAGGCATGAGCATGCGTGTGCGTGGATTCTACGTATGTAGTGCAGTCAACAGTCACTAGTTACCACCACGTACCGGTCTGCACCGACCCGTACTGATCTGCACCGACCCATACTGGTCTGCACCGACCCGTACTGATCTGCACCGACCCATACTGGTCTGCACCGACCCGTACTGATCTGCACCGACCCGTACTGATCTGCACCGACCCACGTGCAAGTGTCTTTTTAGTGAGAGGCCACCGTGCGCATTCAAGGTCATTTATGGAACAGTGACTAGTTTAGGGTCGACCGGTCGTGCTCGATCGCGTAACCTGAGCTCACGAGTGCAGACATGTTCAGCATGTACAATGCAATAGTGTCAGCATGGCGGAACACGGTTCTTCCACTTTCGGAGTGCGCTTTTCTACGTTCGTGCGTGTGATGGTGAAGATCACACAGTCACTCCAGGCGATTAATCCTGCAACCGTTTCTGCTCGAATTTCAACTGTTTTATTTCAACTTGAGATAGGCTTGCGCTCAAGCACTACCATGGGGCGTCCTGAGCAAAAAGAAAGAGATCGAAAGCGCTCTGCAGCTGGTTGTCAGCGTATATATGTATCGATAACCATTTCGCTCCCGCCAAACGCACTTGTGGTAGCACAACCAGTGATTGTTCGACAGGCGAATCACCTCCTGAACCGGCTGGAGACGTCCCAGAGTCTGGTTCTGCAGCTTGCAACAGTCGGGTTAGCAGCTCTAGTGAGGTGGCATCTGACCCTCTCGTACTCGCTTGCAGCGTGCATGCAGCATTGGACAAGGAAGAGCAACAGGGGAACAATTTCGAAGCACCAAACTCTTTGCCGCTGGATGTTGACATTGTGAGGATAGAAGAAGACTGTCAGGAGCAACAAGTCAGGATAAAACTGAGAAGTTTATCAACTGAGGAGAAGTATGCCCTGCTGAAGAATCATGCCTCACCATCAACCGACTTTGTCTTCCCCACAACATTCGCTGGTGGTTGCAATCGAAGCTTTCGGCGAACATGGCTTGAGGACAACGGATGGCTAGTGTACAGCACCATGTTGGATGGTGGGTTCTGTGTACCATGTGCTCTATTTAGCACAAGCACAAGTGGTGGACAGCTTGTCACAAGGCCATTCAGAACATGGTACATGGATAGCAGGAGGAGCCGAATTCATTGCCCGTGGAAGTACCCACGATGGGAATACACTGTTGGGAACTTGGTGCCGATGGTGGTGGTCCAATCAATTAAATTTTACTTTCAGCCAATGGTCCTGGTAAGTGGAGATACCAGTGGGCAGTGTTGACGTTCTGTCCAGTGATTTGCCAGAGATAGTTTGCAAGTGATAGCACGAGCCGAATTCATTGCCCGTGGAAGTACCCACAATGGGAATACACTGTTGGGAACTTGGTGATGGTGAAGTAACAGTTGGGTGGATGGTGGTTGTGGCGGTGGCTCCTTTCCTCTGCTGAGAGAACCCCTGTCTGTTCTTTGCATCGCCATGCGAAAGAGAGTAGTGGATGCTGGTAACGCTGAGTCAGAGAACTTCGTCTAGTGCTGTGGCCAGGGTGTCAAATAAGTTGCTCAGTGGGTGAGCAATGATATGATGTGCTTTTCGTCCTCTTTTTCGTAATTAAAGAATACATCTGAACTCTGGACAAGACCCACATGTTGTGTGATGGGGGGGGGGGGGGGGGGGCTGGTGCAGAGCCTGGAAATAGCCTCATTTTAGATGTATGCACATTTAAACGGTGGATGCTTCCCGCCATCCTTTTCCCGCTCTTCTTTTCCCCCTCTTTTCTCCCCTTTTCTGCGAGAAGATTAGCCTCCTCCCCAACTACACATGCGATCAAGAAGTTCCACCCGAAGACTGGAAGAGCCACCCCAGTTTGAATCCTGCGTACGGGCCTGACATCTGACTGGCTCGGACCACTACACCGAAGTTATCCCCCCCCCCCCTCCCCCAGGTAACACAACAGAACTGTACTGACCGTAACTGCCAATACACAGCAGCCAAGGTGTGTGTCACCTCAAACAATGACGCAACCAAGACAGCAGTGCAGTCCGTTCAACAGCTATGCATACCTGCTTCGGGTAAGTTCTGTGCAATAGTTCCATAGATGTCGTCGGCCTGTGTCCAGTACAAAGCAATCCAACGAGAAAGAAAAAGGGGGGGGGGAACAGATGTACATGCATTAGTCCAGGAGCTACAGATACAGTCTGAGCAAACACCCTACTACAGATACAGTCTGAGCAAACACCCTACTACAGATACAGTCTGAGCAAACACCCTACTACAGATACAGTCTGAGCAAACACCCTACTACAGATACAGTCTGAGCAAACACCCTACTACAGATACAGTCTGAGCAAACACCCTACTACAGATACAGTCTGAGCAAACACCCTACTACAGATACAGTCTGAGCAAACACCCTACTACAGATACAGTCTGAGCAAACACCCTACTACAGATACAGTCTGAGCAAACACCCTACTACAGATACAGTCTGAGCAAACACCCTACTACAGATACAGTCTGAGCAAACACCCTACTACAGATACAGTCTGAGCAAACACCCTACTACAGATACAGTCTGAGCAAACACCCTACTACAGATACAGTCTGAGCAAACACCCTACTACAGATACAGTCTGAGCAAACACCCTACTACAGATACAGTCTGAGCAAACACCCTACACCAGCAATGCAAGTACAAGTATAACTTTGAAGTAGCATTGAAATCAGCAGTGGGATAGAACTTCAGGTGTAGCAGCACACTTTACTCATATTTTCACCACCCGTGTCTTATTCTCTCCCTATCGTACTCTGGTTTATTATTGTGTTACTTTTTCCCGTACAAGAGGCTGTTATGTGACACTTTACTCATATCTGCGGAGAGCAACTGTTTCACCCAGCAGTAGTGATGTTCAATGTGAGCAGTGTGAGTGATCTTCCAAGTGCACATGTTGGGTCTCTAGCACAGGATGCTGACGCACTCCCTCCCCCTCCCTCCCCCCCCCCCCCCCCCACCCCCAACACCCACACGCATGCATGCACACACGCAAACACTTTGACTTAGTACACCGCACGTGCTCAGCAAAGCACGTTGAAGCAAAAACAGTCCGGATTACCACACGTCATCTCAGACTCATCACTCTGCCATACGGTCAACCCCCGTGCACACACTAAGCTAATTTCATTTCTGCTGCGTGTTCGTTCCGGAAATGACCAGGTCAAAACCATCGACATGGTCAACATTGACTTGCCAGCGAGGACAAATAACGGTGTAGCAGAGCAAACACAACCGGTAGGCTTCTCCAATACACAACTGATAGCTATTACTTTTCAATCAATGAAACACAGAGAAACTGCGGGGGGAAAACTGCTGACCTTGACACCACGGTACACTTTAGAGTCGACCTTGCCCTCATTGGTGATGCTGAAGTACGGTGTCATGCGAGAGGCACAGTAGTACAGCTCCACGCGCAGCGACCGATATCCAAATATCACCTCACTGCCAGCAGAGACAATGCAACAAACACGCATGGACGCACGCACAGACACACACACAGACACACACACATGCACGCACACTCCCAGATACCACATACAACAGCAATCCAGCAAACCGGGGTACACTGGTCACCTTTCTGACACACTAGGATTTCTAGGGTGGTTTCTTTACCCTTCCTTCTGCTACATCATCTTACTCCGACATCATCAACAGTCTACAGTAGGCACGCTACACTGACACAGATATTCGACACAGGGCTGATTGAAACTCTCCACAACAACAAAATGCACTCGTGTGTTGCACACAGCACACGAGGTACTATGGTTATGCTTAGAAAGTGCAGCACAGGTACACAAGATCCTAAGATGGGCTGTCTGCTTGAAAGGCTTGCTAGCACAGTACATGTACCGTGTAGGTTTCAACAGATAGCATCGCCATGGTTACATATCAGACTCCAATGACAAGCTGATCCATCCTTTCACACTCCAGATGTTCAAATTCAAAACATACTTAATTAATCAAACCACAGTTACATCCAAAGCCGAACAAAACCTGGGTCTTCTTTTTAATATAATTTTACAAGACAAGTGTTGTTCATATCACAGTGGTGAAGCCGGCAGCAGCGGTCAGTACTCACTTGTCACTAAACAGCTGGTGAGTGTACTCGGGATGAAATGACTTCTGCTCATCATACACATCTGCCTCCGATGACACTGTGTGTGTGGGTGTGCGCAGAGATACAGCACAATGCAGCAAATTATTGAGTGTGCATCTTGTATAGGCAGCAGAGAATTTAGTAGTATTGGTAGGATAATGGTATCTCCTACAATAAAAACAAGCAGATCTTGGACTAGCAGACCCTTGCACAGGACCATAGCAACCATCTCTGAAGAACAGCATGCAATACCATGCATCCTTCTTGGGACTGTTACTCCGGCTTAGCCTGCATAATGCCGTCGTCATTGTTAGGATTCTACGGGCAAAACTTTAAAATTCTGCTCGTGACTTTTTTTAACATAAATGTTGGCAACTTCAGGTCCAGCTACTACAATTATTATAGTATCATCTTCTCCAATGGGTATTCATGACACATGTACATGTATTGCATTGTGATATTCTGCTACTACAGTGCGTGTGTGTGTGTGTGTGTGTGTGTGTGTGTGTGTGTGTGTGTGTGTGTGTGTGTGTGTGTGTGTGTGGCGGTCAATTCATCAGCCTTGCAAGCTGTTGAATGGTGTAATCCCAGCACAAGTTGCTATGTCTAACATAGCTGTTCGCTATCATCGCTTCCGCGATGGGCAGGTCTGAGGTCTGAGGTGTGTGTGTGTGTGTGTGTGTGTGTGTGTGTGTGCGTGTGTGTGTGTGTGTGTGTGTGTGTGTGTGTGTGGTTCATCCTGGGTGTGTCCCGGCTCGATCAACAGCTGCAGCATGTCAACAACCAGGAGCTGCGAAGACGCTGGGGTGATATGGCACTGCCATCTGATACCGTCAGACACCGCCGTCTGCAGTGGCTTGGGCATGTCGCCAGAATGCCAGACAACCGGCTTCCGAAGCTGATACTGTTAAGCTTCTTCTCAGATCCACGCCCAGCCCGTGGGCCACGACTGCGATGGAAAGACCTCATCGCACGTGATCTTCGTTTCGGTGGCATCGCGGACTGGCTCACTTTGGCCCAGGATCGCCCAGCATGGCGCGAGGCAATTGCCAAGACTCCAGATGATCTCGTGGAGTGCAACAACAACAAAGTCACCTGCAAGGTTTGCAACCGATCATTCACTGCTCGTGGGATTCACCATCACAAGTGTTCAGCTGTACAGTCCTTACCTGTTGCCCAGCAGCCTGAGGCTCGTCACTGTGGAGTTTGTGACCGCTGGTTTCAAAGCGCTGGCGGTTTTGCAGTTCATCGTTGTGTGGAGCGTCAGACATCGGACAAAATACCAGCTGTTCCAACGAGATGCAGCCTGAATTTGAACTGCTGCCAGCACCATTGCTCGACCTGTGATCGCTGCATGAAGAGTCAGGCTGGTTTTAATCGCCATAATTGTACTCGAGGCAAACGACTGCGAAAGGACCAGAGGACTAATCTGCCCATTCAATGCAGCCTATGTAGCGAACGATTCTCCCGCCCGCAGGACCTCACCCGCCACCGAAGACAGAAACACTGTGTGTAGAATGGTCCCCTTTCACCTCAATTACTCTCCTTGTTTCTTTTCCTTTCTTGCTGTTGTCTCCCGCTTCTGGGAGCGACGTGGCCATTTTGTGGCAGTTGTACATAGTAGTAGTAGTAGTGTGTGTGTGTGTGTGTGCACGTTTGTGTGTGTGTATGTGTGTGTGTGTGTGTGTGTGTGTGTGTGTGTGTGTGTGTGTGTGTGTGTGTGTGTGTGTGTGTGTGTGTGTGTGTGTGTGTGTGTGTGTGTGTGTGTGTGTGTGTGTGTGTGGTACATGGTGTGTGTGTGTGTGCGTGCCTACTACAAACATGCCAATCACATCATTCACACAGACTGGTCTGAGTGTACACGTGATTGTGGATGATCAAGAAGCCAATACTCATCATACCTAGCTTTAGGTGAATAGCTTTATTGGCACTGCACAGGTACTCCTGCAGTTCAGCAGCGATATCTACACAGCAACCACAACATAGGTACTGGGTGAAACATGGAAATAATGAATTGAATAGAAAATATCTTATACGAACTCCCACCTGACATAGCGTCCAGTGACTTCCGCAATTATTTCACTTAGGGTCAGATAAAAGTCTCAAAGAATCGGTCCAGCAATGTTCACTTGCTCACTCTGTTTGTTTCGTTGAAGATTGTCTGCCTGAGCGTCAACCAGACTTCATGAGGGTTTGAAACTATGAAACATGCTTTTTTGAAGTTTAGTGTCATCGTGCATGCATGATCCTTTGAGCTTCGCGCCATTTCGCGGGGTTTTGACTTTTTGCACTTGCCTTTATTTTTTGCCTATTTTCCGCATCCGGTGAGCTCCATTTTGCTCCGGAAAAACGTGTATTTTATCCACTTTTCGTACAACGTTTCATAAAAATCGCAGGGTCGGTTTCTCAACACGGGTTTTCACACACGTGTCCCTGGGTTCTTCCAAAATCATGTGCAGGTCCACAGTGAATCCCAGTGAGTGATATTTCGGTGACATGATCTCGTCCTCTAATTGTCCTGGGCAGTGTATGATGCTGAACGGGTGAGAAACAAGGAAATCCAAGTATCAGGCGTCGATTTTACGCAACATCTCGATATTTTGCCGGCAATTTCCGTTTTTTAAATTCTCCGATATTTTGCCGAAAGAATTGCCGGCAGGATCTGTCTGGGCCTACCGGGTGAACATAGAGTCATAGACCATGTAGACTGATAGTGACGATGTGACTATGGACTATGGTCCTACAAAATAAAGCTTTTCTTCCACAGGCAAATTTGGACCCGCTATCATGGTTGTACAGTGCATAGCTTGACTCAGTGGTCAGGTGGTAGGGACTAGTAAAAACGATTCCCTACTGGTACAGTGTGACTAACATTAAGTTTTTACTTCAGGAAGTACACTACATCACAACAATGGCCAGTGCAATCACCATTATCACCAGCATATCTCCTTGGAAGAGCAATTAATTATTCGCACACCGGCACATGTAACGTTAGGCAGCACTTGAAGCAGACAGATATTTGCAATGCAGACGTGTACACATACGTAGAGTAGTGTATTACGGCAGTCGCCAAAGCCAGTGCAGTATTGATAAACTACACCGAATACTACAGCACTGCACACGCTTCCGTACTGCCCACAGCACTTGTACTGTAAAGGCGGAAAGCCCCAGTGGCGTATCGGTAGCATCCTACGCCATGCCCATGTGCACAGCCGGCCAACCAGAAGGCTAAATAAAGAGCAGAGGCAAGCACTAGCAAGCACTGTTGTATATTATGATATCAGTGATTGAGTAGGTTATCGTGATCCATACAGTACAACTGTAACTAATAGCACAGGCTAGTATCCAACAGACACGGACAAACGACCGGTGCAGGGTGAAAACAGCTAACAAGCAATGCAGAACTAGCGTCGCTAGCAAACCGTGACGAGGCCTACAAGCAGATGACCGTAGAAGACTGTCCGAAAAACAAAACATACGAGTGAGCGAGGCACGATGTCGCCAATGGTGCTATGCTAGTACTAGAGATGTGTGCATAAGAGCGTACTATGCGTGGTTAGTGGACTGTATTCAAGTCAAGTGTGTGATGAGGTTAAAAACATTCTACTATAATGATCGTGATTCGTGTTACCGTAGATGCTACTAAACAAAACAAGACACATTGCTCGACGGCACGCTGATAGCACAATAGACGAGGATGTTTATATACGAGAAACGCTGCATCTACACGACGGGGAAAACGAATACAAGTAATTTCTACCTAAGAGTTAAGTGATATAGTTATAGTGATCTTGTATAGAACCGCATCTCTGGTCGTAGCGCGGCGAAATAATTAAAATCAATGTGGTATAAATAAAAAAAAAAGCAGGCGTTGTACTGGCCTCATGAAGCAGCTAAGAGATCGTCATAGAGGCACAGCAAAAGTGGCGACACTCTCAAGTACGAGCTACTCTGTGTGTGTGTGTGTGTGTGTGTGTGTGTGTGTGTGTGTGTGTGTGTGTGTGTGTGTGTGTGTGTGTGTGTGTGTGTGTGTGTGTGTGTGTGTGTGGTGGGGATACATAAACCATAATGAAAATACCCATAGGTGATAGTGAGAGTCTCTAGGCCGAATCACAGAGGCTGTAAGCTATGCACGTCACACACCCGGGACATGCAGAGCAAGTCTCAAGCTGCTATCAAGAGTGATATAGATAGGTGATGCGACATACCGGTGGTACTAGTAGGCTACAGTAGGATGTATCAGGTAGGTTCCGTCATGTTGACTAGACTGAGGATGTCATGCCATACACACCTACATGTAGTGAGCCGTTTGTCTAGCCAAGTCCCTGCCGCCCGGGCTGACGATACGCATTGATCGGTTCTAGAATACCGTGGCCACTTTGGCCTAAACCCATTCCGGGCTGCCAGCCCATGTTGCGCAACATCTGGTTTCCCAAGTTGTTGTCTCCGATTGGTGGTCCGGACGGATGAACTGCAGAGCAAGATGTGAAGTACAATCACACAGCGGCTTTAGAAAATCAAATGCAAACAAAGCTAGTAGGGGACCCACCATACCTGTACGCTTCAATCAAAACAGCCAACGATACTATTTCATACAAAGAGGGGTGCATGAACAAGAGTCCTCATTTTGAGCTGCAACGGAACCGCAGACAGTTTCTATTGCATCATTTTCTTGATGGAAGTGTAATCAAGGGTGTGGACCTTCCATGTTTGTCATACAATACGGTGCAGATCATCCGGCTCTGAACACCCTGACCTACTATCCGCCATTCCACTTTGACTACCGTAGCTGCAACATCCAAGTTCTTTCCGCCTTTGATCTGCAGCTCCAGTGGCTAGGCACGATGGCATCAGCAACAACCAGCCGCAAAACGAATTTTTCAAATAGCAAAACTCCAACATGATCCAAGAGATCGCCTAGTTGCATACTGTCACTTATGTACTTGTACACCTGATAGAATAGTGTTGTACATCAAGTACCAGTACACTACATGTGCACATGGATGACTTACACAGTTTTTAGAATACAGTAAAACCTGTGTTTGCCGGACCCTGTACCAAGCGGAATCCTGTATTGACCGGGCAATTTGACATTCATGCACCAAAGTGCTGTGGATCGAACGTGCATCCCCGGATCAAGCGGAATCCTGTCATATCAGGACAGTTTCCGCTGCACCAAGGCAAGGGCGTGCGGTTAGGGCAGGTGTTACTGCACAGTACCGGTGCACATGGATGGCTCACAGAGTATGTGTATCTGATCATGGCGGCCACACCCAAAATAACACCAGCAAGGACACTGTACTCACATCTTGAGGCCGAGTCAGTGGGTGGATTTCCACTGTCAACGCTTGGCGAGCTGTGCAGTGGCAGCAACAGCAAGTGGTGGTGGTGTGGTGGTGAACGCAGCAGCAGAAGCAGCAGCAGCAGGTGGCAACGCAAAACGACACAAAACCAACAACACCAGGGTGGTTATCAAGGAGACATATCGGGCTGTCCGTTTTGCTTGTAGCTCTACAAATTCCACGTGCAGGTGCGCAGTACCGTATTTTCCAGGGTGGTAGCCGCACACATTAAAAAAAGCCCTCAAACAATCGCCCCCTGTGGCTTATACTCCGAAAGCTGGATGTGAATGGACCAGTACTACTACATTGCTGCATGTATATAATGCATGTATGGTGTCATTCGACTACTGTTCATGTACTGCAATTCATCATTGCACCATCACAAATCTTCCACTGCACATGTTGTCAGTTCAGGGTGAAGGACAAACTAGGAAAATCAAACTCTGATGTGCGGCTTATATTCCCGAATGTCAACAAAATACAGATTTTGGGCCCGAAAGGGGGTGCCTTAGATCTCAGTGCGGCTAACACACAGGAAAATACGGAATACATGTATGTGCACGTGCACATGTATACACACAAATACACACGGGGCGGTAGGAAGAGAGCCAGAATGACACGAGAGTACGCGGGGAGGTCACAAGTTGATGCACGTCGAGATAAGACATTTTAAAGTGAGTACACATATGTAATATGAACAACTAGACCCAGGCAATAAGACAGTGTGTGTGCGTGTGTGTGCGCGTGTGTGTGTGTGTGTGTGTGTGTGTGTGTGTGTGTGTGTGTCTACCAACCTGCTGCAGTAGTTAGGCTTGCCGAGAATCTCCGCTATTTTCGAGTCACTAGGAATACATGTGTTCCTAGCACATACACAGACAGGGTGCAAATAGAGGGACAGCCAGACATCACCAAAAATATTACGGAAAGAAGAGCACCTAATGTGACCTATGTTCAGACAGTCAGAAGTTGACACAATACAGTACACACACACACACACACACACACACACACGCACAATTGTGCATGTCTGTAAATCCATTAAAAAATAATGGGGAAGATTAAGAGGAACTTCTACAAAACTCCCCAAATAAAACCTTAGTGCTGAGTTGAATGATTTTGATTCCCGGGGGGGGGGGGGGGGGGAGCTTCGATGCAGAGCTCATCAAATAGATATCGAGGACTGGGGAAGCAGTGTTTGACCTGTCCGTCCATACCATAGCCTGTCAAACTTTGTGTATGATATAGAGGGTGCACATGACCTCCTCAACAGTAAACAAGCGTCGGTGGCCAAAAGTTTAGTCTGGACATGGCCTGACTCACCGACTGGTGGCGCCGGGCCTTAACTTCCAAAAGTAACATGACTGAGACTGACGACACACATACAACCACCCGGTGACCCTACTTACCCACACACCCTCACCCACCCACACAAAAATGATCTAGGACCAAGAGCACTGCCTTGCACAGCATTCCCTGATCAAACGATTCCAATTTCAGCAATAATTTTGCATTCAAAAATGTACATTGTATGTGTGGATGACAGGCTAGTCTCAGCCATGCCATCACAGGAATGTGGCACACTGCGCCTGAGAGTTCTACTGGGGATGCACGAGGAATGGTTCATCACAGCCTACTTGGATCAAGACCATTCAACTCAAAATTCTGCGGACTACAACATTTCGTTGGTGGGGAGGCATCCTTGATTTTTTAAAGCGCACTTACTTGGTCTTGGCAACGAATGTGACAGATCCTTTTGAGTGACAGCGCAGTTGATAAGCTGAAACCAGCCTTGAGAGCTGTATGCCATCAGAAAGGGTAGATGAGCAGATGGACACAAACACACTACAGTCCATTCATTGGAAACTGGCACCCTAACTTTTTGGTGTCTCTCTCACATAGTTGTAGATATCTTGAAAACAACAGTACATCCTGCATTGTGTGACCCGTGCAATTACTCCTTGCCACATTTGAGGCCAGAAAAGTCCAATACCAGGGAAATAGAAATTCAGCCAGGTTTTACAAAATTAGGACAGGTATGCCTTGGCAAAATGTATGGAGAAGCAGATCCAAAACCCAGATTTTTGAGATTTAAAGTGGGTTTTTGATCCTCAATTCGGCCCAAATCCGACTTTCAAAAGCCAGCGGGCCAGTTTCCGATGAATGGACTGTAGCACCAGACTATGAAACACAGGAAAGCACGATCAGCTGACGATTGCTTTGCCTGACAGTACCGCTTCCAAGAAAAAAACTAAAAGACTCTTCAAAAAAAAGGAACTGGTGCGTTACTAGCATGCTTCTTTTTCCCCTGTCGACTCTGATATTTTTCATTCAGAACCTATTGTACATTGTGAACTCTCCTAGAAATGCAACTCACCACATCACGCAGATAGGGCTGGAGTACGGGTAGCTGCATTCTACACAAACAGAAGCAACAACGGGGAATACAGCGAAGTTACAAACCGGATCCACGTACTGTGCCAGAAAGTACAGTATTTTCCGGAGCATTAGCCGCACTTTATAAAACTCACAATTCACCCACATAAGTTTGCGAGGCTTATACTACCATGGTCAAATGAACTGTGAAATACAGGGTAGATGTCTGCATTTAATGACAAAATAACCCGAGTTTTTTATTTTATTTTTTACTATGTTCAGATACCCAACTCGTAAATAATAATGAAAGACAATGAGTGCGGCTGAGGGTGTGTTTGGTTGGTACGATCTAGAACAAGATCGAACAGCTGGTGCACATGGAGCAGCCTCATGCCAACCAAACGGGACTCCAGAAACAGAGCACATTTTTGTGGGAAAATGTGCCAAACTTGGTGCATTCTTCAAAATGTGTATGGGTCACCATGGTCACTTTGTACGGTACAACGAGTCCAACCCAAAAGCGTATGCACGTGATCATTTGGGACCAAAATCGATGTTCCAATCAGGTTTCACTGTGAAAAAGTGAAACTGCTCGGTCTGCTCCGGGCGCGAGGCCGGAGCAAGCAGAACATGTTCTGGCCGACCCAGAACAGGTGCAGTCCCAACCAAACGCGCTGTTCTGGTGAATCCTGTTCTAGTTCGTACCAACCAAACGCGCCCTTATACTCCAGAAATACGGTACTAATAAACCCTTGCTCAGCAATGGTTCATACATTACTTTGCTGAGCCGGGAACTAGAGCACAAGGTCAGCGTGCACCACGTTGCATGCTTGCAACCAACATGCAATGTAGTAGTGCACAGCAAGAGAAACATGAGCACGCATACAGGGCGTGGGAACACCCAGAGTTGCGTCAGAATGTGATAACTAACAAGCCAGGGAAAGAAGACCTGTGCAACTCACCTCTTCCGTGACTCTAACGTGACAAACCTGCAGACAAGCTCAGCCAACTGGACGCTGCTGTTAACAACAGGTGTTGACTGTTGCCCCGAGTTGGTCTTGTTCTGAGCGAGCAGAATGGAAACATAGAGAGCGAAATGATGAGCAAGCAACCAAGACCCATAACAACTGCCCTGCTGCCACTTGCAAGCTGGCTTGACCTTCAGACCACGGAAACACATCGTCATCCAGTAGAAGGCTGAATTCCCGTACAACTACTATCAAGAGTACACAAGCTCCCAAGGGCGTGCAACTCTGCATGGGTTTGCTATGGGGTCCGCCGACGGCAAAACTCACATCATGTGGGGGTAGTGTTCACGTTATACATGTCCCAGCCTGTTTATAGCAAGCAGTAGAGAAGTAAAAACAGCACTCCCCTACAGAAACCCACTCAGCTTATGCGAGTCATCAGCATAAGCACGGCCAACATCCAGACAGTGCACGCTGGACAATGTCGTTGCACGTAGTACAAAACGGCCTTGAACACGTGATGTGAGTTTCCGCCACCGGAGACCCCATACGCAGAGTTGCACATTCTTGGGAGCTACTAGCAATCTACTGTTGTTTCTATCAGACACTAGTGGTGGCGAGCATACTTGGTATGAAGGTCCCAAGCACCGCAATTAGTGTATACACTTAGTGGCTAGAGTCAGAATGATAGGCAACGCGTTACTTACTGGAAATCTTGAACAATTATTGCCTCGTTGCTGGGCAATCTGCAGGCGCCGTTGATAACCTTCACACACACACACACGCACACACACACACACACACACACACACACACACACACACGCACACACACGCACACACACACACACACACATGTTGAGATAAAGAAAGGCCAAAATGCAAACAATGAACTTGGGCACATACAACCTCCAGTGCCAACTCTTGTGCAACTTCAAAAGAGAGCAGGGGAGAACGTACCAAGAGGGTCCACATTGCAAATAAACATCTTCAACGAAAACAAGACTGCAATATAGTGGAACTCTGCAAGTCGAAATGGTGAGATATTTAAAAAAAAGACATTGATGTATGCCTAGATCCAAAAGCACGCCTGAGAAAAGATCACGATAGAAGAGACCGTAACAAAAGGCAAAGCATCAGCCACTGGAGATTACCTCGTTTCCCAGATTCCGAGAGCGAGTCCAATGCAGACTCAACAAGGTTACTCAGTTCCTGCTCGCTATTGGTTGGTGTGTCCTCGCCACCACGACTAACAAACACCTCACTCGTTTGCGGACTGCAGAGCATACGCTGTTCCCACCAGGCGATGGGTGCGGCAGAGGAGCCCGACGCTGGCGTCTCGACGCAGCTGAGCTCGTCGTCGGCATCACAGTTCCCCTCGCACTCGGACTCACTCAAGGAGCTCTCCTCTGCCACGTCAGCGCTCGCTGTGCACAGCAGCTTTCCACAATTCGTCATAGGCGAGGTGTCATCTGCGCAAGATGATCCATCTAGACAAACAACAAACAGAACAAGGCATGCAACAGGTGCTCGTGAAGAACAGCTAATGCTGAACAGGAAGTGAAACGGTCTGCTAAGATCATCTGTGAGGCTGATGCACAGGGTCGGGATGGGAATTGGGGCAGGGGTTACATTCATATAGAACAGGTCAACCACAGTCGTGCTTCTGTGTTTGCTACAGTACACTGAGAAACTGATGGCTCCTTCAGTTCTTTGCATCGTTGATCGCGCACAACTATAAATACGGGCATGCACAATGGCATGTTGATATTATTTCTTGACCTTGTCATTTGAACATATAACGGAGCAAGCAGGATTGTAGCCCATGAAAATTTGAAGAGGAGAACTGGAAAGGTTTGCACATGGTTGTACAGATGTGCACCGCCCCACACATGGAGTACAGTATGGCAATGTAGGTCTACCACACTTCACACATGGAGTACAGTATGGCAATGTAGGTCTACCACACTTCACACATGGAGTACAGTATGGCAATGTAGGTCTACCACACTTCACACATGGAGTACAGTATGGCAATGTAGGTCTACCACACTTCACACATGGAGTACAGTATGGCAATGTAGGTCTACCACACTTCACACATGGAGTACAGTATGGCAATGTAGGTCTACCACACTTCACACATGGAGTACAGTATGGCAATGTAGGTCTACCACACTTCACACATGGAGTACAGTATGGCAATGTAGGTCTACCACACTTCACACATGGAGTACAGTATGGCAATGTAGGTCTACCACACTTCACACATGGAGTACAGTATGGCAATGTAGGTCTACCACACTTCACACATGGAGTACAGTATGGCAATGTAGGTCTACCACACTTTCACTAACTGTAGTGCTGAACCAGCAAGGTGGTCTACTCTTTTTTTAAAATATCTTTATGTACACAGTGAATGTGTTGTGTTAGGAAAAGCAGTGTGTTGCTACAGTGCTCGTAAAGTCGAAACGCGCCGTGTACAGCGACGCTTTCGATTCTGAAAGGGGGCGGCCGAAACTTGAAGGAGGGCGCAGCACCGTGCTAGGTCGGTTTGGTCAAAACCCTGACCAAACTCCATCTACTCGTTCTTCGCTACATTTCCTGATTGAAACTGCGCAAAGATGACCACAAATTATGGTGCACAGTCACTAAGTTTTAAAGTGTAAAGGCAGTGAAGAGTGTGGCAATTACGCAATGCACATTTTGCACCACAGAGAAGAAACTGACCTTCCTTGGAGATAGAAGAATCCACCATGTTCTGATCCGGAACAGGTAAAGATGCTGGGACATAGTAGGAAATACAATCGCATGATTGATCACCGACACTTGCACGTCGCGTGCGTTTACGTCCAGTCTCTGACGAAGTGCAGCCATGGGTCCGCTTTCTCTTGCCACGGATGGAGGAGCGATGGCGCAAAGCTTTCCGACACTGGCCCGATATCGAGAGAGCACTGGAGCAGGCACCTGAGCTGTCCTGTGAGCGGCACACTGTGAGCCGGGCCAGCCGACTGACGACTTCCGTATCGCTGACCACCAGACCCTCCAGGTTGGCAACACACACCTGCGCGGCACCGTCACTCTGCGTGCGCATGTTATCCATATAGTCCTCCATCGCTGAGTCATGGTCAGTGTTACTTCCACCACCATCGGGAGTGAACGTCATTGAAGAGCAATGTTCCAGCATCACAGCTTGATTTCCAGAGTTTAGATGTACGTTGGGTGGGCGGTGACGCACCTTACGCCGCCTAATCTTAGATCGGCCTCCTCTGGGCATTGTTGAAATGAAGTATTTTCAGCTACAACCCACGGATTGGTCAGATCATGCCAGAATGATGAAAGATCGGGGGAATGACAACAGAATTTCGTGTTTCGACTTTGTTCGTGCACACTTGCCTGGTGATTTAGCAGAGAAGGTCAATAGTTCGTCAAATGAGCGCACCAGCTGACGCTACATTTCAACAAATACTCTTCGAACAGCCAGCTATTCTGCTGGCCACCGGTGTCACCTTATTTCCTGAATTTTAGTTTGGTTTACAAGACTGATCAAAAGCTACAACTTCAAACAAGAAAGTCACGAACATTTCTATTCGAATTACGTTTGTAAAAAAATTGTGGCAGTGCAGTGGAAAGAAAGCACTGCCTCAAAGTCGAATCTCTAACTTCTAAACTAGAGCACAGTCTGTTAGTGAAGCAGTCACAGCAAGGGGAGAAAATGAGAGGCAGAGGCAGGGCCCTGCCGATCACATCGATTCTTGCTGCAAAGACCTGAAAGGGTTTGACTTGATTACACAGACAAGAATCTTTAGATGAATGATCACGATGCCGATGGAAGGCGAAGCTACGTCCACCTAGTACCTCCAGATCGAGATTATTATCGTGATGTCATCAAGGTCATTATGCGCGATATGCAAGCCAAGGCCTAGCCTAGGGAGTACTTATTTAGTACTCCTTGCATAACTCCCCTGGGATCCCCACTGCACTGGTCTGTGTCTTTGTGAGTTTGTCTACTCTTTGTCATCGATGGAAACATGGTAAAAATCAGCAGTATTGACTATTGTTGCTGTGGTACATGGTGGTGATCACCTGTAGCTCACCTGTAGCTGTGGCTATTCACGTTTTCAGGTCTGCTCAGTGTTCGTGTCGAGGCAATTGTAGGTTGACCAGGGCCTTTTTACTTTGAAATGTCCGAACCATTGAAGGTACCATTGTTGCTTATGTGAGCTCCATAAAATTCCGAACCAAAGTAGTAGAAAACATTTTTCTTTGTTTTACTGCGAATCTCAGTACTTGGCAGGATTTGGGAATGAGTTTCAATCCGAAGCTCTTCCCAATGCTCTCCCTGAAGGACAGGTGGGTGACTACATGCAGTGTTAAATGCTTTCCACACTCCCACCAGTCATTGACTTCATACAGACTAGACGCACGCACTGCCAAGAGTTGCCCCCAGGCTACACCAGCATCAATTTTCCAAAGTGTATACTTTTGAGAATCGTATTCTACATTGAAATTTATGCAGTCGTATTCCACTAGCCACGGCCCTGAATCACACTTAAAGAACAGTAACAATTTGGCTTGCTGGGTCAGTCCTGCAGTCCGTGCCAGAAATACCCTGCCAAACCACTCGGGGTTGTCTCCGCGCTCAGTGTAAAGTATGGTCAGAAAGCGCTCCGGACCGGCTGGCCTGTCCAGCCAACCTCAGTGATTTGTTGAGATTGTTCGCAGTGACTGTATCGAGTACATAGTCGCGTATATAGTTGCATAAACAATACCGATTACATTGCAGTGTTTTCACATGGGTAAAGTTCAGTTCGCACATCCGCATTGCCAACCGACCATATAATTGACTCGAATGGAGAGCCAAGGATTAATTTATTGAAAAGAAAAATGGACCAAGGAACTACAAGTTACGCTAGAATGTCCACTAACACCACCAGTTTTTTTTGTATAGACCATATAATTAATGGTGTTAACAAGAGTAGATAAACAAGAGTGTGCAACTCCGGATCTCTCCTGCACAATAAGCCTTTTGCGCGTTGTACAGATGTACGAAGTTCAGTACTAGGGCGTAGGTGTGTACAGAACCGATTGGGTGTTCATTGTGTGCTATGCATGCGCATTTGACCAATTTTAGCCTCATAAGTAATGGCAAACAATCCCTTTTTCAGCTTCTTCACTTTGGTTAGAAAAAAAGGACTAGCTAGGTCTTTGTCAGAAAACGATTTTCGTTTGAAATGCCTTCAGCGCCCATTTCTTAGTGGAAATAGCAGAAAACACAATAGGGTCCTGCACATTCAACACCCATTAGGTTCTACGGGATTCTACGGGATTTCGTGCATCTGTACAACGCGCAAAAGGCTTATCTGCAGATACCCCCGCCCACGGCAGAATTTTTTGTTGACGTCACCTTTTTTCAGAAGAACGCGCATTTTGCCGCAGAGCAGTGTGAGAGCACGTGCTGGGCACCGACCTTGTAGTGTAAAGCCAGCCAAGAGCACGAGGGAAAACTTTCTGAAAGACTCCCAGCGCGTGCGTCGTCGAAAAGATTACGTCAACAAAAAATTCCGCTGTGGGCCTACCCATCCGCGAGTTGCACACTCTTGTTTATCTACTCTTGGTGTTAAGAAACACAACCAGCTTAGAAAGTTTCGCTCGTGCCAGTCCATTGCCATGCCTGACTATACGAAGGTGGCAGATGCAGTGGTGAGGGTGAGATGGTAAGTCTCACAACCAGTGCACGAAACCTCGTTAGCTGCATCCATGTTGCCCTCACCCCAAGTAATGGAATACCCAGTCGACCATGGGTAGCAGCGTAGTTCATTGCATGTAAACTGGTTTGGGCATGCATCACCACATTTGTTAGCACGATACGCAGTGGTACACGCTCCCTAGCGGGTTCAAATTCGAGTTCGAGACCTCAGGCAAGCCCACAGCCACTGGGCCAACGTGCTGGTCTACTGTTTCACGTAGCATTACAAAGAAACCCCCTTCCCGGTACTACACGGCTGGTGGAACAAATGCACCACACCTTGTTGTACTTACTGCACATTCTGTGGGCATACATTCAACTAGGTTCTGCATCATGTGTCAGGGCCCAGATGAGACCCAGCTCACAGTAACACTCCTGTTCAAGTGCGACAAACACCCCATGAGGTATCCCTTGCATTTGAAATGGGGGAGCATTATTATTACTGTATTATAATGTAGTGCTTTTGGAGCACAAGGTCTATAAGCCTACTGAACTGATGAGGGGTGAATTTCCCGAAGCCCTATGTATTGAGCAGGGAGTGATGCCTTCCTGCAGGTTTACCAGGTGAAATGTTGACATGCTAAATGTTGGGCATGTTGAGCCCAGGCTAAACTTGGCTCCAAAGTCCGAAGGGATGAGGATGGTAAACGTGCATGGTTACTCCGATACAGAAATCAGTTCACTGCGTACAAGTACATAGGTACGCCTATAGAGTTCGTCTACTGCTGTGTTTTTTGAAGCATTGTTCTGTGTGTGTGTGTGTGTCTGTCTGTCTGTCTGTCTGTCTGTCTTGTATGTTTCCAGAACAATCCACAAAAGTGCCCATATGGCCTGTACGCAGAGCAGCTGTCTGGCTCTGCATTCACCTCGCCACGCCACAGCAATGTCAGAACGTGAGGGCTTTCTCCGCGGACCATTTGTGCTGGCTGGCGGTTTCCTCAACATTTCCGTTCTGGGCTCTTTCTTCTTCTTTTCTCTCTCTCTCTCTCTCTCTCTCTCTCTCTGCTGCACAGGTGGCTGTATCGTATCCGTCCAAGTGTACAGCATGAGCCATTCAGCCATGCTGAAGCTGGACATCTGACCAACGACTGGCCTGCTGGACCTGCTAACCCTAACCAGGTAATACTGATGTAAAAAAAATATTTAAAGAAATTAAAAATGTATGCCTGGCCTGCTTATCCTATGGTTGGCAACCTTCCACACAGACTTGCTATCGAAAAGGCATCTAGACTGTCTTTGGCCCACTAGCCTACTGCAGTTCCCCACTTTTGTTTATGTACATGTGCAAAGGAAACTCCTGAATCATGTGCGATGTTCGTTTGTGGGGTTTCGTGCGCGTTCATGCAAACAGTTTGCCATGCTGCAGTCACACCCAGTGGAGAGTCCTGCTTTGTTATTTGTACTGCAAATCAACAAATACTCGACACACACTTTTCGTCTATTTTGCGCATGCACGCACACACATACCACGCACACACACACACACACACACACACACACACACACACACACACACACACACACACACACGCACACGCACACACACACACACACACACACACGAATGAGCCTTGTGCTGAGTGATTGCTCTCTCCTTCTTTGTGCAGCTGCGGTGGAATCCATTCCGCTTGCCGTCGGATGAACACCGTGTTGACTTTGTTGAGGTGAGTTGCTCAAGTAGACTTTAACCAGGAAGATGGTGTTTGCTGATATCTCTATTGTATAAGCATGTATCTGTGGGTCCTGGGTGTCCTCTTGAATCCTCTGATATGTGTGTGTGTGTGTGTGTGTGTGTGTGTGTGTGTGTGTGTGTGTGTGTGTGTGTGTGTGTGTGTGTTGTACATTGTGTTGTACATTGTGTTGTACATTGTGTTATACATTGTGTTGTTATCCAGGGCTTGTCCAGCATCTGCGGTGCAGGTGACCCATGCAGCCGCCATGGCATTGGTATTTACGTGTACTGCTGCAACCGGTCAATGGAGAACATGTGAGTTGCGGTGCCGTACCTAAGCCGCTCAGGAAACCTCCGCTACTGCACTAGGCCACAGGGTAGCTGAAATAGCCACCTCCACTTTGTTGTCTCTGCAAGTACATTGTACTAAGTACTGCTCAGTTGTGCTATATTCTGCTGCTGCTGCTGCTGCTGCCTGCGCTGCTGCTACTGCTGTACTGTTCTGTGCCAGCTCCTGCTTGTTCACAACATGTTTAATACTGTGATGCCGTTTGAGTTGTTTTCTCAGCCGCATGGGTTGTTGTTTGGTGAGCTTGTGCTGCACGTTTGGTCTTGTACAATTTGTGTTGATATGATGTACGCTGCTGTTTCTATGACTGGAAGTTAGTGTTTGTTTTCCTGTGCTCTTCTGTGACATAGGTGCTTCTACAACTCCGATGGGGATTTCTTGATCGGTAGGGTCTATGCGCTCGATTGTCGTTTGACAAAATTTAATGCTCGCGTAAATGTACGCGTGATGGAGAGGCATTCTCTGCGTGAGGGTTGTCTAGGTATAGGGATTGGAACTGCCAAAAATCTATGAACGAATATGTGCTAGAAATGCTGTTAGGCGGCTGTTTGTGTAATGGTTGTGTACTGGTTGTGGTTGTGGTTGGCGGGTTATCGCATCGACCGTTAGCATTTGCAACTTCATAAGCACATGCTGGTCTTGTTTTCAAGCAGGTCTCATATGGCAGCCTGCGAACTCCTCCAAGAAAAGATGCGAACAACCGACAACTTGTGTACAGGGCTCTGGCGAGCTCGAACCCAGTTCATGTAGTACGTTTTGGTAAAAAAAGAACTGACTTGTGTATAGACCATCTCTACTGTAGTGCTGGTGTAAGTAAGTTGATATTCTTCTTCCCCTTGTCTTTGTACAGTGCCACAGAAAGGTACACTTGTTATCACAACTGAATTTGGCGTCATGGAAGTTCGCTCCGGAGAGATCTGTGTGATTCAGCAAGGCATGAGATTCAACGTGGCAGTCAACGAGTCATCCCGTGGCTATGTACTGGAGGTCTACGATGGTCATTTTACGCTGCCTGACCTTGGACCCATTGGTGAGTTGTGTGTGTGTGTGTGTGAGAGGGGGGGGGGGGGGGGACTAGGCCTGGGCTGGACAGTGTGTACAGTCAACTTCGCTTATAACGACACTCGGCGGGGCATCAAAAAGGTGTCCTTATTCGCGAAGTGTCGTTATACCCAAAGTCTCATTGTATGTATTACAGTGGGATGGGACTTTGCTCTGGGCATGGAAATTCTGTCGTTATTCGCGAATTGTCGTTATATCCGCAGTCGTTATTAGCGAAGTTGACTGTACTCATGACTGTACTTGTATTTCCATGTGCTAGGAAGCTGCATTGTCCTTGATGTCCCCTTCTATGCCTTGGTGTCTCATAGCACAAATATAAATTGGAGGAGCCTCGGCGAACTCCAATTGGAGTTCTACGGGTTTCCTCGTAACATTCATTGTCACCGTGCATGCACCCCATATGCACAGACTGTGACAGTGTGCATGCACACCATATGCACAGACTGTGACAGTGTGCATCCACAACACATGCACCATGATAGTCGTTCTAATAGGAGATATACCGTACGTTGTAGTCTCAGATCCGCGCTTCAAACACTTGTACACCAAAAAAACAAACACTGGAAACCTCGTCGCGGTACGGGATCAAGTTTCACACGGATTTTTTCATACCGTACACGGACTGGTCTCCGTGTGAAAACTGAGCCCACAGAGTAGCGGAGACGGTTTCAAATAGGAAATAGGTTGCAAACCGGAAAGGGCTCAATATTCACTTTCTCTCTTGATATTTTGATTAGAAAACATATGTCACAGTGAGGCTACGATGTGTTTTTACTCAGAGCCAAAATGTCATGGCTGTGCGATGACCAGAAGCGCCATACTAAGCAGGTGAGTTTTCGACGTGTTGCTTCGCACTGCGACTTGAGTTTTACGTCTTTCGAAAAATCAACTTCTTGTCGCAGGTAAACAGCGGCTCGCCTCTCGCCAATAAAGCACCGTATACCAATGAAAACTAATGGAAGCACCCACAAGGCTTATTGTTTCTCTGTACTGGCCGTCGTGGAGCGATAGCAATTACCTAATTTCAGAACTCAGAGTGAACTTGACGTGCACTCCAAAGCCTTTCCGGTTTGGAGCCACCCCTACAGTCCATTTCAAAACTATAGACGCGTAGAGTTTTTGAAATATTTCAAATTTGGCTGGAACTTTTTGAGAATAGTTTTCGGAATATTGCTCAGGTCCGCTCCACAATTACTCTCATTATAGTTTCTAAACGATTGGATAACAGACGCCCAATTTGGAAATTTTTATGCACAAAGTGATCACAGATTTTATGTGGTATAGATGCTGGCATAACGGTTTTTGCCTAGGTACGCGTCTATAGTTTTGAAATGGACTGTAATTTGAAACGAAAAATCGGGCAGCTTGGAGGCAACAGGAAAAATTTGAAATTATGGTGCAACATCCTGCATTCTGGGCACTTTTGGCATTGTGTTAAAAAAAAGTGGTCCGACCATGGTCCGAAAGCCTGACCCGGTCTGACGGCCTTGTATACCTAAAAATAACGTGTGATACTGTTGCTGTAGCTCCATTGATCTAACTAATTACTTCGATGCATCATCTCCTTCACTGCCTCATGCACGTACATTATAACATTCCCTCCCCCTAAAAGAAGAAGATGCATCTAGTAAGGTTCAGTGCTTATGATCTGAGCCAAAAGCGGGATCTGCGATAAGTCTGGTTGTAGGCTTAGAGATATGTACCGAACGGCGTGGTTGAGCTGGTACAACTGGCGTAGTACTATCCAACTGCTGTGGAGACTTACTCGGTGTTGTAGTAGCGGGTTGTGACTGCACTGGCGTCACTGGCTGACTTGATTCTAGTAGCGGCTGTTCAGACGTACTGGTAGTGGGTTGCTAGGACTACTAGTACTACGTACAGAATATCTCATTTATAGTATTAGAACGATTATCACGGTGCATGTTGTGTGCATGCACAGTGATGATGAATGTGGAGAGGAGTGAAGTAGAATGGTCATGGTTATGGTCATGGTTATGGTCATGGTGGGTGCCTCCTTCATGCTGACATATCACCCAGCTTATAATTACGGAGGTTTAGCAAGATGAATTTCGTGTTCGTGTTTGCACTCCAATGAAAGTCGAACTCAATGACGAAATTCACATTATGATGAGGACTAGCAAACAGAATTCGCACTTGCATGACATTGACAGGTCGTACGTGTGTACAGACTGTACACCATTGTAAATTTATGACTGTCCTGACACGAATCCGTAATTCGTGTTTCGACTGCTTTTCCGAACGAAAAATGCAAAAGTTCGCAATCCTGTTCGCAAACCGAAAAATATTTGTGAATTCAAACGCGAAATTTGTAATGCTAAACTTCCGTTTATTTCCTTGCACTCCATTGCCTATGCAAGCTCCTTGATAGTGAATTTCTCCTGCTACGAATTGTGTAATACATTCCTCCGCGGACAGAGTACACGTATGTAGCCACAACCTTACGGCTGGTTTTACCTTTGATACTTCCAGGTGCGAACGGCTTGGCCAATCCACGCGATTTTCTGACCCCGACAGCAGCGTTTGATGATGTCATTGTTCCCGGCGGCTATGTGGTCATTTCCAAGTTCCAAGGGCAGCTCTTCTCAGCTAAACAGGTGAGCTAGTGCCTGATTTTCATTTGGGGACTATGGTAGCTGCTGCCTATCTCATCACATATATTGTGCTATAGCTACTATAGTGATCTGCTCCTACTTTCAACAGGGTATCTTGATAGTCCTGATGGATGATGGTGTTGCTTGCAGATGCCAAAGCTGGCTTACTCGCATCATTGGGATGCTTGTACATGACCGTTGTATTATTTGCTTTGTGTGTGCATGTGTGTGTCTGCGTCTGTGTGTGCATGCTCTTTGCTCAATAGTTCCACAGTCCGTTTGATGTGGTTGCATGGCATGGTAACTATGTACCATACAAGTATGACTTGGACAAGTTCAACGTCGTCAACTCTGTGTCCTTCGATCACATGGTATGTTTACGTTCAGTGCAAATGTATGTGAAGTATACCTGTGTATGTACGAGTACAATCATTGCTAGGGTAGTCCAGACTCTCACTTGCACACTTTCCTTCAAGACTCAGAAAGCCGTGACAAGGTGTTGACGAGACACTTCAATCTTTGTACACATCGTTGTATGCATAACTCGTATGGCGGTGGCTATATTGCCCCGTAACCACACTCGACACCTAGTTTTGTCAGAGAAGTGCTTCAGTAGGTAACAAGGTTCACCACCGGAAGAAGGCCAGTACTGCACACCTGTGACAATCTTCGACATTACTGTATTGCGAAAACTTTGTGATCAATTAATATTGAACACATCTTCTCCTTCTGCTGCTGTTGCCGTCTATCTGTCTATCAACAGGACCCGTCCATTTTCACTGTCCTGACGTGCCAGTCTCAAAAGCCAGGTGTTGCCATTGCTGATTTCGTCATCTTTCCACCGCGCTGGTCCGTACAGGAGCACACTTTCAGGCCACCCTATTACCACCGTAAGGATCACATCTGTTGTCTTCTGTTCCACGTGCATGGCTCATCTTGCACGCTTAGTTTGACATCTGCGACAAATCTCTTGCTTTGTTTTGTGAAGAATCTGTCAAGGCAATGGTGATTGTTGGCAAAATGTATGTGACAAGGTATAATTGTACTAGTGGGCAGCTTGAAATTATTGACGGCTAATTGTTTTTCTAAGTTGCCACTGTGTTCACAACATGGTCTGCACTGTTCATTGTATTCTGCTGCATAGGTAACTGTATGAGTGAGTTCATGGGTCTGATCAAGGGTCGCTATGAAGCCAAGGTGAGTATCAGGACCTTCCATGCACTGACACTGCACACTGCATACTTCGAGTGCTATGCTGATGTGTAACTGTCATCTGGATGCTTTGGTTCAGTTGGCGTGATCCCTGCTCGTGTCTGCCTACCCAGTAGCTTATTTGTGCTGCATGTGCAGTGTATTTTTGTAATAGTCAGTCATTGCAAGTTGTGATATTTCCCTTCACGGGTGAAGTTCCGGCTATCAATGACACGGCTACACATGGAGACTTGGTTGATACGCTCGTAGTTACTTGACTTAACCCTTTGAGAGGCGCTCCTTACTTCAATGCATTGTAAACGACGCATTCATGTGCAAAACTTCAACGGATCTTAAAAGAACGCTAATCATCAATTCATCATCATCATGATGCATGCACCCTGCTGTTGGTATTTCTACTGTGGTTTAGCCGGAAGGGTCTCAGCCCGGTGGCGCTACCTTGCACAGCATGATGACACCGCATGGTCCGGACACACAGTGCTTTGAGGGAGCATCCAACGCCGACCTCAAGGCCGAAAAGATTGCCCTTGGTGCGATGGTGAGTCGGGATCACGCTCGTGCTTTCGTACTTCCTAACAAGCACTAACATTTAGGGCTGTGGTATGTGGTACATCACGTTCAGGCAGGGGAGGAAGTTGTGAGTCTCAGCGACAACGCTATAAGAACTCCACAGTCATGGCATCATCTGAATGTACATGTAGCATGAAGTGTGAAGCGCCAAGTCACGATAATGTTCTGCTTTCGGTTTTTCAAGTGACTACGTTATGGCTTATGCTAATGGTTGTGCACTGTGTTATGAGGTGGTTGTCCCCACTCACTGTGTTATGAGGTGGTTGTCCCCACTCACTGTGTGCTGATTGACAAAGGTTATCATGGTATCATGGTATGCCAACTTCTAATGGTATTTGCTACTCCATGATGACTTTCTAAGACGCAGCTGTCAACACCTATGCTTGTCTATAGTTCTGTTGAAGAAGACTTTGGAATGCACGTTGAATTTGTCAATCGCATTCGTCCATACTTCTTCCGTATTATCCTTGTGAAGTTATGTCTGCACGGCTACAAATTGTTGCTGTGTGACCTGAGCCAGGCATACATGTAGATAGATAGCTCTTTGTGTGACATTCTGTTTTGACAATCCAATCCTGTATGGTGTCGTTTGTAATACACTGTGCGTCTTATGCAGGCGTTTATGTTTGAATCCTCTCTGAGCATGCGTGTGACCAAGTGGGCGCAAGGCATTTCTAGCCTTGACGAAGATTATTACAAGTGCTGGAGCGGCCTGAAGAATCACTTTGACCCGGACTGGAAACCGTAAGCTGAACGGTTGCATTAGTGATTGTTATGCTAGTGACTGCATCGTTAGTGATTGCAAATTGTCTGTAGTCTGGTCACTCTGGGTATGCTGGACAAGGCTATACTCTGTTTTTGGTAGAGTATTTTTTGACATACAGCAAAACTCCCCTAATCCGGACTCCCCAGATGCGGGCACTTCCGTCTATGGGGCACCTTTCGGACCTATCAGGACTAAACAAAAGCGGGCTTTTTAATGGGAAATGGCCCCAAAATTAATATTATTGATAGACATGAAAAATTGTCTACTTGAACTCTCTCTCTCTCTCTCTCTCTCTCTCTTTTAGTACATGCACTCTTATCTTCTGAGTTGCGGGTTCTTCCTAATTACGGGCAGTGCCCGTTTCCAACCTGCCCGGATAAGGGGAGTTCTACATGTACTCTACAACCACTATTGCTCAACAATCACACTATCCGTATTCCCGTCCGCTATCTCATCGCAGGTTTTCTACATATTACTTGCGTTTTTGCAGTGAGAAGGCAACGTAATGACGGCCGATAGTAGTTCTCTGCCAATCACGCTTGCACTCTTTCTTGCATGCGGCCGGCTGCATTATTTGCTACGGGGTTTTGTTTCCCCCGCTGTTCACTTTATTTCTGTTCATAGACTTTTCCGATCATTTTATATTTACCAACGTTTCCAGCTCGCTTATATTCCTTTATCTACTCTCCAAGACAGAAAACTCTTTTCAACAAAGATATGTGCATGATAATGTTTAGGCAGTGCACTTGCGCACACCACTGCTAATCTGGCTCTTGACTGAATGCCGTCTGTTGGTGTTCTCTCTACATGCACGTAGTGCCGCACTACTGAACCGTCGTCCCATTGGCGCCATAATATCTTTTTTTCTTTTTCTTTTTTTGCACCATAATCAAAATATTTACAATTATGCAAATGCAAAGTAGTATTGAATTATTCATGCTACATTCTTCACTGGTTGGTTCACGATGTCAAGCTCTGCAGGCAAGGCTTGCATTCCAGGCTGTGAAAGATGTGCATGTGCTCCATGTGTACTTGTGTTTTTCTAATCACCTATCTTTTGTCCATATAGAACCTGATTGCAGTCATGTTCATTATAGTCCTAGTGATTTCCTAGTGAGCAGTGGTCTTATTTTGCTTTTGTTGTATCACTTCCTCTTGGCTGTGACTTTGTGAGTTGTAGTATTTGGACTCGACAAGCAGTCTAAAATTTTGCATTAATGATCAATGGGCGCTTTCGATTACACGTTTACACAATTCTGGAACTGTTTTTTAAATTCTGGAATGACCAGAATGAGCGAATTCCGGCCTTGTAAACGAACGACTGGCATTTTATTCATGTCATGTCACAAACAAAATTTATGAATCGTAAAAAGAGATCACGTGCACACTCACGCGCACGTGGACCCAGCATCGCGCACAGGGAGGCTCTTCGCGCGCTTGAGACATGACCAGACCGGTAACACACCGACTGTGCAATTATGGCGCCAGAATTAGAGAAATTCCGCCCTCTTTTCAGAATTGACGGATTCGACGGAATTGGATAAAATCAATTCTAACGACGGAATTTGTCACTTTTTGTGTAATCAAACTGTGCATCAACAATAACTAATTCTAGAATTGACCAAAATGCGTGTAATCGAAAGCGCCCAATATGTACAATGGTGCAGTTCAGGTGCCAAGTAACTAGTAACAGTTGCAAATCCACTGCATGCTACATGCAGCCTACATACAGGCGTGTAGCTCGTGTATAGTTACGTAGTCCGGTCCCCACACCAGAAATTAGCCGTAAAGGCAATGACGGCTCCAAGGTTGCCGGTGGCACATGGTCACCACACCACAGACATGCTCTGGCACGTTGTCATCACACCACAGATGTACTCTGACACATGGTCACCGCACCACAGATGTACTCTGGCACATTGTCATCACACCACAGATGTACTCTGGCACATTGTCATCACACCACAGATGTTTGAGCTACAACTTACGTAACAAGTATGCCCCTGACATGTATTTCGGTTCATGCAGATCAGCCCAGAGCAGATGTTCAGACCATTCTCATCCAGGATGGGATCACCATGGGGGTAGTGCAATGGACTCGGATTTGCTGAGTGATGCAGACAAAAGTACTCGTGCTGTGCCCATAGAAAAGAGCCGTCAAGCCCAGCGTACCTTGGCCAGTATTGACCATCTGCCACACAGGTTACATCAAGAGTATTATACTCTTGGTTACATGGACATGGTGGTCGATCCACACATGTACGAGTATGAACAAGAGTGGTGTACTCTTGGTCTGCATCACCATCATAGTATCACAAATCGCAATGCAACCCCACAATCCGGCCCCTACACAGGTGCCAGATTCCTCACTCAGCGACCAAAAATGCAACGTACCGTATCGAGAGTAACATGAGCAGCTACAGTACTGCTCAATGAAATCCAGTCACGTCACTCAAGTATGCCATGCCGGGCGTTGCGCAGCCATAGACCTGCGAAAACTGGGCTGCGAAATGGTGCACGGCACCAACTTGACTCTCCCAACTTGATTTCATTGAGCAGCACTGTAGTACCGGCAAGAGTACATTATGTACTCTTGCCACCGGGGCTCTTCTTGGTTTTGCTGTACTTCAAACGCACCGTTCTACGTGAAAATGTCGTTGCAACCGAGCCCAAGTATGGGTAAGTAGAAAGGCAGGATAAAAATTCAAGTGTGGGAATGAGGCAAAGCACATTGCCATGGAGAATATTTCGAAGTAAGTCCTAGGAAATCGACATCAAAATTAATGTGGAAAAGAGTGCAATATACACATACGAAAGAAGCTAACAAATATTGCCCTAAAATGTACATATAGCAAGGTAGTTTGACGAGGAACTCGCAGCTCATCAAAGTTTGACAAACAACAAAGAGTTCACAGGAGGGGACAGGAAAAGACGAGAAATGGCAAGCATTTACTCTAGGCAGGCTCGTTGAGCACCTTCGCATGATGATGGAAATGATCCCCGATGAAAGAGGCAATGAAGTAATAGCTGTGGTCATAACCCTGGTACAGTCAAGGGCAAACAACAACAACAACTCTTTATTTCCGTAGCTATGCAGAAGACGTTACTTCAGTAACGTCTGGCGCTAGCGAGGGTCCACACAGCTTTAATTTCGTGTTTGTTTGTGTCACGCCTGGCGCTATCCCGTATCTGTCCCGTACCATACCATCAAGAGAAGGAGTATGTATAGTAGCATTATGTATAGCATTAAAGCGGTCAGCACCAAGAAATGAGAGACTGTAGAGGCCTGGCATATATGTATGCGAAGTGCATCGGGGGAATGCATGCAAGGCGATAGTGCAGTAACGTCTGGCGCTAGCCAGGGTCCACAAATACTTCCTCCGTTAACAAAAACTTCGTGATGGATTTTGATGGATATGAAAACGCTTAGAACAACTTTCCTTAGCCACGAGACTCACGTCGGACTACAGACTTCTGAAAGAACGCATGGTCAATCAGCATTCGAATCTGGGTTTCGCGCAGGTTGAACAAGAACATGGATTCAGAATTATTTGATTGCGCTGTGCTATCGGAGCAGCTGCTTGTTTCTTTCGCCCAGGGCCCTACGCTATGCTTTGTTGCCTAGCTCATCATGCATGCTATTCGAACAGATGGAAACTTTTTGCAATACGATGATGTAGCCGATCAGTTCGTTGTGGTATGGTTGGGCATTGCAGCCGTCATGGTCGACGTAAAACACTATACCGGTAAGACCGCAACGAAGTTGTGGCCAAAGAGAAAGTTCCATCAGTTCTAATAACATGCATGATGAGCTAGGCAAAAAGCATAGCGTAGGGCCCTGAGCTTCCAAGCTCTCTCGTTGGCCACTGGCTATCGTGAGAATAAAGATTTAAAACAACAGGGAACACATGCATAGAGCAGTTATATACCGGTACCTCTTAATTATTAAGTGATAACATATTTTCCGGAGTATAAGCCGCACTTTGAACACACAAAATGCCGGCTCAGGGATCCGCATCACCGAGGAGGGCCATAGATACCTTGGCTCCTGCCATCGGCACACCGGAGTACTACCAGCACTTTGTCCAGAAGTGTGAGGAATGGCTTGCTGAGGTAGCTATCCTCACAGAGTATGCACACACCCAACCTCAGCCAGCATATAGTGCCTTCACCAGAGGCCTCCAGCACAAGTGGACATTCATCTGTCGAACACTAGCTGGGGCGGCTGAGCAGCTGGGATCCCTGGAACGTCACATCACTACAAAGCTCATCCCAGTGCTGACTGGCCAACACATTGACCAAGAGTACCATAGCCTCATTGGGTTTCCCGGTCGCCATGGTGGTCTTGCCCTGGCGGATCCTACATCTCTCTCCACTCAGTACTCGGCTTCTCGGCACATCCCTATGGCGCTAGTCCATCAAATAAACACTCAGGCTGGTATCCTGGGAGAGTCATTGGCTGAGGTCAGGGACCGCAAAGGTGAGGTACGTCGTGAACAGCGAAGGTCGGTGGCTCACCGTGCCATGGAGCTCGCAAATGATGCATCTCCACCAGTCAAGCGTGCCATTGGCAGTGAGAAAGGAGCCTCTAGCTGGCTTACATGCCGCCCACTAGCACGTCATGGCTTTACCCTGTTGAAGGGCCAGTTTCGTGACGGGCTGGCGCTTCGCTATGGTTGGCACCCGGACCGACTGCCATCAACCTGCTCGTGTGGTGCAACGTTCACTGTTGCACATGCTCTTTCCTGCGCTACGGGCGGCTTCATTATCATGCGGCACGATGAGGTGAGGGATCTCACGGCGCAGCTGCTCGGACGTGTGGCGCACGACGTCAACGTGGAACCAACCCTCCAGCCCTTGAATGGAGAGAACTTGCGTTATCGCACAGCTGTGCGGGATGACCTGGGTCGGCTGGGTGTTGTCGCGAGCGGAATCTATGGCGGCCCGTTTGAACGGAGCTACCTGGACATCCGGGTCTTCAACCCACACGCTCCATCAAATCGCTCATCATCTGCGGCATCCTGCTACAAGTGACACGAGCGTGAGAAAGGATTCAACACGTTGAGTGGACAGGCTTCATCCCTGTGGTTTTCTCGGCACATGGTGGCATGGGCAATTCAGCTATTTCTCTCTACAAGCGCATTGCCTCCACGTTGTCCGAGAAGACTCGTGAAGCCTACTCCTCCGTCATGGCCTGGATTCGTGCCCGGCTGAGCTTCGCCCTCCTGCGTGCAAGTGTTGCCTGTCTTCGGGGTGCTCGCCGACTGATCCACTGCCACCGCCTTGTCTCTGCTTCTGCCGCACTGGCGGTTGCTGAAGCTCGGATCGTGATCTGATCCAGCTCAGGAGCAGTATTGTGTGGGAACTGAACGGATCTTTGTCATCAAGTGTACAGTGTTTTACTCTCTCATTGCTTTTTGATCCATGTGTTATGGTATTTATATTTCTTCATTTTGCACGGAGAAGGCGGACAGCCCGAATGTGCCGGTTTTCATCTCAATGAATTGTTTTGAGTTTTACTCAGACAAGCACAACAGCTTCTGCAAGGCTAGTATTCGAGTGTTTGCAAAAACAACGGACTCGTGGATCTGCACAAGAGTGGCTTATGGACTGACAATATGTACATGTACATAATGTTAACAGCTGTCTCCACAGTATCCCTGAGCTTCTTTTGGTATTGAGCTCCCAACACCCCCCCCCCCCCCCCACACACACACACCTCTCTGCCTGCTTACCTCTTGAAGTCGCATAATCAGCGGCATTCCAGCCTTGCGAGCTGCTGCAACAAGGTTGTCTGGCTTGAGCTGGCCTTCAAGGAAGTTGTCAGCCTTGCCCTACAGAGATACAACACAAAACCAACAAAGTTCCAATCAACCAGAGGCAGAAACATACAAACCAACCCAGTTCCAATCAACCAGAGGAAGCTTCTACAAGGACAGAGTAACGAAGAGAGTTGAAATTCTTCAAACCAGCAACACCCATGACAACTAGCCCAGGACACGAGCCACAAGCCGCGCTCGGTCAAGCTCAACAAAGCTAACAGAGACCAGCAAAGACTGCCGCGTGCACGGCACTCTGTACAAGATAACACCATGCATACAGAATAGCACCACAAGACGAACCTGGTCCACGAGAAGAGTTAGCGGCGGTCCGTTGTACTCCTGCAGTAGCTCACAGGCATCATATGCCTGTTGAAGCAAAGACAACAATTAATTCAAAGGAATTAGTCAGGTGCAATGCACAATGAACTAGGAACAAGAAAGCAAAACTCCAAAATGCCTAAAACTAAAGCCCGAAATGATCCAAAATTAGTGAGTAGAAGAACCACCAACCTTCCATGCCTCTTTGTCTGAGCCAAGGTAATTGCCGAAGCACTTCTCGCCCCAGGGACAGTCGCACGGATTACAGATGGGAGAAAACGCAGATACCGACTGGAAGGCAGAGTAAGAAAGCACATAACACAGGGTATGTAGCAGTGAGTCATACGTGCAGAGCACATGATGTTACAGCAGTGAACACAAGTAGTATGTGCCGAGCCGGTCCTGTGGTAGGCACGTGCTCCAGCCCAAAAATGGGGTATTTATGATAATACCCCAAAGTCTGAAGAAAATGCCGACCAGTCGCTGCTTGGATGGCGACTACGCCATGACTTAGTGGTAGAGCATCGCTGGCCATAAGTGAGGGTCCATGGTTCGAGTCCTGGTCGTGACAGTCAACTTTTTCTTCGAACTTTTCCGTTTGCATCTTTCCCTCAACCTAATGAATACACCCCATTTTTGTGGTAAAAATCTCTTTCTTATCTTTTCTAGATCCAAGCTTTGATCTAATCTGCCTTCTCAAAGTTCTCATATCAAGGCTTGCACTGCTATCAGTGAGTTTATCAACCAGCAAAAAAATGAGCCAAAAAATTAAAAAGTAACACAGTACAAAAAGCTGGTACAGTGTACTGTTAAACTGGTACAGTGTACTGTTAAACTGGTACAGTGTACTGTGTACAGTGTACAGTGTACTGTTGATAGCTATTGTAAAACTATCGTCTCCTCGCCGCCTGTTTAGGTATTTCAAACCAGGTTTTCTCTTCCTCATACAATTGGTGTTACCTTTAAAATGTTGGCTGGTTGAATTATGGACAACGACCAAAGGCAATTGGCGATTGCAGTGAAAAAAGCCATGGAATTGCTTTCAGTCTCAGAGATAATCCCCACCAAGATTGGCTCCATGCCAGGGTGGTAGCCAGGACTCTAGCCCAATCGCCGCAAACCGACCGTCAACCAGCCACCTACCAGCCGTCAGCCAGACACCGTATGCAGTGTTTTACCAAGGAAAACCCTTGACAAAGTACTTGTGTTCAACACACCAATCAATAGCAGCCCAATCCAATGGGCAGTTTATCGGCTGGGCCGGAGTTGGCTACGTCCCCGGCTGCTCTAATATCCACAGCAGCGTGTCATGACTGGATATCAGGTGCACACATACCTGATACAGGCCCGGGTTCTTCAGTGCGCAGACGATAGCACCGTGACCACCCATGCTGTGACCGGTAATACCAGTACGCTCCATATTCACCGGGAAGTTACTGTTCACCAGGGCTGGCAGCTAAAATATACGGACAGCCAGGCAGATACACACATACACACACACACACACACACACACACACACACACACACACACACACACACACACACACACACACACACACGGGAGATGCATGTTGACGAAAAGAACGAGAAATATTCCAAGAATATAAGTACTGTAAACTGCCTAAAGGGCCGTCCGTAAATATCGAACTTTTTCACCAAACGAATTATTTTAGTTTAGACCCAACCCCTCCCTCCCTCCCCTCAGAACGTAAAAAATATTGACATACATGCATATACAACGGTCATGTACATGAATCAATGTTTTCTGAAACGAAATTGGTCAACCCCCTCCCACCCCATAACGAAATTATTTCGTTCTGTGAAAAAAGTTCGATATTTATGGACGACCCCTAATATTCGTGATGGATTAATGTTCGCTATTTTCGCGAGAGAACCGAAACGCGAATATTAACCAGCGTGAAATCAAACTTCAACAGTGGGTGTATGTAGGTGGTCCCAGTGCTTCGTACACTTTTGCCATCGTAAACTCGCTGGTTCTAAGAAATCGCGAAAATTTAGTGATGCGAATATTGGGCGGTTTACAGTATGCAGTGAACTAATCTTTGACACTAGCACACACATGTGAATACTTTCTGATGATACATGTCCGCGGACCATAGATAGTAGGGACGTTTAGTCCCACGTAACGGATACGGGAACGTGGGTGATACACGTAAAGTTCATGCAATGGACCCACGTTCGCAATGCTGTTTTTAGTCACACGGAACAAACAATAGCATGACGCGAAAGGCCCAAACTTGGCCAAAGACGAATCTTTGAAGCTCATGGAATATTTTGATTTCGTGCTTCGGAAACTTCTTCAGCTGAGCACCCTCACAGCTTGCACAATGCACCCCATTCTGATTTTCACCCACGTTCTGGTGGAACGTGGGTGAGCCTCCATACACGGTATGTCGTGAATCAGAAAACGGCTGTACGTGGGTCACCGAGTATCACGTGGTACACACACGTAAAGTACACACGGATTACGTGGGACTAAACCTCCCCAGTAAGTAGAATTAGAGCAGAGGCCTGTCAGAGACACAAGTTGGAATCCTGCCGCACCCAAGAGTAAAAACGCGCACAAATGCACAAACACAAATGCACAAACACACACACGTGCACACACACACACACACACACACGCACACACACGCACACACACACACGCACACACACACACACACAGAAGCCGAGGAGCACCCACCTCCTCGGTGACGTAAGAGTACATGTTGTAGTTCTTCTTCCACTTCTCCTCAGTAGCATCAACGTAGAAACCAGCACCTGACCAATAGCAGAGGAATCATAACCTTACACAACTGACTAGACTTTTAGCTACCGTATTTCTCAGATCATAAGTCTTGAGCCATAATGCTTTGATATATTCACTTCAGTAGTAAGTCATGCTCGATTGTAAGTCACATCCCCTTTTCACCCTTGAATTTTAGTGTAAAAAGGTGCGACTTTTATCCGGGGAAATACGGCATTCCTAACTGGGAAGGGTAACGCATGCAGCAACGATGCTTGTACAATACAAAGACAACGGATCCTGTAATTCACATCGTCTACCCATCGTTGGTCCGTTGCGGGACCTCCGATCGCCGCAACACAAGTTGACAACTACAACCACCGAAGCAACTGCCAAGTCATCTGACACACATACCTGTACCAAAGTCCCAGCTGTCGTCTTCTCCCTCAATGCCACATCCCCCTGGTTAGAAAAGACAAAAGAAATCGCAAACAACACAGTAAGGCAAAGGTAGTCTATAGTCACATCTGACTATGGCATAGGGACAGGACAGGTTAGAGACCTTTTCTTTTCAAGATGCCAAGTACAGTAGAACCACTCAGTTGCAGATATCCTTAGGCCTCTAGACTTCTACAGCTTGAGATAGAAAGGTGTTAGAATACAGTCACGTACAGTAAAACCTGTAACTAACGACCACCCCTTGGTGCCCGGAAAAGTGGTCGTTAGTGGCAGGTGGTCTTTAGTTAGAGGTTTGCACCGCGCGACCATATATGGATCCCATTATATGATATGTATGTCAAAATGCAGATAATACAATCCCCCACCACTTGCGCACTGACATTCTTCTTTCAGATCATACAACACTTGGAGAGAGAGAAAATCAAGCGTATCCTGGCCTGTGTTCCGTACACATGGTACAGGTGAGTACATAATACCGTAGCATGCTAGCTAGCCAGCACAGACTGTCAGTGTGACCTGGTGTAGTGGTGAGTCTGGTGACTGAGCTGTGTGATTGCACTTCGACAGAGAGCCGCTCAGTCTTAGTTTCTCCTTCGAGTAGTAACATCGATCAAAGAGCGCTTTGGATGCGCTCTCCAAGACGTTTCCTATCATGTTTGTTCTTGACAGCACTTGAAATTATGACAGGTGTAGTGCAATCCACACTGATTCCACAGCAAAAATGAGACTGCGCTCATTTGTCCAGCTGTAGTATCGAAACGACCATGGAAAATCATCAAAATTTCGAGAAGGAGCTTCAAGCAATGCTTGATTTGCTACATCGCGGTCGCTAGTTACGGGTCAAAATTCGACATTGGGACAAGAAAAGGCGGTCGCTGGTCGCGTTCAGCAGGTAGTCGCTAGTCACAGTGCATTTTGAATGTGAGACCGTCCGTGCCTGACAAAGTGGTCAGTAGTACCAGGCCGGTCGCTAGTCACGGTGGTCGTTAGTTACAGGTTTTACTGTACTTCAAAGTAGAAGAAAAAAAGGCTTTTCGCGTATATAAGATGGGACTGGAGCTGAAAATAATCATCCGACAAGGCCTCCATGATGTATAGAGAGGGCCGGCAACCCATGGCCCCATCACATCAAAAATCACGGTATACTACGGCTGTTATGCCGAGCAGAAAGCTGGACGGAATATTTCGCAGTTCCGTAGAGAATTTATCCTAACCCGCAGCGGATGTCAAAATTCGCTACCAAAAAAGGGGATCACATGTATATTAAAAAATTGTAAACATTGAAACACAGCATGTACATGTTTGAGACATTATGGCAGAACTGAAACAGGCAGTACTTAGGCAGTACTTCTCAAATCTTTTTAACACAGAGTACTGTAAGACATGTTATTATAACGAGTCGCAAATTTAACGATTGTCCAAAATTCATAAGTTAACGAGAAGATATGTTAACGATCTTGCACTATTCTGCCATATCCACACACAGCATATATGAAGCAGTACGGCCTCAACGGATCTTATTATAACGAAGAAATGTCATCCGTTAAAACGTTAGATTTGCTTCCTCGTTATATATACATGTCTTACAGTAGTTGACGGTGAAGTACAAGTAACATGTTTATAAGATAACACCACTAACTTGGGCTAGTATCTGGGCACACAACAATCAAGCCATGTTCCGCAGCATAGCGCTGGAATCCCGACTTCGTCACAACGTTCTGCTCCGTGCAAGTCAGCCCTGGAGCGAAGAGACGAGCACACAAGTGTAACACGAGAGCTGGTTGCAAGTACATGACAACGAGAGCGTCTGTAACCCGTCAAACGGCCCTGTTCGCCATGTTTTCGAGCCGGGTAGAAAACCCTGGATTGGACACTCGTCTCTGGCTGCTCCTAAAATTAAATACATCTGTAAAAAAATGATAACGGTCACAGGGATGAATTTATTGTCATATTTTCGCATAGCAGTTTCTGCTATACAAAATCACAATCGTGTAGCACTCTTTGATTTTGATAAGCATTTTTTCTTTGAAGGTTGGGTGTTTACCACATTGTCCTTCTTGAGAGTGATGCCTGAAAGCCTATTTGCAAAAAAACGACTGAATCATACATGTGCACGCAGATTGAGAGTGCCTGCACCACACTGCACGGTATGCATATCACTTGATAGCACAGGCTAGGCATGGATAGCCTGTATGTATAGCAGTTTTCTGCGAAACACGGTGACTTTTGAGTAGCAGTAGGTCCATTTTGCATCGCAAACTGCGATGCGATACAGGATAAATTCATCCCTGGGTCATTATGAAGAAGAAATGTGCAAAGTTCAACCAAAGTAGTAACGAACTGCCCATGCCCACTGTTAACATGTTGTGCTGGCTAATGTGCTAGCTAATGTGCTAGCTAATGTGCTGGATAATGTGCTAGCTAATGTGCTGGATAATGTGCTAGCTAATGTGCTGGCTAATGTGCTGGATAATGTGCTGGATAATGTGCTGGATAATGTGCTAGCTAATGTGCTGGATAATGTGCTGGCTAATGTGCTAGCTAATGTGCTAGCTGATGTGCTTGCTAATGTGCTAGCTAATGTGCTGGATAATGTGCTGGATAATGTGCTGGCTAATGTGCTAGCTAATGTGCTGGCTAATGTCTCCAAACTCTACCACATAGGCTTTGAGCCAATTGGGTTTTGCTCGGAGCAGCTAGCTTAGCGTAAGTACGGAAAAAATAACAATTTCATTTCAGAAGTGACCACAACATAAGACAGTGGCCCACACAGTACAGAAGATGATGTACACACGAGTGTTTCAGCTCAAATTACGACATGTATTGCGGTTCGCCAGAACACTTGCAAAAAGTACTCCAAACAGAAGTATTAATAGCCCAATGTGTTGCACTCATTCCAACAGAACAGGTGCGAACTCGAGGACTCACTGTACATGTACTTGTACTGACTCTCATCTGCCATACACTCAAAACAAACGTACCGGAGAGATAGTAAAGAACTGGCAGCTTGGCGCCGTCTTCTTCTGCTTGCGGTGGCAGATAGACTGCAAACGTCATGGTGCAGTCAGTGTGGTGGCTATATAACCCAGAATAAAGAGGAGAGAGAGAGAGAGAGAGAGAGAGAGAGAGAGAGAGAGAGAGAGAGAGAGAGAGAGAGAGAGAGAGAGAGAGAGAGAGAGAGAGAGAGAAAGAGAGAGAGTGAGTGAGTGAGAGAGAGAGAGCGTGCGAGAGAGTAAGAGAGAGAGAGAGAGAGAGAGAGAGAGAGAGAGAAAGAGAGAGAGAGAGAAAGAGAGAGAGAAAGAGGGAGAGAGAGAGAGAGAGTATGTGTGTGTGTGTGTGAGAGAGGGAGTGAGAGAGAGAGGGGGGGGGGTCGGGTCAGTACCGCACTGGCACATAAAAGAATAATACCCGAGGCGCACAGTCCCACCCCATTTATCCAGACATAGTAAAACAGCTGCATAGCCCCACGTCGTGAAAACTCCCGTAAGTCTAAGGACACCTCGACTAAGGCGACTGCTGAAGCGCCGGCAGATGTCCCCACCACACATGACGAGTATCCGTGGAGTCGTGTTTCAAAATATTACCAGATCACCTGCAAAATAGTTGTACAGCAATTTTATTCTTCAGACTTTTTCCCCTTTTCCATTCCCTCAACTAATGAAAACAGCAATTTGAAACTAATTTCACGTGAGAATGTCACTCAAGTTTATTGGTTTGGCTTTGAGTGTTGCGTGCGCCCCCCGATCATACTTGGACCCACGCCATTAGGCATTTTCTACTACGCGTCATGCATTTACTCGTGAGGATGGTGTCGAGGCAAGTGTGCATACCGGTTGCTAAGTAGGGAATCGGAATACAAACTGACCTTTCATGTTTGAACACTTTCTGATAACCGCCGAAGATTTTGGTGCTAGAAGCTTCCGTCAATGTTCCAGCCATTGCTCAATGCCTTTGAGAATATCAGTTCCTGTGATCTGTTTTAGGTGTGCTCGATAAGCTAGGACTTACTGTACTTGTGGACAAATGCTGACAAGCCAAGTCACCAAATAATTTAAATGCAAAATCCAAAGCGAAAGAAATAAACAAAAGAGAAAATTCGAAATCAAAACGAAACAAAAAAGTTATCAGTGAAAAAAGTTCACGCGATCGCAAGATGCAGGGCCAGCGCCGGGATGGCGCGTGACCAATGATCGCTCGCTCTTCGAATCGGAGCGGGAGATTTGATTTTCCTCTGTGCTCGATTTTCGTGTGTTCAGTCAAGGTCATTGTAGTCTCGTGGAAGCAAGAGTACTCTTGGTGGAAGAGTTGGAGTGTGAGTCTGCTGAGCTAGCTGGAAGACTTCCTCCTCTATAATTTTTTTACCGGGAAACATTCTCCCCTTTCAGGTACGTAAGGAGAAGTGGCGAGACACGAAACTGCTGGCTTCTTCTCATGTTTTTTCGAAGTTGAAACTCAACGGAGGGTTTGACTTCTCTTTTCCTTTTTTTGTTCAGTTTCTTTACCATTGAAGAGATGGGACGAACAACTCGTGGATCTATCGCCGATAAGGAGAATACGCCACTCGTGGAAAGGAAGACCCGACTCAGGGTATGCATCGAATCTGCTAGATATTGCACGCACGAAAGAACACTTTATGATTGAGTACATGCACCTACTTTGCTAGTTAGATTGGCTTTGAAAATTACATCTATCGATATCTAAAATTGGATTACATGCATATGAAATCCTTCCCGCTGATAATGACTAAGCAATTATATTATTTAAATGTGATATCATTATGTACATCGGGATGCCTTGCAGTTGTAGCGGACGATGCAGCTCCCGCGCGCATGAGAAAACACGCTCACCCAACATGACATAGTTCTGGTCGTCAGGGGAAACCGTCAGCTAGCTGCCAATCCCGATATGACATTATACGTTTGTCATACTATGATAACCCAACCATGCTATCAATGAATCTAGTTGAACCTAGTATCCTTTCCACCCCACGCGCTCACCTTGACAAGACTAGAAGAAAGGAAGGAAGCTTGATATGACTCCAAGAGAGATCAGTGAGGAAGTTCTATTGTATAGATCAGATTACACCAGTTGTTTTGTGCAGCTATGCTGAGTTGAAAAAGTGCACAAGGTGGTAAAACTAACCAATTAGCAGCAGCCGAGTAAAAATAATCACTTAGAACATAGAACTATAGAGAGAATCATGTTGGACCAGCGATACAATAGTGTATACAAAAAATCATCGCTATAGTATCACATGTAGTGCAATGTACAATTACTAATAACATGCAAAGTAATGTAATATCAGAATGTCTTACGATGCACGTGGCACACTGGCAGCAGAACGTTTCATCTACCTGCGCACATGAGGGGAACACGTTGAACGTCGCCCAGTGTACCAGAGGTGTCGCCATAGTCCGGGAAAGCGTCGGCTGCTGCTCCCAGTATGGACTAAGACTTCCAACTTCTGCAGCACATATCACTGATATCAGTCGTAACATAAATCGACCCAGTTAGGGGGAGAGCGCAAGTACCATCCTAGTCTGTCTTCAGTCATGGCTACTTCAGCAGATTCTGGACTCTCCTCAGCCACACCGTGACTTTGTTCGTGGTGGGGTAGGGGGAGGGGTTTACTGGGCAGCACTGTGTAAGCACCTTGAGTATGCAATACCCGTGATGTACACCGGATATGAGGCTTTTTTGGTTAAAGCCTTGCTGGGGGGGGGGGGGGGGGGGGTGATTGGTTTCATTTACACCTTTGTATCGATTGGGTTGCTAACAAATTTGCTATTTCTTTATGTGCTTTGGTGTTGCTGCGGCTAGAGTGGCAAGACCCCTTTGGCAGCAAGTGTCCCTCGCAAGGCTCTGGGCGATATCAATGTAAGTTGAGCTGTGTGTACAACTGGCGCATGCATGCGGTGCGTTTGTGGTTCGTACGTGCTCAAACGCGTGTTGAGCTTTCACAAGAAAACGTCGTGATTCAAGTTCCGTGAGAGGGTACGTCACTACGTTCAGTGGATCCTCAAGTCTATGCCCGAACCTCCTTTTCTTCTATTTACGTTGGGTGCTTGTCAAGCCATAAGAATTCAAGACTTAACAGAGCACATGAAACCTGCCTTGAGAGTTCAAGAGTTCCATAGTCAAGGACATACTTTGCAGATAGATCAAGATAGAGAGACGATTGAAGAGACGAGAAGGCAGTACCGGAGCGAGAGGACGACTGCAACAAGAACAGGGGCTTATATTTTGGAAAGCGGCCAGTCCGAACAAACTCATTGTACTCACTAGTCATAACGGCTACTTCGAAGTAGTCATAAAGGCGGGATAACAGAAGGTGTAGAACAGTAGAAGCTAGATTCATAATTAATTGCAATACAGTTTCAGAATAGAGCGCCAGATAGTTACAGTTTCATAGCAGTTAGCAACGGCGAATGTGTAAGTGTGTAAAGACTATGATTGTAGTTGCATGAGGTAATGGTGATGTAGTGAGTTTGGAGAGAGAGTTAGAGTTCCCGTACTGCTGTGGTGCTGGCACGACTTGTCAGGTTGCCGATCGCTTGTCAGCTGTTGTTGATTCATCGCCTGCCAGGCTTGCCACGGTTAATGCGCTTTGTCGACCTCGCCAGTCGGGTCACATCCGTCCTCGTGTCCATGGCCAGTAAGACGCACATCATTCTCACACACATACACCTACACACCACGTGTGCCAGACAAACATAGAAAGAAAGAGAGAGATGCCGATAGTGGAAGATAACAGTTTAATATAGAAGAATATAGGAGAGACACAGAAGGAAAAAGAAGAGAGAGACTGCCTGGACCGTCAGGCATTGTTGCTGCGGGTTCCGTGATTTCTTCCGCAACCGGAAGTAGCCGCTCAGGGCGCACAAAGCACCGCTTCAATCGGTCGACACGCACAATCTGCCTCTTTGTCATGTTACCGACCGTACCGACAATGCGATATACCACGTCCGACAACTCGTCCTGGACCTGATGCTGTCCCTTCCATAGCCTTGCCAGCTTAGGAGTAGTTCCGACATGTACTGCTGGAACTAGGAGCCAAACCAGATCTCTTGGCTTAAACCCAATCATCACTGCGCCCGAGTCATACAAGTGCGCCTGGTGTTGGTGTACAGCGCCTAGTTTCTTACGTACTCCACTGTGTGCATGATTCGACCATTGTCGAAAGTCTTTGACATACGTTGACGATTCATCCATCCGGGTCATTGGGGGAGCCCCATAGGCCACATCATTACGACATTAGGAAGACATAGTTCCCGTCCAAAGAACAGATAACCCGGAGTATATCCCGTGCTTGTCTGTGGAGTAGCCCGATAGGCCATCAACACCGGTAACTGGGTATCCCAGTCTCGCTGCATGTCGTCTACGTAGTGAGAGAGCTGGACCTCAAGCGTCTGAATAAATCGTTCAACAAACCCATCACTAGCTGGATGGTACGCCGTTGTCCGGGTTTTCCCAATGCCCAATACTAGTAGTGAGCAGACCTCCTTAGACAACGTCGAGTCAAAGTTCTTGCCCTGGTCAGTGTGCAACCTTTCGGGTGCCCCAAACCTAGACACAAATTCACTCGCGAAAGCCGAAGCAATCGTAAGTGCGTGCATTCTCTTCAGGGGATAGGCTTCTACCCACTTACAGAAGTAGTCAACCACGACCGATATGTGTTTGTTGCCATTCTGTGTTTCAGGTAGTCCGGGAATCAAATCCATTCCTATCCTCTCAAACGGGTAGCCTGCCCAAGAGGACTGGAGGCTAGCTCCTTGGCCACGGCCAACTGGCCTGTTCTTCTCGCTACAGGACACGCAACTGGCCACCCAGTCCTGCACATCCCGTTTCATGTCATGCCAATAAAACCGAACAATCTCAGATGTGAGACTACCCTACAGTTTTGGCCCTGTCCTCCATTCCTCACCATACACGCGATCAGAGCGCAAACAGGTTTAGATATAAGCCACTTTTATTGAATCAAATATGACTGTTTCAATAATAATAATAATAATACTTGTCCGGCGTAGTAGGAACGTCCACCGGCGTATCCGTCTGCGGCTTTGGTTCCTTCTCCTTCTTTGGCTTACGTTAATTTTTACTAGTTTTCTTTCTCGGTGGCTCCTCTTTTCCGTGTTCTTCTCCGCGATGGCTGACATGCCGGCCCAATATCCTAAAGGATATTGGTGAGTGCCAAGAAGTCCAGATACTCCTTCTGTTTACAGATATGCCGCCCCTGGTCCAGCCGACCAACGCCTTCGAACAGCGTGATGGTCCTCTCCAGACATTGCATGGTGGGTGCCTCCCGCCCCTGGCCTGCCTCTTGTGTCAGAGAGTTTATCTCCTCGATCATTTGCTGCGTCATTCTAGATGAGACGTAATGGCACACCCGAAGAAAACGGAGGATTAGTCCACATTGAGTGAAGGATCCTGGTCACTGCACCAAATGTCATGACCCAACCTCAAGGGTCAGTCAAAAGCCTGCGTTGCGAACAACACCAAATAGGACCGTCATGAAGTGTGAGCAAGATCCAGAATCCCAAGTGCACAGTATGCACACTCCCTCACTCAACATCACACCAAGAGTTCCATAGTCAAGGACATACCTTGCAGATAGAGAGACGATTGAAGAAAAGGCAGTGCCGGAGCGAGAGGACAAATGCGACAAGAACAGGGGCTTGTATTTGGCCGGTCAGGACAAACTCTTTGTACTCACTAGCCATAGCGGCTAGTCATAAAGGCGGGATAAGAGAAGGTGTACTTCGCAGTAGAACGGTGGAAGCTAAATTCATAATTAATTGCAATACAGTTTCATCAGAGAGCGCCTCTTAAAGGCTAGTCATAAACTCTTAATGGCTAGTCATAAAGGCGGGATAAGAGAACGTGTAGAACGGTAAAAGCTAGATTCGTAATTACATGTAATTGCAGAGAGTCCCCGGTTGATGTACTTCGTCGACCTAGGGTCACGACACTTGTTTGTGTTCTATGCATGTTCTTGTCCTGATACAGAGCAACATTGTCTCCTCACCTCGCGTTTTGACACCGGCAAAAAAGGCTGTAAAGCGGAAAGCAGCTGAGAAGAAGGTGACTTGCCCAGAAAGCTGCCCCAGCAGCAGCAATGCCAAATCCACTGCTGCCGTCACCAAGGAGGAGGCTGTGCCAGTTAGCAGCAATCTCGACGGTGGCCGTCATGAAGTAGCCATGCCCGTCAGTGCTCCGGCTTCTGTGAAAGCTACGACACAGCCTGCTGTGCAGCAACTAGCTCTTCCGGCAAAAAACCCGGATACCGCTGGAGAAACCAGTCCGGTCCTTGACGTGGCCATGAATACTGCTCTCAGACCCGAACAGTCTGCTAGTGAGCCATCGGATTACTCTTCCAGACCACCGTCGTGCCAGCACCTGACCAATGATGAATGGGAGTACCTCCAGATGACTGCAGGTATGTGTCAGTCAATTGACCAAGTGTAGGGGTTAGGCGAATGAATTCATCGGGATTTTCAAATGGGCACAAATATACAGCATGAGCCAGCAGATTTCCGAATGTGCGCTACGTGTGCAGCGTGAGTCGCCAGTGCAAGTGCAGCACTGTGCCGCGCCTTTGGCGAGGCATCTCAACTGATGATGTAATCGCATAACCTCTATACTCAAAATGTGCTCTGCACGTAAGCTGCATCTTTCCCAGTCTGTCTCCCTGCAGGATTTGAACTTTCATGGCAAGAACCATGCAGTGGCCTGCAAAACTGCCCGTGTCCCATTGCACTGTTGATGTCCTCGTTCTCCGTTTCTTCTTCTTCTACCGCACGGCACCTGTACAAATGTTATTTCGCTTCTAAGTTGCTCATGTTCACACGTGTGTAAAAGAGTTGGTGGACAAGCCGTTGATTATCCACTCTCATTGTAATATCAAAAAGTATTCTTTCTAGACCAAAGAGTGGTGGTATATTTGATAAAGACACTGTCGATGTTGTTCAGAACAACGAAACGTCTGGAGAAGTATCGTGAATATTTCTATCTTTATCAAATATACCACTCTTTGGTCTAGAAAGAATACTTTTTGATATCACACGTGTGTGTTGTGTGTTGTTGTGCAGGCCCAGACCATGTTGCATTCTGGTGGAGAGCAGCTGAAGAGAGACGCGAAGCACTCAAAGAACTTATCGATGAGAATGTCCAGGTCGGTGCGCCGTTCTGATACTATAAACCGCCCAATACTAGTATTTGCGTCACTAAATTTTCGCGATTTCTCACAACCAGCGAGTTAACCATGGCAACTTTTTGCGGAACACTGTGGCCACACACATACACCCACTGTTGAAGTTTGATTTCACGATGGTTAATTGATAGTCTCGTTATGCTCTTCTCGCAATATTAGCAAAACATTAGGCAGTTTACAGTATGTCAGGGGTGCTTCTTGATCAGCTTTCTACTTCATCTGCACTATCCTCTCTTGCCCACTGCAATGTGGCTCGCCGTGTTCTTGTCATGGGCCTCGTAGTTTCTTCTTTCTTGCTATGTTTTTAACGTTGTGCGTGGTGCATGTCTTACTGCAATGAGTAAGGTGAATCAGATGAACTGTGCACACCTCTACATGACTGTACTGGTTTGTGATGTCTAAGTGCAGAAGAAACACACTATTATGACATAATTGTATTACTCCCGGTAACAGCTGTGGTATTTTTTTTCTTGCGCAGGTACATCAACAGAATAGACAACTCCGGGATGAGCTTCGCCGACTGAAGACCAAGGAGAGCGAAGCCAGCTACTACAGCCTCATGGCACGCCTATGGGAGTTGGAATCTAGTAGCAGCGACGTCAAAGCATGCTGATCGCTACCAGCACGTCTGACAGTAGGCCCTGCTCAGCGTGATGTGTTGCACTATGTAATATTCCTACCTACGCATCTCTGCCAGCAGCATCCCTACACATTGTTCCATGCATAGGCCCTTGAAGTTCCACTCATTGAGACACTGTTTCCTTCCTTTGCACGGTGATAGCACAGGCTTATCTATGATGAACAAAACTCTGTAGTTGTGTTTGTCGCAAGCACCTGCTCCTCACTCCAGATAGTACATTGACTGACCACTTGACAATAGCACCTCTCCACTTGATCTTGTAATCATTATTTATAGGGTTTTCAATCGTTCCAACCTGCACTGTTCTATTCTTCCAACCCACCGGTTTTATCATGTCACCTAGTCTGACGTTTATATTAATGATTTTATGTTGCGTGTAATGCAATGTTCTTTTTCTGTTTCTGTGTACTTTTTTTGCACATTCCAAGGAGTGGTCTTTTGCCATTCCTGGGACATTCCTGAAACCTCATGACCCTCGCTCCCTGGGATCCCCATTGATCAGGACAAGCTGTTCCATTTGCAAACAAAATGATGAAAAATCATACTTCAAAGTGAACGTGTCCTTGATTGTGGTCTGTGTTTCACGCAGCAGGGGGTGTTATTCTCTGTGCGACTCCATGTTGATGTCAGCACCAGGCATGCAGGCATACCCCCAGAGTACATGCACTATAATCAAAATGCTGTGTTATACAGGTATCGTCACCTGTCAATATTACGTACTCTTGGTATTCAGTCAAGGGTACATACAGTAGTAGTCTTGGGATGCAAAGACTACAAAACGGTGCACAGGGAGTTAGAACCCACCAACTAAAACAGATTTTGAACAGTTAGACGTGTACAAGGTAGCACCAGACTGACAAGGAGTACCGTTTTCCTTGCACAGGGAGTCATGGTATGGACCGGCGGATTCTGCTCGAAAAGCAGTGAAATTGGCAGAACCATCCATACCTGTCCCTCCAGGAAATCGCGATTCCACGGACGCAACAAATTTCGCGATTTTGGCCCAAACCCGCGATTTCCCGAGTTTTATGTTGTTTTCTGCATTTCTTTTGACATTTTTCTGCACTTTTCACGCAATATACCTGGTATACATGTACAGTGCTTTCCATGATCCTGCTCGTAGGTTATTTCCACAGTACGCAAATAGCGATTCTAAGGATACAACAAATTTCGTCATTTGGCCCAAATCCGCAATTTTCTGCCAATAATTCCGCGAGTTCCTGGCAAGTTCCGCACTTTTCACCGCATTTTTTGTTGTTTTCTGCCGCAATTTCTTGCGCAAGTTTTCGAGGATTTTTTCCGCAAATTCCCGCAGGGACAGCCATACAAACCGTATGGCAGGCAATTCCTCGAATTCTGCTCCATTTTTTTTATCCACATGCCAAACATGCATGAAACTTACCAGAAAAAGTACCGACTTCTGCCAATTTTTCTGCCGGCAATCCGCCAGACCCGAAGTCGTAGTGTTTTACGACACTCTGATTATTGATATTTTCATAGAGTTGGTGGACAAGTCGTTGATTATTCACTCTCATTGTAATATCAAAAAGTATTCTTTCTAGACCAAAGAGTGGTATATTTGATAACATTTAATAACGATAGAAATTTTTACGATACTTCTCCAGACGTTTCGTTGTTCTGAACAACATCGTCAGTGGATTCTTTATCCACTGACGATGTTGTTCAGAACAACGAAACGTCTGGAGAAGTATCGTAAAAATTTCTATCGTTATTAAATGTTATCAAATATACCACTCTTTGGTCTAGAAAGAATACTTTTTTATATTTTCATAGCGGCTTTGAAGTGAGAATTTGATCCCAAAATATTCCCCCATTTGCAAGTGTTGAGTAACTTGAGTTTCTGATACCCGGCATGCACCATAATTATTATATCCTGCATGTCGGAGTTTCCAGTGAGCTCATGAGATGACTACATGTACTGTCAAGAGTACAGATTATGAATTTATGGAGTCTTCCAACTGTCAAGACAAGAAGAGTACAATACTAGTAACCTGATAACCGGGGGGGGGGGGGGTATGTTACTTATTACTGTAAGACATGTATATATAACGAGGAAATAAATCTAACGTTTTTTAACGGATGGCATTTCTTCGTTACTGTAAGACATGTTATTATAACGAGTCGCAAATTTAACGATTGTCCAAAATTCATAGGTTAACGAGAAGATACGTTAACGATCTTGCGGTCTTCAGGCATATCTGGGTGGATTATCTGCACATAACACATATGAGGCATTAGAGCCTCAACAGAACTTATTATAACGAAAAAATGGCACCCGTTAACCCTTTACCGGCAAGTCACTTTTGTATGTGAAATCCATAACATTTAGATGGATGCCAATAACTCCCAACGAGGCCACATTTTGTATGTGCAAGTTATGTTTTATTGGAAGTCTAGTACTACTTCTTGACCATGGAAAAAATTATTTTCTCATACCACACACATACGCTGCTAAATTGGCACCTCTACGTCTAAACACGGAAATTGTACACATGCAAATCGTCAGAGTTCCGACATCGACATGATACTACCAAAACAAGTCGACTTCGGAGCGGAAACAAATGCCATAGCCAACACAAACTTCATTGGCCATGCTTCGCTCGCAAAAGAGAGCAGCATCGCCCCAGAATCGCTGTCGGAAAGCTCCGGCGGTCGCACGCACGCCGCGCTGCGCTGCCGTCACTCAGGTACGGAGAAAGTCGATGGCCTAAATTCCGTCTCTGGGAGACTGTCGACACGGGGATCGCTCTCCATGGCTTCCCCACCATAAGCACCATCAGCTTCTTCCAGGTACATCACGACGACGTCGTCTTCAGCGGCTGGCGCTCCCCATATTTGCGTGAGAATTTACTTGGCGTGCGCCACGCTCCGTAATTTGAAATTCGCTTGCATCGGCGGCTGGAACGAAGTATTTATCTATCTGTCGTCGGTCACAGAGCGAATGACTGCTAGGTCCTCGTCGGAGAAGTCATCCGAGGACGAAAGGAACTCACTGCGCAAGAGAAAATGCACCTGACGATGTTTTGACGGACGCGGACGGCATTGTCGGGGCGCACGTATTTCCGTAAGTTTTCGATCGCGCAGTTCTCAATGAAATCAAATGGGACACGCGTGGATCTCTTCAGCTACCGATAGGCGATAGGATCATACCTTGGCTGTGTGAGGGCCACGGGAAATCCCCGTGGGCTGATGCTTCCCGTCACGCCAGGCATGGTTTTGCATGCATGTCGAATGCGTCAACGTTGACGCATTCAAGTATGGGGCTGCCGGTAAAGTTAGATTTACTTCCTCTTTATAATTACATGTCTTACAGTATGTGATCCATTGTCATTGAGGCCGCACTGCTTCGTATCATGTTGTGTGTGGATATGCCACTGCAAGATCGTTAAATTTGCGACTCGTTATAATCAGGGAGTAGTACTACTACTCCCTGGTTATAATATCAAGAGTTCATAACCCTGGGTTATGAACTCTTGATAATATTAATAACATGACATTACAGTATACTCTTGCTGCTGTATGTGGCACGTCATCGATGCATGTATGAGCGCTATATTATATGCGCACAACACAACATTCAACACGTGATTGTTTGTGACATTACTGTGAGCCAGTCGACGTCATGACACTCGGACTCCGACATCATGACTGTCACAATCACATGCCCCGATCTGACCGATCCCGGCCCGGGCCGTACACTGCGGTACTAGCATGCATAAGACATGCATAATGCATGCATGCGCACATGTACGTGCACAGTGACATACGGTACAGTTCGTTCAATCATAGATCTACGGGATGTGCGTACATCGTACACTGTCTGTGTAGTGTTCATTCAGATCAGGGGATCCGGGAAGAGATTAGAAGGGGACAAAAAGTCAAAGGTGAACGGTCATCTCACTACAGATCACTGCCACCTGTCCAGTTACGACTGCATGAGAGGCTTTGTTCTGGAGGAATAAAATTCACAACTGGCTTGTTGAAACTTCATTTGCGTCGAGAACCTTGGTCTGAACTTTTGTCTGACATTCGCTGCTCCTTTTAGCTATGGCTACCGTGGGTATCTTTGATCGTGTTGCTGGCTTGCCAGTGGTGCAGAGCACATACGGAAAAGTTTCTGAAGTCTACAGCTGCGCCAAGGAGCGCAACAGCCTTGTCAACCTCGCTCTGAATACAGTGGAGGCATCCTTGCAAGTTGTTTCCACATCAGCACAACCTTTGGTACATACCTTGGAAAAGCCTAGTGAGTTTATTGTGTGATCTGCTTTCGTGATTATGGTACACGAGAGTGAGAGAATGATAATCGTTTTTGTTTGTGTCTTTTCTTTTCTTTGTCCAGTTGCTCAGGCGGATGCCTTTGCGTGCCGTCAGTTTGACTACTTGCAGGAAACCGTACCTGCGATTCAATCAACCCCTGAGGAGGTGAGTCTTTTTGTGTTCATTACTCTTGGAGGTAGGTTACTAGTATATTTTTGTAGTAGCAGTTGTCGGTTGCTGGCTGCATCGTATCCTGAAATTTCGCGCCACATCATGTATCATTTGAATCCCAATACATGTCCCCAAAACTGTCAAGGCGGGGGTGAAAGGTCACAATCTAGAAATGAAATTAATGTGTACGACTGGGGGGGGGGGGGGGGGGCTCTTTTCACTCTTCTGTTCTCGAGGTTTGAAATTGGGTACTAGTAGGTAACTATGGCCGAATACGGCGAATAGAAAGTCGTGCAGGGGGAGTGGGGTAATATTTGTCCATGTCAATTCATGCGTGCCTTTGTTATTTCCTTTGTCGCTGTACGCCCACCAGGTGATCGAGGGAACTAAGCGCTATGTGTCCGAAAAGGTAAGCATCCATCATTCACGGTCTAGTATTTACAATGTGGGCTTTTAGGTTGTGTGCCTTCTGTTGTGTCATGAGCAAGGAATCATCTGACTCTGTGCAGCCCTGTAAACCTGTTTGTTTACTGTGCTATGTGTATTTCTGTTTATCAGATGATTGATGCCCCCAAGCGCTTTGTGTCTGAGAAGGTTCGCACCGGTGCTGACATTGTGACCAACACGCCGGTTGCTAAGCTGATCTCTTCACGCGTGGACCATGTCTTGGCCACCACAGAGAATGTTGTTGACTACATTCTGCCGGAGAGTGGCGATGGTGTTGCACCATCATCGGAAGCCGACCCGTCGGTTCACGATGACGCCAGCCCTGAACCAGCTGAACCAGCACCCGCTTCCCGCCTGTCCACCATTTCCAACAAAGTTACCGACCGTACCCGTGCTCTCGCCCTCAAACAAGTGAACAATGCTCAACGCCGTGCTGAAGATGCCCTGGAACAGCTCCGCACCAACCTTGTCTTGGTAAGTGTGCCATTCTAGTTCTCCTCTGTGTGTGGGAGAACTAATTGCTGTGTGTGCGCGTGTGCGCTTTGTTCACATTGTGTGTTTTTCCAATTTTGGCATACAGTTTTGGCCTTGTTAACTTTGTGAACATTATGTGTTCTGTTGCTCGCTTATTGTAGATCAGCCGTGCCCAACAAGAACTGAAAGTGCAACGTGAACGTCTCCTGCAAACCATCGATGAACAACAGGCTCGTGTCACTGCCGGTGGCAAACGCCTTCTCACCGCTGTCCAAGATCATGCCGAGTCCGTCCGTAGCTGTGCTTCAACTCTGCCCAACACTGTCATGTCTTCCATCCCCTCAACTGTTCCTCTTGTCGGTGGCTATGTAAGTTTGTGACCGCCGTGTGTTGATTTTGCTTGTGATGTACTTGTAGGCTGTGTTACATGTATTGTGTTTTAGCATGGCGTCTTTGTCGTGTTGCTTATGTACTGAATGAGCCATTGCCTGAAAACGTGTCCTAATCTAATCCTCTTTCCCATGTTTGTCTGTTCTTTTTCCACAATGTGTGTAGACTCTGAACGTTGACGTCCTGATTGACAATGTATCCAAACTGACCGCTTCCACCCAGGCCTCCCTTCAGACCACCGCCGCTCTTGTCCGACACATGCCTAGCCACCTGCATCAGCCAATCAATGCCGCCCTCGAACAAGCTCGCTCCCTGCACAGCATGGCTCTTGAGGTGAGGCACACACCTTCTCCTGTTTGCCTGTTTAATACTGTGTTGTTCGCTAACTATTTGCTAACTTGTGCATTGATCATTGCCTGCATTGACAGTCCCTTGTGTCTATCTTGTGACATGACCATGTCATCTGAACGTCCTTTTGTCTTGTCCTCCTCTTCGGTTTCCCTGCAGATCTCACGTGGAAATACCGTCACCAGTGCTATGCTTGACCAGGCAACGTCTCTTATCGCAGCTATCTCCGCATCAACAGCCTCTGTCAGTGCCTTCCTCAGAACACACCTCGGATCTGTAGCAGGCAAGAAAGACTACGCTAACGACCTGAGCATGGATGATGAAGACTCCACCGGAAAGTCCAACACAGACTCGCAGATTGGCAGCAGCTCTCGCTACACAGATGATGAGGACGACGAAGATGAGGAGGATGGAGTCACCGAGGTCTAAGCCCTACTCGCCATCATCTTCACGACTGCTGACCCTTGCTCGGATACCTCATTCCTGATTTAGAACTCCACAAGCTGTTCTCCCTGCATTATCAATTTATCATGCTTTTTTGCTCCTCACACAGAAAAAAATTATCTGCATGCTATATGTTGAGTCTGACTTCACTTTTGAACTTTGCTGGTGTGCATATTCTAGCCTGCTCTCTGACACTGTATTTCATCACTTCTGTTTGTTAACGTCCTTTTATCTTGCCATGGAATGCAATTGAACTGTTCTCTCACCAATTTACAATATTTGCATGGTGTGGTAGGTGTGATGTGCTTGTTCTGAAGTACATATATCGCAGAGTGTCAGGCTTTGGGTAGGGGTGAAAGTTTGTAGTGAGATCCCGAGTTGTGAGTACTCTGATCTTCTCGATTGAATATTCGAGTACATGACATTCTTCATCTTCAAGAAAACCAGAAAAAAGCCTGAAACTCGCATGTTATAGCAAGCCTTGATTGAACAAATTAGTGGGTCATTTACATGCGGAGCCCGCGAATATTATTATTATTTACATGTAGGACCTTAGTTTTTTTCCGAATGAACAGCCTCCTTTACGGGCAAAAGCAACACAATGATGAGAAATCAGGGTATGATCGGAAGATAATAATTATTATTAAAGTCTATACTATGTTCTCTTGGTACTACTCTCAGTGCCACCAGTAATCACTGCATATTCCTGACTGGATATACTGAAGGTGCATGAATGGTCCAAAATAATTGTAAAACGATGTACAATAATTATTGCTTTCATGTGTGACGACATTCCCCAAACTGTACCGAAGGACATTCTGTCAGCCTCCCGTGACTGAAGATGGTGATGGAGCAAAGTCATGCCACTTGTATACACGTACCACCAAGAGTACATAACTTGGTACCACTTTGTAGTAATCAGAAACCTTTCGTGAAGAAAATTGAAAAGAAAATAGTACATGTACTGTTAGTAGTACCCTCATCCGCCTCCTCGTGAACCCCGTGGCAAAATATCAGAATTCTGTGGCCGTTCTACGAGGAAAATGAGAATAAAAATAGGTAGAAATTCCACAATTTGAAACTCTAGGTGCACGTTTGCCTGGGGCTGCACAGAGCTGAGCCTGACTGGCGCTAATTCACTATGGACATATTGTGCTCTTGCATTATGTGTTTGGAAGCATCGCAACTACACGAACAGATGCGGCATAGAGCAACTGTCTTTGTCTGTCCTGCAGACGTGAATGACGTCGAAGACTAACGAATGGATGGCAGTCACACATGACAGATGAACGGTAAAAAGCAAAATGCAAAACAACATGAACAGTTAAAACTGTTTTACAAAAGGGACGCGGAAAGCCAACAGGACCTGCATGTGGCACTGTCAGCTATTTGTCAGATCTACATGGGTAAAAACGTACTCTGGTATCATTGCTGCCAACAATGGGCCATCAAATGCAGTGTCGATGACAAAGTGCTCCACTAATCAAGAAGACTTGGGAAAAGATGTGGATGTCTCTGCAAAACGACTGCATCAGTCTTTGACTGCCATACAGCCGCCAATATACTGTAAGAAAGCGGTTAACCTTTTCTCTTGCCACTCCGTGATCAACTGTGATCATGTGTTGTATACTTTCGCTTAGGTTGGCCCACCATCACCTAGGGCTAGGACCATACTCTAGCGACACACGTGACGTGGGGTTCTTCCCCAGAGAGAAATGATCACCACACTCGCATTCGAGCTGGTATGCATCTACGTGATAACCGCTAGCAATCTCAAGCCACACATCACATGCTAGTGCCGCTCATTGGGTCCAGGAGAGTGCACTGTTGAGCTGCAGCGCACTCTGGGCTGCAGCTAACATACACCCGGGCGTGCACGGTGCTCAAAGCACATCACTCATACTCGCAGCAAGGTGGTGGGATCGGCAGCAGTGCATCGCCTTGGTCACTCGGCTTCCCTCGACTCGATGCAAGCATCATGTTTGCCACCATTGTGACCTGAAACAGCAGTAGCAGCAGCACCAGGGAACTGCATGGCATGTTAACACACAACTGTGGATCAGGAGCCAAGCTGTAGCTGCTTTTCATAACGATGCAGTCTGGATACGGTCGCTGTCTTGCCTATCAGTGCAGCAAACGGGGCAACCCCAACACCACTCTGCACAAATGTAAACGAAAGAAAGTAAGAAAAAAGACACAGCACCCAGTGATCATGTCAACAGCATACCTACAGACACTTCCACTCCCACTTTCACATGCCCATTGCTGAAGCGATGATAGTCAACAAGCTATGTTAGACATAGCAACTTGTGCCGGGATTACACCATTCAACAGCTTGCAATTGACCGCCACTGATTTTAGCCTGGTCTACACCACACAGCTGAATGAAGTGGCTTTTTTCTGGACAGTGAATTCCTATTTTTCATTTTTTTCCACTCTTTCATTTTTTTGACACACACATACGAGTCCACCACACCACATACTCCGGCATGCACTGGCTGTTGGTTGCCACCCAGGAGAATGAAAGAAGAGCTAGGAGAATAAGAAAGAGAAGAAAGACGTGTGGAACACAGACACACACAGACACAGACAGACACAGACACACACACACACACACACACACACACACACACACACACACACACACAGACACACACAGACACACACACTTGTACTTGCTCAATGTCAGAAACTGGTCACGTGGGTCTCCCCGGGACAGGGGAGAAAGATTCAAAATGAGTTTTGGAAAGATGACTCAGGTGGCTATAGAACCGCCCACCGGCTGACACACCCTGAAAAATCCCCAAACTCGGGGTGGACTCACTTATGGGGTCACCACACATCAGTGTGAGTAAGTGGGCGAGAACAAGGTGCAGGGAAAGGATTGACGGCATCAAGGTATCTATCCTAGGATCCAACTGCATTTACCCCTGTCCCCAGAAAAGGTACTGCTTGCTACTAGTGTCTGTGGATTTCAGTGTGCACTGACTGTAGAACTCACCTCAATGCCCATGAGGCACAGCCGCATTGCTGGCAGCACCCGGCCCATTTTAATCTTGTGCTGCTTGGACACTGCCTTGATCGCGGCAAGAATAGGATCAGCCGTCCAGTCTTCCAAGCTATCCAGGGATTCACACAGACTGTTCCACGTCAAGGCGCCTGAGAGAGAGAGAGAGAGAGAGAGAGAGAGAGAGAGAGAGAGAGAAAGAGAGAGAGAGAGAGAGAGAGAGAGAGACAGAGAGAGAGACAGAGAGAGACAGAGAGAGACAGAGACAGAGACAGAGAGAGAGAGAGAGAGAGAGAGAGAGAGAGAGAGAGAGAGAGAGAGAGAGAGAGAGAGAGAGAGAGAGAGAAAGAGACACAGAGAGATGGCAAAATAAGCAAAACACCTCCAACATAAAGAATTTTAATCATTGTCAATAAAGCAATCGCATACACATAGGGACGTGCACTAGCACTAATAGAGTTTAGGCCACACGTTTTTATTTCTATGTTTCTCGTCACCTGAAAATCTAAAAACGTATGCGAGAGGTGGAAAAAAATAAAAAATGACCGAAAAATAAAAAAAGTTTATTAGACATGTGTTCACACTAAAATCCACCAATACACCATGCAAAATAGCATCAAGAGTTCATAGGGGTTATGAACTCTTGATATTATCCATAGTTAGCAACTAGTATGTGGTATAGGAGCTTCTGTCACAATCTGTGCATGTGCAGCTAGATTGCGCACAATAATTGGTGACCTCGCATCATGTGTCGCGCAGGCCAGGCCACATTATGTACATGTGCATGAGTGTGCTGGTTCCCACATGCACAGTCAGTGCAGCACATTTTTTTTCTTTTTTTCCTCCAGACTCCTGAATCGTATGCGCGCGGGTGACGAGAAACATAGATATAAAAACGTGTGGCCTTATAATGAAGTAAATAAACACTGGCCATTGGCTAATGTACATCACACAAGCCTTTGTAAGGACACACTGGCATGCAAAAAGACAACTTCCTATGCTGGCGAAAACACAAACAAGTGCAGGAATCATAGTAGTCATGCCACCTAACGTTACATGCCACCTAACGTTACATGCCACCTAACGTTACATGCCACCTAACGTTACATGCCACCTAACGTTACATGCCACCTAACGTTACATGCCACCTAACGTTACATGCCACCTAACGTTACATGCCACCTAACGTTACATGCCACCTAACGTTACATGCCACCTAACGTTACATGCCACCTAACGTTACATGCTAAAGCAGTCATGCAGAGTCACACACAGTTTATACAGTCTACATACTGAACGCTTTGAAGGATTGGTGGGCGAGATTTTCCGCGGTCAACGTCGGTGACACCATGTAGTAGGTGCCTTGCTCAGCACACTGCTTCAAAGTGCCGTGTCGTATCTACACAGTGAGAGAGAGAGAGAGAGAGAGAGAAAATTCCAGAAATTTTTTGAACATTGCATTTACTAACCACGACTGTAACAAGATAAGAAGTCGTCAGAAAGTGCGATAACAGGGCACAAAACTGACAGGCTACTGAGACATTCAACGACCTGAGGCCTAGCTCTAACACATCTCCAGTGCGCAAACCAAATGGAGATGTATTAGAGCTAGGCCTCAGGTCGTTGAATGTCTCAGTAGCCTGTCAGTTTTGTGCCCTGTTATCACACTTTCTGACTACTTATTTAGTCAGTTGGCCGGTTTCTCAAAAAGTGCTCGTTTCTGATTTCCTGTGTCGTTTGAGTCCAACATTTCGTGGGTGATTGGACGTGTTGGAGATCGACAGGGCAAACAATTTCGCGCTTGGGTGCCTTTTCTGCGTTGGGGCTGAAGGGAGTTAAGGCGACTTGTTTGAATACGAAGACGAACACTGTGCAAATTAAGCGCATGCTCAAAACACGCATATGCGAATTCTGCGCAAGTGAAAAGGATGATGACGTCCGCCCACGACTAAATTTCAAACTTACTTGACTGGTTCGACAATTGTGTTTTTGCTTTCATCCAATGCCGATCGCATGGCCTCTCTAAGTTTCTTTGCCGATCTGTCCGACCACCTAGACAGGTAGATGGCAGATAAGAAGGTGCAAGTGTTTATGATTCCTGTTGTTAGTTGTCTTGTTCGACATGGCAGACGATTTGGGGCTGGAAACTGTTTCCTTGGCGAAAGCTTCAGGTGAAGGAGTGAAATGCATTTGTCACAACCCGAATTTTCCTGCTCATCAGCCTCTCAAGCGCTTGACGGAGACTACCTGGACTACCCTATGGAATGCAGCTGAGACGAAGAGAGATGACACTTGGATGTCGATCGGAAATCTTGATAGAGAAACTTGCGGCGAAGTTCTATACCACAAAGCCTGCTACAAGTGGTACACAAACAAAAAGACTTTGAAGAAGACAGCCGTTGCTGAGTCTGTCCGGCCCGTCGAGGCTGTTGGTGGCGACGAAGGCAGTGAAGGTGATGATGAGGATGATGATGACAGTGATGACAGCGAGCCTGAGCAAAGAGATGTTGAGCCCCCCAAAAAGCGGACCCGTTCCAGTGGGAGCCAGACAGATTTAAATTTGTGCCTATTCTGCCAGCACCTGTCAAAAAGAAGAAGTGGGAAAAAGGAGCCACTGACCCAATGCATATCGTTCAGTGCGAGCAATAACATCGTCAATGCTGCAACAATTCGCAGTGACTCGCGGGTCTTGAGGGAGGTGTCTGGTGGAGATGCAATCGCCAGGGAAATCAAGTATCACCGCTCGTGCCTGGCCAACTACACTCACAAGAGGACACTCGAGGGCCTGACGAAGCCCACAGTGTCCACTACAGCACCGTCCCTGGGTCATACTGACAGCTTCGGTGCAGCATTTGCCCAGGTGACCATGTCCGTGCAGACACTTGTCCTATCTCAAAGTAAGGTAGACGTCGGTGCTTGTGTGAGCATGGCCAGCATGCGCCGGAAGTATGCCACCCTCCTGTCTTCCATTGGCGTCAACGACCCACCCAGGTGGCGTTTATTTGCTCTGAAACAGCTGCTAGTTGATTATTTCCAGGAACAGATCTTGTTCTTCAGCTGTCCAAGCCGACCAACTGCCGGGGAATTTGTGATTTCCTCTGCGGTCCCCAAGGCCTTGCTTCTATCCGTGTGTGCCAAGAGCCTTGTAGGACCTACAGAGGATAAAGACGGTCAGGAACTTGACATTGAGGATATGGCAGACCATAGTCGTGTTGGTGTGCAAGCCATTGCTGAGCTTGAGATGCGTCACACAGCACTCCATTTGCGCCACACCATCCAGCCACTGGAAACACGTGGCGCTGCCGTGCCGACTGCCGAGAGCCTCCAAGCTGAGGCAACTCCAATTCCTGGTGACCTCTACAAGCATCAACAAGGCCAGGTACAAGGCGTTCTGCTCTCGGTCCCCACCCCCTGCTCAGCTCCCACCATGCGCCGATAGCTTGGAGCAGCACGTCAAACGGGCCAACTACCAGGCTGGTGTGTGGAAACGGGCACTGGTCGCATCCCCAGACCTACCCAGCATCAGTGATCATGGATGGAGGGTAGACGACTCTAATGTCATGATCATGTGGGGTCTTCTTCCTCCTGCACCACCAGAGCTGATGGCGATCATCCGGTGTGCCTGCGCCACTGGATGTTCAACGCGCCGGTGCTCATGCCTACAGTCCTCCATTTCTTGCACCGATGCATGCCAATGCAGTTCCTGCGCGAATCCGCACAATGCTGTGTCCGAAGTGCTTGCAGCACCTACACTTCATGGAGACAATGAAGACAGTGCTGATGATGAAGATGGTCAAACTGATGATGTTGACAACCCCTCCCACGAGATCGCGGAATAACTGCTGAACATCAGCTTTCCATGGATTTCTGGTCACGGTAAGGCCTGTTTGATTTCCCTAAGTATGTTTCAAGTGTGAATGTTAGTCAAGTGTCAGGTAGTTACTTGTAAGTTTTTCATGGCTGTGTGTTGTGCATGATTGTACACTGTTGGTCCAAGCAAGGTAGCTTCCATGTAAAACATACTGTAAGATAGTCTACATCAGGATATGTGTGCATAGCCTTCCATAGTACATAGAAGTATCACGCCATCACAGATCTTCTGCGTGAACGCGTTCTGTGCCTGGCAGATGTTTCCTTTGGTGCTGAGACAGGTCATGTATTTGTGTGTGTTGGCTTACAGTGTTTACACCGGGGAAGTGAGCTGCGTTCAACCAAGTGTAGCTGGCAGTCCCCAACAGAACATTCCAGGTCAACCACTTCCATCGTGCTTTTCGACAGCACGCCTCAGTATGTTCGCTGTGCACTTGTACCTGGTCATGTTCCATGCTATTTCTACTGTTTGCCTGTACAGGTTATGCCAGCATACTTACTAGTCCTACCGATACTGTCACTGCATGTAACTAGGTTATAAGTCACCCGTGCACGACAACCTAGTATAGCAGTCACTGACTCCTCTCTCTACAGTGAATGGCTACACTGCATTGCCTAGACGCATCCCAAAGCCTCTCATTGTGTATTAATATTATTTCTAATGCTCGGGTTTTCTCTTGTGACCCACGACGCCAGGCATGAAGTCATGCTCCTTGCTATATACATGTATCTCGCGGCCGTAACTTGTTAACAGAGTGTTACTGACACTCAGTGCCAACTGCTGCAATTGCAGCTCAAATGCAAACACTGTATGTGTACGTGTTGCTGCGCATTGGTCTCTGCCTTGAGAATTCTTATCATTTTGGTGTATTTTTAATAACAGGCGTGGGCCATCCCGTGATTTCTTAGGTGCCGGTTTTGCTGTGTACTTTTTATAATCACCAAATGTCCCATGACTGAGGACACCTATGATATCAAGAACAGTGTACTAAGACACTTGCTTATCTGAGGTAGACAGGCTTGATTGTGTTATAACGAGATGATTGTTTGATGGCAGTAAGGCGGTTTCCAACTGTACTTCGTGATTTGCCGATTTGTCATGCCACACTGAGTGCTCGGGCATCATCACGGACTCATACTACCAAACTATAAAATCCTGGCACACATTATGGAACTTTGAATCTAGTAATGGAACTCTGCAATAGTATAAACTAATCACAGGAGTAACTTTCTACTGTACATACCTGATTGTGCTCTAGTGTGTAGCTAGCTTTGAACCAAAAATAGTATGATATTTCAGGAACCTGAAGAGGTCTATACAGTCCACATCATCCTATCATCAAACATTCAATGTATCTGCGTGCCTGGTGTACTTTACAGTCACATAGGCAACTCGGAAAGTCGACAATACGACGTAAATTCTGCCAGTCTTTGAATGAGTCAGCGCCGTTACCATGGTTACATGATCTAAATTGTACAGGAAATTGGACACGCAGTATTCCACTCGCCGCTCCCTTATGCCCCAGCTCCGAGATGGCACCCTAGTGCCAAAACACTCCTAGAGACCCACTCTATCAGCTAGGATAGCGCTAGAAATGTTGGACTCAAATGTACACAGGACTTTTGAAAATTGAAAGTGCCCAAGCGACTAATTATCTTGTTACAGTCGTGGATGGTTGCTTCATAAGAATCATAACTCGTTTCCATGCGATTTCTTCTATTTTAATTGCATAAATGATTTACTGTGTTATTTTCCCGTACAAGAGGTGATGTAGCTATGGTCCTAGTAGCTGCAGGCGTGTGTGTGTGTGTGTGTGTGTGTGTGTGTGTGTGTGTGTGTGTGTGTGTGTGTGTGTGTGTGTGTGTGTGTGTGTGAGTGAGTGAGTGAGTGTGTCCAGCACACCCTGTACCCAGAACTTACCACAAGCTCTTTCAGTGCTTCCACAAGGTACTCATCTGACCATCGCTCATCAGCAACGTCATCGGATGATGAGCTGAACACAAAGGATGAACACACACATACACACGCGCATTTGATTCAGCACCTTCTGGCATACCACATGGTTGCCAAAAACAATGGAAGTAGACGAAATTAAAGCCCTGTCCAAAATTGTCTATAGTATTCCAAACGAAAGATTATCATTATCATTTCACACTCACACACCCTAACAACATTTTTCGCATTTGGGAAGTTTTTAATATTAAAGGACACACGAAAAGAAAAAATTGTGGCCTAAATAAAAAATTTCACTAGTATTTGAAGTCGTAAAGGTGCTGAGTCAAATGGTTTAGGTTCAAGGAACGGAGTCGTTCCCATCATCGCATTTTCCCGATCGACCTTGCACATTTCCCCCGAAACAGGGTGAGTGTACCCTACTAGATAGGGATTTGTGTGGAAGATTTCACTGAAAGTGTCACTTTGAACGCGGTCCTGTAGTGGCGAAAGCCTAGCGCATGCTTTATTATACAGTCAAACCTCTTTAGGACGAACATCAAGGGACCGATGATATTTGTTCGCAATAACGGGAGTTCTTCTTATCCATATGTTTTACCCAGTGAATACACAGGGTTTTATCCAATACAGTTACGAATATTAGTTCTTCTAAGGCAAATTTTTGTCTTATCAGTGTTCTTCCTAACGAGGTTTCACTGTAACTATAAGAGCTACCTGCTGGAAAGTGCACTCCGCATCAGTCGACGGAATTCATCAACGAGCTCCTCTCGATAGGCAGACGGAGTGTCGAGCGCAGTGCGGACATGGTTCATCTGGAAGATGGGCAGGCTATCGTGCACCAGCCTGATGTCACTCGGCGTGTCTAGCGTAAACTGCAGAGAACACACAACATGTTGGCAGAGTGCGCACACAGCACACGAAATGCACTGATTGCGACCATGGATCATGACACACAGCAGAGAGTCGGTATTCAACGACTCCCTGACACACAGTATCCAAGTACAGCCAAGCCAACAGAAGGCACACACCATCTGCACACACCATCTGCACACAAACACACACACGGAGGGAAGGAGGGAGAGGGGGAGAGAGAGGGAGAGAGAGACAGAGAGAGAGAGAGACAGAGAGAGAGAGAGACAGAGAGAGAGAGAGAGAGAGAGAGAGAGAGAGAGAGAGAGAGAGAGAGAGAGAGAGAGAGAGAGAGAGAGAGAGAGAGAGAGAGAGAGAGAGAGAGAGAGGAGAGAGAGGTCTTTTATTGCAAAAATGTACCGTATTCTTTGACTTCGCTTTCTGAAAAAGCTCTAAACTGAAAAGGACATTTCCCAAAAAAAACCGCTTCACTTTGAAATACTGTCTGTTACTTTGACTCGTTGTCAGGGAGTCATCCAATACCGGGAGTGGAAACGCCATTAATCTTGCTGTGTATGATAATAACCTGGACAGAGCTGAGATTGTTGGTTCACAGAGCCCTGGTGACATGCATAGATAGCTGTGTACTACTACAGTACCAGTACTGTATAGCGATGTGCTTGAGTGCCAATGAAGTAGAGAGATGAAGACAATATCGAATACCCTTACATTCTCCAGGAGCTCTTCCATAGTGAGACGTTTGCCTTCGCAGCCCTGGCCGTACATCTCTAAACCACTGATGAAGGCCAGTATGGGATCTGGCTGATAGCCAGCCTCCTGTACAGTGCACGTGCAGTGAAAGATGTACATTATCACCACACCCACACATACACACACGTATGCCCACACGTATACCCACACGCACACACATACACACCCACACCCACATACCCACCCACACACACACCCACACACACACGTACACATGTACACACGTACACACACACACACACACACACACACACACACACACACACACACACACATACGCACACACACACACACGCACACATACACGCACACATGCACATAGCCATTGCAACTGCTTGACGAAACATGCATGTGTACACCCATTCACATAAGCACATGCGTACTATCCTGGAGTGCAGACACAGTTGCACAGAGGCATCATTACCATGGTTACACCAATCACCAATCACCAAGCACCAGGAAACCCTTACTTACCCTGTAGTAAGAAACAAAGGAATCCGCATCACGCTTTGACAGCTTCCTACCGTCTCTGCAATGCGACGGGGAGGAAAGAAAAGAAGTACACGACAGTTTAATACTTCACCTTCACTGCTCGTAGTCAGCATCCAGATAGTGAGAGGTAGTCACCAGGTACTAGGTGCCGTCCGAAGCATAACATACTGCTGCGCATTTCATTGTCACAAGACATGCAGGTGTTTGTGATTTTTAAAGAGATCTTCCGGTGTCAGGAATCCCTCAACACAGTTGGGCTTCCCTTCAATTTCCAAAGTTGACAGACTGTACGAACAATACCGTTGGCTTGCTATTATGTGGTCGTGTGGGTTTTTAACCAGGTTTTAGGACTCCTTCGGCTGGGTTATTCTGGACTGAAACCCGCACCCATGGAGTGGGCATGCTTACACTGTGCATGATAGCATGTACGTATGCCGGTACTAGTCTAGTGTTTGATCTCAATGTAGAAAAGCATTGGGCATGAACTCACTCTTTCACAATGAGTGGCAGGTGAAGAAAGCGAGGTGGTGTCCAGCCCAGTACGCTGTACAGTAGGAGATGCAGGCCGGTGGAACTCACCCATTCCTGCAATGAGCAGCACAGTGTGACATAGATAACAGTATTCAACGATTCAAGGCTGCTGTTACACAGGAGACCTTTACGTAGTACTCCTATTCATTTAATTCCAAGCACGAGTGACGCACAGTACTGCAATCTCTTGGGAAATATCTCAGAAGATCGCACTGGGTGAAGAGCTCTCACGCATTAAATAGCAAGACAGTGGATTCATCATAGCACCAGAGGTTGATTTCACCACAATGTCCCTGAGCACATGCAAAGCGTGTGTGTGTACATCTATGAACAGCATGCGTCAAGGCCAACCAAAGGTCCAGAAAGGTGTTTCAGTGTTCCAGCTGTAGCGGGCAAAGCAAGCAACTCACCTTTCCACGAATGACGTGGCTGATCTGCATGAGGTGATCATCAACAACGTTGGCAAGGTGGTACGTAGGAAACCCATCTGCCTTCAGCAATACCTGTTGCAATACAGTCGGAACACGGAGAACATGACTTGATTGTGGCGGCCAAGGTACTCAGCAAGATGAAGAATGTCCCCAAACAACCAGTCCTGGATCCTGGACTCCAAACAACAGCACATGGCTGCACATTCCTAGCACTACCAAGACTACTTGTAGTGACAACTACATGTACAGAGGTGATAGATACACAACAAGAGTGGGGACGTGCCGGGCCATTAGCCATGGTACTGTTACTACTTCGAAGTACAAACATGATTTCTACTGAAAAATGACAGCCTCTCTAACTAAAGCCAAAAAATGCGAATGTGCAGCCGGTCAAACTCGGGTAGTCCACAACTAGTGTTCAGACTGGGTGCACAATGATGAAGTGTGTATAAACCTGAAGGGACGAAAATGGTGCTACAGTAACATGTTGCACTGTCCTTAGATCTGCAAAGCACCAAAAGTCTCTTGAAAGCATGCATTTGGTCTGGAAAATGTGTGTGGATGACATCATGGTGACATTGTGCAAGCCTTCTATACACTAGCAACACAAACAGCATTTCGATTACTGTACCACAGCACAGCTGCAATATGGTGTACCGGTATACCATACTGCAGCTTTGCTGCAATATGGTATACCGGTACACCAAGACAAGGGCCCATACCTGATCACCCATAATCTGTGATGTGAAGGTGTGCTTGCCCACAACCAGGTCATCTAGCTCCACACTGAAATCCTCCGGCACCTACATTGCACAATGAGACACAAGGTCATTCGGACAACGTCCAATCGCCTCTACTTACTCCGGAAACAAAAACAAACTTCATGACTTCGATTTACCTATCAGTTCTCGTGAATTGAGCTTCGAGGAATTGAGCAATGGTGACTCCAAGTCAGATTCAAACGATGCAAATTTCTTTTGTATACTAGTACCATATCCACTCATTGTTCTGAAGTGTTCTGGCTCCACTGAACCAAATTTCTTGAGCCAGTAACTCCGTAGACACAACGTTTTGTTTCCAGGGGAAGCGCATTCCAAGTCAGTATTACTACGTTATAGGACATCATCAGTTCGTCCACTTCAGGAGTACAGTAGGTATCGGTTATAGCGTGGGTGTTTGAAAAACGACTTTCTATTCTTATTTCCGATATTTCTTACACACAATAAATCAAGTGTGACATATCATGTGCATGTGCGCAGAGGCAGGAAGATCACCGTACATGTACATGCAATGTAGTGCTACTGTGTATGCGGCCGGTCATACTAGTCACATAGGCTTACTATGCGGTTATGCAACATGAGTTACATGACCACAACAGTTGAACCCGCAGCACTACGACCCAACGCGAGTCAGATCGGAACTGCATTGGACGGATGTTATTACTACAGGCGATATACTTTGTACTAATCTGGCATGTTTCGCTACACAAAGTCCATCCTTAGGACCGATATATTCTACTGTACGATGAAATTGCTTGTAAGAATAAATGTGCACTTGAAACCCATGTTATGATTATGAAAACATGAGAGTTCATTCCTGTAGGCAGCATATTCTTTGACACGACCACGCTATGGCCGAGATGCACTGTACAACGTAGTATCACCCAATCCACAGTGTAGACCTACCCATGTTTGGTTTGTTCAACATGTACCAGATAGCTAGTGAGCAAGTTCAACATGTACCAGATAGCTAGTGAGCAAGTTGACAACAGCTGTTTGGTTTGTTCAACATGTACCAGATAGCTAGTGAGCAAGTTGACAACAGCTGTTTGGTTTGTTCAACATGTACCAGATAGCTAGTGAGCAAGTTGACAACAGCATTCAGACTGACACCAACGTGTACGACAAGAAAGAGATTGAGTGGTGAAATGAAATGCTCAACTACTAGACTCAATGGCACACTGTGCACACGGCACGCCAACAAAAGAAGGACACGGCAGTGAAAAAAAGGAACTATTTGCTCAGACAAGCACAGTGGTCACCAGAGTTGTCGGCATCTTACCTTCATTCGTATCGTGTGAGGCTCGCCGTGCGCTATTCTCTCTGCCCGCTCTGCGTCTGTGTGGTGACGGCACGTGCCATCGTACTGCACCTCACTCCGATTCGCCAGTGCTTGCTGGCGTTTCTCAGCTAGTAGCTCAGCGGAGCAGAAACATGGATACGCACTGCCAGCCTAGTGACAGAAGAAAGAGAAGAAAAACCCAGCAAACCAAATGAGCACATGAACAGGGAAACATCCAGGGCCACTGGCTACCAAGCTGGTATTGAAGTCACCAGTGCAACAGTATAACGAGGATGGGGGATACACGCACTAGAAAGGTGCCAGTGGCATAGCATTCGAACAGTAGGAGCCTAAACATCCTTTAAAATCGAACACAAAAATAAACGGAATAAATTTTCGGGCATGAGTGTCTCCAATGCTATTGAGGTTTTGGCTTTGTAACCCCCCCCCCCCCTTCCCCTGCCTTACCTGGAGTAACTTGTCAGCAAATTGCCGATAGAGTTTGGTACGTTCAGACTGCAAAGAAGCAAGGCAAAACAGAGAAAACAGACCAGATGCACAGTGATAGAGCGTACAAGGTGTGTACAAACCAATAAAATGGGTGCTGCACAGTTTCACAGATCTGCAAAGCACCGAAAGTCTCCTATCCTGGAAGCACTCACTTCGTCTAGAAATTGGGTATGGAGGACATCACGATGACACTGTGTACGCGGTCAATTGAGGAGTAAATCAGGCAGGAGAAAGAAGTTTATATCAACACTTTAGAATAATTTCATTGTGACTGAATTGTAAAGATACTTTTGAAGTATTTCAACTTTCAAGACCTTCCAGCAAGGTCTTGCTTTTTCCTCTTTTTCTTTCTTTCCCTTTTCGGCTTCCTTCATGCTTACATTGTCCTTTGTCTACCATCAACAGTAGATCAGTTTCCCAGTTTTAGAATACAGGGACAATTCTGGATAGACACTAATCGGAGGAGTTACAAAGCACATCTTTCACTAAATACATTAACATTCCACCACAGCAATCTGAAACGGTTGGCCAGGTGTTCAACGAGCACTTCTCATGAAAGATACGGCATCCAACTGGGAAGGACACATTCATCCGTACCTGGATGTATGGACCATAGTCTCCACCAACGCCAGGACCTGGGAGCAACAAGAGATAAGAGAACATTCTATCTCATGACGTGAAAGATTCCTGCCATACTGTGATACAGTAGAACTCACGGAGTGCAGGCCCAGGTAAGACGTTCACCTGCTTACAAAGTAGTACGGTTCTTTTTCGCAGCACAACCTTTCTACCATAAGAGCATATAAATGGGTGAATTAGGATTAAGAAAGTTCGCCCGTACCTTCATCAGGCATCATCTTCACCCATTTTAAGATGTCCATCATACGCTCCACTGCACCGGGTACAGACCGTTTCTGGGAGACAGGTAGCACAGAATCACAACAACGCTGTCATGTTCATACATGTACACTGTACACTGTAGTACAACAGTACAGTCATGTGACATGATAGACAATAATGGACACATGTAGATGTAGTATGTGTGATTACAGAATCCCGAACTATGCACATTGTTTGCACAACTCCACGGCAATGCATACCAGGAGTGCAGGAGCACACATTGAATTCAGTGACTTCGCACGTATTTTTGCTAGCAGTTCAGCGCAGTGGAACTCACTTAGTACGTACACGTACTCTGATAAGACGATGTCATATTCTTGCTTAGTACGGCACTTATCCAGAGCACGAAAACGACCATGCTGATTACTGAAGTATGTTGGGATAAGAAGTTACCTCCGTTACTAAGCAGGCTTTCCTACTGCCCATGGCGGTACATCACATCAGAGTTCTAATGAGAGTACATGTACCTCACATACACATTCTTCATGGTCATCATCAACACACCTACATACTTATAGTTGCAACTTGCGACTCGTATTGAGCATACGTTTTCCTCACTAGAACTGGCATCACGATATCCGTAATGTGACTACAGTGTCATGTAGATCTACACTGAAACTCAGCCAGCGGCATTGGATGGCAGCAAGCAGGCCGCACGGATCATGGAGTGGAGAGCGCCAGCAGCACGGCAGTCAGCTGGCACTTCTTTGTACTCTGAGGACTCCACTGTGTCCTTTAGTTAGCCAGGCTGAGCAGCCAAGGCCAATCTGGCACTCTGCAGTGCAACGTCCAGGAGCTGCAGTGCAGCACCCAATGGCAGTGCAGCAGGGAAGGCGGGCCCTGGACCATCACCACGCTTCAGTGCAGCAACCCGTAGCAGCTCCAGCCCCGTGCCTAGTCAGGTCGATGCACAAATGAAATTCACACGGTCTTAGGCTGTTTGGTAGGTCAACAAATCGTGGTATCTGTCCTGGGTTGCCGCAGTACATTTCACTGTTGTTTGGTTTCTTCACACTTGCACCTTTTTGTCAATCTGTTACATGTATGCGTATGAGGCTGTGTAGGAGGTTCTGCATTTTCCCAGGGTGTTTTGGCTACTCTTCTTTGCACTGTTGCTATCATGCCGGTACAGTTTAAAATTCATGTGCTTGGTTCAGTTTCTTTTTGCGGCCTGTATTCCACCAGATGAGAAGGCAATGATAGTACGAGTGGGAGAACTTTGGGGATATTTATTGTGAGGAGCCTGAAACTAATACTAAGTCTTGTTCTTTTCTTGAGTTGATTGCACTTTTAAAAAAAGTTTGAAAATAGACATGAACTGCAAAACGCACAGCAATGCATAAAATCCACACCCTCAAGACCAACCTGGTCCGTGTCTTCCACTCGGAGAATGAATGTTCCATTATTTTTCTTTGCAAACGCGTAGTTGAACAGCACTGTTCGCAAACTTCCAAGATGCAGGTCCCCAGTTGGACTTGGTGCGAAACGTACTCGAACATCCGACACTGGTGTTGTAGCATTGGAGCTACATAATCGTGCTATGACCTGAATGCTGGCAGGACGACGGCCGTGATATATCAGCAACGACAGCATCCTGCACCTGGCTTCTCATCCAGGTCAGTAGTCTAGTTACTGTCACAGTAGATATAACAATTGACTCTACTTGTAATTGTGCATTTGAATTTTTCATTGCTGAACAAAACATTTTGAATTGTTTTGAGGTTTGCACGTGCAGTCGACAGTCGTGCACGTGCCTCGGGCGCGTGACTTGACAAAAAAATAGGTCACCAAAAACCAAAACACCCTGCACGCATGCAGCAGGTCTACTGTTAGCAAGAGTACATAACCCCCCGGGGGTTATGTACTCTTGCTGTTTAATAGTCTGTTACCATGTTACCTGCTCAAAAATTAATGATAGTGAGCTGATGAGTGTGATCCTGGGGACTGCAGACTGTTCAACTGGTATTACAAAATCCAAAATGAGAGGACAATGCCACCTGGCCTGCTGGGTATTATCTGTGTACTCAGTAACTGGTAAGAATAATTTATTTCCCAGAGTAGGAGTTCTTTTACAAATCTTGGCAGCACCGGGTCGGCATTGCAGCACTACAGGCTACACCAGTGCAGGTGGCATGTCTGGAAGGATTCGCCCCACAGGACAGGGTAAAGAGTCATCATTCATAACCAGTAAGTAAATATTTTTTTAAATGCTAACGTGCCTGCTCAAAAAAACTTTGATTTTCAAGATACACTGTCGGCACATGAGCCTGGTTTTAGTGTTGACATACGTAGAAACATCTGGTTTGAATAGAAGCCTGATGTGAATATAAGCCTAGCCCTGACATCGGCTCATACAGGAATAAGCCCTGCTTTTTAACACACGACATTACGGTATACTCGTAGTCTCCTATAATATTATATTCATAAGCTTGAGGGAATGAATTATACCCGGTTGGTGGAGAGCAGCTGCTGGATGTGGAGTTCTTGACTAGGATAGAGGGCAAATTGAACCCACCCAATGCAAGACAAGAAGAAGTAGGCGGCTCAGAGGAGCTGCTGCGTGTATAAAACGGGGGTCCTGCATGTAGCTGTCCCCGGGGAAAATTGCGGAAAAAAATCGCAAAAAACGCGGGGAAAAACGCAGCATAATATGGCATAATTTGCGGTGAATTTGCGGTAAATATGCGGTGAATAATATTGATGTGCGGCAATTTTCAGTGAGTATGTAGTGAAATCAATCAGTTACAAGTCTCTGGTGTAAGCACTCGTCATATTTGAGTAAAAAGCCGCCACGGTGAGACGTTGCTGACCGAACAGTGCACTGTGTGTACGTATTGTGCAACAAAAAAGTTCAAAAAACGCGGGAAAATCGCGGAAAACGCGGTCTTTTAAAAAATCGCAAAAAACGCGGAAAAAAACGCGGCCGCGGAATCGCAATTTTCCCCGGGGACAGATGTAGCACATGCGCAACGACGATGCACCGTGAATTTGCGAGCGCCAAAGACCCATTGCCAGGGCATTGAGAAAATACCCTCTTGGACCTTTCCAAACCTGAGCCTTCCAAGTTGGAAGGTTGTTGGTTTGCGCCTTGGAGAAGTGTTGGAGCTAGGTGTCAGGTCGCCGAATGTCTCAGTACTCCTTGTCAGTTTTGTGCCATTTTGTCGCACTCGCTGACTGTATAAGATCTGGTTACGTTGGTGGACAGTTAGTCATAACTCGTAACATTTTGTCCTTCTCCTTTTGCACCAATGGTCTTTGTAAGTGTTAGTTATGTATCCATGCATGGCATTGTGCAGTGATGTCATTTTTAAAGCATGACATTGTGCCTTGACATCATTTTTTTAATTAAAAAAAAAGCACTTGACTGCTTTAAAAAAAATAAACGGGTGATATAATGTATGTCAATTGGCTGCACTGCTCGTGCAAGTGGCTATGCTGTGTGTTTACACGATGAATTTATCATTCACAAAAATCACAAAAAGTCACAATGGTGCTATCCAGCTCCTTTTATAAGTTGAGCGGAAAATCGTAATAATCACTATTAATTTATTATCTTGAACGATCATCATGATATCAGTAAAATGTTGAGGCTGCAGCCTAGAAACTGGTCCATAGCTATATTGCCTGAAAACGGTCTGCTTCACAATCTATTGTTCTAAAGATATTGGCATGGATTGTGCAGTTCAATGATATGCAGGCATCTTGTTGATATGGTATATATACACTGTATAAGACTGGGGATAGACTGCGGACCAGGCCGGTAAAATACTCTCAATATGACATGTAAACGAAATCTGCTGCCGGTACAAAAGTAACTTAGTTGAGAATTCTGAAGTAAAATTAATGTAATATGTAATGTGTGGGCCCGGGCAGGCGTATATTTACCGCCATATTGCCAGGTGTGTCTTTACTCTTTACCACCATCTAATTCAACCGTAATATGCAATGTTCAAACAAACAGGCTGCCCGATATGCTAGCAAATCTCACATGATCAGCATTTGTTTTCATGAGTACTATGAGTTTAGGCTGTGCACGTAGTGTAGCCACTGTCAGTAAAATGTGTGTGTGTGTGTGTCCGTGTGTGTGCGTGTGTGTGTGCGTGTGCGTGTGTGCTTGTGTGTGTGTGTGTGTGCGTGTGTGTGCGCGTGTGCTTGTCTGTGCATGTATGCAGGTTCTAGGAGTGTTTTTAAACTGCTTAACTACACTGCATAGTACTTCAGGAAGTTCATCACTAGCCTCTTTGCACGTGTGCACTTGAAGGCTGGAGTGAATACAGTAGCAACGCGCAAGCCAGGGTGGGGTTAAAACACAGTCATGCATTAGTAGTGTGTCACTCATGGTAAAGGGCCAAGGTTTCCGGCCGATATAGGAGCAAGTTTTTTTACTCAAGGCTCAGTTCTGCTACGAAGTAGAAGATACGGGCTCCGCACACTGGTTTTGAAGTGTAAATGACCCTGGCTAGTAGCTACATCACCTGCGGTGTGCTACGCCTGTAGTTTGCTGACGGCGTTCGTAATGGTGAGACGATGTCCCAGGCGCACAATGCCAAGCTCCCGCAGGTCGTCCTTGGTCATCTCGGACAAGTGCTCGCCGCAGATTTCGTTCTCAACGAAGTTCTCTCCGTACTGGCCGAGACCAATGTCTAGAAGCCATGCCGCCACGTCGTGGCAGGTCCACTCTGAGAATGTTTTAGTGCGAAATTCATCTCTGACGGGTTGCTTACTGCCATCTTCCCCAACCACTTCTTCATCATGTCCATTGTCTGTTCCGGCGGTCGACAAATCAAACTCACTGACAACCGCGTCCAGCGCTGCCAAGCTTCCGACTTCGCTCTGCAGTGACTCCTTGCCACCGATATCCTCATCCTCCTTCAGCTGACGAGTGTGCTGCGTTCCTGTGCGGTCATCACGTTTCGATGTTTGATCATCCTGGCAACAGTGTCACACACGCACACATACCAACACACAAGCAGGGTTACATGCATGCTTGCGGTGTCACAAGCATACATGTACATACAAGTAATCGCTTTCAACAGCATTTAGGTACATGTATACTACTGGGCTAGTATGTATAGCATATAGGCGTGAATAGACACCCCGGCCCGGGCTTCATGAACTGCACTGCACTGTGTGGAGTTGCGCGCTCGATTATAGCCCCATGTTTTTATACAAGACAGGCCTTCATTATTTCGATTCCCTCTGACAGACGGGCTCTTTTTCAGATGGGCTAAGCAATCCCATAAGTAGTTGTACTAACTGGTTGAGATTTCGGTGCAGTGGCACCGGCAAGCTCTGAGCAGTGTGAGCACAGATACATTCCCAGAGGACAATGTTGCCTGAGCTACAAGAGAGCCCAGTCACAGCTAGTGGTACAAGTAATGCTTAAACACAACCCAGTCAGAGGTAGTGGTACACATAATGCTTAAACACACTCACTCACCTGGGCACGATCGGAGCTGTTCAGCGGTGTGCCTTGAGAATCTGTTAGTCTGTGTAGGTAGAGCATTACACAACAGAACGGATACAGTGTCACGTTACCACGCGCGTGTAAGTTAGCTTTTCCTGTGGAACGGGTTTGGCTTTAGAACTGGTTTGGTCAATTGTAGAAGGTCTGGCTAGTACAGTGCGTAGGCAACAGCCTGATTGACAGCTGTTCACGCTATAATATTCCTGCTTCGCTACCATAACATGGTCAGTTTGTCGGTTGACTGGGTGGGATGTGACTCGGCAAAAATCGGACCAGCATAACTGACTACCATGCTCTTGTACTGACATTATAATAACATAAACTAGCCGAGCGGCGCGAAGAAAGTGTTCACTGCTTGGTGTGGGAAATGATCTCATCACATAGTTCACGACTTCGGAATGATGCATATGTACTTACTGTTCACCAATTGTCGTCAGGTCTGAGCGTGGTGTTGATGGACTGTCGAGGAATGATGCTGGCACAACGGGCAGGGAGCTCTCTTGCACGCTGCTGTCATCGGCGACGTCACCTGCATTGCTGTCATCCGGTGGCAGTGTGGTTGGCAGTGGCGGCGGTGCCACTCCACTCCCCTCCTCATCGTCATCGTCCACGTCCAGTGAATCAGCCACGCTGTCGCCGAAAGACAGCGGCGGCTTAATCCGATCTTCCGTACCGGCAGCCGGCTGAATGGACGTCACCGACAGCGGGGATCCACCCGCTGGTGATTTCTTCCTCTGGCTGCTGTCTGCTCCGGCAGCAGCCTGATCATTTCCCTCCACTTTGCCTGGAGTGGATGTGGCGAGCGATTTGCTGTTCGCATCTAGAGAAGATGGTGGAGTTGCTGGCGAAACAGGCGGCGAGAACACTGGGGGTGGCGGGGTGTGAAATTTGGGCGATGGTCTTGGTGAATTTTTCGCCAGCTAGGTGCAAAAGGAGAAGAATACAAAGCGAGAAACGCAATACAATTACATTCAACCGTGCATGCAGAGCAATGGATCCACGTCTAACTTTTAACAGTGAGCAGTGTCACCACAATTGTTACAAACTGTTCAATGAGAATTGCTAGCATGATCGGTAGGTGCTGAAATTACTTTCGCTGGTGCACACTGTACCTAACATTAATTTCAAAGATGAACCAGCTGCCAGCACAGTATGCCTGCGTACAAAAGACAGTTGGAACTGAGTCTTCAAGTGACTACTTGTAGCGGTGCACGTGTTCATAGTGTAAACATGTTTGACACCCGTACATGTATACAGCAAACTCGACTTGGTCCTGTAGCACTTTTGTATCACTGATTCACAAGTCATATCCATGTGACTAACTTGTGCCGGAATTACTTGTGCATGTCTGTGGTCATACTGGATGGTCTGTGGAAGACACAACTGGACAGACGTATATGCTTCGAAGAACATGTACTTGTTAGAGAAGTGAAACATAGGACAACCATTATTGGTTTCAAGAACACCAATTCCCCAGCTAGTCATGACAATCCCGTAATACGTACCTTTGGTGGTGGAGATTCGCCAGCCTTCTTTTTCACCTTTGGCGATGGCTTTGGTGGAGTCTGCGGTGCCAGTGGATGTCCGGACCTTGCTACAGCCGACAAGACCTTAGGCTGTACAAGGGGCGACTGTGACAATGCTGCTGCTGTTGGTGGTTTGACGTCTAGCGTGCGTCCGGAGCGAGTTGGAGGTGGCGTTGAGAACTCCATGGGCGGTGGAGCGTCGCCCGTGTCCAGTGAGGTGTTAATGCTGTCCGCTCTCATGTCTGCAAGCGGCGGAGGAACGAATTTCGAAATGACCGAGTTCAAATCAGGGTTCTTCTCGGCATGGTCTTTTGCAGTTGGCTCCGGCTTTGTGTCCGTTCCCTTTCCATTCGTCCACTCCGAAGAAACCTCGCCATCATCGTCGTCATCGGCAAACATGCTGGGGACACGTGACTCTTCCCGATTTCCCCGGTCCCCAGTGCTGGTGTCCTCCAGTTCATCCCATGCCTTCTTGTTCTCGAGTGAGTGCGTAGATGAAGACCGCTCCAAGTGCGTGGGAGGCCGCACCGTCAATCCGTCGGTGTCGTTCGAAGTTGTGTCCACATCGCCGGACGATGCAGGACCGGTCTGAGAGGAAGACGGCGCGTTTCTCGCTGACAGAATGGTCTGTAGCAGAGTTGGCTGACCCGGCCTTTCCTTCGGCTTCTGTTGTCTCGTGTTGACATGTCCATCATTCGACGTTGGTTTGGGTTTCTTTGGAGGAGGAGGTTTGCCCTTCTTCTTCCAGAAATCCGGTGCGTCCTCGCCATTCTCATTCTCTGGCGTGCCTGGCTTCTCAGTATCTTTTGCTCTCTGGACGTCGATCGGCTTGATTTCTCCACTTTCTAAACGTTCTTCCCTAGCCTTGGCTTTGGCGACGAGGAGAGCTAGAGGACTGTCAATGATACCAAATCCAGCTGGCGGTGCTGGGGGTGATTTCTCCAAAGTCTTCTTGCCGACCACACTCTCCGACTGGCTTCTGTTCCTTGCCACGGTTGGCGGTGATGCTGCTGGTGAGCCAGGTGCATGTGCAAGAAGCGTGGGTGATTCGCAACGCCGTGGCTGGTTGAACGAAAAGTGTTTGTCCTGATCGGCCTTGCGTGCTGCAGCGGCGTTGACCAGCGACGCCACGTTGGTGGCCACTGGTGACGTCAGGTTGTAGCTGGCGCGCTTCTCCTGGTGCTTCTTGCGTGCAGCGGCTATCCGAGAGGCGTTAGCTTGCTTCTCTTCTTCCGACAACGGTGGCAAAGCTGGCGGTGGCGGGGATGGTGGAGAGCTGAGCTCATGCTCTGCGGACAGGCTCAGCTGTGTGGGCTTTTCAACTGTTGCTTTCTCCAGATCCAGTTTAGGCGGAGGAGCCAGTGGTGTTGTTGGAGATGTGTCGTCCTGTTTCAGCTTCTTTGATGATGAGGATTGCGCCGTCAGATCAAGACTGTCCGGTACGGTCTGGTCAGGTTGCTTTGGTTTGTTGACAGATGCGTAGACATGGTCTGCCTGTGCCCCTTGTTGTTCATCTTCTTCTTGCTCCACTACACTGTCTTCGGTCACCTGCCGTGCGGGCATTGCTGCTGCTGGCGGCACCTTGGAGCAGTCAATGGACGTGTGTCCGTGCACTGGTGACGTGACGGCCGGTTGTGACGTGGCGGCCGGCTGTGACGTTACCTCGTTGACTGTGTCACTGATGCTGGCGTACAGGTCATGCTCCTGTCCCTGCTTAGCTGGCGGCATGGAATCTTGTTCTACGCTCCGACTTTGGGCAACACCTGTGGTGTCTGTCGCCTTGTCAGTACTGTGTTTAGGCTCCCCTGCAAAATTGCCATCCGTGCTGTTTGGCATGCAGTCACGTTCCTTACCCAGTGGCTTGTCAGCGGTGGCTGGCTCGGAACCATCCTCTGGTTCCTTGTCTTTGATACGCGCATAGCCAGAGCCGTCATCGTCTTCCAACTCCACGTTCAGCCGATTGAGCACGGGTGCCCGTTGAGCGTCACCGAACGGCGATGGGCTGGGATTTTCCGCCTTGGGCAGGTTCTTATGTAGTTGAGATGGTAGCTTGGGTGGTGCAGGAGGTAGGGTGATGACAGGTGGTTTGTCTTTTCGTTGTCTTGGAGGTGTGCTGGTGTGAGTAGTCTGAGCAGTGTCCTCGCCGTTCTTAGTTTTCGATGTCTTGGAAAAGTCCACTGTTGACGCTACTGCTGCCTTTTGAGCCGACGGCGCCTGGCTAAGCTGCTGCAGGAAATCTGCATTGAGACCCACCGGTCCAGCTTTGGGCTTCTTCGTCGTAGTAGTGTCCTGTTTTGTCGCTCCGCTTGCTGCAGCTGGTGCTGATGATTCTGTCACCAGAGGTAGCGGCGGAGGTGGAGGAGGCGCAACACCCTCCGCTGGTGGGCTTAGTGGTGGCGGACTGTGCTTAGCTTTGGAGCGTCTGCTGGCCTTTGTATTCTTGCTTGTAGCTGCATTGCCGCCAGCAGAGGTCTGTTCAGTGGATTTTGCCGATGCGGCCATGGCGGACGGAGCGCTCGTCAACTGCTGTAAGAAGTCCACAGACATTTGCGGTGCTTTGCCAGCTGGAGGAGAGGTTTTCTTGGAGGAACTAGCTGGTTGCTCGTGTTGCTTGTTCTTAGGCACCTTAACTTTAGTCTCGTCGGTTTTCGCAATCGGTACTGCTGTTGGCGGATTGTGCGATCCTTTGGTTGGAGACTTCGGTTGCTGCGGGTCAACTGCTGGGGGTGATTTGCTGCCGTGCCTCAGAATCGGCTTTGGACTACTCGTGGCAGAAGCAGATGACTTGGCCAGGGGAGACTGTGGTAGCTTTTCTAGCGCACCCGACAGCGCGCTGATCTGACCAAGTGGTGCGGGACGATGGGCACGGGATGACTTGGGTGACGGCGGCGGTGACGGTGCAGAGCCGTCTGTGAGTGCTGTGTGCTGCTGCTGCTGCTGCTGCTGTGGTGGTGATGTTGCTGAGGGAGTCTTTGGAGCAGTGGGTGCAACTGGTGCTTCCTCTGCAGTCGGTGACAATGCTTTCTCATCTCCCATTTCATCTGCATGAAAAGAAACAACAACAACGACGACGACGACGACGACAACAACAACACAAATACACAAACACACAAACACATCACATTTCAGATCAGGTGCTATGATCAATAGGAAGCCACAGCACACTCACACATACACATGCATACACTACGCAGCACAGTTGATTCACTAAGCAATAATCTTCTTCTTTTGGGAGATTTCTACGTCACGCTGTACTTAGACTTAGAGGTGCATACATGCCCCAGCCTCTTGACCTTGACCTTGACCACGTGCCCTACACTTGCAAGTGTGCCTTCTCTCACAGTCTCACTGCTACCCAACGGACCCGGACTGGTGCTCAACTAGGCTCAGCTCACCTTCAAACATAACTCTTGCCTTGCGCTGAGTTGATGGCGATGGTGGTGCGGCGATTGTATCTACTGGGCGTCGTGACAAGCTGTTTGAGCGACCTGCACGTACAGTACAACCAAGGCGTGTGTAACACATTAGCAAACACACTGGTGACAAAGCAGCATAGGTTACAGCTCACAATTGAAGCTGGCTGCATTCTTCCACTGCCTGTGTACAATAAGCATGAGTGTTGCCGAGTGAATTGCAACAGACGTATGGATAGGCGCTATGAAGCAATTGAGGATTAGAGACTGAGACACCCCCCCCCCCCCCACACACACACACTATCTCTTTGTCTGTCACCAGTTAATCATAATATATAGGATTAAACTTCAAGACGCATTTGCAGCCTCGAAAATGGTCGAAGTGGAAGCAATGTTATTGAACATGCATTTCGATCTTTCCTACAATGCATCTCTTTCTTTAAAATGAATGAATAGAGGTTACCCAATGGCTAATACCCCCAGGAAAAGTCTCTGGGTGCAATTATTGCTGATAAATTGCAATTACAAGTGGTAGAAATTGACTAGGAGTGGAATAGGTGAATATTAGGGATTATTAGCACCATCCTAGCATTGAAGTCGTGTTGTAAAGTGCTCGCAGATCAATATGAACTAAAGACACTACATGTATGGGGCATTTACGAAATCAGTTGTATTCAAGTATGTACACATAATTAATAGTGGAATACTCTTGGGGTACGAGTACTAGCCTAGGAGGTGCTTCTTCTGTAGCCATAGGTGCATAGAATTGTTTTTTTGGGCCATATCTAGGCTTGGATATTGCCAACTAGGGTTTTTATTGGCAGGGGAAACTGGGAAGTACAAAACCAATTTTTGAAGAGGCCAATTCCTATATAATTATAGGATTTTGAAAATTCTGGACACCTTTGTACGAGAGGGCCTGTTACAGAAAAAGTAAAGTCCTTGTGCTGGTGAAACTTGGCAGACATCATCTCTGATAAATATGGAATTCAGACTCCAACAGGGTTTTGAAGAAAGAACTTTACTTTGTAAGGTGTGGTCTGCCCTTTCCCAAAAATTGGGAAAAATCCTATATAATAGGATTTGACAGACAAAGAGATAGTACATGCGCACGCACCCGCATGCATGCATGCATCACAAACACTAGTGCCTTTAGTGGTACAATGTAGCTTACTTGATTTGGGGCTGCCGTCACGTGGAAGAGAGCCACGGCGGGACGAGGACCCAGACACGGAACGAGGCCGTGCGACAGCGAGCGTGATGACTTTGCCTGCTTGCTTGACGAGGGTGACTGCGTACGAATGCGATGCTCCCGTCACATCTTTTTCATTGATCTGCATGTCAAGTACACATTGACACCACACATGCACACACACATAGTATTACTATTAGCTTGCTATCCAAGTACTGGCGTACATGTACTATCAGTCTATCACAGCATTAAGTTACCAACAACATGATCAAAAATGGCTCCCGACTTGGAGCATTGAAAAATTCTTCACAAATGGTCAAATGCACGTGTAGATCCTCGTTTCAAATGCTGGTACTAGAATAGTTGACGGGTACATGGTCGTATAGAATTTGAAACAGTTTTTCCCATTCAACCACCATGCCATTGATCAGCAAGAGCTTTTAAATTCCACTCGTCCATTGTCAGCATGTTGTATGCTGCCCTTTACCAGCAAGGACTTGCACTGTGTCAGATTCAAGTGCTTGTGTTCAGATAACTTACCGACAGCAGGAAGTCTCCTTTCTTCAGCCCTGCCTTCTCCGCTACACTATTGGTATCGACGCTTCCGACATACTGCAGTGCCGGCATGTCTGGCAGTGGCTTGAATTGTGTGCTCACATCATCTGCCGCCAACAACAGCAACACACAGACAGAGTAATTCTTTCTCACACCTCACATCAGCTATAACTTAGTGCAGGGTTGGCTGCGGGCAGCCATATTGCAATACAAAAAAGAGAAGCACAAAAAAAGCACCCAAAAAACACGCATTGCAGATGTTCGTCATTCGAAAGAACAATGCTTCTCGTTTATTTCGAATATTCAGCCAACGAGAAGCGTACACAGATGTTGGGAATATGTACCGCATCTACCACTACTGAGGTTGTGGAGACCATGTCCAGAGATCACACAACCCAACCGGCATAGAGCACACATGTGTGCTGAAGAAGAATCGCCATGGCAATGTACTTACGTGATCGAGCTCCCTTCAAGGAAAATCCAAGCCCACTCGGACTCTTTATCAGGATGACATTCACCAGCTTGAAGTCCGTACTATGACAACAGACAGAAATCAGCGACAGTTTCAACAGCAATGAAGCCCAATGTCAATGTGACGGTAGGGTATAGTTATGGGACGTTCCATACAAAGCTGCCCTGTGCTGCCAGCCACGCTCACAAGTGTATGACTGTGCAGGATATTTTCTCACAAGTTTTCTCAAACAAGGCACAGAAAACAAAAAGGCCCGAACAAGAACTCGGTATGTTCTAGCCGTATCCAGCATTACATGATGGCATCGTTGTACGTGTACTTACTGCGTATCAGCGGATCCCTTAGTGGCTGTGTTGTCAGATCCGTTCAGGTCCGGCAATCCTGGTAAACATGATACGGTACCAACACACATTGTCATAACTACTAGTAGGGCCACAGAAGTATGTTACATACCGGTATGTAGCCACAAGATAACAATTATACAGTGACTACATGTACAATGGTATACTTTATCTGCATGTGCCTCATGGACAAGCGAGTGTTCGCCACTGCCAGCTTCAGTCGAGCTGTACCACCTGAACTACTAACAGTTATAGACTGTACTGTCGGGGGGGGGGGGGGGAGAGAGAGACGTCATGTACTCTTATGTGGATGATTCTGAGCTCTCTGCAGCACCATGTCAACGTCTTCACAGGAAAGCTCCTGGTTGAAATGCGCAAGTGCTGGTTTATAATATGCATGGGGCCGAACATGCAGGCGTGTACACGCACCACCGTGCAGCCATGTCCAACCGCGTCCCGCTCTGAAGCAAGCACTTACTCTGAGGTGTCTGGTTCGTCATTGATATCAGCTGATTCGGAAACCATCCCTTGCGGGAGCCAATGCATCCTTCCCACCAGCCATCTTTGCCAAAATAGTTCACTAGGAGGAAAGGATGGAGCACATCAGCACGAAGGAAACGGTTACAGATACTTAGAAGTACATGTACACAAAATCGTTTACAGAACACCGGCAAGAGGTCCTTGTGTACAGGCTTAGCTATGGCTGGCCATGGTCAGTGTTTCAGTCATCCCTACATCTAGATGTAATGTGTAACTTGCTAATGCGATATGACAGGCATGGCTGTGTACCAACGGAAGACTGGGCATGCACGCAAATGTGACATAACACAAAGTTCTTGAAATGACAACTACTTTACGACACAAGGAACGCGATGATGGGCTGCACTACCGAAGCAGTCCCATCAAAGCTGCTAAGCTTACCTTCTACAAACTCTCCTTTCTTGAAGGTCAGCTCATCTGCTGACTTTGCCGTGAAGTCGTCTGTTGCAATCACATACTCACTGGTGTCGGCTTTGTGCGCACGTTGGAATTTCCTGGGTCGAAGAATGTCGCCGCCTGGAGTAATGACCCTTGGCGCAGTGGTCCCGCTCTTACCGGTGTCTTGTGACGATGGCGGTGGTGGTGTCTTGGCTCTTCCTGAGCTCTGGGACGAGGCGCTAGTAGATCGCTTGGCAGCTGGCGATTCAGCTCCGCCGCCGGTTGTGGGCTTAGAAGTCCCTAGGTCGACAACGTTGTTTTCTTCCAGTTTCTTCGCCGACGACGAGCCGGGAATGCTGACCTTCATCGTCTTTGCTTCGCCGGTGGCAATGTCAACATTCAGGGGACTAGGGAAGGCGGACGGCCCGTCTCCAGCAGCCATGAACACGGGGCCTGGTGGACGTGCTGGTTTCCCCTGAGCAGAATGAACACAATCAACGCAACCCATGGTATTCACAATCTGTCCATGCCGGGCTGCTCAGTGTATGTCACTTGGCATTCACAAGTTGTCCACGCCGGGCTGCTCCTTAATATTATATCACTTCAATGTTTTAAATTGTTTGGTAGCAGAAGGCACAGCAAATACAAGGTCCAAACAAGAACTCGGTATGCTCTGAACGTACCCGACATTACACACTGGCCGAGAGCTTTGCTTTCTCTCCATTAAAAAAAGAAGAAGAAGAATTTTACCTGTGTTAGCCTGGCAATTTCATCACGATTTGACATGGGCGGTGAATTTGAGCCGGATGAGTTCGCATCATCACTGGTTCGACCGTTGAACATGAAGTCATCATGTCTGAATGATAATGCAGAAGCAGAGTCAAAAAGACATTCATGAATCACCCACTCAGGGCCCTCGGGTCAAGCTGATGCCCATGGGACTGCTGCAACTACAAGAATTGTGATCTTAAGGAAATGCTTTAGTATTTCAACAAGCCGCTTCACTGGCAACTCGGTCAGACAAGAATTATTGTGCACTCATTAATGCAGTAGAGTCTAAATGCTACATCGCTAGCATTGTAACTTAATACTTGCAATGCAAGGTCAGTCATATCCCCTTCCTGGGCCGATACAGAGGCATATCACTTCATTTGGGCATGTGGTGCCTCACACATCATTGTAGTGCAAACGCAACCCCGTCACACTAAATAGCACAGAAGCAAGTCAGGCTCTCACTCTGAAAGAGTCGGCGAGTTGTTGTTACTATGGGTACTGCTGTGAGAAGCAGCACTGCTAGCTACCAGCGCCCTGGCTGCCTTGCTGAGGACACTATGTGACGTGGCCGAGCGGGGGCCAAGCCGCGGCGAGCCAGCTCCCGTCGGCGTGAGAACGGTGATGGACTTTCGGCGCGGCGTGTTGTACGACGGCTTGTCTTTACTGCGAACTACAGTACATTGAATAGAAAGACACAGCATTAGTTGTCTGATGATTGCCTATTATAAAGGGCATGAAAGTATTAGTTACAACGAAGAGGAGCAGTGCTCAGTGCTCAGTGCTCAGTGCTCAGTGCTCTGTTGCTTGGATGGAATAGAGAGAACAATAAAATGGATCTGTGCCTGCAGTCCACGCATCAGCTAGCCAAGTATGACAACTGAGCCATGATCTGGACAGTGACAAACAACCCAGTTACGTGCGGATAATCTGACCTGCCTGGTCTTACCTGATGTAGTTTGCTCGAAGTTTTGAATCAACTCTGCTACGTCAAGGTTCCCAGCTAGCAGTGCCTCCTGCAGCAGACAACAGATGATGGCAATCGATTGACGCCACATTGCAGGAATGAGAGAGAGAGACAGAGAGAGAGAGACAGACAGACAGACAGACAGACAGACAGACAGACAGACAGACAGACAGACAGACAGACAGACAGACAGACAGAGACAGATAGACAGGGAGGAAGTACGCAATGCAGGAAAGCAAGCATTCACAGAGATTGGACAGTATAGACTAAGGGAAATGGAGCACGAGAGTACTAGTAGGTTTGCACAAAGTCGTGTGCTACGACTGCCTTTCTGCTCACCTGCTGGGCAGTGTGGTTGGCTTTGTTGGAAATTGACTTCTTTGCAGCGCGGAATAGCAATACCCTGCAGCAATCCAGCTGTCCGTAAAAATGGCACAACAGAACACATAGGAGAAGAACTACAGTTAATGTTGAGCTCCGTATGCATAGGAATGCCACCACATTCAAGAATCATGCAAGACACAGCTTCTAACAGTGGCAGGAGGCTAGTAGTACCGTATTTAATATCATACTACTGCCGGTAGATCACATGCATGCACCACAAAAGACAAGGCGGGAAAAGACCAAAAATCGCATCTGACACATCCATATCGCCCTCGTGCCAGGTCACAAGTTCCCGATTCACAGTGGGTAGTAGCAGGGTTGGAAAATCCTTTCGCATCCAAGCAGGACTTAAAACCGGCAGTACCCTCTCAACGTATCATGACAACTAAGTAACACACAGGACCAGCGGAAACAGTTTTTTACTTGGTCCAGCCATAGCAAAGGTTTTTATACAGTTTGTGTATGATATGGCAGGTACATACGACGGTCCTCCCCAGAAGGGAACACGCGTTTGTACCAAATTTGGTGTGACCCTGTCCTGACCAGCCGGACCAGTTCCGCCATCCCTGATACAGTCAGGCAGCATGCGGATGTCCAGAAGAGTGGTGCCATCTCTAGAAAGGTGCGGCATGTATTGTTGGTTTTGGCATGGCCCTCAAAGTTACCTGTCCGTGCAGTGCGCACACGTGCAATGCCGTGCTGCCGTTGCTGTTCTGAGCGTCAATGTCGGCGCCGTAGAAAACCAGGTGCTCGAGGTGTCGCTGCAGACCATTGCGGCACGCCTGAGTGTACAACAGACAAGCAAGCGGCAATACATCGCAGCCTGTCCGTGAAACACTCTGGCTCACCCCCCCCCCCCCCCTTGTACTGCATAGAAAAAAAACACTGCTCTGCCTTATCTGTAAGTAAGCTCTGCACTTTGCGGTATTTCTCATGAGCACTGTGTGGGCGGTGGAATAATTCTACAGCACAGAAATACACCTGGATGAGCTATAATATCTGTACACATGTTACATAACACCAACACAAGGTGTGGTGTATTGGTGAACACACTTGGCAGCACTTCTCAGCTAAAAGTACAAGTCATGCATCCAAACTTAATTGCAATATGCAATGCAAGTAAAATCTACTGTTGTAGCGTGTGACTGTGACCCATGAGGATAAAATCGATCCACTGGACAAGCAGACATCTCACCGTTATCATCTTCCTTACCTGGTGTATTTCCTGCCAACCGTTAGCATCGCTGATCATCAACTGAGAGTGCTCGCGGAGTAGCAACAGTGCCATATCCGCGCCACCGCCGCACGGTAACGTAGTGTTATATAGCGGTGTCAGACCCTGTTGGAAAAAATGTTTGCAAAGGGAAAATAGGTTTTAGTAGTTAAACTGAATCAACTCTCTACACTAACTCCGGTTTCGGGTGCGCTACAGAGTCGAGCCTACCCGTACCCGTACAAACTACATGTAATCGCCTTCACATTCGCCAGAAATACCAAACCCTGAGTGACCAATTGATGACAGTTTTTCTCCCAAGCTGCAAATACACCTTGATCTTCAAGGGTGGTGGCATTCCTACGAATACAGGAAAACAGTCTGACTGGCTCCGACGTGAACAGGGACATTAATTTTCGAGGAGTAGAACTACTCCTGTATCCAGCATACCTTTCTGTCTCGGTAGTTTGGAGATGCACCGAGGTCCAGCAGGATCTGAGCAGCAACACACACACACACACACACACATCATGCATGAGAAATAGGACACACCTTACCTACTTTGAGGTTATGAACCATAACGTTACTATCATAGAAAGAGAGAGAGAGAAAGAAAGAGAGAGAGAAAGTGAGTGAGGGGGGGGGGGGGATGCTGCGTTGCTAGTCAGAATTTCACGTTCCTGCACGACCATTAGGAAAGTTCCGCCTTGGAACTTAGAAGGACATCGAGCACTCTTCGAGCGGTGAATTGCCCTTTAAATCATCCAGCAATGCGCTTGCTTCAGTCAAAACCAGGGCACATGGCATGCTTTATCACCTCACCTCAATGTGTATAATGTAACTGTTCTCTATCACACAGGTTTTCTATGCTAACGCATTGCTTGGGAATACCAGGCCCGCAGGAACCGGTCCGGTTGGTCCGGTGATAACCTGACCAACTTTGCGGCTACCAACGCATGTTTACTGCTGAGGAGGGCATATCTCCCCACCATAGGGGCATATCTCCCCACTATATCCCACACAAACTGTATGAAAAACTATGGTATAACCGGACCACTTGATAACTGCTTCCGCCTGAATACAATGCACATTCGTGAAGATTCGCGAAATTCTGAGTCAGGGCCACGAGTGACAGGAAGATAGCCATACCGGTGTACTGTGCATATGCATCACATATGGAGGATAGCGTGATTAGAGATAGGCATAACAGCTCACCTGAACAGCATTGTAGTTATCAGCACTGGCTGCGGTGTGAAGCGCCGTGCTGCCAGAGAGGTTGCGGAAGTCGACGTGTGCACCGCCGTTGACGAGGACCAACATGAGTTCCTTGCAATGCACGCTCAGGCTGGCCACTCCCAGAGCGGACTCTACACAAGGCAAGCGGAAAAACCGTCATGCCATCATGCCAACAGACAGCACTCATACAGGTTACAGGTCACATGTGAAATGGCAAGATTATATAGGCCGAGCTTAGCCGAGCTTGTGTGTGCGGGGGAGGGGAGAGAGAGGTGTGATGAATGCACAGAGAGAGGTGTGATGAATGCACAGAGAGAGGTGTGATGAATGCACAGAGAGAGGTGTGATGAATGCACAGAGAGAGGTGTGATGAATGCACAGAGAGAGGTGTGATGAATGCACAGAGAGAGGTGTGATGAATGCACAGAGAGAGGTGTGATGAATGCACAGAGAGAGGTGTGATGAATGCACAGAGAGAGGTGTGATGAATGCACAGAGAGAGGTGTGATGAATGCACAGAGAGAGGTGTGATGAATGCACAGCAGCTGCACGCGTGTCCACAGTACTTTATAGAGTGCACGGTGCACCTACATACCTAGAGACATCAATGCAAGCCCAACGAAGTTTACACAAGTACACAGAAAACACCAATGGCTGTAGCATTTCATCAAAGCTAGAGATAGTGTGTATGTAGTTGAACTTACCACCACCAAACTCTTCCAGTGCGATGTTAGGGTCGAGGCCTTTGTCCAGGAATCCACCCACTTTCTCTACCGAGCATTTCTGTATCAGCTCAAAGAACTTCATCTGCTTTGCCTGAGTAGCAAATGCAGAAAAGACAACAAACAATGGCACATTTATTGCAGAGGTACAATAGCACAATGTCATTTAGCAATACAGCTAAAGTGAGTAACTAGTACAGTCTACTTGCGATAAGTCGTGCACTCGATCCTGGAGACGAAACTGCTTGACTCATCGCGAGTGCGCGACCTACATCTTTGTATTTATATCATTATCTCATGGCACATCATGATGACGGCCAGTAAAACTGAGACAAGGTGAAAGCCAACCACAGCAGTAAAAACAGATAAAATAATACAAATAAAAGGCAAAGAAGGCAAAGGAGGAGACAAACCAGCAGGATGTCATGCAAATACATGAAACCTATAATTGAGCAGAGATTTTAGCAACAAAATTATCCATCAACGTGCTGGTCTTGGCCTGCGTTGGTAATGTTGCCCAAAACACATAGCCAGCAAAGATCGGGGATCTAGTGAATAGGGTGGAGGCAGCGCGTGGGAGACTGAATGATCTTACTTTGTACTTGAACAAGTTCGTGTCACCCGGATTGCAAAAGTGTGCAGCTTATCACGACAAAGATGGCATGAGTTATCACGAGAAGACTACAAATATCACCAAAATTAATATGATTGGTACCATATTCGCTGCAGTTAAAACACACAGTCGGGCCTGCCACCTTGCACAGGAAGAAACTGAGAGAGAACGCAGTGTAATGTGTCTGGCGCGTACCTTGGCGTTGATCTTTTGCAGCTGCTTCTCTTCAAACTTGCGACCCTTGTAGTCTCTTGACTTGAACTTGAACTGCACAGTTGTGAATACAAATAGGCAAAACAAAACAGCACAGTCAAATATGTACCGAAATCATTGATCCATACCTTGTGCGACAATGGCCCCAGACAGTACAGTCTAAAACTAGTAGGATAGGAGGGGGGGGGGGGGGGGGGTATCTCCTACCTGCAGCTGTGCCGGTTCAGGGAGGTGATATTCGGCCAGTGGACGATCCTCCTCCAGAAACTTGCCAGCCCTGGCACCATCGACAGGCAAGTACAGACCGTAGTTGAGTCCGTTGTGCAAGTCCTGCAGTGCACGTAAACCACAGCACATCAACAAAATAGACTATAGCACTTCAGAGAGAGAGAGAGAGAGAGAGAGAGAGAGAGAGGGTTTCGGTTCCCGTTATGGCAACACAGGATTGGATTGAGTCTTTTTCTTCAGATTCTTGGCGTTTTGATCAATTTTTTTGTATTGAGATGTTGTGTCATATGCACGGTAAGCACATTTGCCCGTACAAGAGGCTTTAGTATACTTCAGAGCCTGAAGCTCATTCCCTTGCTGTGATTGACTTCTGCCACGGTCTCAAAGAAAACATGCAGTGGGTGTGCAAGCTGCAAAGGGGCGAATATAACAGTTATAACTACTCCTTTGCGAGCTGGCATGTAAGAATTGATAAGAATTGATAAAACGAGTTCAAGAGAGAGAGAGAGAGAGCGAAAGAACCTTACATAACCTCTACTACAATATTTATTTCAGACTTAATCATAGGTTAGACTAAAGCATCGCCCCGCTTAGTTACAACATTGATGCATGCCAGTGCATGAAATATGTCAGATTTACCTTCACAAGCTTGTTGAGGATGATCATCTTGGCGGCCCATACCGAGTCTTCTTGGTCAAATACCAGGCATTTCTGATAACGCATGTATGTATACGGACACACATACACACAAATACGGGACATGCACATGTGCAAATCAAACCTGGCTCACATACTGCCCTGTGCTCACGTCCTGATACAAAAATAATATATGTGCCACAGGTCAATAATCACGGACCGGATTCATGGGCAAACTGTTATTGACGCACATTCAACAAAGCACCGCCTGAAGGTTGAAGGTTTCCTGGTTTTTTGAAAATATTCTAGTAATGGGTATTCACTGGTATGGTATGGTAACCATTACGACTACAAGAGTGCAGATGTGTGTCAATTATTTTCAGCGTGGAGTTCCACAGCCTTCCACAAAGATTCACCGGGGCCGTATAGCAGTCAGATGCGTGATAATGCATGCTGCTAGGTCAGATGCGTGATAGTGCATGCTGCTAGGTCACTGGCAGTATCTATACACACACTGTGTAGAACTTACGGAGAGCTGCACATTGTCATCATTGATTGTGATCCGCACCAGGATGGTGCTGATGTTGTCAATGTCGTCCGTGTTCACCACACTGCTGTCGATGCTGCTGGTGCTCATTGTCCCGTGCTGTGCCGCCGTGTGCTGTGTGTGGCTATACCTGAATGTCAGTTGCCGGTACTGACTGCACTGGACACTGGAGAAAAGGAAGGAACAGAGAAGATAGGAAGGTGTAGGAACAGTGCATACAGGTTCATTCACATGCCGCTTGCGAGTACCACACAACATAGTAACCCGATCTTTTTTTTCCGGCAGATCCATATACAGTCGCGTATACTGTAAGTTGTTCACAAGTAATATCTGCCTTTCATGCATACGTATACCACAATGGATGTATGCTTGCGAGGTGAGTAGATGTAACAAGTCTGTTGAAGAACTCCATCACACACCGAAGCAACTGATCATGTCAACCGTCATCCAGCTCACAGAACTGAAATGTTCGGGCGCCATAACCAGGTTGGGCTTCCAGCAATGGTAACTGATGTAAGGATAGGGCGTCCGCCGCTGCATGGCACACCGTGGCACTGTGAATGCCACTATGGGCTATACCATGTGCCCGCAGCAACAACAGCAACAACAGCAACAACAGCAATTACCCACTGCTCATGGGGCGTACTCTCACGCATCTGTGGTGTGGTGACCACCGGCAACCCCATAGCCGTCAATGGAGTACAGTGCACCTACACCTACCAATGCACTGTAGTGCCTAGGACGGCCACTAGGACGGCCACTAGGACGGCCACTAGGACGGCCACTAGGACGGCCACTAGGACGGCCACTAGGACGGTCATTTGCTGGTGTGGTGACAGGACTACACTGACTATGCATGAGCTATGCACCCAGTGTGCCCAGTGTGCAGTGCTGCTTTTAGTAGCCTAACACCTTTCATGAGTCTAGTCACTGAGCTTGTCCATGCGCACACTGGTGGAAATATTAGCATGGAACACTATCTGATTGGCAAGAGTTACAGGGCGAAACTACAATCATGTACACACCCCTCTCCCGGGGGGGGGGGGGGTACACACACCTCTCCCGGTGGGGGGGGGGGGGGGTACAGAACTCCAGTCCTTTGATCTGGATTGTCAGAACTTCGTGGACTATGCCATTTTCATGTCATTCAGTGGCATGGCATGCAAAGGCTGCGTGTAGAAGCATGCAAGATTTCAATAGAGTACGGCAATTCGCAAGACAGCCGAGAGCGTTGACACATACGGCATGCATTTGAGCATTGGTTGTGTATAAAACTGCAAGTATTAGTTACTGCACATCCAGGCCAGGTTTGAATGAAACAATGCTCCAAACATCGGTGAATACGTCCGTATTACAGCAAAACTTTTATATACACCGTTGAACTTATGGTGTGCACACCCAGTAACGCTAGGGGCAAAATTTGCGACTGATGTTCGTGGATGCGCACATTGCTAAGTAGGCATTTAATGCCTACAGAGTTATGACATTGTACCAGCCCCAGACTATAAAGGCCGCGGCGTAGTCCGCGAATTACAAGCAAGTCCAAGAATGTATCAAAGTTATGCATTGTGGTCCACTGGGGGATACTACAGTCTTAGATATGACTTGGCCAATCATTGCTCCTGAGCATCAATAACTGATACTCCATCGGCCGTAACCATAGCATAACAAAAGTTTTACAAAATGTGTGGGGACATAGTGAGATTGCACAATGTCATCAGAGGAAGGCTGCAATGCCCTTGCAAACGCCCAGTCAGAATATTTATATTCCCTAACGATTGTTGACCCTAAAAAAAGTAATCATGACACCACTGTCTTCATGGATGTGCCATCTCCTTACCTTGGCTTGGATATTCGCAGGAGCGGAGGGGAGCTTGCCACTTTCTATGTTACCGTGCCGTCATTGATCCAGACTAGTCAAGTCAGTCTGATGATGATGTCTGGCACTGGGTGTGCATGGGCCCTGCTAGCGTTCTATTATCCAGGACTGCGTTAGCAAACAGGGTTCGTGCACCCTGCCAGTTGCTCACACCTCCGTCCTTCGCCCACTTCACTGCACCGAGTTGAGTAATTAATTATTTCGGTTTTCTCTTCGTGCGCCAACCACCCACTAGTGCACTGCACTACTCGACGACTAGCACCATAAACGCACACACTGGTTTCGGCGGCGGTGGCTGGCCGCAGGAGCTACACGACTCGACACTCTGCAGGTGTTACCTATCCAGTTCCAGTCACTCAGTAGGTCTAACCAGCCTGGGCCATGGGCTGGAGCTGTATCGTGCTGTGGCTATTGCCCACTACTACTAGTATACTGTAGTCCGTCGCCAGTTCCAGTACGACCCGTGGCCTTTTCGAAACACCTGATTTCATTCACTCGCCCGCGAAGTAATAAGTGCTTTGGTCACCTTCCAGTTCCACCCAGCAATAGCTCACTGGCGCAACAGTTGCCAAGGACGGTGGTGGCAAGCGGCTAGGCCGTACTTCGCCCTCAGTAGATCTACTAGGTCAGTAGGTGGCAAGCTGCACCATGCCAGGTCCAGGAGCTTAGCTGATTGGGCACAACAAGCTTCACGGTGTCGGCTGGTCGGTGGGATCCGTTGCGACCATGCACACACTTACTTTCTTCGCTTGGCTGCCAAGTCTCTCTTCACAGTTTTTTTTTGCTGCCAGCAGTCTCCGTTCCCATGCAGGTTCAAATCGTGTGACACAGAGTTCGTTGAGCTATCACCGCATTGTTGGAGTGTGGACTTGACTGCGGGTGCCACAAACGTCAAATCGTCCTCTCGGCAATCATTACAAAATTTGCATGGATCATAGGGAGTATCTATTAGGGACACACATGCATAGACTTTGTGCATAGACTCACACAGTCACAGTCACAGGCGATCTAATCGACAGGAGTGTCTCCTTTTTTCGCTGCTGACAAGTGACAGCACGAGAAAAGGGTTGACTCGTGGGCCTGGCGCTATGCTGATGGCACCGAAACCACGAAAATCCTCGGACACACTGTACTACTACTGACTCTGTGGGCCTGTGTGGGCCTGTGGCAGAGCTGGCGTGAGGAGCTGTAATGTGAAGTGACGTTGTACTTACCATGCTTACAAAGTTACAGCACTCTCAACACTACAACAGGCGCTCGGGGCCGGGGTGCCGTTTCCAATCGGTGCCTTGCGCCTAGCGCCTAGGATGGGGAGTGAAGGCTGAAGCTTACCGGTTTACTCTACATAGGGAATAATGTGAGAACTCGACTGAGCGACATGCGTCCACACCAATTACGGTCAATTATTTCTGTCCCGTTCGAATCGTCGTCCAGTGCTCTGCATGGTTGACACATTGAGGTTTGCCCGCCTCGAAATGGTACAAAAGCCTCACCTGGCACAGGTCTGAGATGACAGATCTATTACTACTATCATCTAGAGCTAGGCTAGAGTAGAGTGAGTGGATCCATGGAGGCGTAGACCATGGTAGGCGATAGATAGAGTGCTCCAACCGCGTAGTCGACGTTCATATCACAGTTCACATGGTTCACGTGGATGCAAGCTCAGATCTGCACTGTTTCATGTGATTGGATGGCCGCTAGCTGCACTGATGCTTGATAGTTGCTGGATGCTGCTGTCAACCCGAAACCGTCAGTCGTTTCGTTCGCCGATTCCCTTCATCCGTCCATGCACTGTGCTGTAAAAATGCACTGTGCTGTGGTACGCGGCAACCTGAAGAGGAGAGGTGGAGACGGCAGGACCCAGCCCAAACCACGAAGCGCTAGACGGAAAGCTGCCTATGTGCGGCGAGGTACTTCCTGCGATTACCTAAAACTAAAAGCGCACCTTGAAAAGGATGACCTAAAAGCGCACCTTGAAAAGGATGACCTAAAAGCGCTGGTATAAGCAGTAGCTTTCGGCCTGTTGATCATCGAACAGGCCTGATAAGCGCACCCTGAAAAAGATTACCGGTACCTAAACTGAGGCTGAAATAATTAGTAAAAAGCTGGTAAAAGTAGCAGCCAGTGGTTAAAACCAGGGGCTACTCCCTGGTTAAAACAGTCGCACCATTATCTTGTTCTTGAAGCCTCTTGCCTAGTCTTTGCTCGGACAATGCATGGTTTTGTTGTTGATCTTTACCAATGTTTGCATGTTTAGTATCTTTCGGTGGATAGATTGCCACAGAATCGGGATTTGGCGTGTCTACGCAGACTGAACTCTGAAGTACAGGTAAGTACTTAGTTGGCGGTTTCGACACTATACGTACTGATGCCACAGAACAATAACCTGAGTCATAGGGCCGCAAGGCTAGTTTGCTGCTACTCCGAGTTTCATGCGTATGGCCCTTTTCCGTTCTGTGTAATACTAGTAATACGCTCTGCCTCCACGGAGGGGAGCAGTCTTACCACACTGGCGCATCCGATCTGGTGATTCAAAAATCATTGTATTGATGTAACGTTAGTTGTACTACTAGTGGCCTTGGTATGGTCCTCAGTACAGTAGCCACAATGGCACCAAGATAGCTTGACAACGTCGCAGGATGATAATTGCCGGTTGGTGTCCTGACCTGGCCGCATCTCCCAGCTCAGTGTACTGTATCCGCGAGCTAGACTGGGACAAGTCAACGACATTGTGCTATTTACAGTGACGCACCTTTACTGTATTCTGCTGGCCGCAGGCTTAGTATCAGGGAGTAGTATTTTACTAGTATAGTGTGTGTACACATGTGTGCACTCACTGCTACAGTCAGTGCCAGCACTAGCGATGCACGACACAGATTTCGTGTAACACGAGGTTTATCGGCCGTGACACGATCAGATCGTTTATATAGGGGATTATACGACCTCCACTAGATTCTATTCGAGGTCGGATTACTTGCATCCCCTACTTTTAACCGCCGTGTTGTTGCAGCTTGCGCCTGTTCCTGTTCCTGCAGTGAAATGACCAGGAAGACATCCATGGTCTCCGTGGGCAAAGGCATACAATCATGCTCTTGCTATCAGACCTAGCGGCATGTTGTCTTGGAAGGCAGGTGATGAGGCGTTATCGAAGAAACAGTGGCAACTGCCAACTATTACTTTCGACGGGTGACATCATACAGACAATCACAATACTCACTGCGCGCGCTGTATGTAGTCTGTATCGTGTCGACCTGCATACCATATCCTCTACAAAATGTAGTTTAGTCACCATGGTCACAAGAAAATAAAATTAAAAAATTATTTAAAAAAAAACTAATACTGTTACAATCAATGTTCTGTGTGCATTGTTTCTTCGCTGGGCACTGGCACGGCTTCTACACACGCTTAGTGGTGCCGTTATCATGGTTATCAGTCTGTTGTTGTGGTTGTTATGACTGTACTGAACTGACATGACTGTACTGCCGCACTGACTTTACTGCACAGTATGGCACTTAGTCCTACAACAGTACATGAGTAGATTTTACAAACAGGTACAAAAGCACAATCATATCTAGTATGTACATGACTTGTTGTTTTTCATGTTGTCAGCTGCAAGTCATTGTCACTCGGCTGAAACTGAGCCATGATGACTGTGTTGATGGCTGGTTGCCATGCCATCTGTACTTGAGTCCGTGTGTGTGTGTGTGCGTGCATGCACGTGTGTGTGTGTGTGTGTGCATATTAATTATCCTGTGTGTGTGTGTGTGGAAAGAGACAGAGAGCATGAGCACCAACACGTAAACATCTGCAGCAATATTGATGCCAGCAGAGGACGACAATGTACGTACCACCAAGAGTACATAACCAAGAGTGTGCAACTGCCTGCACAACCTCTATGCTGTGCTGCGACGGCAGAACTTCACATCACGTGACATGGTTCAAAAGGTTATGCTGGCAAACAGTGCAAAGTGACCACAAGAGAGTTGTACCCAAAGCTGGGCTGCGTACAACCCAGTATCTATCATGCACTAGAGTGCACGGGTTCATCACGTGATGTGAAGTTCTGCCGTCGCAGACCCCATGGCTGGAGTTGCACACTCTTGGGTTATGTACTCTTGGTACCACGAATGAATGTATTCGGCCCAACAGTCACTATTCCCCTGGGCAGCAGCAGGTAGTACTACTGACGCTGTGGAGTAAATCAAGGCAAAAAAAGGAGACAGAGAACCATCCCCCTCCCCCTCCTGGTTGTTTCCAATTTTCCAGCTTTGGTCCATCCATATGGCCATGCAGACAGATAGATCACTCTTGTGAACAGACATCTTACTCTGAGCTTACGCCTGGTACAGGTTGCAGCAGTGCAGTAGCAGCCACTGAATCATTATTCACTACCCAACGTGCAAGGTCTCATTTCCAGACACAGACTGCTACAAGGTGGAGGACACCGTGTTTGGAAACAGTGACCTTTCTACAACCATCCACGGTTGGTAGAGCCCCGGTCGGTTGCGACCATCTGAACCGTATGGGTCTTAGACCCGGTTCTGTCACTGTTTCCGAACACGGTGTCCTCCTCCACCTTGTTACATGCTGTCAACCAACATGTTTGAACAAACTGACAAGGTTTATCTAATACCATAAACTTCTTCTCATACAGTCCTATACGCCGCATAATCCCCGTGAGTAGGCACAGATCACACAGTAACAGTAACAGTAACAGTAGCAGTGCCTACAAGAGCCCCAGGTACTCTGCAAGACATAACAATTCATGCAGCACGGCATTTTTGTGTTGTTTTCAAAGCCTAAGGCGCTCTCAAAAGAGCCTGGAAGGTCACAGCCGGCCAGGGAATACTGAAGTAGTACAATACCAAGGTACTGTACTAGTACTCCCCGATCACAAGTTTCCTGACGATGACAGGCCAGACTGGTCGCTCCCTGAAAGAATGGAAACCGGGAGTCGCACCCAAAACGGGATTGATTGAGTACATACACACTTGCCATCATCCTACCATGCTTCTACTGGACGAACCAGCAAGGAAAGTGCATCAACACAGATCGTTTGGAGGAAAATCCTAGGTTTTTGAGGTTTTTGAAACGAACCCTAGTATTGTGTGGACCCCGAGTCTGCCCCCTCCCGAAAACCTAAAAGCGGAGAAAAAGATCAAAATGTTTCAATAAACTAGCATGTAAAAACCTCTGGATAAAAAAAAGAGATCCGTGTATCTGCAGATATCTCTTCGGAAGTTCTGAACAAAACAAAGAGGGTCCATGCACAAGGCACTATGCGCGGATTTCCAAACTCTAAAGAGATAGTAGGAGGCTTGTAAGTTACATGTACTTCATGATTGTTATTCAAGTCGGTAGATTGGATAGTATCTCTGTACAATGATCAATATGGAAGTTCTTCTTGTCTTATGATGTCATGAGTGTCATGAGCGTGGAATATGGAATAGTGCAATAGAGTAATGCTGATGGTGATGCTGACTGGCAATGTGAGTCAATTCACACCAGAGTACAGTATGCTGAGTTCACCAATGAGCCAGTGCAACTACAATGTGAATAACAAAGCGCTGGAGCTCTGCAGTGGACAGATATGGGCCTGCATATCCAAAGCGGTGTCACTAGCAAGAGAGAGAGGAGGTAGATAAATGATAGCATGGTGTTGTCCTGCTAGATTTCTTACCAGTTGTCATCGTCACTGAAGTCCTCGACAAGGTCAGGTTTGTCCTGGCCATTGTTATCTACACTATCATCAGCCACCAGGTCAGCATCACAGTCATCGCAGTCATCATCAAAGTCGAGGAAAGCATCAATGTCCTCGTTGGTCAGAAGGTCATCGCCCAACGCATCTAGCACTTCAGTACCAACTGCTGCGTTCGATCCTCCCGTTGATTGCGATGGAGGTGGTTCGGCCTTCAGCGAAGCGTTTGCGACGGTCGCTGCACTGCTGGCTGCCAGTGTATTCGTAGTTGTGGATGCGGTGGTGAGTGTAGTGAAGGATGTGTGAAGTACTTGTGATGAAGGCAGCTCGCCATCACCATCCTCATCCACATCCAGTTCACCTAGGGTCTGTAGGCCACTTCTGCAATGAGCAACAACAGAAGAATGAAGGTGGCATGAAGAAACACTCCGATTACTAGTACGTTGCTCCTAATGTTAGGTCATGTCCACCTGCGCACGCACGCGGGTGCGTATGCAAACGCATACCAGGTACTGACGGTGAACACGTACGAATACACAGCAGGAGCAGCAGCGGCACCAGCAGCAACAAACAAAAGGGGTACTGCATAAGCATTGCGCATGGCAGCATGCAAACTGCAAAGGTATGAGTAGGACATACCTGGAGCGATGTCTCGTCTCTCGAGGGTAGTGCACAGTGGCATGAATGAAAGCGATATGATCTAAAGCACAGGCACACACATGTTCCAAATGCACAGTCAAAATTATGATAACATCATATTAGAGAGGTTCTGCACAACGAAAATTCGAACGAAGTTTCGCGACAGGCCTTGCGAAAATGTGTACGAAGTTTCGCACGAACTTTGTGTTCTGCACATTTTCGTAGTTTGCACGCGCCAAGTGCACGTACGACATGACCCAATCTCACGAAACTTCCTACGAAAGTTCATTTCGCGTTCCCTGCAAGTTTCGCGTCCAAAGTTGCGAAAGTTCGTGCGAAGTTTCTCACTTCGTGACGTAGAGCGAAAGTTCGTACACATTTTCGTTCTGCAGAACCTCTCTACTAACTGTTATATACGTGAGTATGCTTGACAGAGACACTGGGCTAACAGTGTTGCAACCAGAGCTGTGAAAGGAACACGCAGGATAGCTCAGCGTGATGCGCACTGACTAACAGCTACTCGATACTTGGCTAGATCGTTTCCTTTGGATTTTTAAAATCATCGCAAGCCAATTGCAGCGATGTAGTCCGTAGTATCCATGGTGATGCCGGCAATGCGGTCTGCAGTAACTGTGCCCATTGGCATTGCCTCTACCATCGCCACAAGTCGTAACTCTTACCAGGTGAGAGGAATCTAGAGTTGAGTAACCCCATGGCTGGGAGGAGCTCAGTGTAGACCGCCTCATGACTGTGCACTGCTCCTAAAAAGTCACAACAAAAAGAACAAAAATAAGAACGGGGAAATGACCACACAGCACAGAAGAAAAGTCGACGAAATCAAAGTTGTTTACCAGCACACATCGTGCCCTTCCCTGCAACAAGGCAAACTATTACTTGATCCTGAAGCAGGTTGCCAGGCAGAGTTGAGAACTTCACAATTACCAATGATAAGATGGGCACATGCCGGAGTGCTACAAAACAAACAAAAATCACAGTTCGCGTCAGATTTGGCTAGAGGCCAAGCTTTCCGCATCTGTAGGAATGCCACCACCCTCAGCCCTCGGGGATCAAGCTCTCGACAAATACTTCCCTATGCCTGCTAGAGAAAGTACCTAATTTGTCAGCCCGGTCGTGAAGCAGGAAGACTTGCCCGCTAGAAACGCGTTGCTGCCGCTGCAAAACACAAACACACAACCCAAAAACATGTCACACTAACACAGAATCTGGAAACATGTGACACTGTCTAGGATAAAACTGAAATGGGAATGGGAGAAATTTCCTTTACATGATTATGTCGATTCAGCTGGCTCTGTTCATTGCGACTTAAACTTCCTTCACAGGTAAAATTAATTTCCCAAGTTTTAACTTTTAATAACCACCTACAAGTACTGATCATTTGAAATTTGAAGTTCTCCCAATCCTTTAAAAATAAATCACCTACAAGTATTAAATGGAAACATGGAAACTGTGGGACACAAGTTATGCGTTAGCGTCCACCAACTTACTAAAGACTGCTCAAAATCCGCTTTAGTTGGTGGACTCTACCGCATAACTTGTGCCCCACAGTTTTTCCATGTTTCCATTTCATATTTTCCTCGGCCCACCATCCGAGCACTCACCTACAAATACTTCTCAATTACGGATGGCAATCGCCTTGTGTGAGCCTATTCCTGATGGGCCTGCTCATCAACCACAGTATTTCGATCACTCTCTTCAATGTTCCTATCTTTCCTCTTCTTTTTTTCTATCTGTAGTCTTCTTCGATTTCCCCCTTTCCCTCTAACTATCCTCTTTTGGCTTCTTGCAATTATTCATGAACGTGGGTTTCTCAATATTCACTGACAGAGCATGCAGACATCCGTATTACCTCTTTGGCAACGCTCAGCCACTGCGGCTTGTGGAGCGGCTTCCAGCCTGGCGCTGTGCACGACACACCGTCGTTGGCAAACATGATACTGCGACACGCTATGCTGCCGGTCATCTGGGATGACAGAGACCGAGTCTGGATAGACGACGAGAAGCATTGCCCAGATGTGCGTGGAAGCAGACACACACAGTACACACACACACACACACACACACACACACACATGCACACTCACACACGCATGCACACCCACACACGCACACACAAAACATGAGAAGTGCCTACAACCTCACTACAAGTGCAAGCCACCAACAACACAGCAGCAGCATGCAACCACCAAACATGACAGAATACCGACTGATGTCAGTAACAAAACGGAATTCTAGCAACCTGGACAATTGCTCACATTCATCACTTACATTCCAGTCACTTCCATAGAGTGCCGAGCAGCTGAGATAGTCGCTTGCAGCTGCCTACAAGTAGCAAATAAAACAGGGAATACCAACAGCATTCTTACGGAAAATCCTAAATGGGACTTCAGTCACTTTACTGTACCAGTATGTCAGATTGAACTGAGGCATCGAGCAAGCAAGTAGAAGGAAGCTTTCTGCGGCACACTGCATGTTGCCTGGTCACCCTGGGGTGCAACGTCTCTGCATGCAGCTCACCCGACTCATTACTGGCACGCCGCCTCAGGAACCTCGTCCAATCTTTGTCCATTGAATAGGAGCTCAAGCCATCAAGCGGGCGTCCTTGGCCACACTGACACATGGTGCCGCAGGCCCATCCGGTGTGGACGCTGATGGCTGGCGCCATACATGTATGTGTTCAGCATTTTCAGATTCATCTATCTCCCTCTGCAATGCACTGGCTGCTGGTGCTCGACGTCTAGCTACGACGTACGTTGACCCGGATTGCCTGGATGCTTTCACCGCTTGCCACCTCATTCCTTTGGATAAGCACCCTGGGATGCGGCCAATTGGGATTGGTGAGGTTTTCCGTAGAATAGTTGGTAAAGCAATTCTCTCAGTATCGGGCAAGCAGGTGCAGGATCTGGCAGGAACAACGCAGTTATGTGTTGGTCCAGACAGCGGTATAGAGTCCGCAGTGCACGCAATGGCCTCCATCTTTGCTGAGGATGATACAGACGGCCTTCTACTAGCGGATGCGCTGAACGCTTTCAACAGACTAAATCGTCAGCTTTGTCTCAGGTGAGTACAACATCTTTGTCCAGCTTTGGCACCTATACTCATCAACGCAGCTTCTCCCATGGAGCCCAGCTAAATTTCCTTGCTGCAGAGTTTGCAATGCGCCTTGTGCCGATTAGACGGCATGGGGGCAATCCAAGAGCGATACTTCTCTTGGCTTAGCCATTTATCCGAGAAGGCACAACCAGGCATGATGGCTACACGAAATAAATTATACTCATCAACACATATCGCAAACTGTCCCATTTGTACGTTGGCGCTGAATGCATCATATCGGAGGAGGGGACAACACAAGGGAATCCTCTTGCTATGCATATGTATACGATCGGTATGATGCCACTTGTTCGACAGGCCGGTACAGTCGGCTCCATTTAGCAGTGGTTTGCTTCACCAAGGCAACCCTTCCAAGTCTGTGCTTGTTGTCAAGGAGAGTCGCTTGGAGGACGCGCAGCGCCTGTTTGACGCCACATGGCATTAACATAACAACCGATGGTGCACGGTATCTTGGCACTGCAATCGGCAAAACTCAATTCTGTGAGCACTGAGCAGTTTGTGGAAATAAAGGTACAGAAGTGGTCGGATGAGGTGCGTCGGCCCATACCGTGCTGACACAGGATTTGGTAAATAGATGGTCATTCGTGTGCCGCTGCATACGGAATTTGGAATCGCTGCTGGGGCCTCTTGATCAAGCCATTGACAATGAGCTGATTCCAGCGCTGACTGGTCGTCCTCCGCCTGGCAACAGTTTGCAGCCTCTTTGCTTTGCCGTGCGTGTCTTGGTGGATTAGGCATGGTAAGGCCCAGCATGCTACCACAACAGTACCAGTCCTCCTGTAATAATCACAGACGGCCTCGTTTGGCACATTGTGTCGGGAGAATCTGCTGTTGGCGATGCAATGCAGATGATTCGACAGCAGCGGCATATTGTTCAGGGACAGGTTCGGCGCCTGCAGTCTGAGCAGCTTGCTTAACACAATCATTCTCAACTCCCCTGACTCGTTCAAGCACTATCAAGCTACTAATGAGGTATCCCACACGCTGGCAGTGTTGGAAGCCCACATCTCGTGAGATAAGTTACCATTTCTCGCTTCCCTCCTGTGCGTTTCTTGCTTATCGTGTTCATGTGTGTATTCAATTTGTTTTGTCCTGATTTCGTTTTGCTTGTTTTTGGGAACACAGCCCCATGCTGTGTGATCAGTCATGTTGAGTCACAAGTAGCAATGGAACGAGGCAACATGCAGCAAGCAGTTGACACTACTTGTCTTCAACATTCCAATGAGTTGCATGGTTTTACTAGAACATTGGCTAGAACACTGAGAAACAATCTCAGCAAAAAATCTCAACGATAATAACCTGAACATTACTGAAAACACATTTAGCAAGCATCTTCACTACCGTGGAGAGAAGATTTCAGGCGCATGGGTTGACTGAAGACCGGAATCTGGAACCAACCTCTACAAAAACACGTAGGAACACAAGCCTAAACATTACGGCCAAGTCAAACTTACTACAAACTTACTACGTTGTCGATATCCGTGTGGAATGACAGATAATTTTGATGCAAGTACATTGAGAACATCTCCGAAGACAAGTGCGAGTGATCCAGGATATCCTGCACTCACAGGCACATAGGAACATGAACAATCAGTGAACAGGAAAGAGAGAGAGAGAGAGAGAGAGAGAGAGAGAGAGAGAGAGAGAGAGAGAGAGAGAGAGGCACACACCATTGACCATTGGACGCCCATCGCCAGAGGCGATGATAGCGATGCTACAGCGGAAGCCATAGCAACTTGTGCTGGGATTGCACCATTCAACAGCTTGCAAGGCTGAAGAATTGACCACCACTATTCAGCCTGGTCTACACCACACAGCTTTGAAGTGGCTTTTTTCTGGCCAGTGAATCCCTACTTTTTGGTCTTTTTTCTTCTTTTTTCCCACACACACATCACACCACATACTCCGGCATGCACTGGCTGTTGGTAACCACCCAGGAGAATGAAAGAAAAGTCAGGAAGAGTCTGAGAAAGAGAAGAAAGACGTGTGTGACCATAATCGTCGGGAATCGAACCCGCAACCTATCGATTGGAAATCGCTGCACATACCACTGCACCATATGGGACACACACACACACACATACACACACACACACACACACACACACACACACACACACACACACACACACACACACACACACACACACACACACACACATGCAGTCACAAGACTGTTTCGACGGATGTACGGTGTCTCCTTCGCTAAAGGAATCAGGCAGAAGCAAGTCCAAGGCAACCCAATCACAATGACTGCGAGCATGCTGCTACTTGCATCGTGACACAAACTCATTAATGACCATGTGGATCCTATCACTGGGTGTGTTATTGGAGCTGATGCTGGCTGCAGTCACTCCGGAATGATTCGTCAGCGTCGCCTGCTTCGCAGTCAGGTAGAAGAGCATCTCGCGGACACAGCCCACGTTCCCGCTAGCCGCCGCCGTATGAAGTGGTGTGTTTCCGCGACTGTCACGCTCTTCGATTATCTGATCGGCGCCCGACTCCAGCAGCAGCTTGAGCAATGGCGGACTAGGAAACTGGCAGAAGTTCTTGCGCGACTTTGCGCCGCTGACGAAGGTCTTCTTGTCGCAGACCAAGTGCAGCGGTGTGTAGTTGTTGTAGCCCTTGTGCAGGACGAAACGCTGGTAGACAAAACGCTGGGCGGCCTCGCGACAGGCCACGAAGTGGTGCGGCATGGTGGACGATAGCTTGTCCCAGACATAGAGCACCGTGAGAAGGATCCGCACTGTTTTCCCACACTCGATACCGCCGAGGGGGTGGCGGTGGAGATTGCTCCAGACAACCTCGAACAGTGCCTTCACGTCGGCATCACCTTCGTTGCGTATCTGCTCCACCAGAAGTTCTGTACATGCCGTCAACGTGGATGTCACCCCCGGCGTTGTTCCCTTCTTCCCGCTGTCCATCTCCAGGCGCAGACAGTGCAGCCAGAGCTTCATGGCCTTGGCCTTGAGGCACACACACACACACACACACACACACACACACACACACACACACACACACACACACACACACACACTACTACTACTACTATGTACAGCTACCCTATCGGGCCACGCCGCTCCCAGAAGCGGGAGACAACGACAAGAAGAGAGAAGAGAAGAGAGAGAAATCGCAAAGTCAACAATATTTGGCATGGCGTTGCAAGTCCTGTGGCCTTGAGAACCGTCTTTCGCAATCACACACACACACACACACACACACACACACACACACACACCTTTGACCTTTGACGCCCATCGCCAGAGGCGATGATAGCAATGCTACGGCAGAAGCCATAGCAACTTGTGCTGGGATTGCACCATTCAACAGCTTGCAAGGCTGACGAATTGACCCTCACTATTCAGCCTGGTCTACACCATACAGCTATTTGAATTGACCTTTTCTGGCCAGTGAATCCCTATTTTTGGTCTTTTTTTGGTCTTTTTCTTTTTTTCCCGCACACACATCACACCACAATCATACTCCGGCATGCACTGGCTGTTGGTAACCACCCAGGAGAATGAAAGAAAAGTCAGGAAGAGTCTGAGAAAGAGAAGAAAGACGTGTGTGACCATAATCGTCGGGAATCGAACCCGCAACCTACCGATTGGAAATCGCTGCACATACCACTGCACCATACGGGACACACACACACACACACACACACGGTCTGGGTGGAGGGTCTGTATTGTTACTTCTTGTTTTCAAACTCGACATAAACACAACAGTTGTCAGGTCCTCGCCTCCATCTGCTTCACCTCGGAAGGGTGACAGCAGCATCCTTCTCCTGTAAAACCGGGAATTTTCGGTGGTGTAATATTTTCCGTATATCACAAAATCAACAGTTCGGTTGCGCGAACATTTCGGATCCAAAAATGCATTTTGAACACTGTGTGGCCTAGGCTTGTTGAATTTTAGGTCGCGTTTTATTTTCGGTAGAAAATAAAAATACCTGTACCGAAGTTACCGAAAATAAATCTCAACCGAATTTTTCCGGTTTTACAGTACATGGTACATCCTGTACACCAGGCACACTTCACACAAGACCGGTCCGCTGTCATGTGTATCCGTGGGTCTCGGTCGGCATACCATCGTCCAGCTAACGAGCTCAGGGAGCTGGCGGTGGTTGAAAGCCGGATCTAAACCAGTTGTGTTTTAGGGAGCATCTCATAAGTTCGCATTTTGTTTCTAAACGTAACGCATTTCGAAACGGGGGTAGGGGGGTAGCGCCCTTTTCGAATAGAAAAATGACTGTTCGCACATTTTCTGGAACTGTACAATCTACTACCGTGCTAGATCCCTGCAGCAAATGAGTGTGTTTACAGGTGGAGATCTACCTGTGTTTGCAGATCAGCTAACCCTTGCACTGCATGCATGCAGGCTACTCAGAGGTGTCAAATGTCAATCCAGCCTGATCAAACCATGTACCTGGCCAGCGTTTACAGGTTTACAGCAGTACAGTTGTTGTGGAGGAACTATGTTTATGTGCGTGTACCTGTCATTGATTGTACTTGTACTCAGTAAATGCAGTACTACTGAGTCTGTATGCCATTCACGACCGCTCTAACAAAACATTCATATTCATATCCATGTACATGTACATGTACATGACTGTACAATCATGTACATAAGCATACCATAGTATGGGGCACGGACGTGTACAGTAGATAAACACAGAAAATGTGCGAAAAGACTTTCGAATAGAGGGGGGAGGTAGGGGGGTAAAGTCTATTCGAAATGCGTTACGTTTGCAAAATAAATGCGAACTTATGAGATGCTCCCTTAGTGTAAAACTCTCGCCACTCAGGAGACATATTTTCCACACCTGTGTACTATTATTAATATTATCTTCCTATCATACCCTGGTTTCTCATCATTGTGTTGCTTTTGCCCGTAAAAGAGGCTGTTTATTTAAAAAAACCCAAAAAAAACCACTTCAGACAAGAGAATATTTTTAACTGCACGGAAGCTTACCTCAGCCTGCGCCAGCGCAGGCTGTCTGGCCTGGGAATGGAGATGTGATGGTAGTTGAGATGAATCATCCTTGCCACCGGTATCACCTGTACCACACAGGGAGACGGGCATCTCTGCTCTGCTTACACGTAGAGCAAAACATGATCTGCCGATGTACTATGCAACACTATTATTGATATAGCCGCATGGAGAAATAAAACTACTTTTGTAGCTCACAACTTTTATTTTGAGTTTGCAGTTGTTGACTTTGCACCGCAAGAAAAGTAAATGAAAGTTTGTTCCCCACTAAAGTTTTAACGGAGCCAATGTGAATACTGGACTGTGCACAGGCTCAGGACACTGTGCAGCCCCAGACCTGTGAACACTGGGCCGTACACTGCCACTGGTTCAGGGCGCTAACTTATTCAAGCGATGGGATGTCATTGAGCACGACTGTACACTGTACTGGTCCAGTACATGTATTCTACACTCATACATACATGTACGCAGGGTCAAAGGCTCTGCCCTACATGGGTATTGAGCACTCTTCGGACAGTGAAGCAAACCACTTGACTACGTGTACGCAGGGTAATACAGCCACTGTAAAGAGCTCCTGGCACAGCTTGGAATAGTCCAGGTCAAACACCATTATCAGATACACCAGGTTATACTAACGACTAAGTAATACAGAGTTCGGGCACTTTCAAAGAATGCCAAATTGACATTGGTCACACTGAGCATCCACTGCTAGCAGAACGATGATGGCTAGCTTAGACATGCACAGGAGGACTGAGCACACACTACATGAGTGTCAGAGTGACATCTCACAGACTGAGCACACACACACACACACTACATGAGTGTCAGAGTGACCTCTCACAGACTTACGCTTGCAGTAGAGTACTTTGCCCAGCGCTCTGAACAAGAACAGCGCCATATCACGACCGCCGACAGATACACCATCACTGGTGGCAGACACCATGGAGCAACAAAAACAAAAGAACAGGACAGAAGAGGAAACTCAAAGCAATGGCAATGCACACATGCAGCACGTATACACACAGACAAAGACACAGGCATCCTCAATTGATCATGAAACAAGTCCCCCCCCCCCCTCTTGCAAATTAACATGAAGCTACAGGACTGCACTACTACAGTGCTGGCCAAAGAAATCCAACCTCATGAATTAAAATAGCGCCGGGCACTGTGCAGCCCTAGCACTACACACACTGGTCTGTGCACTCAAACACGACGCTACTTTATTCATGAGGTTGGATTTCTCTGGCCAGCACTGCACTAGTAGTAGTAGTAGTAGTAGTAGTAGTAGCACTAGGAAGAGCACATCGAGGCACACACACACACACACACACACACACACACACATACACCCACACACTACACACACACACACACACACACCGCTCAGTATGCATCATGTACTGAGGTACTGGATGGCATTGCAGGGTTCTAGCCAAAGGGGCGAGGGAGTGCAGCACCTAACTACTCTGCTTGTGCAACCCCTGTTCATTTTGTGTATTCCAGTTCTCACAACTACGAGTAGTAGCAAGAGTACATAAACCAGAGTGTGCAACTCGGGATGGTTCCTGTGGGAGCGTAATTCGTGCACTACGTCATTTCTGACGGCATGGTAAGCCACAGGTACGGTGAAAAGTTGCGTAACCAGTCGCGGTGGTGCAGGTCACTGAGTTTGTCCTGATTTCGGTTTTTTGATACGGATAGCCTGGTGACTTTACTTGTCGGTGGATGTGGCAGCGTACACAGTCACACAAAACACCGAAATCCTGAAACAGGATGTCTAAAATCAAGCAAACTTGGCTGATTTCCGGGCTATGAAACATGAAAATTTGAGCTGTACGCAAGTCGCGGCTTGGCTGACCTCATCAGGGTGACGTAGTGCACGAACTGCGCTGTTTCAGATCTGATATGCACAGTTGCACACTCTGGTTTATGTACTCTTGGTAGTAGTAGTAGTAGTAGTATTGACATATCCGCGGCAAGCCGCTTATGTACAACGGCATGGGAGAGGATAACAAAAAATGAAAATATATTGTTGGGGAAATCCACGCTATTATCGAATATTCAACAATGACGGGTGTGGGGTTATACCAAAATCCCATAATGTGGAAACTACGAGTAAAATGTGGCAAAATGTGCACGCTGCGCCCGTACATTGTATTTTGTGTCATGAGCAAAAATTCAAAATTAGAAAATGGACAAACTGTCTATTTCCTCTGCTCCCTACTATTTTCTCCTGGCCAGAGCCCTGGCATTGGCCGATCATAATAATATAAATTAGAATACAATGAAGGCAAAGCTTACGCTGTGGACACTGCTGATGTTGCCTGGCCGCGTGTGGCACTGGGACGACTTGATAAGGATGCTGACGCGGATTTCGAGCCGCGACTCGACGATGAATGGGATAAAGCATTGGCTTTGGCTGCATGAAGCTGGCCACGTAAATCCCGCGTGTCTACACGAGATCAGGAGAGAGAGAGAGAGAAAGAGAGAGAGAGAGAGAGAGGGGGGGGGGGGAGAGAAGTAGAGAGAGGGAGACACACATACGCATACACACATACACGTGCGTGCACACACACACACACACACACACACACACACACACAAGCAAGCAAGAAAGAGACAGGCAAAGAAGTCAAAAGAGAGTTAGTTCACGCAGGAGGAGAGGGACATCTTCAATCAAATCCTTGGAATGGGCAGAGACCAGCAGCCCACATATTCTTTCACAACGATACGGCGTCAGACTGCTACACAATTTCTAGTGCTATGCAGGATGTGTACCATGATCACTAAGCTACAATATGTGTGCTCTTTTAGCAGCTCCTGACATGAACGTTTCGCGAACTCCCGCTCTGCAGAACCGCTCTAGCAATGATGTGTTGACAGTGTGATCCAGCCCCTATTTTGGCACTTTCATCGATGTTACGTTTGAAACTGCATGCATTGTGGCTGAGAAGGCCGTTCCGAAGAAGAATGGAAATCCGATTCTGGCCATGACGGTGACCAACATAACACCAAGGTAGGGGAGGGGAGTTACGCCATGTTGTGATGGAACAAACCAATTTAGTTGACTGACCTCGCCTGCATGCAAACTGCAGCGAGTTGACTGCGCTGCGAACGTCACCGCATGATGACGCCGCGAGACCTTCAATCGATGCCTTGTCCAGCGACGCCTTGGAGCTCTCCGCGGATGCTATGCGCGTCAGACACTTGACCAGGCTGGTCTGGGCGACAGGATTGAAGCTGAGCATGTGTGCGCGCGCACACACACACACACACATACACACACACACACACGTGCGCGCGCATACACACACACGATGTCACAGTGAACAGTTTAGATATATTCCTTATCGAAATACCAGCGATGCTGGCAGAACAAGACAGTATGATAGTACAACAGAGTGTCAGAGTGTCTCTTTTGCAACAGTCCCCCTGTAGCCAGGTCACAAGGTAACCAGCTATCAATTCTCTGACACAGTGTACAATGTATGCCTAAAAAAAGGAAGGGGTAGCTAAAAGACAAAATAGTGTAACCGTTTTTTCTAGGGGTGTCAACGGGGAGTACGGTACCCGTGCTGCTCGTAATTAGAGCTGGTATTCGGGTAGCAGTTTGCTCCTGAGAACCCGATTGGGTAGTTGTAGTACGGTGTTTTCGCAACGGTGCATGTAAGAAGCATGGTTACGTGCTTATCGTACACTTTCTATGTAGTGCAAATGCACACTCACTGTACAAACTATGTCAAAATTACCCGATAGGGTACCCGTACTACCCGGATCAAAATACCCGAATTCGTTACCCGACCAAGCCCCTACCCGTTGCAGCCCTAATTTTTTTCAATGGAACTGAGCCCCAAGACACGCCTATCATCACTGAGAATAGTACAGACCAGCGAGAACGTGAGCACTCTCTGGTATGTACACCATGGAAACTGGATCAACCCGGGCACAAGTGGTAGTTTTGATGTCTTTTTGGACGAAATCCCCAAACAATTAATCGATGTTGGAAAGGAAAGTTGTTTGCCAGGAATTAACGAATGGCAATCGCATGATTACTATTAATATTACTACTAACTACAGTTGTGCAGGAGATAAGTGAGTTGTCCACCGTGGCTTCCACCCAGCCACAAGCAGCTTATGCAGTGTACACCAAACGTTCTCCGGCACAAGTGGTCATTCATCGCCCGCACAATGCCAGGCGTTGCCTCGCACCTCGAGCAGCTGGAGTCCACCATCTCCGAGTCGTTTATTCCCGCTCTTCTTGGTCGTCCCCAGCCCGGAGAGACGGAACGCCAAGTTCTCGCGCTCCCAAGCCGCTACGGAGGCATGGGGATTGTCTCCCCAGTATCCCTTGTGAACCAGTTTCCTTCCTCCCTTACCATCACCGAGAGCTTAGTTCAGCGCATTTTGAGCCAGGATACACTGCCACAGGAGGAGGCGGACAACACCAGGGCAGCCAAAGCTAAAGCCAGGGCAGACGCCAGAAAGACGGAGCAGCGTCATGCCAAGGAGGTGTACGATGGCGTGGATGGAGACCTGCAGAGGTCCATGGATCTTGCGGCTGAAAAGGGTGCGTCGAACTGGCTCACCTGTCGATCACTCAAGCATCATGGGTTCTCGCCACACAAGGGCGCGTTTCGAGATGCTGTCTGCCTCCGCTACGGGTGGACTCCGCCCCACCTCCCCCCAGAGCTGTGCCTGTGGAGCTGCCTTCACTGTCCCGCACGCCTTGTCTTGCCCAGTAGGTGGCTATCCGTCTCTGCGGCACAACGAGCTGCGGGACTTGACCGCTACCATGCTCACATCAGCAGCTTATGATATCAGCATTGAGCCACGCCTCCAGCCGTTATCTGGTGAGAATTTTCATCACCGGACGGCTATCCGTGAGGATGGTGCCATGCTTGATGTTGCTGCCAGCGGGGTTTGGGGTGGCCGGTTTGAGCGAGCTTTCTTTGATATTCGGGTGTTCAACCCTCATGGTCGCTCGAACTCGGTCCACTCCATCCCCGCCGCATACGCAAAACACGAGCGTGAGAAGCGTCGGCATTATGAGGAGCGTGTTCGCGAGGTGGAGCATGCCACCTTCGTTCCCCTCGTATTCAGTGCCACCGGAGGCCAAGGCAAGGCGGCAACTGCCCTTTACAAGCGGCTCAGACTGATCATCAGCAACAAGAGGAATGAGCCTTACTCCATCACAATGGCATGGATTAGATGCAGTTTGGGGTTCGCCCTTCTTCGCTCGGCCATTGTGGCCTTCCGAGGACACCGGTCCCGGAGCAGAGTTGCAGTAGCTCAACCATCATCGACTGAACTGGTGGCTGCTGCATGCAATTTGCATTTCTGAACTGCGGCATGTGCGTAGAACTCAAACAAACATGTACGCACTGCACTGACTGTCTTTAAAGCTTTGTAATTGTTCTTATCAAGTCTTGCTCTAATATGTAGTTTATTTTGCCCGTAAAAGAGGCAGTGGTGAAGACTAAAAAAAAGATTAAAAAAGGATAGACTCGGATGAAGAGCCAAGGATTAATTTATAGTAAAGAAAAAAGACCAAGGAACTACAAGTTACGCGATAATGTCCACTAACACCACCAGTTACTACCGTCGGTCAGTGTCGTGCAATGTTATCGCATGAGCTGATTGTTTAGTAACTGGTGGTGTTAGTGGATATTATAGCATAACTTGTAGTTCCTTGGTCTTTTTCTTTACTATAAATAAATCCTTGGCTTTCCATCCGAGTCTATCCTTGCACAACTGTAGTTAGTAGTAATAATAAAATGTGATTGCCATTCATTAATTCCTGGCAAACAACTTTCCTTTCCAACATCGATTAATTGCTAGGGGATTTCGTCCAAAAAGACACCAAAACTACCACTTGTGAAGTACTATAAACTAACTTCAGTAGTAGTGCTTCGGAATGACAACACCTAGAATACATGTACATGTACCCCTAACACCCACCCCTAACACCCACCCCTAACACCCACCCCTAACACCCACCCCTCATTACCAGCCTATTATGAACTTACTGGATACTATTGATGCCAATCTGGCCAAGTATCCTCTCTGGAAACAATTGAGCCGTGGATATGTCTGAGCGAGGACTATCCGATGCCACAAACACCAGCGGACTGCAGCCAAGCTTGGCATAGTCTCTGCAAAGCACATAGCAATAACACAAACAAGGGCAATCATGCTCAGTAGGATAGGCGCGGATGCATGCACGTGTGTGTGTGTGTGTGTGTGTGTGCGTGTGTGTGTGTGTGTGTGTGTGTGTGTGTGCGTTTGCGTGTGTGTGTGTGGTACATGGTGTGTGTGTGTGTGTGCACGTGTGTTACGCGTGAAGTCATTGTTAAGAATAAGAGTGTGTGAATGGCCCATGGAAAACAAACACTTGACACACACGACTACATACTTGGTATTCTTTTCAGAAACTCCAAAAGCTCAGAGCCAGAAAGATGCCAACATGTTTTAGCTCCACTTGGCACTTACCCAAGTATGCTGTGAAGAAGACTGGGCTGCCGATACAGAGCGTTGGGTAGTTCCTACAACAGATCATGAAACCAGCACCACCAGAAACAAAGTCCCATCAAGTCAACTCATCCACAGTGTAAACAAACAGAGTCATCAAAGTCTAACAAAACCGGAGATGAAGCAAAGGAAATTAGTAACACAAGCCTTGAAATCTTTAAAAAAGAACTTATCACTACATGCATACCCTTCAGCAAGAGTGCTTTTTTTCATGTCCAGATTACTAGCATACCATAGGCAGGCAAACTCTCGCTCAAAGCAAGGGCCATTTGAGTGTGGCCATCAGAACTGTACCTCGATCATCAGAACTCGCCGCGCATTGCCCGCTCCTGCCAGGCCCTTCAGCGCTATGGAGCCGTACTTGTTGGCCCGCAGCAGGAACTCACGGAAACTCTGCACTTCCGACTCGTACGGCATAGCGTCACTGTCACCGCCACCACCTGCAGGAGGAAGGGACATTGAAATCAGTATGGCTACGAGTACATACAGGAAGGGCAGTGAGAGATACAAGTGTACTCTATTCCTAATACATGTACACTCAAACGCCTCTTATCCGGACGCCTCAGATACGGGCACGTCTCTCTACCGGGCACCTTCAGCTTGAGGGCCTATAGCACAAATGCTTCGAATTTGGGGTTTTTGAACTTTTTTCCGTGTGTGGAAGTGCTTATGTTTCACTGCCAACCTATGTAATCCCCACATTTTTATCAATGGGTTCCCTTTGTATCCTCAACATGTGCAATACGTGCCAAATAAACTTCTTCAAAAAATGATATCATACATGGTAGGTGAGTTATTCTGAGATACGGGCAAATCTGAGATACGGGCAGTGCCCGGTCCCAAGGTGCCCGGATAAGAGACGTCCGAGTGTACATGTAACAGTTGCATGCATACAGATGTTCGTGCATACAGAGGCAGCAAAAGCAACAAATATCTACAACAAGAGCACCTGATCACTCCCGGACAAACTAACAGACTAAATAACTCACGAGATGACTGCCAGCTACTGGAGATAGTTGGGTTCTGCCATTCATGCAGGTCGGCATGGAGAGAGCGGCATAGGACTTGCACTGTTGTGGATTTACCACAGCCGGCCGGGCCTGTCAACAGTGTGATTGGAGGTACCCAGTTCGCCTGACAGGAGGAGAGACACACAGAAAATAACCATGGCACGGGGTTTTAGAACAAAAGCCCACCGCCTTGTAGTCCTACAGCACCCTGTTGGAGCTCTATTCCTTAGCTCCCTTCCTTGGATGAGCATGAACACATCGCATGCACGATGGACAATTCAGGGTGTAGCAGACTACAAGCAACAGGTGCTAAAGCCACCTCAACTCTCTCCGACTTCGAGCAAACAACCATTCCTCCCACAGTGGGAGTTTCAGGGGAGATAATTCTACTGTTCGAATTTGGGTTCACAGGTTGCTCAGGGCATGCTTTAAATCCAAATACCCCAGGCTAGCACCTTTCCAGACTACAGTTAGTATACGCTTGTGGGTTTCACCAAGAGTACATAACCCCCCAGAGTGCGCCAGTTCACTTATCAGATCTGGGACGGCGAAATCCGTGTTCCACGTCATAATAATGACATCATGAGTAGGGGCAGTGTGGACGTGGTACACCGCGTCGATGGAATGAGGCAAGTCCGACGCAAAAAATGACGTACATCACGGATTACGCCGTCTCACAACCCCATCCCAGTTGCGCACTCTGGGGGTTATGTACTCTTGGTTTCACCAACAGTATACAGAGAACAGCATAACAGTACAGTATAGTGCTGTACTCTGTATACTGTAGTACAAAGTACAGCACAACAGTATACAAAGTACAGTGCAACAGTATAGCGAGAAGAGGTTGAGTACATACACTGCCACGCTTTGTTGAAAAAGTCCGCTCCAACCAGTGCTGCACGTCTTCGATCTTCTTGCGGTGCACTGCCAGGTCATCCTAACGGCAAAGACAGACCCACATCATCAGTCAGGATATGATGTCATTATTAGTCAGGATATGATGTCATTATCAGTCAGGATAATGATGTCATCATTAGTCAGGATAATGATTTCATTATTAGTGAGGATATGATGTCATCATCAGTCAGGATATGATGTCATCATCAGTCAGGATATGATGTCATCATGAACACATCCGCCCTTCCCCAAGACGTATCGGCGGCTTGACCAGAAAACCTACAGTGGTGGCAGCTGAAATCCAACCCCAGCTTGGTGCGCTCACATTGGCAAAAATCCAGTACGCGCTTGCACACTACCAAATAGAGACGGCTAGAATCGGTGCTGCATTCGAGCACGAAAACCTGGCGTTGGATTTCAATTGTCACCACTATAGTTTGTCTCCGCACCTTCACTCAGTCACTGCTATGAAAAAAGGATGAACGTTTCTTGAGCTATCAGTTATCGCCTTCTTGGTACTCAAGTACATGTAGCGATGACCACAGGTTCAGATGCTCAAAAGCATTCAATACTGATGAAAACTAACCAGTGTCTTCGGCTTGTGCTTGTCACACCATGTCAGCAGTGAGCCAGAACCTACGCATGCACGCACGCACACACACGCACACACGACATAGGAAGAAGAGCAGAGTTTCACAGTACAATGAGCATAAGCCCTATAGGGCACGGAGCAGCACAAACCTAGGACGAAATGGACAGCTGCCTCTCACAATAAGTGTCCGTGCCTACGAGTCCCTCGTTTGTCACCAGTATGGACATTTTCATTACCCTCTGGTACATGTATTCACAAGGGGTAGCCGCTATCACAATATTTACTGCGGAAACAGCATGATGAAGCACCGAATGGTGAAAATCGTCCGTACAAGTGGAGTGCAGGCACCACCGCATCAGTTCTATCAAGCACCACACGTGTTACCAGGTAGCAGCATCTCTTGCTTGTCTCACCTTTGCCAGCTGTAGAGTTCAGCTTGGAAGCAGTGGTGGCTGGCTTAGGGGCATTGGCTGGCGCCGTGGCTGAAGTGCTGCCAAATGATGAAGTGACCCATGACGACACCACTCTCTGAGACGATGGCTAAAGAAACAAAACAAGAGGGGAAGTGCGTGAGAGTGTGTGAGAGTGTGTGAAGGCGATGATGCACAGCGCAGACAAAATGAAATACTCGCCCTAGTAGTAAGTTCAGTGTACGAAAAACTATCGCTGGGTACAGGAGAACAGAAGATCAATAGAGGAAGTCCAAATCAGAACTACACTGTCTAAAACCAATACCACAAGGAGACAGTACCTGGGAGAGTTTGGTGGAGGAGTGGCGAGAATCAGCCAGGTCAACATCAACTGGACCATCACAACGCAAACAGTACACAACAAACACATTCATCAGGGTGGTTGTTTGGAGGGAGAGAGAGAGAGAGAGAGAGAGAGAGAGAGAGAGAGAGAGAGAGAGAGAGAGAGAGAGAGAGGGAGAAAGAGACGGAGAGAAGTTTGCCAGATCGATCACAAATGGTTTGGGAAAAGTCACGCAGATTTGAAGGATCCATTGCTGCCACCTGCTGTTGTTTGTTTCTCACCGGACAAAACACAGTGCACTGTGTGAATTGGGCCAAGCCACGCCTACTGATAAAGTGATAACATGCAATATGCAACACTGCACGGTGAACACACCTTTGGATTTCCGTGTACGCTTGGCAGGTGGCTTTGATCTGTTCAAACGCAAAAACAAACATCCACAACAGGCATGCAGCAAAAAAAAGAAAAAAAGGAGATTTCACTGCACCCATCTTGGAAGACAGAACATGGCTAAAGTCACCCACACATACGTATGCCTGACGCATGTAAATAGAGACATGTTCAGTGTAAGGATATGATGGGCTACCAGCTGAACAGGCAGTCCTAAGTTAGTGCAAGTCACACACACACACACACACACACACACACACACACACACACACACACACACACACACACACACACACACACGCGCGCACACGCACGCACACACACCTTGAGTTTCTACTTCACACGTACAAAATATCTACATAAACTCACGCTATCTCAACCACATCGAAGTCTTCGTCCACATCCACATCTTTCCTTCCTCTTCTTCCGAGCCCTGCACACAGTGTTACAGCGCTACACGCATCAGCGGTGACGCCAAGAGGTAAGAGTGCGCAACTGGTTGCACACGGGATCTCCGGTGGCAAAAACTCACATTGAGTGATACACAATCACTGCAGTTACATCCCGTATATACAGTGCAACAGAGGCCAGTTTATAGTTCTGCCATAGACTTCGTTTCCTTTCCTCCTCCAGTTCTACTGGTTTACACGCATTATTCACTTGAAAGTAAGAGTGGCGAGGCTTCCCGCAGTTTCACATAAGAAACATTGTTCAGAGAGCACACCTGCTCCTTTCCAGTTACCCTGCCATTATCCAACTCGTTTCTGGTATACAGTCGACGTTTTACAATGTTTTGGCAAAATTGCCCTCATCATCAGGTCTGCAGTGGTGTGCAAGCTTCCCAATGACCAGTTACTAGCATAAACTGGTAGTATAATGCTTTGATGATGTGTGGCACTAGCTGTGACATGATAGCTATGATGCAAAAATTAACAACGCCAACATGTACCGTAAAAGTCCGTAAATAAGTACGTATTTACTTTCGAATTTAGTGACCACACCCGTACTAACTTTCGGGCGGGTACTGACTTTCGGGCACGAACTAACTTTCGGACCTGACTTGTGTGTAGTGGAGAAGTCATTTTCATGTCGATGTACATGCTACGTGCAGCATGTGCGCATCGTACCGGTACTTATTTCGGGCAGTATGTTTATCGGGCTTGACTTGACTTCAACAGACAGAGCCAAAAGAATGAAGGGGGTATTTCTTTCGGGCAGGTACTTATTCACGGACTTTTACGGTAATGCCAATGTAACGACGTGTTGATAAATTAGTGTACTTGTACTAGCAAGATAGTAGCAAGGGAAGGCGACAGGGCAAGCACGAAGCTGAAGGCAGTGGAGGTACGAAACTTGGGACCACAGATAAACACTAGCGCTGAATGGACACTGCTATGAATAGGACAGCTCCCTTCTACTCCAGTATCATGTAAAACTACAACGCAGCGCGATACTCACGCTTCTATTTTACATACTTGGCTGATGTTTGACATTAGTTGCTAGAGTTTGCTACATCGTACATCGTAATTGGCACTGATGTGTGTGTGTGTGTGTGTGTGTGTGTGTGTGTGTGTGTGTGTGTGTGTGTGTGTGTGTGTGTGTGTGTGTGTGTGATTATGGTCACACACGTCTTTCTTCTCTTTCTCAGACTCTTCCTGACTTTTCTTTCATTCTCCTGGGTGGTTACCAACAGCCAGTGCATGCCGGAGTATGTGGTGTGATGTGTGTGCGGGAAAAAAGAAAAGAAAAAAAAATGAAAAAGACCAAAAAAGGGATTCACTGGCCAGAAAATGTCACTCCAAATAGCTGTATGGTGTAGACCAGGCTGAATAGTGACGGTCAATTCTTCAGCCTTGCAAGCTGTTGAATGGTGTAATCCCAGCACAAGTTGCTATGGCTTCTGCCGTAGCATTGCTATCATCGCCTCCGGCGATGGGCGTCAAAGGTCAAGGTCAAAGGTGTGTGTGTGTGTGCGCGCGTGCGTATGTGTGAGGTTGCTTGTGACCTACATGAATTTATCACCACATCATTACTTTGGCACCAAACGTTGGTATTTCTAGTTTGTTTGAGCACAGCTAACATGCCACAGCACTGTGACAGCAGGTGTGATGTGTCAGAAAATACACTATATAATTGCTCCTTTGTCGGCTTCCACACCATTACAAATCTGATGATGGCGATGTTGCTGAGACACTGTGGACAATTGAAATGTCTACTGAAGTAAAAGAAAGGAGTTGGATGATTGCAGGATAACTGGGAAAGAGCAGGTCTGCTCTTAACCCAGATGGACTGCCACATCCCTGATAGCTTTTGCACTCCTCAGACAGACAGACAGACAGACAGACAGACAGACAGACAGACAGACAGACAGACAGACAGACAGACAGAGAGAGAGAGAGAGACAGAGAGAGAGAGAGAGAGAGAGAGAGAGAGAGAGAGAGAGAGAGAGAGAGAGAGAGAGAGAGAGAGAGAGAGAGAGAGATAGAGAGAGAGAGAGAGAGAGAGAGCACAAGTTGTCCTGTAAGAAGGAGCAGCACAGCAGTTACACTGTGACTAACCTGCTGAAGACGACGATATCAGCGAAGACTGTGAAGAAGCAGTGGAGCGGCGTGTACTACCGGAGCGGGATGAAGTTGTTCGCAGTGCAGAAGAGCGTCTGGATGAATTGGACATCCTGTGTGGGGAACAAGAACATCCACTGGCGCTATGAGCATGCTAACAGTGAGTAACTAGCACACGCCATAGCGGCATACCGGTATTACTGATAACTTATACGTACAGTGCTGCTCAAGTGTACTCCGGGCAGTGTCAGTCAGCTAGAGCCAGCTGCAGACTGGCAAACACTGGGCTGTGCCCCGGCGCAGGGCGCTAACTTATTCATGTGCCCGGATTTTTCACTGAGCATGACCGTAGCTGGCGTGCGTACAAGCAGCACCAACAGGGCAGTATGCGGAACGAGCATTTAACCTGAGGGTAAATCCACAGTAACAAGCATTGGTTTTATTCATGAGTTGAGGTAAAATTTGAGACATAGAGAGCTTTTTCGAGGTTGTACCAACGGTCACTTTTCGGGGCCACGTGCGAGAAATTTTGAATCGCTGGTGAACAGGCGAAGCCCGGTTCACGTTCACTTTGTATGGGAATGGATGTGTCGAGGTGAAAGAAGCAGTAGAATGGCGCTCCACTTGATGTCCGACACCGCGTTGAGTCAGAGCAGTTGCCAGGAAGCCCTTCCATGACTTGGGCGAAAAAGAACAAGCTTCAGAATCGTTCCGAGCGCTGGTGGAGACCAACCTGTCACATTTCGTATACTTTTCAATGCATTTTGACATGCGACCTGTTCACCACAATCTCGGGGTGATTGCCGGGGCGGTGGCGGGAAAGGCGTCCTTGAAAAAGCTCTATTCCAGGCTTTTCTTCATGTGCTAAGCGTAGGTTACTAGTACGCATGTTTGCCTGGTGTGCATGCTCTGCTGGCTGGCGCGCAAATGTTGTGGTCATAGTCGCAGCTGGTTCAGTGTCTTTCCACATAAACTATGACATTACCCCCTTCCACCAGCTATTTTGACCTGGCTAGAACCCTGATATGGTGTGGCGAGTATAATCGTCATGTATTGTACATGTGCACACACAACCTCCTGATTGTTCAACATGGCAGAGACTAAGGTCATACTGATCAGACTATTGCTGTGAATTTTCTACCACAATCGGATAGAAACTGCACTGATTCCTTCTTCTTTTTTGGAGTAAATTGTATTTGTATCACTCACCGTTCAGGTAGTTATGTCCACGCCAATACTATTAATTTTATTAAGTGAACCACCTTTCAGCAAATAATTGGAGGCAGCTTCGAAGTCCTTTCAATTCAAACTCATCAGCTACTGACTCCAAGTCCAAATCTCAAGACAAAATATTTGCCACGACGTCTACACTAGGTCTATTTACTAGCAATTGTACTACCAGTGAGATGTTTTGGAATGCAATCAAATCCAAACTCGACTACGCAACTCGTTTCTCTGATGTTTTAGCTGGTGTTGTGATTTTCTTCCTCACCAGTGCAGTATCACCAGTTCAGCACTCGGCAGCTCAGAACCAACAAGCTTCTTTCTACTTTTCAAAGTCAGCGCGCTGAGCATGCACTGCTCGTCACCACACACGTCACCGGTAGGGGAGCACAAAAAAACACGAGAGTACACAGAAAAAAGTGTACAATCAATCATGTCAAGAGTAGACCCAGGTGCTCGAAGTCCGTACATGGTATCCTAAGTTCGTACGCCCATAATTTCGTGTTCTGTTATTGTATTCGACTCAAATATTTTATGGAGGGGACAGTGTGGTATGTTCTCCTCGCGTACCAATTTTCAGGGATCTACGATCAGCAGAAGTCCCATACCACGGGAGTGGGTTTTCGAGTGTCCATACGAAATACAAATTGGGTTACATTTCATGCAAAAATCAACTTTGCCAAGACCGATTTCGAACGGACACAGCGTCAAACAGACCTTCACTCAATCATCAAGAGCCAGCTTAGAGCTGACAATGGCCAGAGGAGAAGAATTTACAGAGAACCACCAATCCTTGCAGAAAGGTTGACACTCCTGGCATCTCCACCACTGTTTTCCCGCGGTTTTCACAGCGCAGCTGCTTCTTCTCTGAGCCGACTAAAAACAGCTTGCATTTCGGCAACAAGCTACGCTTTTGCAAGAAATACCGGTGGAGGCACATGCCAAACATATCCCTTCGGTGCTTTCGTCGTAACCGAGGGATTGCAAGTTAGCAATTAGCAGAAATATGTGTGTATTTCGAGTCACCTCTGATCAGTACGGACTTAGAGTACCCTCTGCGACACCAAAATTTGATATGAAAAATGAGCGAACTCCAGAGAAACAGATCGGATCGAAAGATGGCCTGGTTCAATCGAGCCTGGCCTCAAAACAAACTTGGACAAGATACCTTCCATCCACGAGCAGGATTCTGGCAAGTGATCATTGCTAGTGTGAGTTTCAGCTCGGCAAACACACACTGTAAACGTGTACGGACTTCGAGCACCTGGGTCTACTCTTGATCATGTACATGTACATAATGTACCAAATAAATTGTTTGAAATATTCAAGTACTATTACCCTTACAGTATTAGTTTCAATCTCTGTACTGTGTGATGCTCTGCCAACAAAGCCGCACGTCTTAGAGAATCTCCTCCACACTGGCTAGCACTCTGAGTCGTTCGAAGGTGACATCGCGTTTTAGCAGTAGGATCACTGGATCAGGATCTAGGATGGGACACGGTTCATTTAGAAGGATAAATAACTCAGTCCACGTCGAGACCTGATGTGACCGTTCCACAAGCTGCTGGGCATCCACTCATTGTCATAGCTTCATCAGACGTCTACGTCTCACCAAGAGCGGTTCGCTGCAATCGTTGGAGTCTTTGCAAAGTTTTAGTGTGATGGAACTATGGCCTGACAGAAGCAATGGCCAATGCTGAAACAAGTTTCATAGAAGGCGACGTAAGTTTGCTGAGTAAAGTTTGTAACATACTTGGAAAGATCCACTTACAAAACAAAAACTGTTCAGGTCTTGGAAGTATGTACCATGTGTCAAGAGAATTATTGTACAGGTACCTCGTGTGTTATGTAGGAAAATCTTGGTGCAGGCCTATTATTTAAACATTATGTCTACTTGTACAACGATAGAGTGTATGTCAGGTCAAGAATGCTCAAATACTCAATTCCGACCCAAAGGGCATACTTGCGGCCCTCCACTTTCACGGCCCCTGACGCCCTGGAAGTGGTACGAATGCGGCTGCACGTACACATCTACCAGTACAGTGATGAAATCGAAGCTGGTCCAGAGCGTCAGTTTTGCACTGCGGGTCAGATTTCAGTGAGCGCAACTGTAGAACCAAACTTTGCTGGCCTCAACATGAATATGCCACCTGGCCATGCTCATCATAAACGTCCCGGCTAGCCTCTCTTTTCCACACATGCTGGGTATGCATTCGAACTGAAGAGCAGTCCAAAGAACTATGATCACTGCATTGATGAAATGATTGTGCTCTGTGTGTGCTTGTGTGTGTGTGTGTGTGTGTGTGTGTGTGTGTGTGTGTGTGTGTGTGTGCGTGTGCGTTTGCGTGTGTGTGTCTCTCTCTCTCTCTCTCTCTCTCCTCCCTCCCTCTCTCTCTCTCTCTCTCTCTCTCTCTCTCTCTCTCTCTCTCTCTCTCTCTCTCTCTCTCTCTCTCTCTCTCTCTCTCTCTCTCTCTCTCTCTCTCTCTCTCTCTCTCTCTCTCTCTCTCTCTCTCTCTCTCTCTCCATGTTCAGAGCGTATTTGAACAGCCTGGTGAGTCCGGTGGTGACGCCAGGAATAGCTCCAGTAAGTTTTGCTGTACTGCAGATAGTACTCTTCCACTTTCCCTATGTTTGGCAATGTGCAGCAACAGGACTACATGCAGGTCATGCAGGGTCGTGTGAAGCATGGCTTTCTCACTCAGGTGCCAGGCACTGTGTCCATGGGGCGTCGGAGCTCATTTCCGGTCACTCTCATTCATCTGATAAGCGTATATCCTGGCAGTTGCCATGGCTACAAATTCAACTGCTTGTACTCCACCGTGTGGGTCTGCAGCTTTGTGTACACATACTTCTATCAGTCAAGCAGTGTAAAGTTAAAGCTGGTGGGCTGCAGACTTCTGGTTGGCAGTTCGTGCATTTCATTTTCGTTCGTTTTTGAAGCATGCTGTTGTTAAAATTGGTCTACCTTGCATTGTTCATATTGTGATTGTTTTTGTTCTGAAGATCCAAGCAGTATACAGGGGCTTAGCAATTCCGAAGCACTGTCTTTGCTACGCTACCATCTGAAGAAGGATGTTCTTGAATGGCATCGCGATGACACTGTTGGGCCAGCATCAACACGAGCTGGACCTTGGCGTCGGCTTCGAGAGTACTGCCGTGAACTGCAGCTGTATGGGTGTAGCTTCGGCTTTCTTTTCCTGTCCATGCTGCTATTGGCTGTCGGTGCCGGCACAGTGCAGCATTATCAGTGAGTTGCCCTTGCACGTATGCACATGCTCACACACGCACACATGGACACACACACACACACACACTGTGACACACACACACACACACACACACACACACACACACACACACACACACACACACCATACCCCAGGTTCAGGAGATACAGCACTGTGCTCTAAATGCTATGAATTCTCCCGCTTTGCTCTGTACGTTTTATTCACATCTTGTAATTTTGTGTTTTGGGGCTGCCTGAAAATTGGTCTAGTTGATTATCTCCGTACGTGTGATTTACCACATGTCTGCAACGTTGAAAAAAATCTTTCCGTTCTTGCCCAGTTCTCGCTGTTGCGTCTGTGATGGCCGAAAATGTTTTCAGCTCAGTGCCTTTGTTTTGTGTGCAGGGTTGCCGTGATTGTTCAGGCGGTAGTGGTGGTCGTATTGACCATCCTGTCCATTGTGCACAGCTCACTGAGCTATCGCTGGAAGAACACTGAGGTGCTCAACAAGGTTACGTCCTTTCTAGATTGGGTCAAAGGTAAGGTTGTCACGTTAAAGGGGCACTCCGGGAATATTTTCGGTGGTGTGTTCTCTTCATGGGTGCCTTGTATGGCCCCCAAGGAATGGGGAATCGCGAAAACTAGACCCAAAAAGTCGATATATGAAGCCAGGGAGGGCCAAGTTTGTCTCCTCTTTTGATGGTTTTGATGACGTCACGTGTGATTAGTATTCAAATTCTCTGCATTTGAAGATCTTAGTTGTTTGAATTTTCTGGTGATGAAGAACGATGTTTGGTCGACATTCCCAAGCTTCACAACTGCGGACCTACTCTAAGGAACCTGAAGGACCCTCTGAGGTGCCCCTGGTAGAAGCGCAGCCTGATGAGGGCCAGGAGATTGGAGCGGACGACTTCACTGGTCCGCGTACGAGGATCCCGAAATTCTCTATATGTCGTGAGGCATATGGTCAGAACAGTTTTTTTAGACAAGCTGACACGAAGTCGGGGTGATGTGTAACGCACGTCAAAGGGCTGTCAATGCTAACAGCTGCAGCGCTCTCTCGACAGCGAAGGTAATCGACTGCCCTCTGCATCACCCCACATTTCTGGCAGGAACACCAATCGTTATTTCCTTGTCGACCAGTGAAGTCGTCCGCTCCAATTTCCTGGCCGTCATCAGGCTGCGCTTCTACCAGTGGCACCTCAGGAGGTCCTTCAGGTTCCTTAGAGTATGGTCGCAGTTGTGAAGCTTGGGAATGTTGACCAAACATCGTTCTTCATCACCAGAAAATTCAAACAACTAAGATCTTCAAATGCAGAGAATTTGAATACTAATCACACGTGACGTCATCAAAACCATCAAAAGAGGAGACAAACTTGGCCCTCCCTAGCTTCATATATCGACTTTTTGGGCCTAGTTTTCGCGATTCCCCATTCCTTGGGGGCCATATAAGGCCCCCATGAAGAGAACACACCACCGAAAATATTCCCGGAGTGCCCCTTTAAGTGCAACTGCGTACACAGTTGATGCATATGATATATTCGACGTAGATTGTCATTGGCCTTGTTGTTTCAAGTACTGATGTTGTACTCAGGGTGGGGTTTCTTCACTGTACGCAAAGGTACCACGTCTTTAAGTGGTATTTCCAGTCTCCTGCAGCTAACATTGCTTTTGTCACTCATGCCTATAATTAGCGGCACACGTCTACCCTTGTTATTAGATATCCCGGGGGGGGGGGGTCAAAGATTTGTCTGATTACGAGTAACAGTTACTGGTATTCTCCACTATCCGGACTTGCATGTACACTCGGACGTCTCTTATCCGGGCACCTTGGGACCAGGCACTGCCCATATCTCAGATTTGCCCGTATCTCAGGATAACTCATCTACCATGTATCTTATCATTTTTTGAAGAAGTTTATTTGGCACGTGTTGCACATTTTCAGATTCCGGAAAGAATCCATTGATAAAAATGTGTGGATTTCACAGATTGGTAGTGACAAAAAAAAGCACTTGCACGTACGTAAAAAAACCCCAGTTCAAACCCTCAAATTCCAAGCATTTTTGCCATAGGAGCTCAAGCTGAAGGTGCCCGGTAGAGAGACGTGCCCGCATCTGAGGCGGCCGGATAAGAGACGTTTGAGTGTACGACTGTTAAATGAGAGAGAGAGAGTTTCTGGCGTCAGGGAATTTTGGATCGTTACCTACTAGTGCGATTTGTCTTGTAACCTATGTCGTACTAACCAGGGTAAACCAGTCACCTGTAGACAACTACCGCATTTTCGGCAATACTAGCTGAGGCGCTTAGTAGTTTGCGAGCCCTAAAATTTCACCCAATTTGAAAAAAATCCACACAAAGCCCTGAAATTATGTGGTGCTTATTTCGGACAGGCGCTGATAAAAGGCAGGCGCTAATTTCCGAAAAATATGGTGTACCGGTACGTGCGCTTGTTTCTTTGTCAGGCATTACAACTGTGGCCGAATCCAGCTACCCTGGCCTGTCTAACGCCGGCTCGTCGTCCGTGAAGCTGAACGTGGTGGTGCGTGGCCAGCGCCGCTTGCTGCTGCCCACGGCCGTCCTCGTTCCCGGCGACGTGATTGCCATGCTGCCGGAGCAGATTGTGCCGTGCGCATGCGTTGTGGTAGGTCAGTATGCTTGTTCTCGCTGCTGCTGCTGCTGCTGCTGTGGTTGCCCGCTGTTGGATTAAAGAACTATCTTTTCAAGGGTTTTTTTCCACTCAGTTCATACACTTGATTCTCATTCTTGAAATACGATAGGTGTTTCACCTGACAGGTCTTCACCACACTCGACATTTAAAAATCAGTGCCTGAGATATGGCAATATGCAATGTGGCAGACTTGCACCAAGACCATGTACTCTTTCTCTCCCTCTTAGATTACATGCTCTGCTCACCCAGCACTGCAGCAGCGAATGCCGTGTATTACTGCGAGTTGGTATACGGTTTGCATCACTGTGAATGTGTGTGTGTGTGCGCGCGCAAGTGTACGTGCGTGCGCGTGTGTGTGTGTGTGTGTGTGTGTGCGCACGTGCGTACGTGTGTGTGTGTGTGTGTGTGTGTGTGTGTGTGTGTGTGTGTGTGTGTGTGTGCGTGTGCATGCGTGCGCCGTCCATGTGTTGCGTGTGTTGCCGATATCCAGCTCTCGTCCAAGCCACAGCGGATGTACCTTGATGCTGGCAACAAAGTGCCTTGGTGTGAATGGTCCAGTAAGTTCTCACTCTTGTTGACTACTCTGCTTGGAGTGTTCTTGATGCCCACCTTTAGCAGCAGTGCTCCCTTTTATTCATTTCCTGTGCACAGACCTATCTGCTATGCCGGTGTGCACTCTTTGGAAATCTTCACTTTTGAAATAGAAAGGACCAATGGTTTACATGTTGATCCGTAGCTTGTCTAGCACGCATATGTATATGTAGATACTGGTGAGTCAGAGCGTGCAAACGTCCCCTCTTTTGCCTGTTGCTGATAAACACGAGCCTCCCAAGTTGGGTGGTTGTTTCACATTCTCGAAATGAGCCGTGGCGTCCTATGTCGTGGCCCTTCGTCTTTCGACATCATCTTGTCATAGCTAACGTTCTTAGTTCACTGTGATGCTAAGCTTGGGTTCGTCTTGAGTGCGCCCACCTTCCTCTTTCTGACGTTATTTCATCATGTTGGCTTGTGCATTCAAGACATGATGGAGCTAAACATCAGGTCCTTGAATGTCAGTACCTCATCAGTCAGAATTGTGCTAACTGTTGCACGTTCTAACTCTCCAGTATCTTGCTTACCCAATGCTGTAGACAGCAAGCTGTTTCGGCCATATAGGCCTCATCAGTACAGCTATGAGCTTTTTAAAGGGGAAGTGCATCGATTTTTCGAGTATGGTCCAGAAGAAAGACAATTTGATATCGGTTCGAATGGCATATCTCTCGCTTCCATACGATAAGCCAAACTTGCCAAATCGCCAATTGTATACTCACGTTGCCATAGCGACCAGCGCAGTGATGACGTACGAAAGGCTTAGCTCCACCACAGAGAAGGTCGATCACTGCAGAATTTGGTCATTTTCAATTGGTTTATTGTATTCACGAAGTGAAAGAAGGGCTGTGTTCAATGCTGTAAGTGCAGTGAACTGTTTGTTAGTAGTCCTCTCGGTTGTGTACTGGGACGTGACACCGACAGGAGAAAGCTGGAGCGCGGAGACACCAGCAGACAAGCGAAAATAGTGACGAACAACATGCTGAAATCTTGGTTGGGACAAATCAGACGTTCAGCATTTCCCCCAACCAAGGACCATGCCGTTTGCTCTTTCCACTTCCTGAAGATGAATGTGATGCTTCCTGGCGACTCTCCTATCTCTCGTAACATCTTCTGAAGCCAGGTGAGACGACGGGTGGTGGAGATTGACGAATGAAATAATGTCGTAGGTTTGGAAGTTTGCTGAATATGTCTCAGGAGAGACGGCGAATTCCAAGCATCTTGTCCTGGAGGAAACCATTTCCTAGGCACAGTCAGCCTAGGGAAATGCATGAGAAGGGCGACAAATAGTTCACGGCACTAACAGCATTGAACACAGCACTTCTTTCACATCGTGAATACAATAAGACAATTGAAAATGACCAATTTATGCAGTGATTGACCTTCTCTGTGGAGGAGCTAAGCCTTTTTAATTTCGTACGTCATCACTCCGCTGGTCGCTATGGCAACGTGAGCATACAATCGGCGATTTGGCAAGTTTGGCTTATCGTATGGGTATGCCCCCACATGAGCGCGACCCAAAACAGCGCCGTTGACTTCAGCGCCCCCCAAAAGCCCCATCCCCATAACTGGACATCCCCAAAACCGACCACCCCGTCAGCACGCACGCTCAATACAGGTCGACTCATTTACACTCAAACCCAAAAGATGGACACTCGACTTGTCAAAGACTCAAATCATGATCAACTCGAAATGGCCAGTTCAGTATTGAAGGGCGATATTGCCTGGACTCAATTTATAATCAACTCTAGTAAGCAATGATGAACTAAAAAAAGCAATTATCGACTCAAAAACACCAGTTCAGTATTAAATGGCGATATTGCCTGGATGGACGTTAACAGGTCCAGATACAAATAGGTTGTAGTCCACGAACCACGAACCTTCCAAGTTGGAAGGTTGGTTTGCGCACTGGAGATGTGTTAGAGCTAGGTCTCGGGCCACTGAATGTCTCAGTGGCCTGTCAGTTTCGTGCCCTATTATCGCACAGTCACTTTCTGACTGTTTATCATCTTGTTACAGTCGTGGATAGTTGCTGCACAACTCGTTCTCATGTGTTTCTTTTCTTTTTTGCATATCTTTTTTAGGAACGGGTTTGCTCCTGATATCCACCATGGTAATACTAACATCAAGAGTACATAAAACTGGTTATGCACTCTTGCTAACATGAGCCTGCACATTATGGGTCACGTGTGTAATGAGCTGGCTTATATTCGGACGTTAACGTAATTGGTCGCGCCAAAATGGGGCGTGCAAGAGATGAGACGAGCTGTAGTGACACCGTGTCACATTAGGTCGCGCTGTACTGGGGGTGCTAATATGAACACGCGCCGTTTATGGTTGCGCTGTTTTGGGTGTAAATCATCGTATGGCAGCGAGAGATATGCCATTCGAACCGATATCAAATTGTCTTTCTTCTGGACCCTACTCGAAAAATCGATGCACTTCCCCTTTAAGGAGTCAGTGCAAAGGAGGCATCACAGACATTAATATAACTTGTTGCTCTAGCGCCAGAGTGCTCTAACAAAGAAAGTAGCGAGCAATGCGTCAAACAGCAGCACTAGAGCAGCCTACCAAGAGTGCTGAACAAGACAAATGTCGAGGAGCGTAATAAGTATCTTGCTTATAATTTTAATATGGCAATAAGTAGGACGAGCTGAAGCGACATGTGGACTACTTTATTTAAAACAATGTAGGCGATGGAGACGATGCAAGAAACAACCTAAAGGGTAAGGAAAAATACGTGTAAGAAGAAAAAGGGCAATGGAAAAAAAAGAAAGATGATTCGAACAAGTTTTCGTACAACACTCTTCAGGAATCACCGTTGTACTAAAGAACAAAATGAGAACAAAGGAAATAATATAGCAATCAAGGTAGGGTGACACGATACAATGACAGCACTGGAATATCGAGGTGCGATTTCTCACAAAAGTGTGCAGAAAACAAGGGTATACAAGTAAGAACTAAGCGTGACAAGTGTGTATCAGCAACAAAAACAAAAAAGTGAGAACGAATGATAATAATAACAATAATAAACAAGAAGGTGACAAAACACTTTAGGCACAAGTGGCAACAACGTTGCCACACTACACAAAAGAACATTATTTGAACAATTTTAGGTCTCCTCGTCGAATTTTTGCTTATAATTGTTGGGCAAACTACGTACATCATGTAAGATCTTTGGTCCTTTCTCATTTTTTAATCCTTGGCTCTCCATTTGAGTCTAATCTTCACTTTTTCTTGTTTGTTTTTCCCTGTGTCACAGTTGAGAGTGACCACAGTCCTACTCCTGTTTACCTTCAAGTCCAAGAGTGTATGGCTGTGCATTCTCTGCGGTGAGTCCCACTGGTGGAAGTGAGCTGAACCTGAGCATGCTCACTTCTTGCCAGTGAGTAACCAGTGCCGGGGAGCAAGCGTCTTGTTGGCGTGATCCACCACTGCCTGGCAATCTGGTTGAATTCTGCAGTTCTTCTGGTCTTCTGTTTTCTGAGAGCTCTGAAGCTCCATTGTAATGTAGCCTTGTCATCCTTCCACTAAACCTCTAACCCGACACACGAAGTCACGAACAATCCTCGGCTACACCACGCACAATGATTGTTTCCAAATTTTCACCCGGGAGAGCCTCCGTTCTCTCTATCTAGTGACTACCAGCTGCATTGTGGTACATATACGACATGCATGTATGCATGCATTGCAAGTTGCCCGCGCATAGAACCTGGCCGAGGTCTCTTTGCAATCGCATGTGGCTCTTTCACTTGACGTCAGTTGTGTGTTTGAATTCCTCTCTTTTTTTGCAGCAAAGTACTGGTACAAGATTCACTGCGGCCGTCTCCCCTGGAGCAGCAGGTCTCCACCATTGCTTTCTTCCTTGGACGCTTTCTCGTGCCGATCGTTTTCGTAAGTCCACTACACCCATACAACTTTCTGAGACATTGTATATGGAACTGTTTTTTCTTTTCTTTTCAGAGTGTTAAAAAACAGATGAGAAGAAGGGTAAGCAACAGCTTTTGGCCGACTTTATTTTATGAATTTTTACACTCCCAGCAACACTGGGTGTGCTTTCCCGGCCGGCCACCCTAACCAAACCTGCAACAAGACATTGGTTTGAATTATCTTTCCAGCTACTGATCCCTCAGAGATCTGTTTCGACGTATCGGATCTCATCGGTGAATGTATAAGAATATCAAATGGCTAGGATCATATATAGAAAAGAGAATGGCAAATAGAAATAGTAAATGAAGGGAGATAAATTCTTTGTTTTGCGCACGTGTGTGTGCATGTGCGTGTGTGTGTCTGTAATGTTTCTTCCTGTGAATAGGTGTTGTCATTGCTGATGCAAATGATCTTCTGGCTTGCCCTGTCCGGTTCGGGCAGTGATAACGCTGGCCGAGACTGGAGCCTGTCCATTCTTGTTATTCCGGTGAGGATTGTCTTCAGCTTGGTGTACTCTTTATGCGTGACTTGCTTGGCTCTGTAGCGTATTTGTGTCGTGCCACGTCTTACTGTCGAGAAAATGTGCGCTGGAAGACATCATACGGATTTTCTCCTGTGCCGACTCTTGAGCTGGGTATATTGCTTGATCAGTACCTTTTCAGATCAGTATTGCGACGTCTCGAACCAAGATGCATCTGCAATGTTATTCCTTCGCAAATACTGCATACATTGTCCCTCGGCTCATTTGTGTTGAACATGTCTGCAGTATTTGCATTCTGTTTAGCGCTTCTAAGGGCAACCGTGTGTGCTTGCTTGCGTGTGTGCAAATATGTGTGCGAATGTGGGCAAATGCGCATATGTGCGTATGCGAGTGCATGTGTGTGTGTGTGTGTGTGTGTGTGTGTGTGTGTGTGTGTGTGTGTGTGTGTGTGTGTTGTGTGTGTGTGTGCGTGTGTATGCGTGTGCGTGTGTATGCGTGTGTGTGTGTTTGTATGTGTGTATGTGTGGGGGATGCATGTATGTGTGTATGTGTATATGTACTGTAAGACATGTTATTATAACGAGTCGCAAATTTAAGGATTGTCCAAAATTCATAGGTTAACGAGAAGATATGTTAATTAACGATCTTGCAGTATTCCGGCATATCCACACACAACATATATGAAGCAGTACGGCCTCAACGGGTGTTATTATAACGAAGAAATGTCATCCGTTATAACGTTAGATTTACTTCCTCGTTATATATACATGTCTTACAGTATTCGATGTGTCCGATTTCTACAGGTGCACAGCATACTACCACTACTACCTATCACGTTTCCATGGATGTGGGAGACCATTGTCATGTACTTCACAGCGTCCATGCTCTTGCCTATCTATCAGCTCCGACTACCTTCCAATATTGCCGGTGATGTAAGTCTCGACTTGCTGTGCGGTTGGTTTCTCAATCTGATGGGTAATGTGTAGGTAGTGTGTGCAAGTGTTGAGACAGGACAGTTGATGTCCACTGGGCAGGTTGTGTGTTGTGTCCATGTGATCCATTCTGCATTTTTGGAGGGGATTAGCAAAAAGATTAGCAAACAGAGTTCTGTTAATACAGTGAGGAAGTACATTACGTTTTTTGTCTTGGCAGCAAGCCAGCCTGTGTTTGATGGCATTGGTCTGTGGCTAAGATCAGCTGTTCAGTGTGTTCTCTTCTTAGTCATCTCCGTGCCCCTGTCTCATTTGCTTCTATATGTTTGCTTCTATATGTTTCCTGTTGTTGCTGTTGTTGTTGTTGTTGTTGTTGTTGTTGTTGTTGTTGTTGTTGTTGTTGTTGTTGTTGTTGTTGTTGTTGTTGTTGTTGTTGTTGTTGTTGTTGTTGTTATTCTTTATTATTCTTTATTATTCTTTTATTCCACGATGGCGTGACGCCAACACGTTGTTGTTGTTGTCGTCGTCGTCGTCGTTGTTGTCGTCGTCGTCGTCGTTGTTGTCGTCGTCGTCGTCGTCGTTGTTGTCGTCGTCGTCGTCGTCGTTGTTGTTGTTTTCTCCTTCAACGTAGAGATGTTCCTGGCAGCACTCTGTAGGACTATGGCTGAAGTTATGCCTGGGTGAAGCTCCAGAGTACCTGGCGCGATCCACGCATGTCCTCTTCAACATGGGCCGTATAACAGTATGTTGCTTGCTGTTGTCGCGTGTATTGTGTGTGTGTGTTTGTGTGTTTGTGTGTGTGTGTGTGTGTGTGCGTGTGTGCGTGTGTGTGTATGTGTGTGTGTATGTGTGTATGTATGTGTGTGTGTGTGTGTGTGTGTGCGTGCGTGCGTGCATGTGTGTGCACTGGGGATGGGCAGTGTAGGTGTTGCAGAGTGTTCAAAATTTCAACTGGTACAGGGATGTAAAGCAGTAAAAGTATTTGGTTTCGACTAGTACAGGGAATGTAGAGTACACTGGTGACTCAAATAGGTC